TCATTTGAGGACCACAGAGCAGATTACAATATAAAGGTAATACTCTCAGTTCTCCATTCCTCTCCCTGCATATAGGACTCAGCTAAGGTAAAGGTAAAGGGACCCCTGACCATTAGGACCAGTCGTGGACGACTCTGGGGTTGCGGCACTCCGGGTCATGTGGCCAGCATGACTAAGCTGCTTCTGGCGAACCAGAGCAGCTCACGGAAACGCCGTTTACCTTCCCGCCGGAGCGGTACCTATTTATCTACTTGCACTTTGACGTGCTTTCCAACTGCTACATGGGCAGGAGCTGGGACTGAGCAATGGGAGCTCACCCCGTCACGGGGATTCGAACCGCCGACCTTCTGACCGGCAAGTCCTAGACTCTGTGGTTTAACCCACAGTGCCACCCATGTCCCTAGGACTCAGCTGCACAGCTGCAAATAAAACGTTTTAAATGTGTTGTAAAGTGCAATATACAAATGTGACACTAGATGGCAAGAGTGAGTTATGCCAAATTCAATGCATTTTTCAAAACTTTTTTTAAAAAATCATTTTCACAGCGTTTTTTTATGTGTATAGATTCCACCATAGTTTGGGGAGTTCTCCTAATTCCTCCCATCAGCCAATTTAAGAGACAAATGGGGGAGGATGGGGGGAAACCCTGTTGCACTAGCAGGACTAATTACTCCCACTAGTGCAACTATTTAGTTGAATCCAGCCCAGAAATGTTATTGAACAAAAGGTTCTCCTTTCTGCAATGATTAGTAGAGAACATAGGATTCCACCTTATATGACATCCTGACATCTCAGCATTGTCCCCTTGATCTGGCAGCAGCTTTCCAGGGTCTGAAGTGGAGGTCATTTTCATCACCTGGGACCTGATCTTGTTATAACTGCCAGGGCTTTAACCTGTTCCTGGCAAGGTGTGTGCTGTCTGTGGGCTACAGACCGATATCACAGGGGCAGGCAATGTAACAACTCTGGGTGCACAGGCAGTGATAATAAGAGTGGAATTGGGTTTTTTTGTGACTCCTTTGCTCCCCATGACTCACAGTTGTGTTGGCTTTCTGCACGATCATGGGAAATTATGAAATGAAAAGGGACAGGCAGTTGGGTTGATAAGCAATGTCATTCACCGGGGGGGGCATGTTTTTTCTTTCCTTCTGTTGCTCAAGGCAGGTTCTTGTGTGAAACAGCATGTTTCTCAAATACAGTTCAAGAGAGCCTCTATGTAAGGTGTTGTTTTCTCCAGGTACACAGTTAGTAGATTGGGTTTTTTATTACCTGATGTAATGGCTCACAGAAAACCAATAAGGGTCCTGAGGATCTAATAACTCCTTGGTTCACCCAATTTCTTCTTTAAAAAAGAAATGGACAGTAACATAGTAAGCAAAGACTTCGTTGTTGATTGTGCAACGTATGTGTTAGGGAAAGGGAGGGGTTGCATAGATTCTCAGATGATGGATCAGCATCTTATAAATGTGCCCATCTAAAGATACACACACACACACACACACAGAGAGAGAGAGAGAGAGAGAGAGAGAGAGAGAGATGTACAACAAGTTGATGGTATAGCAGATGAATAGCCTTCAAAGCTAAATACACAACAACCTAGCTTCACACTTCATCTGATCCTATCAGCATTCTACACTCATTGGTCAGGGATTAATTACTTCAAAATCCCCTTGTGCTAGTGCAACTCAAGGATCAATCAGCAGAGGGAATCTACAATGGGAATCTACAGAGCCACTATTCCACTAGGCAGAGTTGGAAGATTGCTGTGGAAGACAAGCGGAACAAGAACATTATTATCACTTTCCAACAGGAACAGGAAACACCTGTATCCACCCAAATGCAATTAAATTCAGTGCCACCTAGTGACTAAAGCTTGTAATGGCACTATCCACCCAGAAGTGAAGTTTTGCCCAGATCCTACGCTCATTTATCAGTCAGTTCCATCCTACCTCTGATGACGGCATGTTTTGCCTTTAAGAAAGGTGGCTAAAATGAAATACAATTAAATACATTTAACACAGTCAATAAAGAGTTCTCGATGATCGACTTTCCTCTACTCCACAACCGGTCATGGCACACTAACAGGAATATATAATCCCCAGAAAGGGAAGACAGGTCTGAAATAGAAAAATAATGCATCATTTTCTGCATCACACTGCCTCCGTGTCTAGAGAACTAGGAAGCCACAACTGGAAATGATGGTGGGAAACTATGAACAGACAGTACATGCCAAAAAATCAGGGATGGAGGGGTAGGCTGATTTGCAAGACCCACTGTGGATCATTGTGGGACAATTGTAAGTTGCTTTAAGCTGTTTTTAATATTGTGTTGTCATGTTGTGTTTCAATGTTGTAACCTGCCCTGGGATTTTAGGGAGAAGGGATGGTAATAAATTAAACAACAACAACAATGGTTGCCAAATTGTGGGACAAGTGGCTATTTGGTGCTCATCAGAGCCCCCCAAAAGAGGACTCAGGACAGCAGCATCAGCAGATGTGGGTCCTTAGCTGCTGCCTGTGGATGCCACCTGCTGGCGTCAGGCCTGCAGAATGAGTGATGGATGGGGACCAGTGTTCTTTTGAGAGATTGCTGCCATTGTTTCCCCAGGGCTCTTGGGTATCATCCACAAAAGACAGCCGATAAACAGGTGTAGCAGTGCCCAGCATAGAATTTGCTGTGCGGGGAAAGATGTCTTTGTTTCTCCTGTGTCATGGTGAACAGCGGAGTTACCCTGTAAGAACAAATAGGTTTGCAATCCCATTTCAGTGTGATGCTGTTACAAATTAGGGCACTTCCAGATGACCTGTTTATGGAGCACTTACTCTGATTTGTTTGCAGGGAGGTTAGATGACATTGTGTCAAAGCAAGTGTTACCCCACACTTTTCAGTGCATTTTCCCATCAACCCCCCCAATCTTTGGGGGGTTTTCTGCACAAGATGACCCCATCAACTATTATTGTGCAACCTGAATTTTCTGGCATGTGATTAAATCCCACTTAAAAATAGTAAAGCTCTGACAGCAACCTTATTCCAGCTCTCATGCTGTTCACAGTTAAGAACAATGTCTGTTAATGATTGACAGTAGATCTTAGGTGCCTTAACCTTAGATGTCTTCTCATCTTAGACGGCACTCATCTTTGAAATCACCACGGGGCACACACAATGAGGATATGTGCCAGTGGGTCCTCGGCAGCAATATCTCACGAGGAATGAGGGTCTGTATGCTGCTCTAAGGCCTTGCCACAAGAGCAGTAGCAAAAGTATTCAAGGGTGGGAGAAAGACTATCTCAGTAACTCAATGTCCTCCTGCTCCTTCCCCCAGTTAGAGCTGCTGCAAAAATGAACCGCATATATTTGAATCACAGCATTGCTTGAAGTATAAAGTAAAGGTAAAGGGACCCCTGACCATTAGGTCCAGTCGTGGCCGACTCTGGGGTTGTGGTGCTCATCTCACTTTATTGGCCGAGGGAGCCGGCATACAGCTTCCGGGTCATGTGGTCAGCATGACTAAGTCGCTTCTGGTGAACCAGAGCAGCGCACGGAAGCGCCGTTTACCTTCCCGCCAGAGCAGTACCTATTTATCTACTTGCACTTTGACGTGCTTTCGAACTGCTAGGTTGGCAGGAGGCTTGAAGCATAGCACCGTTCTATTCTGCCTTTGTGCTGGGCCTGGGGGTTAACCTGAGCAACGCAGTTCAGGTCCAATCCTGAATCCAAGGATTCTGCGAGGAGTTGGTCTGACAGGGCCAAGGCAGGAAACCAGGCAAGGTCAGGCGCAGTGTCTTAGGCAGATTCTAGCAAACAGCAATGTTGCTCCCACAACCTGGGACGGGGTCCAAGAGCCTTTTATCTCTGTCAGGGTAATGGCCGGTCCTGATCCCCCAGTGACTCACCTCCCTGTCTCACCTGAAGGCGAGCACTCCTCCTGCGAGCACTCAGGTCTCTCCTTCTCTCAGACCTTAGTCTCTGCAGCTCAGGAGATGTTGGTGGGTTCCTAGACCCAGAGGCCGCCTCGGCCTCTCCTGACCCAACTGGTAGTGGAGCAGCTGTAAGTGATTGCCCAGCTGAAGGCAACGCGGTAATCCCCGCATCTGGAGCCAGGGCAGGCTCAGGCCCAGGCCCTTGACTCAGCCCAGCTGGGGCTTATTGCAAGGGCACCTGTGCAGACTGGGTCTCTTCAGAATCAGGCCCCAGACTTGATTCAGATGCCGCCTGAGGCAAAGGATCCGGTGCGGACTGAGACTCCTCTGGTTCTGAATCCAACAATTTTAGAAGGATATTGACAAGCTGGAATGTGTGCAGAGGAGGGCGACCAAATGACTGAGGGTCTGAAAACCAAGTCTTACGAGGAATGGTTGAAGGACCTGGGTATGTTCAGCGTGGAAAAGAGGAGACTGAGAGGAGAAATGATGGCCATCTTCAAATATCTAAAGATGGAGCAAGCTTGTTTTCTCCTCCTCTGTAGGGTAAGTCTCAAACCAATGGATTCAAGTTACAAGAAAGGAGATTCCAACTAAACATAAGGAAGAACTTTCTGACAGTAACAGCTTTTCGGCAGTGGAACAGGCTCCCTCGGGAGGTTGTGGACCTTCCTTCCTTGGGGGTTTTTAAGCAGAGGTTGGATGGCCACCTGTCATGGATGCTTTAGCTGAGATTCCTGCATTGCAGGGGGTGGGAGTAGAAGACCCTTAGGATCCCTTCCAACTCTACCATTCTATGATTCTAACTAAATTTGGGGTCTGAAAGGCTGGATCTGTCCTATGAGGATAGCACCGAGTCTTCTTGACATTCATTGCTCTGCACACTTTTGCCTCTGCCCCCGCTCACCATTGGCCTGTGGCCCCCGGTTGCATAAAAGGAAACACAGCCCTCAAGCTGAAAAAGAATCCCCACTCCTCTCAAAGCCTAAGAGATATATTGTAGCTTTAATGGACTAGAGCCCATTTCATCAGATGCATGGACTCCATGGAAGCTCACACAACAATAAATCGAATCATCTTAATGTCTCTTAACTCCTTTTATTGCTTTTTGCTGTCACAGACTAATATAGCTACCCATTCTGAAATACATCCCATTTGCAGGGTTAGCACCAACTGATCAGCAAAGAATAAACTAAAATATTTAAAGTATGCAAAGAGTGTGTTTACTTCTGCCAGTGTGCACAGATAGCGCCTTATCCTATGCGCCACTTACTTGACTTGAACATTAACTCCCACTGAGCTCAATGACGATTTCTCCCAAGTTAATATTCATCAGAGTCCAACCTTAGAATTAGAAGGCGCAGTTTCTGGGTCAGGAAGCTTGACTTCTAAATCCAGGCGGCTTTGAGTCCCATCATCTCATTTTTTACGAATTTAATGCTGGCAACATGCAAACTAGGTTACTAGATCAGAAATCAAATGGCAATGTAATGCCATACTGAGGGAGATTGTTAAAACAAAGCCCTGTCATTATGAACATAGGAAATGTGAATCCTTGAGGCAGGCAAACAGCACTAGTCACAGTGAGGAAAGGGGGCTGGGGAAGACAGCTGGAAACTCCTTAAACCGTGGATTAATAAATAATAATACAACAGATTATTCAGGCTTTGCTGGAAGGAAAAACATGCATTTATAATATTTCGCACAAGGTTGTGATCTGCCTCAATAGCTCAGTTGCATTCCGTGCAACCTAAGAGCAACTGCTCTGTTTAGATTTCAATTCAGCGTTAGCCTTAAGGCTCTGGATGAGTTACAACATACTTAAAAACCAACAAACCAAAATAAAATCATTGCATACTATGTGCCCACATGTAAAGTGGTTCCCCATGTTTAATCTCTTTTTCTCTCACAACAACTTTAGCCCTAATCCATCAGGAAGTCCTCTTGCACAAGCCCTGCTGAAATCAAGGAGGCCAGGCCACATTTGCACTTTGTACTAGGGAGGCTCTGGGTAAAGCTAAAACTGCAATTCTATGCACACTTACCCTGGTGTAAGTCCCTTTGAACTCAGTAGAATTTACTTGCAAGGAGCCAGGCTGATCAGAATTATAAATGCTACGTGTGGTTATAATTAAGAATACTTAGTATTTACACTGAATGCAAAAGCAAGTTGCTTCGCAGATATTAAGCTGCTGCAATTCTCGCAACAGCCCTGCAAGGTGGGTCAATATTATTATTCCTATCTCGCAGATGGGGTGCTTAAGGCTAAGAAAAAGTGACCTGCCTAAGGCATTCTAGTGAGTTCATGATTCAAACTGAGGACTTGCAGCTTTGTGGTTTGGTCTCTGGGGTAAATGTCATACCAGATCTCTGAAATACATCCCACTGAGATCACTTTTCCTAGAGAGAAGCACATCAAATAAGCTGAGCAAAGGAAAAGGTACGCTACATTGGTATGCATGGCTAAGGGCTAAACTGCCACAGTCCCTTTATTATCACCAGCCAAAATATCACAACACAGTGAGCAAGCATTTGAGTCCACCAGAGATCTTCATCAGGCTGGGTGTTATGCAAGGCGGCTTGCTATTGAAGCAATAACGTTTGCATTGGTTTGTTTGTTTTTTAATTTAGAATGGTCATTTTTGTTATAGAGTTACAGAACTATAAAAATCAAATGGGGAACAGCTTGGTTGGTAGAGCATGAGATTCTTAATCTCAGGGTGGGTTTGATCATTCCTGCATTGCAGGGGGTTGGACTAAATGAACCTTGTGGTCCCTTCCAACTCTACAATTCTATGATTCTAGCCTATGGCTCTCCAGAAGTTGTTAAACTCCAACTCCTAGCATCCCCAATAGCATCAGCAACTGTCAAGGATCATTGGAGTTGTAGTCCAATCACACCTGGAAGTTCCCAGGTTGCTTATACCTCTTAGAGAACTTTTAAAGCAGCGTGGCTGTGGAGGCATGAATTCACCACCACACCTCTGAGTCCTATGCACACATAACTGGCAGAAAACCTCTATTTCACTCATGGGGACTTCAGCATAAACAAGTATGGGGCGGGAGTCAGGCTTCACATCTGTCATCCTAGACATACTTCCCTAGAAATAAACCCATCAGTGGGAGTTACTTCCGAGTAAACGGACCTGGGCTGCTTGGTTGCAGCTTAGCCCATCGCGCAAGAAGGGGGAACAACTGGGAACTAGGGCCGACCACCCCACAAGGCAAGCTGAGATCTTGTCTGCGTAATTCTTGGCGCTGCGGAACCTCGATGCCTGTTCAGATCCCTGCCTCAAAGTCCACCATCCCCCTCGAGCCAAGCCTTCTCCAAGCGCTGGCCGAGCCGAAAAAAGACACCCACGACGTCAGTTCGTTGCTTGCGGACGTCACGCCTTTGCTCACAACTACGCCATACCCTCTCCAACTCAACTCCCACGGCAAGCAGGCAGAGCCACCGCGGGCTCCATTTTTTTGTTGTCCCCGTCACCTCTTTTAGAAAAACTAAGCGGGTGGATGATCCCCGGTGATGATGAAGATGATGATGATGGAGGTGGAGGCGAGGAGGAGGCGGCAGCTAGCGAAGGAAGGCGGGGGAGTTCCCCTCCCTCCTTAAAAGCCGCTTCCGGCCCCGCTGCCATATTCCTTTTTTGGAAGGGGGAGGAGGAAAAAGAAGCCGAGAGAGAGAGAAATGAAATACTGTATAAAACAAGGCAGTCGAGGCTGACGGTGGTGGCAGCCGCTGCGTTAGGAGAGACTCCCATAGCGTAGCGCGTCGACGCCAGGGCGCCCGGTGCCACGGGGACGGGCCTAAGGAGTGGCGCTGGTGGCGACGAAGCTTTGGATTCCTTGCTGGATGCTTCTACCGGAGAAGAGCTTGAGGGATCTCTGGCGCGAGGTGGGGGCGGAGAGAGAGGAGACGGTGTCGGAGGCGCAGGCGGGCGTGTACCTCGGCTGCTGACCTCACTTCTCGAAAGCGCTCCAAGTTCACCATCCCTCTCCAGCCATTTGCCGATCTCCAGCCTTCTGCGCACCGGGAAAGGTTGCTGTGGGGCAAAGGCATCAGGAGACCGGCTCTGTAAAGGCGCACGCCTCTCTGGAAAGAGAGAGCGAGCGCGAGAGCGCGCTTCCGGCGCGCACACACACACACGCATCCTCCCTCCCATTCACTGGCTCGCTCCACACAAAGCGAGCGCCTTGGTTTCTCTTCCATCTCGGCTCTTTCCAAGCTGTATGTGCGAGAGGAACCCCGGAGCGCGCCGGCTGGCCAGCGCCTGAGCTCTCCGGGTCCTGCCTTTGCGCGCCATCTCGCCTCTCTGCGATCCCCCCCCCCGCCTTTTTTTTTAATCGGAGCCATCGATTCATTTGTTTTCTCCCTGCTTGGCCCCGCTGAAGATCTGGCCGGTTCCCGTGGTTGGGAGGAGGAGGAGGAGACGGGGCGAAGGAAGGAAGCCAGGCGTCTCCATCTGGCCCCCGCGATTCTCTCTTGCCACCAGGAGACTTGAAAGAGAGAGGAAATAAAAGGAAGGTAAGTGTCTGCCGGGTGCTGCGGGGAGGGGATTGGACTGCTGGGCTTAATATCCCGGCGTCTCCGGCCGGGCGTGATCTTGACTAACTCAGCCTTGGTTGTAACTGACTAAGCGAGCTTTGTTAATAGCCTGTTCTTGGAGAGAGGAGGAGGGAGACTGCACGCGAAAATCAAAGCCGCAGGACCAGCAAACGTTATTGCTGCTCCCCCTGAACCCCTCGATTTCTTTTGATAAAGGCAGCAATCATTCCCTGCGAGTGGCACAGATGGATTAAGTCCCGAGGTCTTTTTTGTTTTTTAAAGGAGGCGACGAAAGGTGTCTCCTGCTACCAGTTGTTGTGCTGGGTCTGCTTTCTCGGTTTGGGCTTTTGTTTGGGGAGGGGCGTGTGGAAGGTCGAAGCCGCCCGGAAAGGAAGCGAAGAGTCTTTCCCCGGATCGTGTTGTGCGCCACTTGGTTCCGATACACTTTCTTTTGTTATGATTCTCCGTCTGCTTCGGCGGGCATGATGCGCCGCTCGCTCCCTAATCTAGGACTGTACTTTCTCTCCCCCCACCCCACTCCCACACACTCCCACTCTCGGAGTATATATTCAACCCAATCTCTTGGGCAAAGGAATAAGGTGGGGGAGAGGAGTAATCTGGGAGCTGTATCTAGGCCAAAATATGAAATATTTATCATGCCCGCTTCGATGGTTTTTCCAGTCCAGCTCCTTTTATTTTTAATTTGCTATTGGTAAAATATTCATTTTCAGGGGGGCAAGGAGGCGAGAGAGTACGAGTGTTTGTGTTTATGTTGTGGCAGTATCGTTCTAGGAACACGCCTACAACGCTTTTCTTTAACCTGGTCACGCCTTAAAACTGGTGGCAGCCTGGCAGGATTTAATCTCGTGCAAAATTGGGGTGCTACTTAATTAACTAATAAATGGGGAGATCGCCGCCTCGTAACTTCTCGCTGCTGCTTTTATTGTGTGTGTGTGCGCGCGCGGCGTGAAGCCGGCGGATGCAATGTGAGGCAACCCAGTTTATTGTCACATAAAGGCGACGTCCGTCATTCTCCAGGAGCGGAGGTTGGGCAATCTTCCCGAAGACCTTTAAGTGAGAAGGGCAAAACGGTGTGTGTGCGTGTGCGCGCGCGCTACTCTGAAAAATTGCAAAGAATTCGAGAGGGGAACAGAGTTAACTCCTTAGTAGCTGCCAGAGAAAATAGCAAACTGGTACGTTCTGTGCTAGTTGAGAGAGAATGTCCTCTGTAGGAGTCCCTTTTTTTGTCACTAGCAAGGCTTCAGGTGCCCTTGTTGTTCTCTTGGGGGCTCTTGTGTCCAGTAAAGTTGTGTGTTCTCCCACTGCAGGATCTTCTTCTCCCTTCAAACTTGCTTGGAGTGCAATGCATGGAGTGTCCAGTGCAAATCAGGACATCTTTCTGTCCGTTTTATCTCTGTCACAAACTCACCGGGTGGCCTTGGTCAAGTCCCTTGCTTGTCTCGGCAGGCATACGGAGAAGATCCTAGACCAAGCTTACAGGGTTTGTTTGAAGTCTTGCTGTGACATGATGTTACGGGAAGTGCTTCACACCCGTGGAATGTGCTGCATAAATGCTAAGGGTGAATATAATGAAAGGTCCTTTGGATTAAGGCTTGCGCAACCTCCTCTTTGCATCCTCTGGGAACCCATGTAAAGCCTCACCTGAAGGCCAGGGAATCCCTGGCATGTGAGGTGACATGTGGAGAAGAACTGCAGCAGAAAGAGTGGTGGGGAATAGCAAAATCTGGTTGGAAGCAAATGCACTCAAGCAAGCTCAAATCCAACCAGTATTTTTGGGTGACTTACATGCTGGTACTTGATGTGTGCACAATAGGAAGGAGGAAGAATGTCTTGATGGATCTCTGCTGTGATTAGGGTCATCCAACACCCTCCTTCCAACAACAGTCAGCCAGATGTCCCTGGGAAGCTTAGAAGCACAGCATGAAGGCAACAGATCCTCTCCTGTTGTGTGTCTCCAGAGCCTGGCATTCAGTGGTATATAACATTGTTAATACTGTTATCGCTATTAATCATCATCATTATTTATTAAACCTAGTAGTCACTTGTCACCTGAAAGGTCTCCAAGTAACTAAGCATTGAAGAACATATATTGAAATACTTTATAAAGTTAAAAAAAAATCATATATAGATCATTGACATTCCATACAGCTTATAAAAAAGCAGCCTTGCCAATAACAGGGATAACAGCATTGACAACACACTAACAAAAAACCGACAAAATGATATTCTCACCCACTTACCAGTAAATAAAAACAAAACTCAAACACTGATATGCACCCTTCCCTAGCCCAGAAGGCAGCCATGTCAACCCAGGATATATATGTTTAAAATCTCCCTACCTGCAGCCAGAAGTCTTGGCCACAAGTTCAGCAGCTGCCAATCAGTGGGGTATGGGTCCTCCAAGGATGGTCTGGTGCTTCTCCTTTCCTTGCAAGGAGAGCAGCAATAAATGCAGAGAGATGGCAAAAGTTTGCCTTCTCTGCAGTCTTTCTGGCTGTTGCTCCTCTACTCTCATTGTTGGGGGCCCAGATCGGCATTACATACTGTGCCATATAGACCTGCGGTCACCAACCCTGTGCCCATGGGCCCAAGGCATCTGCTAAGACTTTCATTGATGCTCCTGGCATAATCTGGAGGGTCACAGGTTCCCTTATCCCCCCCGTCCTGAGCTTTCTAAAGTGGCACATAAGAATCCATCTTATACCATTGATCAGTATTGCCTGCACTGATTGGCACCTGCTCTGTGGAGTTATCAATCGGGACATTCCCAGTCCTACTGGGAATTGCCAGGGATTGAACCTGGGACCTTCTGCATGTACAGCAGATGCTGTACCACTGAGCTACAGCCTTCCCCAAGGGCCATGGCCATCATTCATGTCAGTGAATTCCACAAGGTAATTATGGAATGTGTGTAGAATTTTTTCCCCTTTTTGCCTGTCCTGAATTTGCTGCCAGTCCACTTCTGATGCAATGTCAGCTGCCCCACATCCAGCATATGGGAAAGAACTCAAAGCTAGGAGTGCTTTTTTAAAACAAACTAACAGGAATAAACATACAATTAGAGTGGCAAGACCCCTTGGAGATTCCCACATTTTTGGATGGAATAAGGCTAAGCCCTTATAGTTTTTACACTGCCCATTGCAATGAATCTGTAGTCCCTTTTTAAGGTGCCACAGGGCTCCTCCTTACCTGTGCTGCTGCCATTCCATGATAGACATGAGAGTTTCCAACACCAAGGACTGACTCACATGCATGCACACACCTGCCAGGGTCTGATCCTGCCCTTAATCTGGCTCACAGATGAGTATGTGTGTTGGCTTTTTTGATAAGTGTTGTTCTTCATGAGTCTGTAGGCCTAGCTTCAGAAGCTAGCAAGGTTGGGCATTTGCCAGGGTGCAGGATCCAGAAGAGGGTCCACATCCCTTCTCATTTTTACTTCACTCAGAGTATCCAGGATGTGGAAACAGTTTTCAGTTTGCATGCCTTCCCTCTTCCAGGCTAAGGAGACCCATGCCCAAGAGTCTTCAGAATCCTGGAGGCACTATTGGGCAATTGTTAAGCAAAAGATGAATGGGACATTGCCCCACCAATCTCATCTACCTCCCCCACCGGCTGTCTACCTCCTTACTTTCCACCAATCCAGGGGTGGCACAGCTACCAGTCTCCTCCTCAGTCTCAATGTTGTATTTGAAGAACTCCGCAGGGAGGAGGATAATACCAGAATTAGCTGGTTCTGTCTCTCATTGGCTCTGGCGCCACCTACTGTTGACCTCCCAGCCTTTTGCACCACTGGTGGGTTGCAGCCATCACTGTTGTCAAGTAAGCTGAAAACCCTGCCATGTCTAATCAGTGAAGGCTCTCTTGGGCGTGGGAGTCATGACTTGTTTGCCAAGGAGTATGTATTGGTGAACTCTTTAAGATTTTTTTCTCTCTCTCTCAAAAAGAAAGAGGAAAAAGTATAGGCCAAAGCTGTCCCATTATGAGATGAGAGATTAGCAGCATCGGTCAGCTACTCGGCTGGTTTTCCAGGACACTTGAAAGGCAAGTGAAAATGACTCTTGTGGTGAAGAATTTCTTCCAGTTGTAATGAGTCAGGGAGTGCTGGTTCCTTCCTTTCAGTTTTAAACCAAGCTAGCTCTTTCATAGCTCTTTTAGGGACATTCTGTTGCCAGCAGGGAACTATACAGTAAAGTGTGTAATCTGTACAGTAACGTGTATATGTCCCACAGAGGACCTTACGGTCTTCAAATAAAAACATCTTGGAGATTTCAGGTCACAGGGAGGTTAGACTGGCCTCGACCAGAGCCAGGGCTTTTTCAGCCATGGCCCCGATCTGGTGGAACTCTCTGTCACAAGAGACTTGACATCTTTCCGCAGGGCCTGCAAGACAGAGCTGTTCCACCAGGCCTTTGACCAAGGCACAGTCTGACCCCCTCTCTTCTTCTGTAATCTTCGTAGAACTCTAACCCGATGGTTGCCATTAATTCGATTCTGAATTGATTCTAGAATGTATTTTAATTAACTGACTGTGCGATTTTATGTACACTGTGCTATTTTTACCTGTTGTTAGTCGCTCTGAGCCCGGCTTTGGCTGGGGAGGGCAGGATACAAATTATTATTATTATTATTATTATTGAGATTCTAATAAGCCTAATACACACTATTGTGATATACAGTAGCATGCTTTTCAGTAGACAAGAGCAGGAGTGGGGAATTTATGGCTCTCCAGATCATAGAATCATAGAATTGTATAGACTGAAGGGACTCTAAGGATCATCTAGTCCAACCCCTGCAATGCAGGAATATGCAGCTGTTCCTTACGAGGATCAAACCTGCAACCTTGGCATTATCGGCACCATCCCTGATCTGGAGCAAGTCCTGCCATGGTAGGATACTCTTCACTTGACTTGAATTATTTCTCTTTCAAAATCATGTGGGATAAGGCTTATCAACATCTTCCAAGGTAAACCCTTCCATTGTTCAGCTGATTGGTTTTAAGGGGGGTAGGGACTTACCGTAGATTGAGAGGCAATACAAACCACTGCTAGAATTAGAAAATGTTTGCTGCTGTCGTTAGAAAGTATTACTAGTTGGCCTCTTTTGAGTAGATCTAGAGATCAGTTCTTCCATTTTTGGGTGGGGGAAGTGAAGACAGATGGATATCTAATATGAAATGAAACTGGCTTAACAGCAGGGAAATGATTCACTTTTTCTGCCCTGAAGAATTCTGTAAGCATGTTGACTATTGTTTTGGTAGACTGAATCCTAGCTGTACATCTTAGACCCATAAAACTGTCATGTAAATTGAAAGCCGGGTTAATGATGAATAGTGGTTGGCATAATTGTATGCTTCCTGGTCCATACTTTCCCAGAGATGAGTGCACACCTAGGTGCATGTGCATCTTCAGTCTGGAGTAGATGTGAAAGTGATTCTTCAAACATGGAACACATGGAAAAGGAAGTTAATTGTCCCAATCAAAACAGTTTTCATTCTGAGCATTCTAGAAACATCGGTTTCTTCAGTAACAAAGTTGGGTGCTGTTTAGGAATGCTAAAATATGTTGCAAACCACTTGTCTGAGGTTGAAAATCCAGTGAAATATTATTCTGACATGGAACTTGGAAGTAACAGGTCATTGGAAAGTCACTGGTGACTTGCTCATCGGTGAAGTCTGGAATTCCCCTCCATCAAGGGATGACCTGGCAGTTGCCTAGAGGTACCCATCAAAAACAATGAATCACATGTCCTAGTTATCACTATTCACATCTTCTCCTGAACAGGAAGGGATAATGCGTACACACATACACACCACTGGGTATTAAATATAAATCATTTGGGGGCTCAAAAGCAGCATTCAAAACTCCCATTGTTCTAGGCGCATTTTGCGACATGGAATTTCATTAGCGCGAGCAGTTCCTGAGCTCTGGGCACAGTCCTGTGCCTAAGATTTCGGATTAAAACTGCAGAGTGGAAGGAAAGGAGGACCGTTTCTGCCTCCCCACTTCCAGCTACTCTCTGAAGATAGGAGAAGAGACCCTCTTAAGAATAATAGGGGGGTGGGCAGGGGAAGGACTAGACCATGTTTCTAACACAGCTCGAAAGAACAGGTACGAAAAGGAATGCACACATTTCCCTAGATAAAGAAGGAAATGAACAGCTTGTGTGTTCTATTGTTCTAGGACTAGATGAGGTCTGAAATGATGCTTCAGTCCTAAATGTGTGTCTCTGTCTGTGGGAGCAGCTCTGAGCAGTTTGCTGTGTTTGACATGTAGCTTTTCAGCATCTTTCTAGCTAACAGACCCAGTCCAGATGTTGTGCATTCTTTTGGACCAGAATGCAGCCTGCTGATCAACTCTCCTATCTTTCAGTTTTATACTCATCTAATGTTACTGGTAGAAGGGTCTGGGGGATCCCCTCCAGACATCCTTTTTATTGTGCATTCATGATGGCATCAGGGTGGTTCTGTGCAATCCCACTTTCCATACTCCAAAGGTTTTGGGGAGGTCACAACTGTTTTATTTCCAGACTGTGCATGTCCCATAGCATCCTGCTGAAATCTTGGGCTGGTTTTCTCTTTTGTTGCACTGTAGTGCAAGAGTGCCCTTCCAGATGCAGTAACATTAGGAAAGCATTGCAGAACAACTAATACAGATGAAATATGTGTGGATGGTCCAGTATAAACCCACCATAGGGATACAGGTGGTGCTGTGGACTAAACCACTGAGACTCTTGCTGACTGGAAGGTCGGTGGTTCGGATCCCCGCAATGGAGTGAGTTCCCGTTGCTCTGTCCCAGCTTCTGCCTACCTAGCAGTTCGAAAGCACACCCATGCAAGTAGATAAATAGGTACTGCTGTGGCAGGAAGGTAAATGGCGTTTCCGTGCACTCTGGCCACATGACCCAGAAAGCTGTCTGTAGACAAAAGCCAGCTCCCTCGGCCTGAAAGCAAGATGAGTGCCGCAACCCCGGGACTGGACTTAACCACCCAGGGGGTCCTTTACCTTACCTAAACCCACCATTAATGTGCTATTATTGTGCCAATGCCATATATTTGTGCCAAAAAAATTTTTTTTGGGGGGGAGGGGCCTGAGAAGGAAGTGCAGTGGAGAACATCTGGAATTGCAGTGATTTTAACTAGATTTATCAGAGGGAGAGGTGATTCTGAGTTCTGCCTGCCTGAGTCTCTGCAATCTGTAGGAGTAAGTGCTGTTGTGCGGTGCCCATTCATTTGTGCTGGAAAACTGCCCTGGTGCATTTTGTGTGAGGAGATTAGATTGGCTTTCTTGGTCATTCATGAAACCCTAGGTTGAGTACTTATTATTGGTTTGCTAATGAGCACCAGTCTTTTTGGGAGGAGTACACAAGCTGAGTTCCCTGAAGTGACCTGATTTAATCCAGCTGCCTCTCTTTCCTTTGATAGACTTCTAAAGGAACACACATGCTATTTTTAAAGCCACTTCTACTAATGACTACACTTTAAATTTTATTTCTGGCATGAATTTAGGAAATTTGAATGGCTATCTAAAGATCTATTGTTTCCTGCGCTGCCCACTATACAGCTCGGTTTGTAGCTGACGCTTTTATATCTGGTGGAGAATCTCAGGTGACCTCACTTCCTCAATGCTTCTGGCCTCCTGTTGCATAGCCAAGCTGGAAAGCCTCCTGATGATCTCTCGCTTCAGCTGGTGTTAAAACCCTTCACAAGTTTCCTTGAAAAGTCGGCACCTCTCTTCTGATTCCTCTAAGCTAGTGGCTGTAGTCCAGCGGGTGTATTTAAAATGAGCTATTTGGAACTGCTTGCTAGAATGAGTTAGTCAGAAAGCCTTTCCCGGAACTTCTGGAAGCAGCTTGTGGGTGTGAAGCCATCTCCCTGACACTCAGTTTTTATTATGTGTAGGGTGTTTTTGCACTGGGGGAGCTTTCAAACATGCAGCGCTTCACTTGTATCTCGAACTGGTTCAGTGCAGATTCACAATTTTATGTTGCTGGTTTGATAAATTGGTCTTGGCGATGTTCAGGCCTGAAGATATGGTGGTGCTTCTGACTGGAGAGGTGACTCTTTTCTCATCCTTTCATGATTTGATGGTCAGTGATATTAATAAAGCAGCCTTCTCTAAACAGGTATTCTGTAGAGGTTTCAGGCTATAACTCCCATCAACTCCTACCAGTGTGTTCCCTACTCCATAGTTACAGGTAATGGAGACTTGGAACCCTATGATGCAACCTTCAAAGCATTCAAAGAACCAGAAATCTAATGGACCCCCCCCCCACTCCAACCCCACCATGGCAACTCCACAAGAGGGAGGTGGTCTAAACCACAGAGCCTAGGGCTTGCTGATCAGAAGGTCAGCAGTTTGAATCCCTGCGACGGGGTGAGCTCCTGTTGTTCGGTCCCAGCTCCTGCCCACCTAGCAGTTCGAAAGCACGTCAAGTGCAAGTAGATAAATAGGTACCGCTCCAGTGGGAAGGTAAATGGCGTCTCCGTGCACTGCTCTGGTTCGCCACATGACCTGGAAGCTATCTGCGGACAAACGCCAGCTCCCTTGGCCTATAGAGCGAGATGAGCACGCAACCCCAGAGTCATCCGCGACTGGACCTAACGGTCAGGGGTACCTTTTGGAAGTACTGTACCCTAGGTGTGTGTAAGGAGATCTGTTTAACACTGTGCAGCAACTTGAAAAGCCACTCCTAAATTATAAGCAACATTTCCAGGGAGGGGACCCCAGCTATTAGGATCTGCTTTAGTTTCTTCCATCTCTTGAAATGCACATTGCTAATGAATTGATTTTGCTGGGGGGGGGCAGAGAGTAGTTCTAGGAGCTAATTCACACAGCTAGGGCTGGTTCACAAATACTTCCTAGCCTAAATGATGTAATGTTGTCCACCTTTTGGGATGTCACAGATGATTTGGAGATGTTTTGCTGAACTGGTCCTGCCATGTAGGAGCATAGATTCATATCTTATGCTTAGCTCTGGGGGAGCGTCTTGAAATGGTCTGCTCTCGACTGCTGCCTAGTCCATTTCTGTAATGGATGTCCTTTTGTTTTGAAGGATTAATATAATGATCCATATTCATCTTGGCTCTAAACACAATTAATGCCTCACATTTTGAAGCATTATGGCACCATATGGCAAGCCACCCAACTCATAATGTCCCCTAATCTTCAGATTTCTGCTTAGCAACCTTAAAGATCAGGCCATTGTTGTCGTTCAGAGTCTCACCAGTGTGCTTGCTATCCATTGCTAAATGAGGTATGTACTTGAGGAAAACTACAAACAAATCAAACTGTGGTCATGTGATCCGAAGTGTGATCATAGCATAAGACAGGGAAGTGGGAAGTTTTGAGATCTAATTCTGTCTCTGATGTGCATTCCCCTTAGGAAATTTATTCAAACCTCTGTTGTCATCAACTTCCCCTTTAGTAATATGAAGTTGAGATTTAGTGTATCTCAATCTGAGAAAATGTTTTTGAAAAATTGGCTTCCGAGAGTGCTGTTTGTGATGCTCCAAATGTACAGCTATTGGTAGGACTATTTCCAGACTAGGAAACAGCTATTCGCCTGGTTACCTGAAGCAAGCAACAGTCTCCTGGGTAACAAGACAAGGAAGCCATAGCTGGGTTCTTCCAACATGCTCTAACATGGGGCTACTTTTGAAAACCTTACAAAGCTTCACCTGGTCCAGAATGCAACCGCAATGACGTTGTTGGGTATGCACACTTATCCCATTCCACCAACATCTGCACTGATTACCAGTTTGCTTCTGGGCACAAAGTTTGGGTGACTGTCTTTTATCGAAGTCCTAAATAGCTTCGGTCCAGGATACCTTGGGGATCATCCTGCCTGCTCCCTAAGATCAGAAGGAGAGGTCCATCTCCTTGTCTCACCTAGGATGAGAACGTATATGAATGAGACAAGAGAGAGTGAGCCTTCTTGGTGGCTCCACCTATATTATGGAACACCCTGCTCCACAGAGTACAGTTGGCTCCTGTGCTGTTTTTTTGCTGGTTGTCAAATACTGCATTATTCCAACAGGTTCTCATCGTATGTGGCAGATAATGTTTCCCCCCCTTAGTTTTAATTGCTGATCCTGCCTCCTTGGCTGATAGTTTAATGTTTTTGTTTATTTGAAATCTCCATTTAAAATGTTGGGGAGCCAAGGGCCACGTTCCCTTCTGGAAACTCTTTCAAGGGCCATGTTCAAGTAGTAGGTGGGGTCAGAGGCAAAGGTGGGCGGAGCAAGACATGTAAATGCTATCTTTTGCTCATTGGCCAGTTTCTGGACATACTTGTACAGACCTCCCCTAAAGTTTGCCAAAAAAAAGTATGTGTTTAGGGATTGATTCCCGTAATTCTCTGGCCACCTAAATTATTTCAAGGGCACAGTGGTGCAGTGCAGCAGGTTTTTGAAAGTCAGGCCTGATTGAGATTAGCTCAATTTCATAACACTTTGAAGGAAACAGTTTTCTCATCTTCTGTCTTCAGAGTACTAAATTGTAATCAAACTCTTAGGAACATCGGAGCAGCAGCCTTATACATAGCCAGAGAGTTGGTCCATCTAACTCCCTACTGTCTACACCAGGGCTAGCCAACAAGATGCCCTACAGATGATGTTGGACTTCCAACACCCTTCGCCCCAGCCAGTGCGGCCAATGGCCAGGAATTATAGGAGCTGGAGACCCAACAACATCTGAAGAGCACCATGCTGCTACTCCAGGTCCATAATGACTGGCAGCGGCTCTCTAGGATTTCAGGCAATGGTTTCTCCTAGCCCTACCTGGCGAAGGTGAGGGTTGAACCCAAGCCCTTCTCTGTGCAAAGCAGATGCTCTGAAAATGAGCTACAGCCCTTTCCTCTTACTCTCTCTCTCTCTCTCTCTCTCTCTCTCTCTCTCCAGTTCTTAACCAGATGACCTTGCATCAAAAACCCAGCTTCATCACCAGATTACACAAGTCATTAGGTGAATCTGCACCATTATGGTCCTGCAGCTATAGCCTTGCCCTCGTGGTGGTTTGAACCAATCCTATCGTGCATTGTCAGTAGCGCATGCCAGTAATAGGCGAGGCCATACCTGGCTTATGCCTCACCATGTTGCTCATGACAAACTACTTCCCCCCACTATGTTGCTAACTCATGAAATACAAATAATGTTTGCTTTGGGCTAGTCATTCTGATGTTGAGGTTCAGTCCACTTTTTTTCATCTCGTCGGCTACTGTGAGAACAGGATGTTGGACTAGATGGGCCATTGGCCTAATCCTGCAGACTTTCCTTATGTTCTTACGCCAGAGTTGCTGGATCCGAAATGGATATCAGAAGCAGTGGGAGTCCTAAATCTCTCACTTTCCTTCCTTGGGCATGGCACACGGATGCCCTTAAGAGTTGCAGAACCCAAAGGAGAGGGGTATAAATTTCTTATCAGAGCCATCTGGGCTGCCTTAGGTGTGATGCTGGAAGGGAGTTGCAAATGAAAAGAACAGCATGCATTCCAATCACTGCCTGGAGAAGTTCTGTTCTGCGTTTCTGTCTTCCAGATTGTGCATAGGCTTCAGGTGCCTTCAGATTGCTGCTGCAGTCATCATCTGCTTGGTGGGTGGCCTCTCGGGTCTTGGGAAGCTGCTGCCAGGATTGCTTGAGAGGCACCCCAGTCAGATGAATTGTGGGGAGGCAAGGGAGATGGGGTGGAGTTGCGAAGAAAACCTGGGAAAGGATATTCCTTGAGCACCAGCTTTTGTGTGCAACACTGTGCACTTGCTGGGAGGTGGCAGCAGGGCAGCAAAATCTTGAGTGCCTACAGGACCTGATTCTCAGCATAATGGCTAAGAGCCTGAGGGTTGTCTCATCTAATGCTAGTCCTACTCAGACTAGACCAGATGAAGTTAATGTACCATAAGTTAGTCGTGTCCATTAATTTCAGTTGGTCTGCTCTGAGTAGGGCTAGCATCTCAGCTACAGAGTGGGAAGTCCCTAGTCTAAACCAGGGGTTGGCAACCTAACACCCATGGGCTGGTAGCAGTCCACGGGGCTTGTCTATCCGGCCCATGGGGAACCCTGCTGCCCTCCGCCCTTAGCGGCGCAGTGTGGGGACCGGCTTCCGGGTTGATGGCGCCTGTTCACGGGCGCTTCTCCGACCCGGATGTGCACCAGAAATAGCGTGTGCACACACGTGCGGGATGGAGAAGCGCCCATGCACATGCGCACATGCTACTGTGGTACCTCAGGTTAAGAACTTAATTTGTTCTGAAGGTCCGTTCTTAACCTGAAACTGTTCTTAACCAGAGGTACCACTTTAGCTAATGGGGCCTCCTGCTGCTGTGGTGCGATTTCTGTTCTCATCCTGAAGCAAAGTTCTTAACCCGAGGTACGGTACTATTTCCGGGTTAGCAAAGTCTGTAACCTGAAGTGTCTGTAACCCGAGGTACCACTGTATTTCCAGCACACATCTTGGTCGGAGGAGCACCGTAAATAGCGTGTGCGCACGGGCACTCCTCTGACCTGGAAGAGCATGTGTGCGCACATGCTCCGGCCCATCCTCTGATGTACAGAGCATGGACTGGCCCATTGTCTGGTAAGCTTGCCTACCCCTGGTCTAAATCGCGCTTCTGCTATGAGCAGGTAGCTTCAGGCAGTGCTTGAATTACAGGAAGGGATATCATTTTTTTATTGTCCCCCTTCAGCTGCTGCTTCAGAAAGTGACATAGTATGATTTGTGCCCTCCCTCCCCCCCATTCCTGCTCAAGAGCTCCCCTGTCTGGACCTTTGCACCATACACTGTGATGGAGGGCAGCCAAGTCTGCTCTACTGGTCAAGAGCCTAAGAGTGGAGGTGTCTTGGGTTGCATTTGGCACAGTGTTTAGAAACTGAGATATGAAAGCTAGGAACTAAATGGCATCTTCAGCTTAGATTATGGGCATTGCAATGGAGTGTCTAGGTGTGCTTTTTTTATAACAAGAATACAAAGATGAAAATGAATGAAGTCGAGCTAAAATATTACGTTCATTTTTTACACGGTTTAGTCCTCATTTGAAGACTGCCAAAAACAAAGCCATATTTCCCCTGCCCGTCTGCCCCTAATATTCTTATGAGGGTCCCTTCTCCTGTCTTAAGAGAGTGGCTGGAAGTGGGGAGGCAGAAGAAGGGCCTCATTTCCTTCTCGCAGTGGCAGTTTTAATCTGAAATCTTAGGTACAGTACTGCACCCAGAGCTCGCATTAATGAAATTCCATTGCAAAACTTGCCTAGGACAATGGGAGTTTTGAGCACTGATTTGGCACATATCTACATGCAAGGCATATGTTCATAACTCTTGGTTACAGCCCCCACTCCACCCTACCCCAGGCTTTCCAACCTTCCACACTTCATTTTCTGTGTTGGATATGCGGGCTTACTATTTAAACTCTGCACAGCCTCAAACTGGGCATCCTGCAATCTCCCAGGGCAACCAGACAACTGGGGTCAGCCAAAGCCATTTTGCTACCTGAGATGGAGCAGAAAATGGCAGCAACTCTCCCAAAGTCACGGTGGATAGTACCCAAGGTCAGGCTGGTTAGCTGAGGCATGCAACTTGACAAACATCTCCTCCCCTCCCAGGCAGTGAAAATGCAAGAGTAACAGCTAACACTTTGCTACCTTCTCATGTTCTTTAAAGTCAGTTGCCCAAGGCAGCTGCCTAACTCTCCCTAATGGTAGGGTCAACTCTCACGTTCCTTCAAATAGTTTTTTTTTTTTTTTTAAAGTTTTAATACAGGGGTATAGAACATTTTTGTACCAGTGGGCCAATCTTTTATCACCCATCACCTTGTAGGCCAACTTAGGCAGGCGGGCAGGGACATCCTTGTGGCATCATAATGGCATCAACTATCATCAAAGTTACAGGGTCGCGGGTGGCGCTGTGGGTAAAAGCCTCAGCGCCTAGGACTTGCCGATCGAAAGGTCAGCGGTTTGAATCCCCGCGGCGGGGTGCGCTCCTGTCGCTCGGTCCCAGCGCCTGCCAACCTAGCAGTTCGAAAGCACCCCCGGGTGCAAGTAGATAAATAGGGACCGCTTACTAGCGGGAAGGTAAACGGCGTTCCGTGTGCTGCGCTGGCTCGCCAGATGCAGCTTGTCACGCTGACCACGTGACCCGGAAGTGTCTGCGGACAGCGCTGGCTCCCAGCCTCTAGAGTGAGATGAGCGCGCAACCCTAGAGTCTGTCAAGACTGGCCCGTACGGGCAGGGGTACCTTTACCTTTTTATCATCAAAGTTGGCTCATGGGCTTGCAGCTGATTCACAGAGAGTTCAATCCTGCTTTTGGCAGGGATCAGCCTGCACCACTACCTGCCTCGCACCTGGTATCACATAGGGCATCAGGTGTGGAGCAGGTGGGTGTGGCTTTTTGGGAAATGACCTTGCAGGCTAAATAGGAAGGCTGGGAGGCCGAAATGTGGCCCAAAGGCCAGGGTTCACCACCCCTGCTTTAGTTACAGTAGTTTTGGGACAGTGACACCCCACATCTAGGGGTAGCAGGCTAGCTTAGGGGATGCAGGCCAGGCCACGTGATGCATACAATTCAGTCGTCCAACAGTTTGCTCATCCGCCATCCGGCATCTGACGCCTGAGGCAGCCGCTTCACTCTGCCTAATGGTAGATCGCCCCTCACACCAACAATGAGAAAAGAAGTTTCAAAAGTCTCAGGATATGTCCTGGGTAGAGTGAAAGGCTATCATTGCACTTACCAGTACAGTCATACCTTGGAAGTTGAACAGAATCTGTTCCGGAAATCTGTTTGACTTCCAAAACATTCAGAAACCAAGGCACGGTTTCTGATTGGCTGCAGGAAGCTTCTGCAGCCAATCAGAAGTCGCACTGGACGTTTAGATTTCAAAAGAACATTCGCAGACTGGAACACCCACTTCCAGGTTTTCTGTGTTCAGGAACCAAAACGTCTGAGTGCCAAGGCTTCCAAGGTACAATTGTATTGAAGAGTATTCGAATGCTGATATGGGGAAAGCAAAGGTGTGAGCCGAACTTTTCCATATTGTGAACAATTTTATTCAGGGGTTAATAGGAGCGCTCAAGAAAGGAAGTCCTAGAGTGGAACATGGATCAAGGTTGGCTGTGCTGTCTTGCAGTGGGGGAAACTGGTCTGGCTCTGACTCCAGACTTGCACTATTTACCCTTCAGAGTTGAGACTAAACATTCTGGAGTGTTTAGCCTGTGAGGTACAAAAGCAAGGAGAAATCCTTTGCTTTACAAGGATAGAGTTTTGCTACGAGAACTAGGGGAAAATATTATGCTGCTCCCTTACAAGTAAGCATCTTGTACAGAACTGCTGATTGGATCAAGTGGCAGCTAGGCATTCTGTATCCGGGGCCCTTCATTAGGGAAAGAAACACTGTTTCTTCAACAACTCATTTAGCAGCATAAATTAAGTGAATTTGCCAACGTTCTGCCCGGACACTGAGGTCCAGCTCTGAGGGCCTTCTGGTGGTTCCCTCACTGCGAGAAGCCAAGTTACAGGGAACCAGGCAGAGGGCCTTTTCAGTAGTGGCGCCCTCCCTATGGAACGCCCTCCCATCAGATGTCAAGGAAATAAACAACTAACTGACATTTAGAAGACATCTGTTTAGGGAAGTTTTTAATGTTTGATGTTTTATCGTATGTTTAATATTCTATTGGAAGCTGTCCAGAGTGGCTGAGGAAACCGAACCAGATGGGTGAGGTATGTATGTATGTATGTATGTATGTATAAATAAATAAATAAATAATATTAATTAAATGCTTGGTCATGCAAATCAAGGCTCTGCTTGGAAGACCTACAACACAGTCCTTTGCATGTTTACTCAAAAGTAAATCACATATTCAATGGGGCTTTCTCCAAGGTAAGTGTGCATAGGATTGTAGCTATAGATTCTGGTTTCGTCATCGGTTCCTGGGTGACCTTGGCATTTCCTACCTCTGCATTTAGAGCTAATCAACAAGTACTTGTCATGGTTGCCAGTAAGAATTTGTATTGTATGTAATTAATTGTGCGACAGGGTAATATCGTGGTGCCACCCACACAGCAGTGAGTCCAGATACAACACTAAATGGAAACTATTAGCCTTGATTCTAAACTGGTGGCTTAGGGCCAAGGGGTTCCCTTGGTTAGCTAGCTTTTGTCTGAGGGTAATACTGCCAATCAAATTTGAGCAGGGTTAGAATGGCGCATTGTGCATTTGTCTTAAGATAATACAGGATGACAATGACCTGGTGATGCCATTGTGTGGATACCTCATGATAGGTAACTAAGCAAAGCATGGTTGTTGCACACTAAAGTCTAGTGTGGAAGCACCCAGACACAGATGGGTCATTGGCAAATTTCAGCAGCCAATCAAGGAGGTAAAAGGTGAAAACCGGGAGAGATTTCTAATCTCTTTCTAGTACCAAAGACAGAAACAGTGAAGGGGGAATTTGTATCTGTGTTTATGCAGGATGCTTGAACTAGTGGGACAACTAAGTTGCTATTTAATGGAGAATCTAGCCCACTGTGTTAGGTACATTGGATCTTTAGTGAGCCTTTTGTTTTTGTTAGGCTTTTACCCACGATAAGTTTTATAAACTTTTTCTTGATTACATTTTTCACAATGAACCATGCCAGGGAGCAGATTTCATTCACAGCTGGTGATTTTGACAGACTGATACACTGCTTATTGGAAATTTATATTATGAAGAAACCTTAATATGACCACCTTGGGAGTTGTCCTCTGTGCCATCAGTAATTCTGCTTTGTTAGTTGCAACACAGGATGGAAAAGTCCAATATGCAGCTAATTATCAAACGTATTGATTTGCTGCAAAGATGGGATTGGTTTGGAAATTGAAAAGCTGCAGGTCTATGGCTGAGTGGGGAGAGTTTGGCATAATAGTGAATCAGTAGTGCTGTAGAGTAAGCTTTCATGGGTGAGACTTTAAGTAATAATAATAATAATAATAATAATAATAATAATACTGTTATTTATGCCCCGCCCATCTGGCTGGCTTTCCCCAGCCACTCTGGGCGGCTCCCAACCAAATATTAAAACCTGTAAGTGACTGATAGGTAAAGGTAAAGGGACCCCTGACCATTAGGTCCAGTCATGACCAACTCTGGGGTTGCGGCGCTCATCTCGCTTTATTGGCCAAGGGAGCCGGCGTACAGCTTCTGGGTCATGTGGCCAGCATGACTAAGCCACTTCTGGCGAACCAGAGGAGCGCATGGAAACACCGTTTACCTTCCTGCCGGAGCGGTACCTATTTATCTACTTGCACTTTGATGTGCTTTCAAACTGCTAGGTTGGCAGGAGCAGGGACCGAGCAACGGGAGCTCATCCCATCACGGGGATTCGAACTGCCGAGCTTCTGATTGGCAAGTCCTAGGCTCTGTGGTTTAACCCACAGCGCCACCCCTGTCCCTTGTAAGTGATTGATAGCCAGGTGCTAAATGCGCCTGGGACCTTGCTAATTTTGAGCACTGCCAGCATCTTTAGACAGGACTGGGAAAGACTCCTATGTGAAACCTTGGAGAGTCATTGTAAGACAGCATGTAAACAATCCTGAGCTTGATGGACCAATGGTCTAACTCGTTGTAAGGCAGCTTTGTAGGAACTTGTGAGAGACTGCTGGAGCATCCAGCACATGTTTACTGGGAAGTAGGTCCTGCTGTGTTCAATGAGGCTTTCTCCCAGAGAAGTGTGCATAGGAATGCCACACAGGAAATCAGTGTAAAAATGTTATTCCTATGTTTTAATTAATATAATGGACAATTGAGTTTTAAAGCACACAGTGAGTAGGAAGTCAGCATGTGCAAGAACAAGGCTGTTCTATTTTGATGTTTGTGGGTGGTAAGTGAGAGAATGAGCACATGTGGGGCAGCTGTTAGGTAAGAAACTCATCCCAATTGGCTTTGGGCCTCTTTGTTCAGCAGCCATCTGTTTATCTCCAAAGCAGACCTACTTACCACTAGTTGCAAACTCCCAGGAAAATATTTTTTGGTGGGGAGGGGGAGGGTGATTCATGGGCCCTAGTCCACTCACTATTATAATCTACCTGGATCTCAAATGCACCTATAAGGGTTTTAATAGTACAGTGGTACCTCGGGTCAAGTACTTAATTCATTCCGGAGGTCCATACTTAACCTGAAACTGTTCTTAACCTGAAGCACCACTTTAGCTAATGGGGCCTCCTGCTGCCGCCGCGCCACCGGAGCACGATTTCTGTTCTCATCCTGAAGCAAAGTTCTTAACCTGAAGCACTATTTCTGGGTTAGCAGAGTCTGTAACCTGAAGCGTATGTAACCTGAAGTGTATGTAACCCGAGGTACCACTGTACAGCATGATGCTATTAGTCACCAGCATTTTCAGAACATGCAGAGCAAACAAGCTATCTAATGGTAGCCAATATGGTACCCTCCAAAGGCTGTTGGACTACAGCTCCCATCAACACCAGGCAGCATGGTCAATCATCAGGGATCAGCAACTTGTGGAGGGCACCATGTTGGTTATCTCTGTTCCCCAGAATACCTACCTGCCTTATCTGGAAAACAGAAGCTGTTGCCCAAACCAGCTGAGAATTTCAGTCTGTTAGTATTACTGAAGACTTTGCTGGCATGACCAGTTGTGTGTTGTTTTTCACAGCCAGGGGAAACTAACACCTTAAAGAAAATGGTAGGTTTTATCTTCCTGAGCCCATGAACTACAAAGTGCCCCTTTCAGGCCAGGGCTCTTTAGATCTCCCAATTGCTAGGCCGAAGCTCCTTTGTAGAGCGTGAGCCGAACAGCATGACGGAATAAAGAGATGTGTTGCGTGTCGATGCATGCAGTCTTTGAAGGTCCAGGGGAAACAAATTCAGCCTAAACAAAGATGTTTGTTTTTAAGACTCAAGCTAGCTAGCCTTGGCGTACAAAGCAGAGCATAATAGCAACTGCTTTCTGTAGACTATTAATAGCTATGCTAGATATCTTCAGCAAAGACTTATTAAGTCACAGAAAGCTCACAATTCTGTTGGTAGATAGGAGAGGTGCTCTCTTCCCCAAGAAAAACATGCATGCGTGCAATGTTATACCCCTAGAGATGGGGAACGTAGCAATTGGAAATGGCAAACATTTTCTCCCGTTGTTACGGGTTGAAGCTAAGACTCCACCCTTTAGTTTGTTCTCTTGGTTACTTCCAATTTCCTATGTACCTGAACGTTAGCCTGTTTAGCAATAAATTTGTTCCAGGCCCACAAAGTGAATACAGTGGTACCTCGGGTTACATACGCTTCAGGTTACAGACACTTCAGGTTACAGACTCCGCTAACCCAGAAATAGTACCTCGGGTTAAGAACTTTGCTTCAGGATAAGAACAAAATCGTGCTCCAGCGGCAGAAGGAGGCCCCATTAGCTAAAGTGGTGCTTCAGGTTAAGAACAGTTTCAGGTTAAGAACGGACCTCCGAAACAAATTAAGTACTTAACCCGAGGTACACTGTAGCTTTCTCTTATATTAAATAAGAACTTAACAGGTGAACCTTAGGCCCACAGGCCAAAGGCAGCCATTGAAGTACAGTGGTACCTCAGGTTACAGACACTTCAGGTTACGGACTCCGCTCACCCAGAAATAGTACCTCGAGTTAAGAACTTTGCTTCAGGATGAGAACAGAAATCGTGCGGCAGTGGTGCGGCAGCAGTGGGAGGCCCCATTAGCTAAAGTGGTGCCTCAGGTTAAGAACAGTTTCAGGTTAAGAACGGACCTCCAGAATGAATCAAGTTCTTAACCCGAGGTACCACTGTACGTATCTATCTGACCCTTGGCGCACTCTTCCAGGTCACCCACACCACCCCCTTCCCCTGCCCTGATCAGCACTCTTTCATTTTTTTGGCCTGGCTGGACTGTGTCCTTGAGTTCTGATAATGCTTCCTTGTTTGTATGATGGAGGAGACAAGGAAGGAAGGAACCAGCTTACTGTATAAAGGTAAAATTCACGTCTATTGTTCTGCCTACTTTCGACTCTGGCCCCATCCACTGCTGGCATATGGCCTGTGCAAGGTTACCTAGAAGGAAAAAGACCCCCCACACACACACACAACTGGAAAAGGGTTTCCCACTCCTGCTCTAGGGAGCTCTCACCCAGACATCTCTTGATTTTATGAGTGTCAAACTAGCCCAGTGGTTGGGAACCTGCACTCTGTGAGTGACATGGCCCTGGCTTCATTTCTTGAGATTCTCCTGATGGTGGCACATGGTGGGGAGTGGCACACAGCTGAGGAAGTGTTCTAGCAATAGGGTGGCACAGAAGAAAGAGAGTTTGCTGTGTGATCCTGCAGTGCTGAAAACTTCACTCACATTTGGCTCTGCCCTGGCCACCAATGGCATGTGGCCTCTGAAAGATTATTTCCAAGCAATGTGGTCCTTGACAGGGGAAAAGAAAGATTTCCTACCCTCTATCATTACTGAGCACAGATACTGACAGCTTTAAAATGACAAAATAAAAGGGCAGTTCCATCTCTTTTGATACTGTGAGGAAGGCACAGGAAGGCCTGATAATATCAGACTGGATATTGACCAATTAGCGTTTGCTTAGACATTTGATCTAATTGTAAATGGCAAGCTTCCTACTGGGAAACACAATTATATGAAGTCTAGAGGGCTCAACAGTAACACCTAAGATGTCTTTAAGATATCGTGTAAATGACTCTGAAAGCGATCTAGCAAGAATTTCCAGCAGCCAGGAAAATAAATGCAGCACTAGGGAAATATCTTATGATGACTAGCATTCTTAGCAGGGGAATTCTAGGAACCAATTTTTTGAAACTACAGGCAACTCATACAATAGGGTAGCAATAGGGTGTGCGCATCTCATTGTTCCATCAGGGTTTGAACCTATTGTGGGTCTTGAGCCTTAGAGACATTGGACAAGAATTTTCTTCTGTATATCCCCACTGAATACTGGCCCAGAAGGTAAACTACAGCATGGTTAGCCATGTCACAAGCATATTGAATACTGCAAGGACAGAGAAGGTCAAGGAGACAAGGAGATTCCTATAAAAGTTTCCAAGCCAGGCTTGTTCTGTAGTCTGTATGCAACACGTGGGGTCTCTTTTTCATGTCAGGGAACTTTTAATATCTGAATTTAAGATCGGAAAAAAATATTGGCTTATAGAAAATAGGATAGTCAGACGTTAATGATGAGCAAATGCTATATTAAGCTGAAGGACAGAGTCTTTTAATCATTTTTCATTTTCTTTTCTCTTTTTTTCTTCTTGCCTCGGTCCCTTTTTAGATTGCATTTTTAAACTATTTCTTTTATTCTGGTGTATTATGAAAAGATACTTTGTATTGGGTAGGTATTTGGAGAAGTATCAGTAAAAACAGATATTTTATTTAAAAGATACTTTGTATTGGGTAGGTCTTAGGAGAAGTATCAGTAAAAACAGATATTTTATTTAAAAAGAGAGAGAAATAATCTTAGGATGCAATTGTAAACATACTTCCAAAGAAATAAGTCCTACTGAATCTTAAGTAGAAACACGAATAGTCAATATAACTGCAATTGACAATACAATTTCAATTTATTTTAAATTATCTGTATTTATTCGTCCTGCTACATCGTTTGTCACCAGATCAGGATGGGTTGTATCCTACATAAAATGAAAAGACTGTATTCTAAATGTTTTTATCTGTCAGATTTTGCCTGTCTTCTTAAAAGATGTGCAGATACCAACCAATCAAACCAGAACTTAGTGGGTGTTAAGAAACTCCACTTTTCAGATGTTGAAAAACTGCCAATGGTGTTTTTGACATTATTAAAAGAAAAACATTATTATTACAGTGCCAAAAGGCTCCACAGTGAATACAGATAACCATAGCAAACTAGATTTGTTGATATGGATTAAAAACTGTTTGCATCTCAAGCAGCAGCGAATCTCATCCATGACTTGTACAGTCAGAATGCTGAATCACTCCTCTTAGCCAGCAAAACTTCCTGCATCTGAGAGCCGGTCTGCAAAACTTCCAGTGTGTCAGCTGCCAGCAAGCCAGTAATGACAGTTCCACACCACGCCCCCCTAGGGCTGAGCCAATGGAACAACGCCCGGTTATCTACATGTATGCAGGAAGCAGTCCTTCCTGGGGCTACACAGAGGCTGCATTGGAGGTGGAACAGCATTTCACCATGGGACTTTTACTCAGCTGGATTCAGAGTGCTTTGCAGAGTTTCTATGGGATGGAGGCTCATATTCTCCTGCTGGGCCTGGATGCAGCTGGCAAAACAACCCTCCTCTATAAGCTGAAGCTGAATGAAACCATAATGACCATTCCCACCATTGGCTTCCATGTGAAGGCCCATCAACAACGCCTTTCACCATGTGGGATGTGTGTGGTCAAGAACGGGTCAGGCCGTTCTGGAGGCATTACCAGCCCAACACAGACGGGCTGGTATTCGTGGTGGACAGCGTGGATTACGTTCGCTTTGAGGAGGCCAGGTCTGAGCTGGAAGCCCTGCTGGGTGACGAGCTTGTGGTGCTGCTGGCCAACAAGCAAGACTTGCCCGGAGCATGGCCCCCCCCCCCGAAGGTGGCAGAAAAAATGGGGCTGAGGAAACTGCAAGGCCACCAGTGGCATGTGCAGGGCTGCTCTGCCCTGACCGGAGAAGGGATCTCCGAGGCAATGGGGAAGCTGGCCGAGATGGTCAAGCTGCGTTGCAAAGCCCAGGGCACATAAGTCAGTTGGGGAGGCATATCAGGATTCCTAGATATAGTAGAGTAGGGGTCAGCAAACTTTTTCATCAGGGGGCCGGACTATATTTTGAAAATATAGCTCCCAGGCGGTGTGCGCCACGCGCTGCGACCCATTGTCCGAGGCCGGGTCAGCGGGCAGGCCGTGCACGCGGAGCGCTGGGCAGGTGGCACACAGCTTGCCCTCCAGCTGCTCCAGCGTGGCCGCCAAGCTCGCCACCAGCAGCAGCACCAAGCCAGGCATGGTGGCAGCAGGCGCACAAAGCTCTGGCTGAAGCCCCGTGACGCGCCCTTCACAATGCCCATGGCGCGGCCCAGACCTGCCACCCGCCCACTGACCTCTCTGTTCATGGCTGCGCCAGGTTTACCTCAGCGGCGCCAGTGTCACCGCCCACACAGAAGCCGTGCTAGTGTCATGGAAATCAGTCCCTGTGCGGCAAGGCATCCGCAGTGCATGGGGACTAACCGAGCGGGCGGCAGGGTCCATGGGCCAGATTTATGAGCCTGGGGGGCCACATCCGGCCCCCGGGCCTTAGTTTGCCAGCCCCTGTAGTGGAGCATGAGACTCTTACTCTCAGGTTTGTGGGTTTGAGCCCCACATTGGGCAAAAGATTACACTGCAGGCGGTTGGACTAGGTTACCTTTGTGGTCCATCCCAATTTCTTGGATTCTTGCATGGAGGACACAAGATCCTGCTTCTTGGTTGCTTGTTCTGGCTGAGATGCCCTTGCCAAGGTTGCTTCAACTGCACAAGGTCTATATGGAACACTATCCCGTTTACCAACTGCTGCCATGGGATTTTGGAGAAGGCACACATGCTGTTGTTTCTTGGACACTGAATCCGGTGTACAGTTCACAGGACTTTCGTGATATGTAGTTTGGACCAATAAAGGCATTGGCCTAATTTGGAATGTCTCTTATGGGCCGACATTGCTGCTTTTGCTTTTTATTCAACGTATCGTTAGCCAGAATACATAACCAAAAAAAGAAAATTCATGGACTTCAAAACCTGAATAATCAGCCCCACCAATATCATCTCTGGATCCTTGGCTATTTGAGTGCTTCTGCAATGTAAACAAAAGTTTATAATTTTGCCTTCTACATCCCCACTTGTTCTGTTTGGGAACTGGAAAGGCCCCTTCCTCCCCTCTCATTTTATACCTATAGCCTACCTGATTTCTTTATCTTCTTTAATAACTCAGCATTTTGCCACTTTGGTTTTATAATGTTTTATTACTGTTGTGTCCAAGCTTTTGCGAACCGTTTAAATTTCTTTCAATGAAAAGAAAATATACGAAAAAGGATCTATGAGGGGGGAACAATTATCTACATTGAGAATAAGGGTGGGAGGAGAACCTGCTGAGGAGGGGGCAGATTCGGCCTCCAAGGAATGTGCAGCAGTGGACAGTGCATTCCTTGGAGGCTGGATCGGCTGCCCCTCTGGATTCTGCCGCCTGAGGCATTCTCCTCACCTTGCCTCATGGGTAGGCCGGCCATGCTACTCGTCGCAATGGCTGTGTTCACCCGCCAGTGTTGAAGGTAGTGCGTGTCTGTGTACCAGAGTGCCGACTGGTGATAACTGCATAGCTGTCAACCTTCCCTTTTTTTGTGGGAAATTCCCTTATTCCAGCACCGTTTTCCGCTGCTTCCTGCTGCTATCCCAGATTGTTAGATATCCCATAGACTGTCCCCGGGACTGGTGAGGCTGCTGATCCCTTATTTTCAAATCTGAAAGTTCACAGCTATGGATAACTGTGGCAAGATTCAGGTAGAGCTGTGTCGTCGCGTGTGTTTGTTTTTCTCTGTGACCAAACTGTGATGAATAGGCTGCAGACAGCCTCCTCTGTGTCAGAATCAGGCCTGACTTCCTGCGGTGTGACTAATGTGTAGGGAAGAGAAGGAGAGATGAAGAGAGAATCAAGGTGGGGCTCTTGTTATGAAGGATTGCTGGTGGAGAACAAATGGATTCAGTGGAGCAGGGGAGTGCCTGGTGGTCCTCTTCATTTTCTGCCTCTCACCCTAAGGACAAGCCTGTTGTTGCTTTTTAAGGATGAAGGAACTGTGTGAGGATGAGGTTCATGCATCCATCTTTTATCTGTGAGGGGAGAGTTAAGCCTATAGATCTCTCCCCCCCTTTCTCTTTTTCTTTCTATCTTTCCCTCGATCTCTGGACAGGTTCTCTGTCCTGGAAGACCACCACATCCTTTCTCATCACTGTTGCCATTTTTCATGCATCTCTTTCCAGCTGGAGTAACAAAGGTGGGTGTGCCATTGTTTGCAAGTGCTGGAGTCCACACACACACACACACACACACACACCCCTCCATCCTTCGCCCCGCTGACATTCTGTGCAAGCTGTTGTATTTCAGCGTTTGTTTCCAGTCACTTTTTACAGGAGATGTCACGAAATGGATTAATCCCTTTCCTTTTAAAGGGGGGTGGGGGGAGTCAGTCAGAGCATCCTAAGGATTAACCCAATAAGGGTATTGCCGGGGGGGGGGTAAACCATCCAGCAGGAATCCTCAGGAAGGCAGTCGCCCTGTTAAGTTGGTGCTGTCAGAAAGATAATATTTGCATTCAACTAGGATTTTGCCCACAAGGGTTAATCTTACCATTTGCCCTCTGTCCTTTCTTTAAATTAAAACAGCGATCTGAAGCATGGTCAGTAAGCCCTCTTTGTCTGTGTGGGTTCTACCTTAAACCATCATTAAGTACCCCCTGCCTTGTTTCTGTTAACAAAGAGCTGTCATTAAAAGGTAAAAGGGATGCGGGTGGCGCTGTGGTCTAAATCATGGAGACTCTTGGGCTTGCCGATCGGCTGTCATTACAGCTTATTGATGAGGGTGGAATCCAAAGTGGGGAATCCAGGGCAGAATGGGTGGCATGTAGGACGGTCTTTGCTTCTTGAGATACTTCAGAATGTCCATTGCTTGTAGACAGGGTAATCTCTTAAATTTATTTATTTTTAAATACTTGCAAAGCCATATGACTTTTAAAACAAAACAAAATTTCAGAAACTAGGCACAAATACATAAAGTTCTATATCCCACAATAAATGTGCCTTAGGGCATTTATTAGAAATCGTCATATTTCTAATTAATCCAGGTTGTACCTTATCACCGTTGTGTTTCCTCATATTAAATCAAAGCAATATTGCCTTCTTGGAAATAAAGCATTCTGGGTACAAAATCCTATGCATGGTTTCGACTTATTTATAAATATATCTAACGTTCGGTGCATTTTCCTCAGCCTTATATGGTTTGCCAATTTAGCCATTACAGCTTGCTCCCATATTTTATTAATCCGCTCCCATCCATTCATCTTTGGTATTTTTAGTTGCTTCCAATATTTAGCATGTAGCTTCTGAGCAGCTGCTAAAATAAAAAAAGGAAAATATTTAAAACTGGTTAATTATGTAGTATCTTTTATATAGGGTGACAGAAATAATAATGGATGTATTTCAATATTTTTTTTAATGCAAATTTTAAACTGGCCATTGCCTAGAACTGTTGCCAGCTGGCTGAGTTTCTTTTTATTTGGCTGTCTTTGGATTCAAATGCATGTGCATTCATACATAAAGAGACATACTCAATGTACATCCTTGGTGAGACGATTTTGAGGCTGCTGGGTGGCGACTCTGCTTAGGAACCAGATATCTTTTTCTGCGCTGATCTTTTGCGGGTGCTAAATTTAATAAAATGCTTACTCGTGCTGAAATATATAAAAAAGCAGAAGGTTGGTAGTACAGAACACAGCAGATTGACATATTGGATGATTATGAAAATCAGTTTCTTATGACAATCTGTAATGAGTTTGTGTGTGTTTGTGTGTCGGCTGCACCCTAATCTGATTGCCACATGGTATTGAAGTGAACAGCTGGTCCTCAGGCGTGCATGGAAAGCTAGCAGAATGTTGGCATCTCTATTCTTTCTTACATGGTGTTGCACTAGAAAAACAAAACCCAAGTCCAATTAAACATTTCTCTCCGATAAGCATATGTAGACTGTGTTTTCTTATCATAATTTCTGCACCCTTTATATATTTATTCGCTCCTCAGCCAAATGCCTCTGGGAAGCACACAAACAGAACGTGAAGGCAACAATCTCTCCTCCTTGGTTGTTTGTCTCTAGCAAGTGATATTCTGAGGGATCCTGTGTTAGCCAGGCCCTACCAAGAGGCAAAGTGTGTTGGCTGCCTCACAAGAAGCCAGTCTGTGAATTCTGGAATCTTTTGAATCTAGCCTTGTTGTTGTTGTTGTTGTTGTTATTGTTTAGTCATTTAGTCATGTCCGACTCTTCGTGACCCCATGGACCAGAGCACACCAGGCACTCCTGTCTTCCACTGCCTCCCGCAGTTTGGTCAAACTCATCCTGGTAGCTTTGAGAACACTGTCCAACCACCTCATCCTCTGTCGTCCCCTTCTCCTTGTGCCCTCAAACTTTCCCAACATCAGGGTCTTTTCCAGGGAGTCTTCTCTTCTCATGAGGTGGCCAAAGTATTGGAGCCTCAGCTTCACAATCTGTGCTTCCTGTAAGCACTCAGGGCTGATTTCCTTCAGAATGGATAGGTTTGATCTTGTTGCAGTCCATGGGACTCTCAAGAGTCTCCTCCAAAACCATAATTCAAAAGCATCAATTTTTCAGCGATCAGCCTTCTTTATGGTCCAGCTCTCACTTCCATACATCACTACTGGGAAGACCATAGCTTTAAACTATATGGACCTTTGTTGGCAAGGTGATGTCTCTGCTTTTTAAGATGCTGTCTAGTGGCAATTACTAGATGTTCTCCATGAATTTCCTCCGTTCATCTTTCTCGAAGCCGTCTAAGCTATCGTCATATCTTACAGTAGCAAATTCTACAAACAGGTTATGCCTTCTTATCTATCCATCAAGCAACGGATCTACCAAGCCAGCAGCACCCTTGAACTGGGCTTGAACGCTGCCAAAATTTGTCCTCTGTTTCCTTGAAAGCTTTCCTCCTCTGAGAAAGAGGCTTCAGTTTTATTGCCTCATTGTCAGGGTGCTTGAGCATTTCTTCAGAATTTAATAGGGCAGTTCGGCACCATTCAATGCACATTTAAAGCACATGGCACCCCCACCCCCCAAGAATCCTGGGAACTGCAATTTGTTAAAGGTGCTGGAAACGATAGGTCTGTGAGAAGGAAGCTACAGTTCCCGGGATTCATTGGGGGAAGTCATGTGGTTTACAGTAAATGTGTGTTGGGTGTGCTTTAGCTTTATAGTCTGGAGCTGTCCCAGGTAACCTCCTGTGCTCTTGCACATAGGAAGCTGCCTTGTATCAGGTCAGAATACCTGTCAGTCTAGCCCACCACTGTTGCCTGTTTGCTCTGAATGACAACAGCTCTCCAGCGTCACAGGCAGAGACCATTCACATCTAATCCTTTTAACTGGAGAGACCAAGGATTGATTCTGAAACCTTCTGCAAGCAAATAATAGAACTGTAGTGTTGGAAGGGATCCTGAGCATCATCTAGTTGAACCCCCTGCAATTCAAGAATCTTTTGCCCATTGTGCGGCTCAAACCCACAACCCTGAGATTAAGAGTCTCGGGCTCTACTGAGCTATCCCAGTGCATAACAAGTCAGTTATAGTCGCTCCCTTAAGGAGGACCCTGCCCAGAGTTCCCTGGGATGAAGTGCAAAGTCTGAAATATTAAAGCAAAAATGACCCAGTACCGCTCTGCTTTTCCACTGAACCTCATTTAATGAAACTACTTAAAAGGTTTGCCTGAGGCAAACAAAGAATGAGGAAAGTGTGGCTCTCTCAGACAATGTTGCGTTGGCACATGAGTGTGTGCTTTTGTGCAAGGTACATTTCATGCTTACAAATACAAGGTTCCGTGTCCAAGGTATCATCAAGTGGTAGAGATTGGGACTGACATGATCTTGATCTCCCCTCCGCCTCACATGTTGACTATTTGTGCTTTGGGAACATCTGCACAAGCCTCCTGGTTTGATTACTTCAGATCCAGCATCAGATTCCCAATTTTTCTACTACCAGAAGGACAGGATCCTACCATCATGGCCTGCATCTGGCCATTGCAGTGTTTCCCCTCTTTTATCTGTGTCAAAACCTTAACCCCACCTGTATGTCTCAGACAAATGGGTCCTGATTTACCTCCCCAATTACATGCCCCCTTACAAAGTACGAGGGGGTGACATTTAGGTGCCTCTCTGATTTTTTTCCAGGGATAGTTCTGAATTGATCGATAGGCTAAAATACTCATTTTATGACACACCTTTGCTGTGTTGTGTGAGAATATTTCCTTGCTGAAATCAAACACTATGGACCTGAGGTATGAATGTCTGCTCTAGAAACTCCACATCAAATTTTACCTTCCTCCCTCTTATGCCCTGCTACTTCTCCACAGAAGGACCATGGTCATAGCTGTCAACCGTCCCTTATTTGGCCAGAAAGTCCCTTATCCCAGTGCCGTGTCCCGCTGCTGTCCCTTATTGATGATGTCCCTTACATTTCCCAGGTTTCAAAGGAAGCAGCTCCTCTCCCTCCCTCCCTGCCGGCCAGGGAGGAGGGAAGCTCCAACTGTGTTGCTTGGCTGCGTTGCTCACCCAATAAGGAGTCTAAGAACGACTGGGGGGGTGGAGCTTGCATGCTTTGTGCCGATCAAATCGGCCGCGTTGCCTGGGGACTCGCCTTTGCTCAGAGCTTCCCAGCGGAGAGGTGACGGTGGTTTTCCTTGCTGCGTCCCCTTTGCCGGGTTGCTGCGCTGTGGGAACCACCGCTTGAGGCTTCTTGTGGCTGCTGGCTGACAAAAATCCCTTATTTTGGCTGCTGATCCATTTTTTTTGAGGCTGCTGGTCCCTTATATTCAAATCTAAGTTGACAGCTATGACCATGGTTCAGTTGTTCAGTCTCCAGGTAGAACTCTGAAAGACTCTAGCTTGAAACCCTTGAGAGCTGCTGCCAGTCAGTGCAAACAGTACTGTGCTAGATGGACCAATGGCCTGAAACTGCATAAGGCAGCTTCTTGTGTTCCGTTATTTTCTTTAAAGAAGACTAGATCCTGGCCCAGCCCTACCATTAGACAGGGTGAGGCAGGCACCTCGTGCAGCCAAGTGTTACCTTTAATTATTATTGTTTTATTTTTTACTGCCAGGGAGGAGTGTTTGTGTTATTTTCTGCACCAGGTGCCAAAATAATTTGACTGGCCTTGAGTGGTACATTCTTCGACTAGGGGGAAGGTTCCCTTTTGCTTTTCTCCCTGTTCCGTTTCAGACTGTAAAAGGTCTTGAGCCAGCCGCAACTGAAAGCACCTCTGCTCCCTGAGATCTGCCAAGTTTCGTCAAAACACACTCTTAGAAATTACAATGCATCTGGAAACGTGTGTTTGCTGGCTCTGCTTCACAGCCTCTTTGAGTGCTTTTGGAATGTATCCTTGAGTAGTGATAACACCACGCTGCTTGCCTGGATGAAGAGGGGTGGGTGGGTGCAAACCGGACCTTTGAGTGGCTAAAATGTAGACTACTGTACAAAGATAAGAATCATATCTGTTTCTTTTGCCTCTGCCCCGTCGCTGGAAAGTGACCCCTGGAAGGTTACCCACATGGCAATGCTGCTCTCAGATTTATAAATATTTTGATAAATCAATATTATATCTTCTGTCCTTGGCTTATGTGCCATTTTGACGTAATTTGTGGTAAAAGAAGGTTTCAGCGGCCTTGCTATAGGCATTTTATTTATTTGAATACTGTCTACCCCACCTTTCCTCTACACACACACACACAAAAACACACACACAAGAAAAGAGCCAACCCTCAAGGCAGCTTTACAAACCAATAAAAGGAATATAAAACTCCCAACAGTAATAATTAAAACACCATACAAAAACCAATTCAGCCAGGGAAAAGGGAGCAACTGCAGGCAGTAAACCATAATTGCTTCTAAAAGCCCTAGCAAACAAGAGAAACTGAAATTGGCATACAAAAAAATGATGATGGTGGTGCCAGACAAATTTGGGAAAGGAAAGGAATTCCATAACCAGAACACCCAATAAAGGGGACTGGGAGTAGGAGCCAGTTGTGTTTAGTGTTGTGGATCAGAAAGGGAGGGCTTTGTGTCCTAGGGGGAGAAATTATTTGGTTTTTCTACTAGATTTGCAACATGTGGCTACTGTTCTTAGCTGTTAGTTCAGGATTTTTTAATTTATTTTTTTAATGGTATCACCCACAATTTATTCTTCTGTGTCGCCTCATCCTTGGATCTGCTTGACTTTCCAGCCATCATCTCTGAATCCATGGTCTGTTTTTTGTTTCTTTCCTCCCTTGAGGCTAACCAGCAATCAAAGGGGTTAGAGCTTTGTGTTCATGCCCTAAAAAGTAGATCTTCTCCCAACAGCCTGTGAGTCAGTGGATGGTAGAAGGGCTTTTGGAATAAACATGAACTCAGAGCACAGAAAACAGGAGCAATCTGCTCATCATTACTAAGATTCTGCTTACTTAGTCAGCTCACTTTGTGTGTATGTGGACCCAATCAACCTTCCTTGTAGAGGTCCTTCCAAAGTACAGCGGCAGAAAGCGAACTTTGCATTTTATTTGAGGAAATGGTTGGTGCTAATATAGCAGCTTTCAGGAACAGAAGAATCCTTTTCTCTTTTAAGACAATGAAGTTCTCCATTTGACCCCAAATAGCTTTCATATTTCTTTTATTAAATTGGCAAGTTGTTGTTTTTTAAGCGCTGTAGGCTTTTCATAACCAGGCGCAGAAGTTCATTTCTAAAAATTGTGTGTTTCTGGGCAAAATGTTCAAGGGGTTGAACAACTCCCTTATGTGGAAAGGTTACAAGGTTCAGGGCTTTTTAGTCCAGGGGGAAAAACGGGGAGTAAGGGGAGAGACAGAAGATCTGCATAAAATGAATGTATGCTGTGGAGCAGTGTTAGAAACTGAGTTAGAAAAGCTAGGAGCCAAATGGCTCCTGGGACCTGGGTTGTGGGTGCCAAAATAGAATGTCTAGTCACTATTGAGGAGCAGTCAGCAACACTTTTTATTTATTATTTTGATAATAATAATAATAATACACAATTCACATGTGACACATGGTTAATATCACATTTTAACAGAAAGTGTTAATGCATGTTTAATTTGGTGTTCATGATAAAAAATATTAGTGCCATACTTCAGTTTTCAAAACACTCTATCCTTTATTGTTAAACTCCTAACATATTGTCTGTCCTTAATATATACTTTGAGGCTTCAAAGCACATGCATTTCAGTAATCCTTGGGAGTCAGCCAGGCACACAAAAATGGCACCTAGACTTCTTGAGGTGCTCGCAAATGGAGAATCTTTAGGTGCAAAATGCGCCTGGTGTCCTGCTAATTTCGAACCGTGCTGTGGAGAACTGAACTAGATTGTACTCGGTTCGCACACATGGAATTCAGTCCAGCTGATCCAACCACATATCATGTTAGCTGTGGGAAAAGTGGACACAATTGTAAACCATAGTTTCCAGGTTTATACAAACGGGAAACAGTAGTTAATGGAAGACTTGTGCACTCATGTAAATGGCTATGTCTAAAAGCACAAGGCTCATTCATATCTTACCTGATTAAGCTGAGATATAATCAGTGCTTTTTTCCTGGGGGGACGCAGGGGGACGCATACCCCTAAACATTTTGTGAATCTAAGTTTAGCCTCACCAAGGGGCAGTATTTCAATATGAGTAGGAAAATGAGAATACCCCTAAACATATTTTTTTTAGAAAAAAGCACTAGATATAATTATCCAGATCTGAGATCTCTCATTGTCGGAATAAGAGAGGGCTGTTAGTTTATGTCCTGCATGTTGTTAAATAGATAAATAGCATGTATGGTTCCTATAGTACTTTAGCGGACCAATTTTTTGAAATGGGATGCTGGACTAGATTAGAGTGCCCATGTGTCTTACTTTAAAGGAATGCATCCTCAGTTTGATGGAGTGTCTGATCCAAGTCCAGGTTAAATATAACGAACCAGAAGACAGGAGAACAGAGGCTTTGAAGTTGCATATCCACAGTTAACATCTGGGCTGCAGACTGAGCTGGCACAAAGTTAACCGGGTCACAGCCTTCCCCACTGTGGTCAGATGTCTTGCAATTTTTTTATTTTTTATTTTAAACTACAGAATTCAGATGTACATATAAATCAGCGTGTGCAAATTTTATGCAATTTTATGTTTACTTCCATCCTTTCCTTTAATTGGTGATGAGCAAGTGGTCATTCTAGATCAGGGGCCAGAAACCTTTTTCAGCAGGGGGCTGGCCCACTGTCCCTCAGACCATGTGGTGGGCCGGACTATATTTTGGGGGGGAAAATGAATGAGTTCCTATGCCCCTTAGGTTGCCTACCCCTGTTCTAGATGGATATATGGCCTGACCTAGCAAGGATCTGTTATTGTTGTTAATGATGCTAGATTCAATTGAATAATAGATCATTTTAAAAAACTCTTAAAGTATTTTTTTAAAAATCCCTTTGTAGTCTCAGGAATTTCCTAACTACTTGAGATTCAGAATCAGGTCACCAAACAAAATTATTCAATTTTTTATTGGGAGGGGGAGGTTCCTGATACGATATATAGATTAAAAATGACTATTTTGGATTTTTGATGGTTGAACTGATGGGTGAAATGGTGTGCTTGAACACACTGGATTCAGCTAACGTTTCCCCGAAATATTTTCCAAGGCTTGGTAAAGGCACGATCCACACACAGGTGCCTGTCATTCACTAGACTAGCTCAACACTTGGGAATTTATTGAAGTCTACTTGGCGCAGGGAACAAAGCCGCTGTGTTGATAGACAGGGAATCCTGCTCTATCTGGGGATCATTGTAAGTTATGGGAGAAATGGGGGAAGTTTTTCTCTAAAGTGGAATATCTAAAAAAAAAAAATCTTTCCAATTAATATAGCTTGCGGACCCTTTTTTTCTGGCTTGGAGATCAAAGTATGTGTGCTCAGGGGAGGAGGGAATGAGGAAGAAGATCGGAAGGCTATAGTTGCCTCTTCTCTTCAGCTCTGGCAGTAAACAGGGGCCAAGAAAGCTGCATTGTTCTGTGCTTTAGCTACAGGAGCTGCTTTGATTTCTCACAGCAGGAATTCTTGGCTTTGCATGAGTGAGGGCCCCCAAGTGCAGCTATGAAGGGAGTTTTTCTCTCCCCCCTCCCCATGGGTTTGAAGCACATTCTACTGACAAAGCTCTGCTTCAGACTAAAACGAAAGGGGAGTGGAGGATATAAAAGGGGGCTTTAATCACTGAATTGGAGACACCCTGTATCAAGGGGAGTGAATCTGAGCAGCACCAAAGAGTCGGAATAAGGCCAGTGTGCTGTCAGGTGACTTGATTGTCTTCCAGAGCTCATACACAAGATGGCTCGCAAAAGATCAGTTACCCCCTTTAATGTGCTCAAACCATCTTTTTGTACCTCCATCAGGGCAGTTACAGACTGCTGTTCCACCTCCTCTCCCTCTCTCCTCCACTGGAATTACCCAGTTCCCTATTAGCAAGGTATAATCCTAATAATCTGTTACCTATTTTGTGCCTGCTTTTCCTTCTCCTTTTTTTTTTTTTTTTAAGGAAACCTGTTAGGTTACTGTTTTCTTTTTCTTGCAACACAGTTTTCAGAAGTGTGACTTGCTTAAAACTGCTGTGGAGTTTCTTTCCTCTCTGAGAAAGCAAACTGTGTTGCTCCAGAAGGAAATCCCCCCAAATCCATAGTTGGGCAATACCTTTCTATGATAACTAACAAAAACAAGACAAAATAAGGAGCTGACTTTCTTCAGAACTTTCCATCAGGCTAGATGGGACACACATCGTCTTTAGGCTGGATGGAACAAAGAAGCATAGAATGGCTGTTCTGCCATTTCTGAAAATATAAAAACCCAGCAGTCCCCCAGATCTGTCTCAAATTTTTGTGACATTTTTGGCTGTCCTGATGCCTAACTGTGGATTGGTCCCACCTGCCTTCCTGCCCCTTGTTCTCTAGAAGTTAACTCTCTGAGTAAGTGTGGAAGGGATGCATCATGCCTCACATGCATGTAAGTTACACATGAATATTTGGCATTGAGTTACATGTTACCAACTAACTAGGGTACGTGAGTAACTCACCTCATTGCTGTGAATCTGCTGCAGGAGTGGAGGGAAGGAAGAAGAAGATCTTCTGTGTTGGCACACTCAGATTTGGAACTTTGGGTTGCATCCAATTTTTCACTCTGTGAATGTTCCGTCAGCGCAAGGATTTCTGCTTCTGCAATGCAACGTTCTCCTCACCCTCCATGCACCCTAAATCTGTCTCCTGCCCCGGATCCTGGCGGTCGGGGGGCTCGTGGTTCGGAATAGTAGAAAGGAACGAGGGTCCTATCCAATTGTTCCTCCTGGGCTCTAATCTCATCATATGGGGGAGGTCTGGTCGTTTTTAAAACAGCCATTTGCCGAACAATTTGGGTTTGCTGCCATTGAAACAATTCACGGGCTTCAACGAAGGCATTGAGATAGTACAGTTGTCGGGGCTTCTCATCAGCCAGGTAAGATTTAAGTGCTTGCATCTTCACGAGATTAAAGGAACCGTGAGGTGGCCATTGCGAGGCCAGCTCTAGGTGGTGGGTAAAAGCGACACACGAGATGTTGCAAAGGTCCCTCAGTTTGGACTTTGAGAGTCCCTTCCTCCCTCAACTCTTTCCAGTTTAAGAGAACAAATTGAAGAGGGGTATCAGAGTCCTCCCTTGGGCGGAAAGGCTTCGCGGAAGCCTTATCGCCTGGAGGAGTCCAGTCTGAATGCTTGGAAGCATGGGCTCCCATTCTCTCGTATGTTGTTATTGGGTTTTTTCGTTGACGAAGTACGCTAAAGACAGAAAGAGTAGACACACACACACAAGGGAAGAGGGGCAATGGAAAAAAGAGGGGACAGGAAAAAATATCCTTTCAGTACTCGAAGTATCCTTGACTAACACAATTCCTACCTATCTGTAAACCACAAATTACTTTCAGGAAATCTCAGACATGAACCTAAAACAAACCACGGGTCTCTCTGCCCGGAAAATCAAACCACGGGTCCCTCTGCCCGGAAAAATCAAACCACGGGTCCCTCTGCCCGGAAATCAAACCACGGGTCCCTCTGCCCGGAAAATCAAACCACGGGTCCCTCTGCCCGGAAAATCAAACCACGGATCCGGAATTCCTTTACCTCAGCGCTGTTTACAAGACTAACCCTAGTGTGGGGCCCCAATTTGTGAACCTCCCGCTCTACTCTCCACGACAGCCTCCTGCCTAGCCTTTAGACTAAGTTCGGGCTCCCTACTAGATGCCTGCGGAATGCAGTGCCAGATCGGGGTCCGAGAAAACAAAGTTTAGAAAGGAAGCAAATGACCTTGCGTTCTCACGTACATGGGTCATCCCCAACAAGGGTCGCCGAGCAGGAGGGGCGGCTTCATTTGCATAAACAGGGGAGAGAGAGAAAGTAAGAGAGATTTGTATGGACGCCTCCGGACGACTCCGAGGGAGGACGTCAGAGAAATGACAAAGTACCGCGTTTTCCCCGGCCACACTCCGAAAGGGAAAACGGGGGAGAAAAGGAGAGATTTTTTAGGACGTTCCTGGACGACTCCGAGAGGTAACGTCGGAAAGCAGCAAAAGTTCCACAATTTCCCCGGTCCACCTCCGAGAGGGAAATAGGGGGAGGGAAAGAGAAAGTTTAGGACGTTCCTGGACGACTCCGAGAGGTAACGTCTGAAAGCAGCAAAAGTTCCACAATTTCCCCGGTCCACCTCCGAGAGGGAAATAGGGGGGGAGAAAGAGAAAGTTTAGGACGTTCCTGGTCGACTCCGAGGGGTAACGTCAGAGATAGAAGGAAAAGGTCCAGCTGTCGTGGGGACGTTGCTTTTTTCCACCCCCTCCCACTGTATTTTCTTCAAACCATACTCACGTTCGTAGATGTCCCTCGAGGATCCCGGGATCCTTTCACCTTAGCCGGCTTGACCTTGCCTTTGCTTCCCCTGGTTGAGCTTTTGGTGACGATTGATTACCGCCCGCAAAGAGGAGGCAGGGAGAGGAAAAAAGGATCCCCGGGCTAAGGTTGTCCAGTGGCGCCCGATCCCCTCTATCTCCCTCCTCACCTTTACAGGAGAACCAAGTGTCCCTGAGCACGGTCGCCAAAACTGTTACCGGAAAAATCCGAGGGCTCCCTTGGACAAAATCAAGACACCAACCAGAGCAAATTGGAAGCAAATCAGCAGCCTGTAGGCTTGGTCTTTATTGAAGAAAAGACTGTCACGACAGGACTCCCACCGCCCACGAGGTGAAGCAAGATGGAAGCCCAGAACAAAAGAAGACCCCAACTTTTATTAGCTCCTAATCCCCTAAATTACACCCCTAGAAATACATCATATTTACATCATGACTACATTAAGAACAGGAGGAGTCAGGGGAGGGGTCGCACAGGTAATCTGAGTATCCCGACACCTGGCGGGAGCCCCCTCCCTTCCTCCCCATGAGTCATTTTCAGAAAACAAAGGGAAAGGCGCAGTTTCCTGCCCCCTGAGGGGAATCCGGTCACGGTCCCTTTGTCATAGTCCGTGTTGAATACACTAGTGTATGCAGTTCATTGTGTCTTTGATAGTCCTTCGTCTGAGCCCATCAAGATGACTATCAAGGTTGCTGTGTCAACTGGGGAAGGGCTGCAGAGTACGTGCCTGCTCGGTCAAGGGATTATGGCTGACTGGTATCAAACCACCCCCCTTTGACAGTCCTTGTGATATGAAGCAGAATAAAAGTGGTCCGGCGAAAATCCGATATATGGTTGATTTATGGTGAATTTATGAAGAATACTGTCGTTGAAGTTCAAAGCACTTTCACCTTTCAGGAAAGGGTTTGCAACATTTTGATTAAATCAGTCACGGTCAATTGAACTCGGAAACTTTGTATTAGGAGGCTGTCAAAGACAGAGAAGCGAGAGCCTGCTGCCTGCAGTACCAGCGTGGCCGCCACAAGAGGCGCTGTTCGGTAACGCTGATTGGCTGAAACGGCAGCCGACTGACCCGGAGTTCAGGCGGCCGGTCTACTCATGATAAAGATAGGGCGAAGTGGAGCGTTGTAGGAAAATACACGAAAATAAAGGAGTTCTACGCGAAATTAGCGCTTCCTTATTTACGGAAGGCTATCGTTCGTTGGGGTGATGCACCTCTAGAAGGGGCATCTCCCAGTTCGGGGAGGTGGGAGGTGTGTGTGGTGCTTGTGCATTACGATGTAATGAGGGGGGGTCTCCGGCTACAGTCATAATTTGAGGGCAGGTTGTTTGGTAATACAGGCAGCTGTCTTGCCACATTGGAAATATAGGCCTCTTGTTTGGCAGACAGCCCAGAAAAGAAGGGTGGTAAAAACTTGCGTCACAAGACCAAAACTACATGACTGGAAAATGTAGAATGTAGGAAACTGGCAAATTGTACCCACGAAGTGTTTCAAAGAGAGGGAGCTTGTCCACTATCCAGTGAAAGTTCTTACTTTGCATTTATATAAATAAACCGAGTAGATTTGATACCTTGTGTCACCGGTGACTTTCAAAAATGCAGGTGTTCTGAAGGATTCTTCTTGCCTAAGTGCTTGTATGTGGCAGGGGATATTAATGTTCCTCAAATTTTTATTGCAGCTGCAGTTCACGTTTCCTTATTTTCTGGTTCCTACAAATTCCACTCTGCCCAGAGAATGCAAACATTTATAACTCTGTGTTGTGTCCATTTTAGGCGGTTGGGACTGAGCCTTTCTACCTTAAACCAAAATGTTTTCCCCAATACATAGTCCTTGTTTTCCAGCTTCAGAAATGTGTCAAGAAAAGGGGGCAAACGCTGCTTCACAAGCTTACATCCTGCCTGGTATGTAAGCTGGCACAGAATTTTCCGCATCATTGTCAGTCAAGAAGCAATTTCTTAAAATTTGCTTGATTCCTCTTCAACTGAAAAATGCAGCAATCCCAAGAGCAGGTTCAGACACAGATCAGCATGCTGCAGTTTCTTTTGACTTGTACCACTTCAAAGAGCAGGTAGAAAGCTCACGTCTTGAACCGCTCCCTTGTGCACAGGGGAAAACAAAACAACTCCCTGAACACAAAAAGTTGACCTCCTCCCGGATGCGCTGTCTTAAGCAAAATGTATGCTTTTGTGGTTCTTGATTCCAGGAAATATTTGTTCCTTGCACATGAATCTTCCATGTGGCTCAGTGCATGCCTTCTTTGTGTGCTTGGAAGCCCTGAGTCTATTGGTAAATGCTTCTTGTCATGTGCAAGGTGGTCTGAGAGACGCCAACCTGTGCATGATTCCCACAGCTCAGCTGATAGAAATATTGTCCGTTCCCCTAGCTTTTGGTCACTGATTCCTGAGCGCAGCAATGAATGCATCCCCCTTTTAAAAAATGTGCTCCTTGGGACTGCAATCCAGTTGGAGGACACAAGCTTTGACTGTAGAGGATATTGGGGTCAAACCCTGCCATCTTCAGTAAAAAAGAACATTCTGGCAAAACCTTTCTGCCTGAGACCTTGGAGAACACTTTCAGTCAGAGTAGGCAATGGCTGAGACAACTGAGAGCTGTAGTTTACCCTTGTGCAGCTATAGTTTCCAGCACCATTAACAAACTACATTTCCTGTAATTATTTTGGGGAACCAGTGGACTTTAAATGTACTGCGTGTATGCAGTGAATATCTGCGCTAGGTAGGCAATTAGTTTGACTTGGGAGCGCTTCCAGACAACTTGTCTATTATTCATCCTGATTTGTTTGTAGGCAATGTTGGCACTTTAATGAGCATTCCTTTTGCTTTGTTTGTGGGGAGGTTAGACGACAGTTGCATCAAAGCTAGTGTTCTCCCACACTATCCATTGCATTTCCCTGACACTTTCCTTATTACAAAAAAACAACTACACCACGATCTTTGGAAACGGTGGCTTTCTGCGCAGGACCACCCTACCATCTACAACTGTGCAGCCTGAATTTGCTGGTGTTTGAATAGGTCTGCCATATGTATGGGATTTCCCAGACATATCTGGGATTTGTCCATTGGAAATAGCATCTGGGTAGAATTTCCAAAAATTGGTAAAAATGTCCGGGGAAACCCGGGTGTATGGCCACCCACGTTGGAAGTGTTGATTTTGGGGGAGAATTTCCTTAAAAATAGCTCAAGATTTCACAGAAAAAGCTCAACAACTTTGCCCACCTCACCTCAAAGCAAAGCTCAACAACTTTTATGTCCGGATTTTCACTTTGTGAAATATGCAAGCCTACGTTTGAATCCCGCTTGAAAAGAGTGACTGTCAGGAAAGGCCCTTGGTGTCAGGCAGCTTCACTGTGTTTCACTGATTTATCTGAATGGCACAAATGAAAGTTAATAGATAAGCAGTTCCTCTGAAAGGAAGGGTTCTTCCCTTACTCCTTCCCTTCTGCCACCTGCCCCAACTCCTCACTTCCTCTGGTGTCGCATCTGGGCAGTCTCAAAGCACTCCAGGCTATTGCCTCGTGTGCAACAGTTTCTGCAGGCAGAAAATGTGGTATCTGTTTTTTACTGTGGCTCAGAAGTGTGGGGACGGGTGTTCATGCCCACACAGTGGGGAACCAGGGAGTTGGAATGTGGAGCTTGACAGCCATTGTCACTGGCAGGTTATTTATTTTTTTAATGTAATTGGTTCTTCCCAAAACTTAAGCTGCTGCTCTGCGTAGGGGGTCAGGAATGGGTCAGTAGGGTGCTAAAGATAATTAAAGAGAAGCAGCTTTCTGTGGCACAAACCCTTAATGAAGGAAAAACACAAACTCCAAGCATATACATACGCACACAGCTGTTGATGACAGCATGGAATTGAAGAAGGAAGTAACATGTCTAGACAGTGCCGGATTAGAAAGCAGGTGAGGCTGGCGGCTGAGATGAGGATCAGGTATTTTTCGATCACTCAAGGTTATGTCACCAACATGGAGTTGACTTGTGGGTTAAAATAGGGAACGCTGAGTTTCCGAGGGCAGAGGTGGGGAAATTTGCTGCTTTTGGAAAGTCCCACTCTCCCCACAAAGCTGCTCCAGCTGCTTCTTCCCTGAGCTGTACCTATTGGGACCTCTGCCTGTGCGGAAACTCTTCCTGTCAGCTGGGATAGCTGAATCAAAACCTCCCAAGTTCAGAAGCGTCACACTTGACGCCCTGCTGTTCAGTTTTCCAAGGCCATTTGGCTGGCTTCTGTGGGAGACATAGGGCTGACCAAAGGAGGTGTCTGAGGGTGCCATGGTGCTCACAGGGACTCCAGTTATAGAATGCCCAATATTGATATTTTCTAGAGGGGAGACCTGCTTCAGCTCTTCCTTCTTCTGCTCCTATTTTCATAGTCCTGGCCGAGTTTTTTATTTTATTTTATATACACAGTGGTACCTCGGTTTACGAACTTAATCCGTTCCAGAAGTCCATTCTTAAACCAAAACCGTTCTTAAACTGAGATGTGCTTTCCCTAATGAGGCCTCCCACCGCTGATGCCCTTCCACCATTCGGTTTCCATCCTTGGACCGAGGTAAAGTTTGTAGACTGAGGTAAACTTCTGGTTTTGCGGAAGTTCGTAACCCGAATTGTTAGTAAACAGGGCTGTTCTTAAACCGAGGTGTGTGTGTGTGTGTGTGTGTGTGTGTGTGTGTGTGTGTTTACAGATATCTTTGCAAGGAATGTTTCTTGTCTTAGCAAGTAGCTCACGTCTTGCTCACCAAGAAAAAATAAAACCGGTAGTGACAGCAGGCTTGTTTCTCTAATACCCCTGGATGACCATGGGTGGTTTGTACAGTAACATCCAAAACTCCTGTTTGCCATCTAATCGTAGAGACAGGCTTCAAGATGTTTGTTTCTTCAAGGCTTTCCTGGCCAGACTAAGTTGATTTGCTCTTTTCAAAGGCTGCCTGCTGTCTTTTTCCTAACTGGTTCAAGTAAAAAAGCCTTTTCCTTTGCTTTTTTTGACTCTTTCCTCTCTCTGGTAAGGGAGTCAATGCTCTGATATTTGTTTTAAATCATCCATTCTTTCTCTCTGTAATCTTTGACCTGCAAGGTCTCACTTCAAATTGAGCTGCTGAGATTTGGACGGGGATGCAAATACGCTTGCGTGTGCTTGAACAAATGCCATCCGTGATCTTACTTTCTGGCAGAGGTATATCATGGTGCTTGCTTCTATGGGATGACAAGGTTGGCTGTCTGTCTACAGGCAGAATTGAAAGAATGGCCTGCAAATATCACAAAATAGGCCCCAGTTAGGCACATTCACACATTAAAAGCACTATTATGGACTATGGATTGTATTCAATGCAGCACTAAGTCAGGGTCCTGTCAGTGCAAGGATTATCACTAGGGCAAAGGGACTATCACCCTCCTCCCCCTTGTGTGTCCCCTAAATCTGTACAGTGGTACCTCGGATTAAGTACTTAATTCGTTCCGGAGGTCCGTTCTTAACCTAAAACTGTTCTTAACCTGAAGCACCACTTTAGCTAATGGGGCCTCCTGCTGCCGCCACGCTGCCGGAGCACGATTTCTGTTCTCACCCTGAAGCAAAGTTCTTAACCCAAGGTAATATTTGTGGGTTAGCGGAGTCTGTAACCTGAAGCGTACTTAACCCGAGATACCACTGTACTGGGGTTCCCTCCAGATTTGCAGAGGTCATGGGGCACACATGGGAGGTGGGGCACAGGCCATTTTAGGGTAGTGTGACCTGTGCAGTCACACTGAGCGCTGCCACAAAAATGCTGTAGAACGGGGCACGAGATGGGGGGCGGCCCTGAATTTTAGCTTTCACACATTTAAAAATGCATTTTGGTTCCTTATTGTTTTTGTGGGGCAGAGGATTATGTTATAAAATTCAGAGCACCGTGAAGATAATTATGCTATGTTACGAGCCAGACTTCCTGACCACTGATTAATCTTCCTTGTAGACTTTATTTCCTTAAAGACTTTGTGCAAATAACTCATATTTTTGGTGTGCCCCCCCCCATTTTGTATCTTCCTCCTTCCACCACTGTCTCCCATTGTGAAACACAGATGAAAGGCTAGCTTTATTTCCCTTCTTCCCTTCCATGGTGTGTGTGTGCTTAAAAAATAAAAATAAACTCATACTGTTAAAACTGCATTGATATCGATCTAGCCTTGAGATATTCAGGCGCAACAAGCATTCTCTTATGTGCGAGCAGCAGACGACAGTCAATCAAGAGCGTCTCCCAGACAGAACTGAATGAACACTTCACTGCAGCTGGGTGTCCTTGGGCTGCAGCCATTGATGTGGTCTGTCTGCATCAAGGGAGGTGCTAAGTGACTGAGCTGGCTTTTTGCTCCTCTCGCCAGCTCTCTTGGTTTGTATCCCACGGGAAGGCCAGGGCAGGAAATTGTGGTAAGATGTACAAATTGCGGGAAGGTGATCTTCCAGCCTTATTGCAGGCAATGCGCTAGCTGGCCTATACAAAGAGCTCAGTGAGACACAGGGGAAATGCTATTGGAACAATTTCCCAAATCAGGTTGGGAGATGGGGTCAAAAGTGGGAGGCAGCCCCTGCTAGAAATCCAATGTGAATCAACAAGGATAAGAACATAAGAAGAGCTTTGCTGGATTACAATAAAGGCCCGTCCAGTCCAGCATTCTGTCTTCATGGTGGTCAACCAGATCCTCTGCCAAATGGCATTCAATCCATTCATGCCTTGGTTTAAGAAGGGGTACTCTCCCTTCTAGAATGCTCTTCCTCTTTTGAACTTTGTGCCCCCACTTCAGGTTGTGTGTAAAGGTCATATCTTGGTTGTCAAACGCCTTGCGACTTGGAACATTTTAGCTCTTGAACGCCGCAAACCCGGAAGTGAGTGTTCCGTTTGCGAATGTTCTTTGGAACCTGAACATCCGACACAGCTTCCGATTGAGTGCAGGAAGCTCCTGCAGTCAATTGGAAGCCGCACCTTGGTTTTCAAATGTTTTTGGAAGTCGAACGGACTTCAGGAACGGATTCTGTTCGAGAACCAAAGTACAACTGTGCCTCCAATGGGGATCTGCCTCTCAGTTTAGCAAATCACTGGTTTAATGAATCCTTTGAGTGCTTTAGCTTTTGTGCTGTTTTTCTGAAAGAGGTATGGGCTGAGTCTGCTTTGCATCTGTAGTGGACTCCAGTTCTGACTGCAGCTGCAGGTTACTTGGAGCAGAACATTCCCCTTGCAGCCCTGGCTTTTGACCAGTGCTCTGGGCGAGGAGAAACGACTCCTGCAGTTTCACTCACCCAGCGTACTTCATCATAACCACCTGTTTCATGTCAGAGCAAACAAGGAAAGCACCACCTTGGCTTTCCCCCACTACCTTCTTCTCTTTTTGGCAGCTGGACCTGCAGTCGTGTGAGAAAAGAGGAGATGAAACCAGCCATTTTCATAGACAGAACAGAAAAAGAAACCTGGGAGCAATTTCCTTGATTTGCCCATGAAAAGCAGCTCAGCTGGTTTGAGCATGGTGCTGATAATGGCAAGGTTGCAGATTTGATCCCAACACAGTTCCTACACAACAGCCATCCTCAATCCTTCAGATGTTTTGGACTACAACTCCCATCATCTCAGGGAGATCTCATGGTGGCTGGGGTTGATGGGAGTTGTAGTCCAAACATCTGGAAGGTACTAGGTTGGGGACAACTGTCGCAGTAATGATAAGCAGAATGTGAACAGACTTCTTGGATCCCTTCAAGGGGTCTAACTCCCTTGTACCCCCCCTTCTTTTCTTTCCATGTTGGTGCTCTGTTTGCTCATCCATTGGATCATCCAAATTAAGAGTGCTGAAGCTTTCAAAGACTTATCCTGGATCAAACCAGGATATTGTTAGGAGGGGGAGAAAGAGATATTGTCTGTGCTCTGATACTGTCTAAGCTGCATTTTACAGCTGACTGTCTTGTTTTTAATTGCTTTGGTAGAGGGTGGGTAGCAGACAGCAGTGAGAGACCAGTTGCAAAGGTCTGCCTTTATTTTGCCTTCAGAGAGAGAGAAAATGCATGTCTCAGTTTATGCAGAACATCCCCCACTGCTTAAAAACCGCCATGGGGAGGGGAAATAGTTAGCTCCTGGGCTTTCCAAGCACAAACTCTCTTTCTGTAAGCTGGTCAGCTGTGCTCTAAAAATTCAAATAAAGAGTTTACTGGGACATTTGTAATAAATCCTTGGCTATTCAGTATCAGAACAGGAGGGTGCAGAAGCAGGAAATCACTCTCTTTCCCATTAAAAATAAGGTGCTGCTGGGCTTACCGTGTTTTACAATCCCACCTCCTTGCTGCTAGTATTTTCTGGTGCTGATGAAATTGTAATAGAGATTTATACAATTATAAACCATGTAGAGATGAAAAGATGGAAATCCATTTGTTCACACTGTTACTTAGAGTGACATAATACTAGAACTTTATATGTTTATTTATTAATTTGAACAATATTTATCCTTTCCTCCAAGAGACAAGATTCTTGTGATTATGGGTTAGATTGAGAGTTGGTGACTGGCCCAAGGTCACCCTAATGAGCTTCATGGCTGCATGAGGATTTGAATTGGGGTCTCCCCTGTCTTAGTCCAACATTCTAAGCAAGGGGTGGCCAATGTAGTACCCTCCATACTACATTGTTGGACTTTGCTGGCTAGAGTTGGGAGTTGGAGTCTCATGTCTTACCATTTTGGGGGTTAAATATCCATAAAAATTGTTCCACTTTCTAGATACAATCAAACTATCTTGCCAGTGATATAGATGAAAACAGGAGTTGACGTTGTATAACACAGCCCTCCCCCTGCCACCGCAGGTAAAAAAAAAACCCCCAGCTCCAAATATTTAAGACATGACCTTTATTCAAAAGTCAATTGCAATAGCACAAAAGGGGACAGGGAAGGCCTCATTTGTATGTACTGCAGCCCTTAGCGGAAACACTTAATTCAAATGCCTGTCTTTATGCAGTACAATTATTTCTAGGGAAATATTAGTCAAGTACAAATTATAACCCATCCTCTTAAAGTGCTGTCAGTCAAACACTGCTTCTTTTCCTAATCAAGCACACTTTTAAAATTGCAGGGAATCACTGGTGGAAGAACGATTGACATCGCAAACTAAAGCACTACTGCAGTGTATAATCATTGTGCAAGGTTACCAGTTTTAAACAAATGTCTGAGTGTAGTATTTCTTTTCCCCCACCAGGACACATCTAATGGGTATAATATACTAGCTATTTGCTCCCCACGGGAATATTCAGCTGTGTGTGTGTGTCCTGGGAACAATTTGTGCAAAGTGTAGCCCATCTCATTAGTGCCCTTTATTGGGATACTGTATCACTTCATAATTTGCGCCGTTGTTGTTTTTAATAGGAGGGTATTTCATTAAAAGGGTACTTGCTTCTCCTGCCAAAATCCAAACTTAATATCTGGCCTTGGTACAAACTCATTTTCCTCCACTTCCCCCAAATAAAGGTGTTATCTGTTCTGAAAAATTAGAAATGTAAAGAGCTTATAGACAGGGGCCTGAAGAAACTAAAAGTATTCCAGCTGCCTAATGTGATTTTTATAGCTAAATGTGGCAGTTTGGCAGGTATGTATATCAATTGTTAACAAGTGTGAATACAAATACTCTGTAGTCACTATTCCCTGCCTTAGTATCGAGCGTCAGTTCTTCTATGCCAAGGCTGGGGCATAATTAGGCTCATCAGGCATCCATTTTTCGCCCATGAGGCTGTTTAGGCCAGGCCAGGCCACCCTGCCCCTACACCTGACATCAGTTGTGGGTCAGGTAAAATTGTGGATTTGCTATTGGTGGTGCCTCCAAGGCTGTGTGCACAGCACCCCACAGTACTTTGCAAGTACTGACAATCAGCTGATCAGCAGTGCTCACAGAAAGTGGTGCACGGTGCTTTGAAGCCCCGACTGTCGGGGCTTCAAAGCACTGTACACTACACAGGGCCAAAATAGGTCACCTGACACCATTGTGAGGGGATTGATAGGTGACCAGGCCCAGCCGCCTGTCAAACTTGACCTGTGGGGAAAGACGGAATTGAGGATTCAGCCAGATGTAGTTCCCCACCTCTGTTTTAGGCACTCGGGAGACCAAACTCATTTATTCCCATGTGTTTTGGGGTATGCAAATCCCACCAGCAGCACTCATTTCCCCACCTGTGTGTGCTGATCAGAGTTTTAAAATATTATCATTAGCAGCAAAATTTAAAACATAGGAATTAGGCTGAAAAGCCTTGTTTTGACTAAGTCCAGCTATAAAGTAAGCTGGCCTCCCTGTTCTTACCCTGCTTAAGAAAGAATCAGGCAACAACTTCTAAAGTAAGTTTAAAAGTAAGATTTACTAACTTTATAGTCATGCATTGGTTCGCAACAATGATATATATAAGCAAATATAAGCAATACTTATATTTAATTATAACCAGCTACAGGCATGTACCTAAAGATGGAGTGAACAGAGCATGTCTGCATCCAACGATGGTCAAAGGAAGAGAGAGAAAAGGAAGTACTATATGCTCCTTGCTTTCCAGAAGAGGAGGGGAAATGACACCACACAGAGCCCTCTCTACCAATTGTAATTCTATGGCCTGAGTACCTGCCTATCAGCAGTACAGCTCTGTGGTATTAACCCCTTCTCATGCTAACTAGCAAGAATATGCATTTGTTAGATTTGGCTCTAATCTCCCACAACAGGGACAGGAACAAAAAAAGCTGGCGGTGTCTTGAGAGCACTCTGCAGAAGGAGGTAGAACCACAATTCCTGTATAAGCATTGGTTCCTGCTTTCTTTTCCTCAGGGGCTGCCTATGGTAGCAACTGCAGAAGGTTGCTTGTTCTGCTCTGTGGCTGACTGGCTTCAACAAATTTCTCAAGATCTAGATACTCCATACAGATATGAGAAATAAGATTGCATAACCACCTTCAATTTACCTTCATTTTTCCCCCCTTCAAGGTAATGGGCTTGCAGCCCAGCCCCAGATAAGGCTTTCCCTTCTTTCCTCTCCTTATCCTCGTGCTCTGTCTTTTTGCCATTTTCCTTGACATGTTTGGACAGGCAGGAAGGCACTGTAATAAATGCTTTCCTTCTTCCCTGCTATTCTATCTAGGAAGAAAAAGGCTGCCAAAGTCTTCAGTCCAGTATGAAGCCTGACTTTAGGCCCAGGAAAGGGATGAAATTTTAAGCTGGGCAGTTGCCTAGCAACCCTTCTGCATTCTCTTTGCACTTCTAGGCCTATGGCCTTGCAAAATCAGTGTGCCATCCTGAGGGAAAGGTGACTTAAGAAGGAGGTTTGAGGGCAGAGATTATTAGGAGGGCCAGCAGCCACCACTTTGAGGGGCACGGACTCTCCTCCATGAATATCTCTAGGAAGATAGTCGGAAGAGACAAACTTGGTACTATTTGTGCTGTGAAGACAAGGCCTGTGCCATGGAATGAAACTTTCTGCTTTAACAATACTCATGGGTGTTCAAAGCACATCGTAAACTTGTAGTAAAATTATAATAGCTCTGTAATGTAGGCAGATATTGTTGCAGGTGGGGGACTAAGAAGTGGTAAATTCATGATGGAGGCGAAATTCAAACCAGAGTTGTTGTGATGTATAGGTCGGTCTTTTTAGGTACTATGCTTTATATATTCCAAAAAAGATGCAATTTTTCTAATTCTAACCTCTCATCTCTTCATATTAAAGGTTTGTGGGGTAAAAAAAAAAGCTCTGTTAACTTCAGGTGGCTGATACAGTCAAGATGATGATCAATGTTAGTTGCCGTATTTTTCGCTCCATAAGATGCACCATAAGACAGATCTAGTTTTTAGAGGAGGAAAACAAGAAAAGAAATATTCTGAACGAAACTGTGGATGTATGATTTTTGTGGTTCATGCTGTGACGGTGAATTTGGGGTAGCCCAATGCAAAAATCCTGAGAATCCATGCGGATCCATGCTTTGTAACCACGTTTTTGCGCCATTGCAGCCCCACGAAACAGTGGATGCGGGGGTTTTTGGTGCAGGCTATAGTCATGGACTTGCTATGTGATCTGATGGTGAATTTGGGGTGACCCAATGCAAAAATCCTGAGGATCCATGTGGATCCGTGCTTTGTAACCACATTTTTACACCATTGCAGCCCCACGAAACAGTGGATGTGTGGTTTTTTTGGTGTAGGCTGTAGCTATGGACATGCTGTGTGATCTGATGGTGAATTTGGGGTGACCCAATGCAAAAATCCTGAGGATCCATGGGCTTTTATCTCCCCCCTCCCAGGCAGCCTCCTTTATCGCCAGCGTCCCTTATCTCCCTCCCGATCGCTTGCCGATCAGCTGCTTCCTTTCAACACCCCCTTCCCTCTTGTTTGCCTTAATGTCTTTTCCTTAGCTGGAGCAGTTTTTTTGCTCCTCCTTTTCTTCTAATTTCTCTCCTCATTGCTTGTTTTAGTATTCCTGTCTCCTCTCCTTGCAAGTTTGCTGTCTTTACCTCCCCCCTCCCAGGCAGCCTCCTTTATTGCTAGCGTCCCTTATCTCACTCCCGATCGCCTGCGGATTTGTTTCAACACACACTTCCCTCTTTTTAAACAAAAAAGCATGATCTGCTTTTCGCCCCTGGGCAATTTGGCTCCAGGGACCACTCATTCACTCCATAAGATGCACAGACATTTCCCCTTACTTTTTAGGAAGAAAAAAGTGCATCTTATGGAGCGAAAAATACGGTACTTTTTGAGAAGTCAGATTAGTGTTAATCAAACAATTATAACTTTCCAGACAGGGCAAGACAAAAAAGATTTCAAACATACAGTCCATTTTAAAATAAAAACAGGATTAGCAGATGCCATCTAGCAAATGGTGAGGTATGTAACTAATAAAAACACGTGCAGTAATCCGGTTGTTCTTTAGATGGTGGCCACCCAGATGATTTTAGAAATCCCACAAGAGGGCATGAAGACAACAGATCTCCCCTATTCCGTACTCTTGCTATCAGGCTGGGTAAGGGGGTTTGATGGGTTTGAAGAGTGTGATGGGGACTCCTCAGTTCAAGAAGCACACACTCTGATTCCCAGGTGCAGGTAGATATGTACAAGGAAGAACCCATTAAATGCAGCAAAAGCACTTTAAGAATGTTGCCCTGGCTAGTATCCATATTTTATAACTGTGTATTTTGTCTGTCTGTCTGTCTGGATACCCTCTGGGCTCTGGATAAACATAGGATTCTTTCCTCATCAAATGCTCTGCAGTATAAGCTTGGTTGATAGCCTTGGGCTGCCAGCAGCCACCACCTCTTTTTTCTTGCCCCGTTGACTTGGTGAAGTGGAGCAGAGAATTGTCCCTTCTTCACACATGACAGATCAGAAAGGCAATCTGCTGCCTCCACCCATTTTCAACGATCTACAAAAGAAGGCTCACAAGGAGCCTGTGTTGTGCTTTTATGCCAGATTTAGTACTATGCTGATTTCCTTTAAGGGTGCCTCCAGACTGTCCTTGTTTTGCAGGAGGGATTTAGGTTTGTTGCAATTAAAGTGAATTAATGCGCTCTATCACCCTGGTGCAACAAATCCACTTTTAAAAAGCCACAGAGAAATGCGTTGAAAAGTGTGGGATCAACAAATGATTAATGGGAAACCATCCCAAAAGCAAATCACGATAAATGCTCATTGTCCTACAACTGCGCCACAAATAAATCAGAACAAATGCTCGAAGACTGGATATAATCTAACCTCTGTGTAAGCTTTGTGCAAGCAAATCAGGTTGAATGTTCAATAAATAGCTTGCTTTAAAGTGGAATGTGTCAGGCAGCTGTTTTAAAACTGATATAAATTGCAGATTTAGGCCAATTTGGGAACAATTTGGGGATGGGAGTGGCTTTCAAGACTATTTATTTGATACATTGAGAGCAATAATAGTGCAATATTTTATAGTGTGACATCCCAAAGTATTTCCTCCATATAGTTCTGCTCATGTGTGGACACGATGTTTCTCCAGTAAAAATTGCTTCTATCACTCCCAGATATTTTTGACTAAAACATTTCCTGCCTTTCCATTCTGAATGGGACCTGTATGGCTGCTAAGAAACATTTGAAATAAAACAGGAGAATAATTTTTATTGCTGTCATGAACGTTGAATGAAACAAGGTTGTGTGAGTGTCATGGGGATCTTACTGGATGATAGCAGTGATAACACTCCTGATGAGTGGCAGAAGTCTTTCCCCCATCATTATTTTGTGCACTTTTAAAAAAATCTTATTTCACCATGTTTTAATGGATGACATCTAAAATTAATCATACTCTGAGTAGGCTCATTGGAATCAGTGAATTTAGGGACCTTAAGATACAGTGAGTTGCATTGCTCCCCACGGCTTCTTGGCATTAAGAAAAAGATGTACCCAATCGTAAGCCCACTACTTTCAACATGCTATTAATGGAACGTGGTTTAGATGCAAGCCTTGCTTTTTAATGTTTGCTTTTATTGTGTGTGTGTTTTTAGTGAATATTTTAGATTGTCTTTTGCAAACGGCTTAGAGATATTTTGTTTCAGTAAGCACTATATAAATTGATTAAATAAATAAGTACATTTACTAGGGAGTAATCCCCCATAAAAGGGACGTGGGTGGCACTGTGGGTTAAACCACAGAGCCTAGGACTTGCCAATCAGAAGGTCAGCGGTTCGAATCCCCGCAACAGGGTGAGCTCCCGTTGCTTGGTCCCAGCTCCTGCCAACCTAGCAGTTCGAAAGCACGTCAAAGTGCAAGTAGATAAATAGGTACCACTCCGGCGGGAAGGGAAACGGTGTTTCCATGTGCTGCTCTGGTTCACCAGAAGCGGCTTAGTCATGCTGGTCACATGATCTGGAAGCTGTACGCCGGCTCCCTCGGCCAATAAAGCGAGATGAGCGCCGAAACCCCAGAGTCGGCCACGACTGGACCTAATGGTCAGGGGTCCCTTTACCTTTACCTTAATCCCCCATGGGACAAGTGGGGCTTGCTTTCAACACACAGTGGTGCACACTTGCTTGGAAGTAAGCCCCATTGAAATAACTCTGACTTAATTTCAACCTCACACACTCAGGGTGATGCTGTAAGTCATGTAGTCAGATGTTGTTTGTTTTTTGGCTAACATTCCCTGTTTTTCTCTTTTGTAGATTCCAGGAGAGCTGCGCTGATTGATTTGTCTGCCACCCTGTCCGCCACAGAAAGCTCTGTCAGGTGACAGCATATGTGAGTAATTTCTCTCTCTAAATTCATACTGCCAATTCAGAAATATGGAGACCCTCCTCTAAAAAAAGATGATAATGGTGGCTTTTAAAAAGCAGCCTTGAGTTGCTTACACACTAAATGACATGCATTTTGGAGCACCAAACAGAGGCCTTTTTTTTCCAGCCGGAACTCAGTTCCGGCGCCTCTCAGGTGGGCACCATTGCCGTTCTAAGAGAACAAGGGAGGCGTTCATGGCGAGTTCAAGCACCTCTTTTCCTAGAAAAATAGCACGGATCAAACATATATAATTTTTAGCATGTACAAATACTGACACATGTTGAAAATGTAACATTGTGCTGTAGTTCTTAGATCAGAGAGACCTGACTGAAACTTACAGGTCAAGAATCCAACTATACACATAGCAGATGTGACAAAGCCTGAGGCATACCTTGTATTGGAAGTTGCTTGTTTCGTGTATTATTTATTTAACAAGATTTATATAGCTCTTAATCAACGAAAAACAAGAAAAGGTAATAAAATTGCATGTCTGAGAAGATTTGCCTATGTTTTTAGCAGGTGCCAAAAGCAATGCAACACAGGCACCTGCCTAAAGTTAATAGGCAGAGAGTTCGAGAAAGTAAATGTGGCGCCACATTGAAGGATTGATTCCTTGCAAGTGTAGAATGAACATTATGTGGCACCCAGGTGTGCACCTGATGAGGCAGTTGCAGTAACAGAGAGGCCCTGACCTCAGCTTATGTATCTTGCCCACCTGAGCTGCGTGCAAGCAGGCAAAGAATCCGTCTGCGTCAAACCTGCTCCTGCTCCTCCCTCTTCAGTCCCCTCTTGGTCCTGGGAGTCTGTGGAGCAGGAGAGGTGGGAGCAGGAGGAGGAGATGTGGAAGCCGTTGACTCTACACCAGCCTGACCTCTCTGTCCCCCTTCCTCCGGTAACTGTCCTTCACTGTCCAGTCCTGCAGCTTCTCCTTCCTCTGACTCCGGGCTGTTTCAGGCTTCTCCTCATCGCTGGATCCCTTCTTCCAAGTTAGTCTCCAACCCCCCTTCTCCTGGTGCCCGTTCAGAAGTATCCAGCAACTACTCCTCAGTGTTCAATACTTTAAAAGTTGTTGAAAACTTGATAGGGAGTGAAGGGCCTTGCATTTTAGGGCCAGGAAACATTTCTTTCTCACACCTGCGTGATCTTGAGTTTTATTTCCATCATTAGGGAAAGGACTGTGGGTGTTTGCGGTCACACACACAAACAGAGAGAGAAAGAGAGAGAGAGAGAGAAAGAAAACAGCCCAACTTCTACTTGCTGTGTCTTCAGACAGGAAAAGTGTTTTGTCCATACTCCGAGCTTAACTGATCATATTTGAGGCTAGGAATGAATTTTCCCCCAGGTCAGATTGGCTAGAGGTTGCTGTAGAACAGGGGTCAGCAACCTTTTTCAGCCGGTCCACCGTCCCTCAGACCATGTAGTGGGCCGGACTATATTTTTGTTGGGGGGGACGAGACAAATTCCTATGCCCCACAAATAACCCAGAGATGCATTTTAAATAAAAGCACACATTCTACTCATGTAAAAACACGCTGATTCCTGGACCGTCTGTGGGCCAGATTGAGAAGGCGATCTGGCCCCTGGGCCTTAGGTTGCCTACCCTCCTGTAGAATGTAGCATTGTCCCTTTTGGATGTTTTCTTCTTCAGGCACTTTTCCAGATGATACCTGTACTGCCTTCATGACATATTGTGGCCTGGATAGCATTGGTCAGTTGGTGGCGGATAACTTGCCATGCCTCCATGGAAGGAGCTTATACTAGGCAGCCTTTTAGTACTCTCCCTATTTCCATGCTTATCAGGGCACAGAGCAGATAATTCAGAGCCCATTCCAGCAATAGCCTCAAAAGAGTTCTGTCCCTTTGCAGTTCTCTTCCCTGAGGCCTCTGCCAGTCTGGGCTCGCCTTCATTACTAATCCAGTTGCAGGAAAGCCTCCCTTATTATGCCATGTCTAATCAGTCAGAAACGAGCCTTTTGAGAATGCTGGCTGCTTCCAATTACACTCCACTTCACCTTGGCATAAAGATGCAGGGACGATGAGAGAGTGTAAAAAAAACCTAATAGTCCTGTTTGATCCACATCACTGGCAAACTAGGTGTGAAATCAATTGCAGGCAAGTTAAACGAAATGAAGGTGGATTTTTAAAGCTGTTTTACCTTGAGAATATATTGGGGTGGGGGTGGGGGACAAACAGAGGGTATAGCATTGGAAACCATCATTGATGAGTTCCTGCACTTTAAAATTTACCACCACACCACTGCTGTGAGTTATAGTAGTTAGGTTACTGTTCACGAAATTTGGTTGGCCACTGTGAGAATAGGATGCTAGGCTGTTTGTGCCTTTGGTCTAACCTAGCAGAGTTATTCTTACAGTTTGCATTCTTTGTTCCTTGATTCCATTTTTGTTCCTTTGTTCCTTGATTCCTACGATGATTTGTTTTCAGTCCCTGTATCCTATTTTTTGCGCCCAGTGCCCTGAAAACATGAGCAAGGAAAAGGCTGAGTTCAGTCTTCTCGGAGCAGTGCATTTTCAACTGTGGCTTGGCAATAACCCATCTGAGAAAGAAGCTCAGTACAAGATGCTCAGTCATGCATAAGTCTGAACCCGCTATTGGCATTTACCCAAAGTGACTGATAGTCTAGATATACTGATTATTGAGCTAAACAGAACAGGTTTTGAAAATCTGAGGAAACGAGCTTTAAGTTGTTTCCTCTGACCTTGAAGCCTCTTCTCTCACCTGTGTCTGTTTCTTGAGCTGGAAATAAATCCATGAAAACCAAGGAGAGAGAGAAAGAAAGAAAGAAAAAAATATTCCTCCAGATCATATTCTTAAATGCACATTTTAAAAAAATCAATGTTAAGGCGCTTTACTATGATTCAGAGCTCAGCAGCAAGACTTTGTATAACTGCATTGAAGATATAATTTATACCCCGCCCATCTGGCTGGGTTTCCCCAGCCACTCTGGGCGGCTTCCAACAAAATATTAAAAATACAATAAAACATCAAACATTAAAAACTTCCCTAAACAGATGTCTTTTAAAAGTCAGGTAGCTGTTTATTTCCTTGACATCTGATGGGAGTGCGTTCCACAGAGCGGGAGCCACTACCGAGAAGGCCCTCTGCCTGGTTCCCTGTAACTTCGCTTCTCGCAGTGAGGGAACCGCGCTGGACCTCAGTGTCCAGGCTGAATGATGGGGGTGGAGATGGGAGATGCTCCATACAAAGCACAGTCTTTCCTGCACAGTTTACCCCTCACATAGTTACAATTCCCAGCAGCCCTCCACAAATTACAGTGCACAGAATTCTTTGAGGGAAAGAATGGGTTTCAAATGTCCTTTAAAGATACAGCGTACGCAGAGCCTAAGGCCATCCTTACCTTGGGTTGCCTCAAAGAATCATAATTTTAATCAAAGTTTACTTTGTAAGGGAGTTGACGTTTTACAAGGATCATAAGACGCTACCAAGTCTTATTGTCCTTTTAGCCCAGGATTATCGACTCTGACTGGCAATGGCTTTCCAGAGTCTCAAGCCGTTAATTGCAAATGACACTGGCTGGACACATTTTGCTGAGGGATGAAGAGTGAGGACAGGATCACAGTGGAAGGCCTGCCCTAGACTTCATGTGTTGAATAGACTGTAGAAAAAGGCCCTGTGTGAGTACAATCTTTGTGATTGAAAACACTGTGTTTTTTCTTCTCCTCAAGACAAGAGCTTTCCCTCGCCTTGCACTGAGTTGGTGCCTTCAGATTTAAAACCTAAGATATGCTCACCACAGGAGCTCCAATTGTCACATGATATGGAAAGCAGCTCCTAGCTTAGGTGCTTTTCAAAATCATGAAATAAATCACAACTCTATTGATGGCTGTTACGCACTGGAGGAGCCAAGAATGAAAGCTCCGTAATTTGCTTACAGTGCAGAAAGTTCTGTGTTGATTCTTCTTCAATCTCAAACAACTGCAATCTTCAAGTGTTCAAAACACTTCACGTTATCTTGGGAATCCAAGAATTCGTTCCCCCCTTCTGTCCCCATCGACTTTTCCTTTTGCGTTACTGATCATTTTAGATTGTAATTCTGAAGGCAAGGGCTGTGTTGTTTTTATTGAAAGGTCAGCTGCCCTGGGAGCAGTGGCGGAGCTTCATGCTCTGGCACTGGGGGGGCGGTGGAGAGCAGGTGGGGCTGGCACACATTCCAGGGGCATGGTGTGGCACCCAGCATGGGGGGGGGCAGCTGCGATGGCTCCCCGCCGGGATTGCGCTGCCAGGGGCGGTGCGCCCCCCCCCGCATGCCTCTTCTTCCGCCAGTGCCTGGGAACCTTTCTGGTTGAAGAGTGAGAAATAAATGCTCTGGATAAATAAATACATAAAATAAGGCCGGCTACCTCACAGCCCTCCAAACTTCCAGTCAGTGCTTTGTGGAGAGTGAGTTTGCAGCTGCCAACCCTGCTCCTCGACTGTGCAGAACATGAGAAAGGCACGACTACATTGCTACATGGGTATGCATAGAGGTCTGGCATTCCACCTGTATGAACATATTGAAGCTGCCCTGTGCAACACCAGTCTCTTCTTACATTCTCAGTGGTTGTGCTATACTTTGCAGTTTTTCCTCTTCTGCACACATTAACTGAATGTGTGAAGGGGAATCTGAGATGATTACTCTAGTGAGATAATGGGTGAGGTGAGGGTTGAACTTCATTGCTTGCTCCAAGGAGCTCAAATGTGTTCATTCAACGTTTGCCCCACTACGTTCAGCGGAGCTTATTCCCAGAGAAGTGTGTGTAGGATTGTACATTTAGACCATTTGCTAGACTCGCTCCTTCTTGCCCCAATATTAATCAAACAAAAGTGATCATTGTGGTGTATACTGAGCTTACGGAAGCCTTTATTTCTGCGTAAGAAAAGCTTAAATGAAAATGACAGTGTCTTTTCAAGTTGAAGTTCCCAAATCCCACAATAGGTTAGCAATAGCTACATGATACCTTAATATCTCGAAGTGGGAAAATGGCTGCCATCCGTTCCTGATGATGGCTTCACACACAGGGAACTGGTCTAATCTTTTTGAATCTTGCTGTGACAATTCCTTCCTCTTACTTCAGTCGGGCTGACATGTAGTCATGTCACTCAGCAAGTGAGATCCTGGCCCAATCAGTGTGTAAGTAATGAAGCATCAAGAGCCTCACATTCCCTATTGACTGAAATCCTCCAGACAGAACTGTCTTCTCTGTCTAGCTGGGTTCATTGGTCTTATAACTTATCTCTCTCACATTGACCTCAGAGTCCTGTGGCGAAAAAGAATTCTGCAACCAAGTTTGAAAACGTTACACTCACCATAATATTTGTTTCTGTCACCACCCCCAGTTTGTATTCACTGTTCCTTTTAAAATAAACTAAGAGGAATACACTGGGACCTCAGGTTACATACGCTTCAGGTTACATACGCTTCAGGTTACAGACTCCGCTAACCTAGAAATAGTGCTTCAGGTTAAGAACTTTGCTTCAGGGTGAGAACAGAAATCGTGCTCCGGTGGCGCGGCGGCAGCAGGAGGCCCCATTAGCTAAAGTGGTGCTTCAGGTTAAGAACAGTTTCAGGTTAAGTGCAGACCTCCAGAACGAATTAAGTACTTAACCTGAGGTACCACTGTACTTCTTTTTTAAAATCCTTCTTTATAGAGCTGTCTAGGTTTTGTGAACTGCAGGGACGGTCCTGTTTGCTGTCATACCACCATGGGAAATTTGCCCTGTGTAAATCCTGTGTGTGAGAGGGCTTTTCTAGGCGCGCGCACACACACACCCACACACCGGTGCATCTGGCCAAGCCATTGTATACATGTCAGCGCTGGGTCAAGATGCACCGCTTTGCACAGGCCTTTGAGGGTGGAGAGCAAGAACAGAATTCCCCCTCTCCATTTGATGTTTGAGTATTAGATGGTTTATTGTACTGAGCTGTACAAAAAGGGAAATGAATCCCAACCAACTGTAGATGTGATTTAAAAAAAAAATGGGAACAAAAATTGTCACAAACTAGTGTGAATGTGTATGGTAAATAAAAATATATTTTATGAATTCTGATTACAATTAAAAGCAAACAATATGTATCTTCCAAGATCCAGTAGCAAAAGAATGCAAACACCAACAATGTATGCTGCCAAAGTATCAAGAAACTGAACAGATGTAACTCACAAAGTATCACAGAACAAAAACACATTTTGACCCTGGTCTTCTTCAGTGGACTAGTCCCCCCCTAAAACAGCTCCTGCCACAATAAAATGATTAATTTGGGTGGAGTATTGTTTAGGGGGTCTTGTTGCGTTACTGATATTCTTTTTTCTTCCTCTTTAAATCCGTTTCTTAATTTTTAGTTTGGAAATTGTTAAATTTGGTTGTGCACTTTTTGGTGTGTTTTATTTATTGTTCATTACTACTTTTGTCATGTTTGCAATTATGTAGATCTTTTCATCTTGTAAGCCGCCTTGATCATGGTTTTAACTATGGAAAGTCAGTATACAAATATGGTGATGACAATGGTGATGACTAAGGTGTAACAGGAGGACCCTGTAGTTATTGCTGCATCTGACTAGCATGTCTACCCCTCCACAATCTGTTTCCAAGGATTCTTATTTATTCCACAAAATTTTTAACTTCCACCCCAATGATCTTCCAACAAATTTAGAATGGAGTGAGTTAACGAACTTTTTTAAAAAAGAAAAAGCATCGTGGGTAGTGCCAGAGGTGGGGTTTGCAACCAAAGAAAATCTTCTCATGCCAGTTGTGAGATCTAATTGTTCTGAAACAGTGTTGACAGAGCAGAGTGCACCTCTCCAACTGCAGCTGCCTAATCTTAATGGTTCAGTTTTTGATCTTGCAACCCTACAAAGTGAGATAATGTTTTGTGTCCTCCTGAATCCAAGAACTTGCTCATTCAGAGCAGGCTGTAACTTCATGTTTGCTGTCCTTTTCTCCTGTAGCTTGAATCATGGGGAGCAGTAAGAGCAAACCCAAAGACCCCAGTCAACGGAGGCGCAGTCTGGAATCCACAGAAAATATCCATGGTGGTTGCTCTGCCTCCCAGACACCCAGCAAAACCACAGTGTCAGATACTCATCGGACTCCCAGTCGTGTATTTGGAACAACTACTACAGAACCAAAACTCTTTGGTGGCTCAAATACATCTGATATGGTTACCTCTCCTCAGCGCTGCGGGCCTCTGGCTGGTCAGTATGATTCCTACCATGAGTAGAACTTTTCCAGACTTTTTAATAGCATGTATAATGAACATGCTTTTGGAGTTGTGGCAAGACGGCTCTGTTCCCCAAAGTAGATGTGTGTCTAGAAATACAGGGTCTTCAGTCCCATTACATGCACAACTCTTTGCACAGGGATCTTTTTAAGACTTTCATATTCCATGATGGGGCCATTGACCTCAGTGCTGCCCTTCCTACTTACATGTAATTGTAAAGGTAAAGGGACCCCTGACCATTATGTCCAGTCGTGGACGACTCTGGGGTTGCGGTGCTCATCTCTCTTTATTGGCCAAGGGAGCCGGCGTACAGCTTCCGGGTCATGTGGCCAGCATGACTAAGCCGCTTCTGGCGAACCAGAGCAGTGCACGGAAATGCCGTTCTGATTGGCAAGCCCTAGGCTCTGTGGTTTAACCCACAGCACTACCCGCCTTCCTACATGTAATTGTACGTGGTGTAAAAAGTACTCATCAGGGGCTTCAACATATTAATTTCCCCAGCACACGTTGCTTTTACAACAAGAGCCCTGACTAAATTTGATATGCAATGGTGTTCAGCTATAGTCTTGAACTTGTCTTGTTGCAGGTGGAGTCACCACCTTTGTGGCCCTCTATGACTATGAATCACGAACAGAATCAGACCTTTCTTTCAAGAAAGGGGAACGCCTCCAAATCCTCAATAACACGTAAGTACCTTTTGCCCAGGTGCTGAGCTAAGGGATGCATTTAATTTTGTAGTAAACATATTATTCCGTTGTGCTGCACAACGTCTATGCCCATGCTGGGAAATAAGAAAGGACAAATTCTTCCTTCTCCTTTCTTGCCTTCTTGTTTCCAGCTCTTTCTGTTAGGTGTTAATAGGATAAGTTGGGTCAGTTTAAATGCCTGGGCTTAGATAGCAGGGGGTACCATTTGGGGGACAAAATCCATGTTTTGATGTCCTACCGTCTGATGTTCCAAATTGCATCCCATGCTGATCCTAGGTTTATATTGATTTCCTCTTCTGCCCTTCAGATAAGCTTCCAGCTCGATTCCCCAGTACATGCAGGGAATCACTGGCTGTCATACAGTCACTGTAAATGAAAACTTGCATCCTCCTTTTCTTTCTTGCTTTCAGTGCTGCCCCAGAATGACTTTAGGGTTCAGCCTCCAGAAAGAACTCTCCATATAGCAGTCCTCACTGGACTGAGAGCCCAACTATGAGTTTCAGGGCATTACGTGGCTGCCCACACTCCACATTGCCTCCTCCATTCTTTATTTCCATACATAAACTCTGCTTCTTCGGCTGCTGCTTGTGGGAGTGGGGAGAATGCTGTGCCTAATGTGGTCGCGTGCCTTATTTAACTAAATAATACCAGGGAGGCTAGGGGAGCGGGGGAGGGGAGGTGGCAGCCACATGTCCCCTGTAACGTGTAATTAGGCCTTGACCCACTTATTCAACATCATCAAACAACGTGTACCGCACTAAGGCACACGCGCCAAATGGGTCAAGCCTTGTGCTTTGATCAGCGTGCTAAGCATGTGGAATAAGCTTGAGTTTCTACTGAAAGATAGAGATAAGAGGGCAAATGCCTGGGAAGCCATGGAGGTCCAATCAGTCAACAGCAAAGTCTGTCTGGCGTTGTAACAGGAAGTCCCAAGTCCCAATTTCTAAGGTTGGTACAATGGCTGCACCGGAATTCTCAGCTAAGATCCCACTTCAAATGTAGAATGTCTGCTTGATTTCCTCATGTAACTCCTATGGCATTTTTGCTGTGGACTGCAACATCCTTCTGCAGCATGGAAGGAGGAGAAGGGAGCATCTATGGGATGGCTTGCGGAGTGATTCTCATATGTGTGTATGCACCTACATCTTGCAGCGATGGGTCATTTATGCAGTTGGGATATTGTGAAGTGTAACTTTTCAGCAGTCCAGATTCAGCTCAGCTCATAGGATACCTGGCAAACATGGCAATAAGATATTTTTACCCAGCCGGGGGGGGGGGGGAGGGAATATTTCCTGGGAGCATTTAGCAGTCTAATGAAAGAAGAGAGTAAATTGTTGCATTCTGTCCTAGGTGGTGAGAGATAGTATTTCCCTACATCGTAGGATCATTGTGGAGGGAAACGGGATAAAGACAATAGAGCACTTAGCACATTAAAAGCACATTGTAAACAATTAATGATATTATTGCCATATGACTGGGCAGATGGAAGTGGCCTCTTCATAGCAGATGTTGGGCCCTCCCCCTGCTTCCTTCCAGCAAACGCATTTTCCACTCATTGCTCTGCTGTCTAAATATTGCTTCTGCCCTGTGGGCTGTCTGGGCATCTCTGGCCTTCTGGAGTCCTCCCACTCCTGCCTTAAAGTTTCCCAGAACAATGGGAGACCTTTAGAAAAGGTTGTGCTTAGTTAATTTTATTTTATTCCTTTTAAAGGTATGTTTATTTAAACTGCTGCCCTTTCCTGTAGCAGGCAATGGGTGGCTTGGTGCAAGATGCTGGGGACCAACAGTATGTGGGAGATGGTTAATCATCATTAACTACTTGTGAACTTTCCTGTGGAACCCGTTAAGAGACATAGGTCTGGACCTTTTGGGTTGTTCCAATGCAGCAGTTTTCATATGGAGAGAAATAAAGGTAAAGGGACCCCTGACTGTTAGGTCTAGTCATGGCCGACTCTGGGGTTGCAGCGCTCATCTCGCTTTATTGGCCGAGGGAGCTGGCGTACAGCTTCCGGGTCATGTGGCCAGCATGACTAAGCCGCTTCTGGCGAACCAGAGCAGCGCACAGAAACGCCGTTTACCTTCTTGCCAGAGCGCTACCTATTTATCTACTTGCACTTTGATGTGCTTTCGAACTGCTAGGTTGGCAGGAGCAGGGACTGAGCAACAGGAGCTCACCCCGTCGCGGGGATTCGAACCACCAACCTTCTGATCGGCAAGTCCTAGCCACCCTAAAGCTGCAAGTCATTTTGACACCTGTAGTTGTTCACTCAATTAAAGAGATGACTGGAGTCTTCTAGAGTGAGCAGAATTGAGTTCCTTCACTCTTCAAATCATAACTTCAAATGTTTGTGACTTGGCGAATGGAATGTTGCAAGTTCACTGTTTCACATTCAGTGGAAAAACCCGTCTTGAGAACTAGAAGCTGTTGGCTGTCCTGTTACTATTACAGAATCACTGGAAAGGGTGGCAGTTAGAAATGTTCTACATTGATTCCCATATCCATTTGTGCACCAAGAAACCTCTGTGTATTCAGAGAAACTTGAGGTGGATAGTTCATGCAGGGCACTGGCTAGTTTTCTACCTCAGTATATGTTCTTATTGGGGAACCACTGATAAGCTTTTTAGGAACACCAGAGTTCCTAGGAATACATTTTGAAAACCACAGTATTATGGCTATTAGCACTTGTGTATGCATCTTTCCCATTTTGAAAAGCATCTCAAAACTGCATTTCTTTTAATCTAAGCCCTGTCTCTTTCTCTCTTATATCCTGCTCCTCATGCTTTCATTTAGGAGAAAGGTGGATGTCAGGTGTGTATCTTCTATTTGATTGGCATAAGCAATAAAAGCTAACCTGATCTTTGATGTCTAAACTATGGGGGAAAGGATTGGGTGGGTTGCACTTTGGGGCCGGGAGGGAGAGCAATTTTATGCATTAAGTTTAAAGTCCTTATGGTTCTTCTCATTTGCAGACTCAGGAGTTTTAACATAGTTTTTGAGCATTTTTACTTTTGTAACCAAGCAGATGATATATTCTAGAAGTGTTGTTTCAACTGAATTTTAGATTTTGGAGTTTTATGTATGCATTATTATTTTTTGTTTCCAACTGGAATGTGGGGAGCGGAGGTGTCTGAGTTGGATAAATTCTTAGTCATGGTGATCAACCTTCTAACAGGAGAAAAATCAGAGTTCTGGGCAACATAAACAGGCATCATTAAGTACCTTGGTATGAGCTGTCCAGTAGCTTAGGGGTTTCCAGACTGCGGTCTGTGCACTACCAGCAGCCCATGAGCTTCATTCAGGGGGTCTGTTACATATCCACATTACATATTGATTTTGATTGCATTTTAACTGCCTCTTTTGTTATATTGCATTTTACTTTGGAATGCAAATTCAATAAATATGATAAAATACAATATAAGAAATAAAAGAAGCAGTAAAAAGACAATTAAAAATCATACGGCATGTTGCACAGCAGATGACAATTGCTACAACAGGCAAACAAAACAGTTTAGTGGTTCAACAAGACCATCAGCAATTTTCAATTCATAGGGGGAAATGGGACCCATTAGTAGTTATATGCCTTACTTGAGTAAAGTTTGCATATGCTTTAATAAGAACTGAGTACATAAAGCTGGCTCTGCCTGCTCTGAAGAACATTAAAATCATGTAGGTATATCCCAGACTTCTTATTGTTCTCCTTGTAACCATGTGGGTAGACATTCTTCCTATGAGGGACAAATGCAACTTGGGAAGGAGATGAGTAGATTTCACTCCAGTTGAATGCACAATAAACCATGGAGGAATTGGAACAGGAGTGGGACTCCTGTGGCCCCCTAGATGTCCAAATAACTCAGATTCAGATGACTTTGAGAAAAATAATGGTACACTATGGACTATTGGTTGAATTGTGGTGTTACAGGGCAGGAACTGCCTGTGTTGTCAACTGAGCTGGCTGTATCCAGCAAAGATTATGAGTGTGAAAGCACCATTCATTTAAGCTTATTATTCCAGCTCTTATATGATTTCATTTATCTCTTCTCCCATTCATTGCTTACTTGCCTAGGGCTATAATCCTACACATACCTAGTCTGTTTAAATCAACTGTAATGGGATATAGGCAGATAAGTCTGCAAGTTTTTTTTTTCTCTCTCTCTCTATCTCATGGGGAAATGAAGGTGACAAAGGGTGTATTCCTCTTTCTGTTCTGCACATCTGCTGTTGAGATTCTTTTCACTGACCCAACTTCATGTTACTAGCCTCTGAATGCAATATGCATTCTTGAAGTTCATGACAGGAGGTGAGAAAATGCTGCAGCAGAAGGATTTTATATTTGGTCTAAACACATTTACCCATGCAGGGGTAGCCAGCAAGCATTATATACCTGTTGGACCTTAAGACCTAGAAATTAAAGAGCTGCTTTTCCTGAGACCTCGCTGTGTGGCCCAGCCAAAATATATGCTATGCACAAGTCAAGTGGTTCTGACTTCTCCCTTGTTTTCCTCTACAACGTTTCTTACAAGGTCAGGCCTGTAAACGTTTGGAGCTAAAGTTTCTCTTGCAATATTAATGTTTTAATAATCTATTTGAGGCTTTTAAAACAATCCTGTGATGGTGCAAAGGAAATGGAGCTCTGCATGTTCTTCTTCTTCTTTGGAGCCCTGACTTGAGGACTTTATTTGGACCAGGTCAGGGTGCTAGAACCTATTTTCACTGTCTAGGGCTTAGGCCTTGAACATATGAAGTAGCAAAAAATCGCTTGAGTGTGTGCAGAGTTTTAGAAAATGTTCTTCTTGGTACCACTGAGCAACCACCACTAGCCTCCACATTTCAGGGATACATCAGACAGTATAGAGTCAGGTGCTTGCACATGGTGATATAATGAACCCCTGCAGCTTATGAATGGAAGTATCCCAACAGAGGTTCTCCATGTTATGGTGGCTTAAAGCCACTCCTACTGTTTCGGCACACTGGTCAGAAGTGGCTCAGCTTGTGCATGTGGGGCATCAGTTGTTTCATTCAGATTGCAAGAATAGAACTTCCATGTGGCAAAACCAGATGGCAGCTTTTAAAGCACCATTTAGGCTGGCAGAGTGAGAGAGGCGGATCTGTCCACCAAGACCTGCCAAAAGGAGTTGCACGAAAGCACATTAGTGCTGTTGCCTAGCTCTCCCTATCACAAAAATGAGTCTTCCACTGGGTAGCATCTAGGTGGACTGTGAACTGTGTTAAAAAAGAGGAGTGCCACTTGGTATGGCCAAATTATCATGATGTCTTGGCCAGCTCTGCCAAAATGGCAACCACTTGCCTGCCCATTGTTGTAGAACTATCCTTGAACAGGTTTGCTTCCTTGAACTTCTCACTATAAAAAACGTAAGTATTGCTGATATCCAAACTTGAATTCCGCAGGTAAGTATTTATAACCTAAATATTTTCCTTATTTTTTAAACAGCAGAAACAAAAATAGACATTTTTGAATACTGAAAGCTCTGGTCTTTGGCTATTTGGCATACTTTCCAGGTACAAAGCAAGCGTGCATTCTTTCGCTTCAAATGAACTAAATACAATATTGTAAACGCTGGCAGCTTCACAGCTGCCTCTGGTATAAATAACTCTGAGAACAGAATGGCCCTCATAGGAAGATGAGGTGGGGTTTTTTTTAAGGCTTTGTACTGAAGCATGTAGAGGAGAAATGAGTCTCAAGCTATGTATTTCACAATATCCAATATCGCTTCCCTGTTGGAGTTTAGGATAAGAGCGTGTTTCTCACAGAGATACTGTAGCAGTAATGAACAGCAATCTTTGGAATAGCTAAGGTGCCTGGCCTTCTGCCTAGCAACATGTTGCGAGGGGAGGAAGTTTCTGAGAGATACACACTGCATTTGGCAGGTTGTGCTGACCCAGCCATATAATTCCATAGCTGTGGTTGTAGTTGCCCGCCCCACCTGAGTCAGAGGTATGCAGAGGAGAGGAAGCCATTTTTGACTGCCTTTAGTAGAAGTGGATACCTTTGCATGAAAGATAGATGAACATAGATAATCGCTTAGTACCGTACAAGATAGGTTCAGAGGTTCTGATCGTTCAATTTGTTGCTTATGCTTTCGAAAGAAAGCAGCCTCATGCAGTGCCTTGACCTAGCAGCTTGGCTCTGGAAAAAAGTTTTATCTTAATAAACATTCTGTCTTAAGATTCATTGAGGTTTCCCAAGCAATGGATTTGCAGTGTGTGGATTAAATTGACCCAGACAGATGCTGACTCTGGGTTTCCCCATTCATTCCAATGGAGAGGTCTATCTGTAGTCCTTTCATAGGAGTTGGCATGTCCTTCCTCTGAAGTGGATGGGGAAGCACATATACCCTGGGGAACTTCTGAACCTCTCTAAGCAGTCACCAGATTGGGAGTGGTTATTAGTATTCCGACACCCAAAGATGAGAAGATAGCATGATCTCCCTACTTACAATGGATTTTCCTGGCATGTGCTTGCTCAAGCTGTTCTTCCCTGTGACATTAATCAGGACGGGGAACTTGGGGCTTTCCTTCTGCTTGGATTTTTCCTTTTGCAGCTTCCTCTTCCTCATTTGCACCTCATTATCTTCCTTCTGTTTTACACAGTTTGAGAAACAGAGCCTGGGTGAGGAGTACCTGTTATTTTAGAAGTGGTAGCTCGTGCATGACTGCATAGCAGCGTTTAGATGCTTTCTGGCTATGCACTATGTGGAAATAGTGCCATATTAACAGCTAGCCAGGCATACTTCTGGTGACTTTAGCCTGCAGATCTAGTATAATAAATTGTCCCTCTGCCAAGGCCAGCCAGATATTAGTTCCGCGCACCTGATATACTGCTATGCACCTAGGAATGTTTGTATTCATGAGTAGCCCCAAACATGCCCAGAACTCACTGTGTTTGGTCTTCATTAGCCTGCGTGGCTCTATAAACCTAGTTGTGGGGGTTATGGTAGAGCTGCCATACATCTCAAATTTCCCAGACATAGCCGGGATTCGGCTGTTGGAAATGGCATCCAAGCGACATTTTCTGGGGAATGTCTGGGGAAACCCGGATTTTCACTTTTTGAAATATGGCAACCCTAGGTTATGGCCATACATCCAATGTTTGTATTTTTAACTGGGACACTTCAGGGATAGAATGGGTCTAAATGCACATTCTTTACACTTCACCCTGTTTGCTGTTACGGTTCTGTTGGGGGGAGGTGGCAGTGAGGGGAGAATCTGCTTAAGAGTTGCACTGCTTGCAAAAGCCACCTCCCCTTCAAGAACTGCAGGGCAGTCTCATAAGCCATCAAGTCAACCCCCTCCTTTATGCAGGGGTAGACAGAGCAGTACTGTGGTACCTCGGGTTACATATGCTTCAGGTTACAGACACTTCAGGTTACAGACTCTGCTAACCCAGAAATATTACCTTGGGTTAAGAACTTTGCTTCAGGATGAGAACAGAAATCGTGCTCTGGCAGCGTGGCAGCAGCAGAAGGCCCCGTTAGCTAAAGTGGTGCTTCAGGTTAAGAACAGTTTCAGGTTAAGAACTGACCTCTGGAACAAATTAAGTACTTAACCTGAGGTACCACTGTATTAGCCAGCTTTGTGCCCATCGCTCATGAGTCCTGGCTGGGGCTGGTGGGAGTTGTAGCAAAAACATCTGGAGGACCCCAGCTTGGCAAAGGCTACCTTAGAGCACCTTCAGCAGACAGTTGACAGGCCCTGCTTGAAGACCTCCAGCGTGGGAGAGCCCACCGACCCCTTGGGTAATTAGTTCCCTTGCCAAACTGCTCTTCCTTTCCCTTTACTTTTCAGTCAAATTCTACCCCTCTCTAACTTAAGCCCACTGGATCTACTCCTGCCCTCTGAAGCAACAGAGAACAAGCCTCTGCTCTCTTCTTTGTGATAGCCCTTCATGTACAGTGCTATCATGTTACTAGCCTCCAGGAACAATAAATAGACTGAACCTGGCAAACCTGTCAGTTGGCAGAGCATTCTTTAGGGAAGGCACCACTCAGAGAAAGCTCTGCCCCTGGGAGTGTTGAGGAATCCAAGGTGGAGTCGCCAGTGATGAGGAGAGAGTTTTTGCACTGAAAGGGTTTGCTTTGTAGCCTTGTAAACCCCCCACTCCTTCCACACTTATTTACTCTTCCTCCAATCAGCTCAGGGTAATGTGGCATATCTTCCTTATTTTTATCTTACCCCTTTTATCCTCCCAACAACTCTGTATGCGTAGGCCACTTCAAACCATTTATTTAAGTGGTGTACAGTAGAATTGATCCCAAGCAAAGATTCCCCAGCTGTGAAGGCAGGGGTTGAGGCAGCCTCTCGAATAGGTAGGTTAAGCTGAGAGGAAGAGAGAGAGAGCAGCTTGTTGAGAGCCACTTGGTTTTCATAGGGGCTGAACAGAGCTTTGAACCCAAGTCTTGCCAGGCTCCAAACCAGGAAGATTTATCCTTCACAATTTGTGTCTCTGCTTAGTTATTCACTCGTCTGGAAGGTTGTTCTGAAAAGTTTATAATCTTCAGAAGGTCTCTCTCAGGACTGCCTTGGAAGAAATTGCAGGGGTTAAGAACGAAAAGCTCAGTTTTCCCTTGTGGTCGCAGCAAATTAAACAGGGACAGCAAAATATCACAGGAGGAGAGAAGGGAGCATCACTCATTTCTAATATTCAGGCTGCCTCTTGCAGCCTCTTTCTCGAGTGAATAACATTCCCACTGTTCTCTGGCATTCTTCCCACTTCTGCCCCAATTACAATAATTCTCTTGGGTAACAGCCATGTGTGTGAGGGGGGGGGGATATCTTTGAGCCCTTTTTAACGGGCTGGCATACGATCTTATTTTGCCTGTCATTCCAAACCAAGTATTCCTTCCCATAGGAATGGATCCAGTTTCAGTGTGCTGGCACTATAAGGCCGAAAACAGTAACTGAAGCATTGTCACAATTAATACATCAGTTTGTTAACAGCAAATAAAATTTGGACAAGTTACATAAACAATATCAACACAAGGCTCTCTCCCCCTCCCCCCCATTTACATAATGGTCTGCATTCTGGGCAATAGCTGGGTAATCTATTGTGAGAAAATATGTAATCACTAGGAATAAGGAGTTTTCCCCTCCAACCCTTCAGGTAGCAGAGAGATGGGGAACCTTCAGGCCAAAATGCAATCCTCAGGCTTATCTGTCTGAGCCTCCCCAGGACACAAACCCTCACCAGTCACACCTGTTTGCCCAGGCCATCTTTCACCATTCCTACTTTGCATGATCATTGAGTGTTTCTGCCTGGCTAGAATGTGTCCTTGGTCTCTGATAATTTATCAGATGTTGTCACTTCCCCCATTTAGTATAAATCTGCACCAGGGACTAGCTTCTGCTCAGTTCATGTTGGGACTGCAGGTGTCAGGTGTGCTGATGGAACATGCCTGAGGTTTAAGAAGACCCCTCTGTCTAAAAGCCTGCTATCAACCCATGCTCCCAACGTAGGTGGGAAGGTTTATCGTATGCAGGATTTACCAACGCAAACAAACATTTGGGCATTGATGTAACCTTGAATCCATCGTTTTATATAACTTCTCCATGGTGAGGTATCTTCCTGATACGCAGATTACATACTTTACTTCTATCCGTAGTACTGTGAATCTCCCATCAAACAACCTGCTGAACTGAGACATTAAGTTGGTGTGCACCCACTGTGTAGGCAACATTTTAAATAGCTCCCCTTGTTGGTTACTTCTGTGTACACCACTCTGTGGTACATGATTCTGCAGGGAATCATTTAAAACAGCCTCCATCGGCAGCTGTTTTGTGTGCATTGATCCTTGCAGTTCTCTGTGGCATGCACATCTGGCTTTACCAACTCATTTGCACATGTGGGCGGGGCAGGGTGTTTGCATGAAAAACATGGCTTTTAGTGCCAGAGGCAGAAAAACCAAATGATAGCCCCATATATAAAACACAAACAGTGTTTTATAGTGTTGTAAAAAAAAATCTGCCCTTTTCTCCTTATGGGGTATCCAAGAGCCCATACAGAGATAATAAACGCTAAACTATTTGCTGCACTTTAATCAGTCACCTGCTGCCTTATTGCTTAAGGTTGGCGTCATCATGTGAACCAATTTTGTTTTCTGTGATGCGGCAATTTTATGTTTTTGCAGAGGAGAGGAACTATTTCACACATCCTCTCCCTATGATAATGAAGTGGTGATGTCACCTGTGCATGTTGCACTGAGTATTGTTGTCCCATTTCCTCATGGTACCTATGCTGGCCAGGCTGGTGCCATGATTTCACCAGTCTGATTTTCAATTGCATTAATCCAATATATAGGTGGGAGGGAATAGGTTCCGTTATAATTTCCAATCTGCATGAGTTTCTGGTTGACTGTCCCTGCAGACACGGACACTGGAAGCTAGAAATTTGTTCCTATTCAACTAGGTAAACATGAGCACTGTGTCAAGGATCCTGCACCAGTACAATTCCACGTGCCCCTGAGTATTGATGATGCCAGACAAACTCATGCCAGTTGCATATCATGTTGCAGATATAACAAAACTGGAGTGAACTGCAGATGGCCATTAAAGTGTGATAAAATAGCTAGCATAAAAATTGTCTTTGCCACCACTTGGCGCCCCAAAACTAGTTTTTCTGGAGTTGTCTACTAGACCTTGAGAAAGCTGCTGCCAGTTGCTGGCTGCTAGATAGGTCAGTGGTCCGACTCAGTGTCATATGTGTCCAAGTTTCAGACGTTGCTCACTTTGCGGAGCTTCCTTCATGCTTCTTAAAAACCTGTGAGAAATAGCATTTGATTGTCTTTTGATGGTGATGCATAATGTGTCTTGTTTTCACGGTTATATATAATCCTTCCTATACCTTCCCAGGACGTGGGGAAGATTTTTCCTTTTGTTTAGAAAGTTAACTCGGTGACAGGGGAGTCAGTAAAATCCAGAAACCTATGGAGGAAGAAACATTAGGTTGGCACTTGACTGGAGAGTACAGTTTTATCCGTTCCCAGGCATTTTGGAGAGTTAGACTAACTATTCCCACCGGCTGCCTCCTTGCCAGTGGCAGTCTCTGTGTGATTCTGCAAGATAAAGACATTCCAAGCCACCTGGACATTCCAGGAGTGCTTTGGGGCTTAGTCATTTTAGCACAGAAAAGAAGAATGCAGGCCTGGGGATTGGGATGGGGGGGGGAGTAGTCCTGCCTGCATTCTTCACCCTCTGACCTGCTTTGCCCCGGGATATATTGCATTTACAGTGCTATGTCCTGTGTGGGATGCGGATAGAGACTGCTTGGAAACTCAGATTTCTTACCTGACACTACTGGGCCCAGAACATATTTGGTGTATTAAATTCCTGTGTGGGTATTGCACTTATTCTGCTTTCCTAAATCCACAATAAACCATTCAGAATTCAGCACTTCTGCAGTTTGGCATGACTTAGTTTCTTCTAGGAGAGACAGCAGCTTTACATAATTTGGTAGAGTGATGGAGTGTGGCTTTGAACATCCTCTCAATCAAGTCTTGCTAGCTACAATTTCTGTAAGAGCCTGAGCTCGCTGCTTCTGAAGTCACTGGGTTGTAGCCATTGCTCAGAACAGATACGACTTACTTAGGTCCATTGATTTCTATACTTGCTTACTGCAAGTATAATGTAGTTGGATAAAACCCAGCATGGTATGAACATGTGTGCCCACGAATCCTAGGCTGCAAGTAGAATTACAAAGTAAGATACATTTCCTTACAGCATATTTTACTCGGTTCTGATCTCTTCTACATCCTTCTCCAATAAGCAGTTGGTTAATAGACATAATGGCCCCAATCTTACAACCATGGTTAAAAAATTTGGAGCAGGCTGTGCATTGATTCCACCCCTTCTTGTGAAACCGGAAAATTATTAATTCCCTATAAAGTGGTCTCAGCCTCGTAGGGATGACCAAACCCTCGGAAGATACATACCTTAATGTTGGTGTTGATATTTTAGGTAGGAGGGGTGTAATTTGCCTGTGGTGAGGGGAGCGCAGGAGATCACAACTGGCTTCTGATCTCCAAACTGTTAAGAGAGCGGCCCATTGTGCCTGTGCTAAACCCATGGTCATAGCCAGGATTTATGTTGGGTGGGGGAGGAAGCAGAATCAACACAACTGGTCAGTTAGTTAAGTATTTGTATTTATTTATTTGATTGGGGAGCAGCTGCCTCCCCCCACCTCCACCCTCCCCTTGGCTACGCCCATGACTAAAGCTATTGAGAGCGACTAAAGCTAAGTTTGTTAAATGTGTGTTTCACATTTCTTTGCCTTTACATTTCTGCTTGATGGAGGAGTTCTGTGCAACTCAGAAGATTGCATAATCCTCAGACTACATTGCCTTACCTATTCTGCATAGTTTAGCTTATCCAACCAAGTAGCAGTTTGTCTACGGACTTCAGATACAGCATGTTTGTGTCCTTTTCTAGGATATAGTTTCTCCTTCATTTCTTATTCTCTCCCACCACCACCCCTGGGCTGCATGTATGTACTCTAATGTTATATGTTCCTAGTATTGCTTTATGCTCTGTGCGTTTTTTAAAAAAACTTTTGCTTTTGAGCTATGTGTTCCCTTTTTATTATCACAATTTTTCTTTTTTTGTTTTGTTTTGTTTTTGTGTGCCTATTTCCTCCCCATTCCCAACCCTGCTTTCTTGGACTTCCAATGCTTCATACAGCAGCCAGATTTGGTTCAGATTCAAATGGCTCCAAAGGTATTTTCAATGGGTACTTGACATGCCTTTTTAAGTAAGGAAATTCCTTATTTAAAAGGATCTTGTGTTATTTGTCATTTAACCAAACTAATAAGGTGCCAGCTGTGGAATCTCAGATAATGACACAGTTCAGTTGCTATGGAGACCACCTTATTTGCTTGAGTTATCCTCATTACCGGCACTCCAGTCATGGGTTGAAGAGCTCGCTGCAAAGAAATCCTGCATTGTTTGATTGGAATATATCACATAAATCATGCAAAACTGTTTTTGTTGGGTGAATAGGTTTTTATTTAATCAACATCCTCTTCTTTTTGTCTAAGCCAGGATGGCCAATCCATGTTCTGCAAGCTAGGGATGGGCACTTCTGTCTATTTTGGTCTGTGTCCCTTTTGCATGGTTTCACCTGTAATTCCATTCTGATTCATTTCCACATTAATCTGATTTTTAATTTTTGTAAAAAAAATCCTCTCAATATTTATTTAAGTATGCATTTTAATACATATGTAAATGTAATTTGAAAGAATATAGATATTTAAAAGTGTATTTTGAGACATTTACATGTCCAAGAACAGTGTTGCAACTTTTGGAGAACTGCAAAATACAAAGAATAGCAAAATTCCAACCTGCAGATTGACCCCAAGTTATTTGTGCAGGAATTCACAAAGGCTGAATTCCTCAAGCATTTCTAGTGCAAATCAGATTTGGCTCCCAGCAGCCCTACCAAATTTGAATCAATGTAAGCTTAAGCCACCTTGACAGAATTTTTATTCAGAAAGGTGGGATATAAATGCCTTAACATAAATAACATAAATAATAACAACATTTCATAAACTGTATGTATTTTTTGTACATTTAATGTTGCTTTCTCTTATACCTTCTGGAAAAGCAAAGGGATTACCTACTGATCAGCTTCGAGGGGAGGGGCAAGATTGTTCAGGAAGTACCTTCATGTACACACACACACACACACACACACACAAACCTGTTGGTTACCATCAACTTCTTTGTCACGTTTCACCATCCACGAAGGGGTTGCAGAATTCTGACCCACAAGCAAACATAGAGTAGGCCACAAGTATACAGTTTGACTAGCCCTAGTCTAAGCAGTGGGGTCAAGAGGAGCTGGATTGGAATCAACAGGGGAGTTTGGGGATGCCAGTGAGTTGGGAAGGTAATTTGACCTATTTTGTCTTCACTGATATATTCCTTTGTTTTGTGTTTTGCAGGGAAGGAGATTGGTGGCTGGCTCACTCGCTCACAACTGGCCAGAAAGGCTACATCCCCAGTAACTATGTTGCACCCTCAGACTCCATCCAGGCTGAAGAGTAATTGAAATATTTTAGATAGTTTTGATAAACAGTGCAATGCTTCTGCCAAGCCTTCTAGCTTCTAACCCAAGCCTTCTAGCCATAACGGTCAGGGGCGCCCCACATTTCCCCAGATAATTCCTGACTTTGTGTCAGTAGGATAGTTCACACATGTATTTATCCTTTAGTTGCTGTGTGGAAGAGTGGTCTCAGACTGAACACTGGATCTAGAATTCTCGTATCACTTTGGACACAATGCTCTGAGGTTGAATCAGTTCACTCATACAGCTTTAAGCCAACTTCAGTGGTCAAGAGTGGAGTAATTGAGTGATGTGTATTGCTAACTTGCTGGCCTTTAAGATATGATTAGTCTTGCCTTCCTATTAGATGTTCAGCGCCATTTTTGAAAAACACTGGTTTCTTCTGTGGGAAAAAACACACTAGTGAATGCCACAATATCTGAAAAAAATAATGTCAATGATTGTATAAATCACATGGATCTCTAAGAGAGAGACCTAACCATTCGTGAACAGTTTACTATGTGTTTCTCACTCCCTACACCTGGCTTGGGGAACTTCTGGCCTTCAAGATGTTGTTTGACTACAACTCCCATCATCCCTCACCATTGACCATGCTGGCTGAGGATAATGGGAGCTAGAGTCCAACCACCTCTAGAGGGTGACACGTCCCCTGGCTCTGCCCTCAGTGAACCTTTCATACCATTCAGTTCTGTTTATGATGTACAGTTCCTAATGTCCTGCATGTACCTACTGAAGCTATTCAGTTTATTTAATACTGAAGTTTGCTTTCCAACTAAGTCACTTTTGGATAGTGCACTACTGGATATTTCCACTTTACTAGTAGGTACTAAATTTTTGAACTTCTGGGCAGTTTAGCATTTGACAGAAATGTTTATGACCATAAAAAAAATATGAGCTTGCTCTATGGTTTGTTAGCTATAAAAACTCATTTATACATGGAGGTTACCATTTATCATTATAGTGGAATAAGCATTTATGTATGAGTGCTACCATGATACTGGTGTGCTTCTTAGAATGGGTTCAGAATCGTCCACATTTTTGCACAACGTCCAGGAAAATTTCACAGGATTTTGAAACACCTCCCAACTTTGTGGCCTGTTTCTCCAATCCTCGGATGACATTTTGGAACAGGTTTTGTTTTTCACATTGCAGCTTTTGTGGCAAGGAGAATCTAGAAAACTGTGGGGACGAACCCCCCTACTTTCCAGTGATCTAACTTAATATCTGTAGATGGAATAAAAGTCTGTAAATGAGAACTCCTTCATACAAAATGCTTCCCCCCCCCCCACTGATATTACCCCCGTGTAAGAAACAGTGTGTACAAAAGGAGCTGCAGATGATCAGGCCCTTCTTAGAGAAACACTGTAGAATGAGTATTTAACACTTCTGAGGCCTGGTCTGGCCCAAAGATGCCTCTCACAGAACCATGGATCAGGACAATGTTTTCCTGGCATGAAAACATATGAGCTTCCTTCAGCCTTGGCGTTCACATATTTATCAGGCTTTAAGGAGTTAAGAATCTAGCAGCCCTTGGCACAATTTAGTGCATTTCAGAATGTCGTCTTTTATCCTAGGATAAGTGATTTATGTAAGAACGTAAAAAGAGCTCTGCTGGATCAGAACAAATGCCCATCTATTTTAGTATTGTTTTTTTGGAAGAGGCTAGTCAGATGCCTCTGGGAAACCCACAAGCAGTGTGTGGAGTGTTCCTATGCAATGCCTTCCTCCAGAAAACTGAAATCTTATTCTCCCATAACTTGCATTTTCCAGTTTTCCCCCAACAGTCAGTCAGCATTTTATATTGACTGTAAAGGGTAAAGGGACCCCTGACCATTAGGTCCAGTCATGGCCGACTCTGGGGTTGCGGCGCTCATCTCGCTTTATTGGCCAAGGGAGCCAGCGTACAGCTTCCTGGTCATGTGGTCAGCATGACTAAGCCGCTTCTGGCGAACCAGAGCAGTGCACGGAAACGCCGTTTACCTTCCCGCCGGAGTGGTACCTATTTATCTACTTGCACTTTGACGTGCTTTCGAACTGCTAGGTTGGCAGGAGCAGAGACCAAGCAATGGGAGCTCACCCCGTTGCGGGGATTCGAACCGCCGACCTTCTGATCGGCAAGTCCTAGGCTCTGTGGTTTAACCCACAGCACCACCCGCATCCTTATTTGCACATTTTTGGGTTCCCCCATTTAGTTTCTCCCCCCCCCCCGCCCCCAATGATATGTTACTTCTACAAACCTTCCCCCAAGCCTAACAATACCGTTTTTGTTTGTGGGCAGTGGTATTTTGGTAACATAAGCAATGGCATTCATACTTAAACATTGGAAATAGGAATTGTAGCCTTTATACTCCATGAATTTGTCTAAAATCCTCTTTTAAAGCCAAGTGAGTCAGTGGTTTTCATCACATCTTATGACAGTGATTTTTCACATATGGGTTATGCATTGTTGCACTTCTTTTTTTTTTGGTCTGTCCTGAACCTACTAATTAATTTCAGAGTTGCAAGGTATTCCTGGGGAGGTCATAATTATTCTTATATTTTATAGAGCCCTACTTTCAAGCTCTTGACCCAAAGTATGAGGGCTTAGCACTTCAGTTCAGACATTCAGAAGAAAAGTGTGTAGTGTTGCTTCCTGTTGGTCAAAATAATAATAAGATGATTAATCCTTCAGTATTTAAAAAAAGTTAACAGTGACTGGAAGAACTTGGGAAAATGGGATCTCTCCCATGCTCATGTGTATTCCACTATTGTAGGTGGTATTTTGGCAAGATAACCCGCCGAGAGTCAGAACGGTTACTACTCAATCCAGAGAATCCCCGGGGGACATTCTTGGCAAGAGAAAGTGAGACAACAAAAGGTAATGGCAATTTATTAAGAAAGTTAACATCTCTCGAAATAGCAGTTTCTATGAGACAACCTGGTGTTCAGAGCTCACTTCCCTTGCATCCGGGACAGTATTGGGTTTTCCATGTTCTTAAAAGACCGCTTCCTAAACTTCTGATAACCAAAGTGCATTCTTTCTTTCCGAATTTAAATTGGGAAGTAAAGCCCAAAAGACTTACTTTAGCAGGTGTAAGAATTAGGTGGCCTCAGATGATCAATAAAGTGTGTTTCTGGGTGAGTCGCCATTCTGGGTGTGCGTCTCGACTCAACCAGAGATGCACTAAAGAACTATTCCAAGTGCAGGTATTTCTGCTGCAAAGGGAGGGTGAGGAGGGGCCTACAGACACAAGGATATGGACAGCCTTGGGCTGCTGAAACTACTTGGGGAAAGTTCAGAGTGCTAGTATGAACTTGCCCCAGCTGGGTTCTTATCTTGAGATACTTAACTATGATAATAACAAGCAATAATAACTGGTGAGTAACGCTGGCAGTTCAGCATTATAGCTGCCACAAATGTGCATGGACTCACTTTTAATGGAAGTTTACAGCATTGGAAGTTTTCAATTCCAGAACCCTGGTCCTTTTTCGTTCTGGCCCAAGGCTCTTAATATCAGGTATCTTAACCCAAGAGTGTGTGTTATTACTATGTCCATGTTCCCCTCCTCACCCTCACCCTCTCTCCTTGTATGCTATCCATAGTCTGTTCTGTCAACCAAGCAGTACTCTCTCTGACTCCTGCCCTGTTCTGATTTGATTGGTGGAGAACTGGATGGGATTTAAATATCTAACATAAACAGAGATTCTGGTCCTGTGCCTGTCCTCTTTACAAAGGAATGGGGCTGAAACTGGGTCACTGAGCTGGGAATAGCTGGGTAACCAATGGCAACAAGGAACTCTGCAGTTCCCTCCTATCCTTGCTGCCAGGGGCAGTTTGTTGTTGCGTTTATAGGAGTGGTTTAATGAAGTTTGTGCTTGGGTGTGAGTGGCATTGTAGGAACCAGTTGGTGGTAGCAACACACGCGTGCCAGAAATAAAAGCCATGCGAGCAGAGTTTAGCTGTGGATGTCCTTCCTATTTCTGTCCTATGTGACTGGCATGTCAAGACGGGCATAAGCACATGGAGGGATCAAGCATCATTGCTGTGAACAGGTCAGATATTTATTAGAGTGAGGAGAGATGCACTGGAGATATAGTAGGAGTGGTTACTTCAGCAGTGACAGAATGTCTGCCAGGCACATTCTGTTCAATATATTCAACTCAAGATTTCTCTGCTCTTCTCTGAAATTATCTCCAATGTCATATATACAAAATCGTCGTGTGCGATCAGCCCAGGAAACTAACTTCTAGTTCTTGTGGATGTGAGAATAGATTTGAGAACGGGCAAGCAGTGCCTCTTTAGTTGTACAAGCTGGAAAAAAGGCTAAGTAAGATTTCCAGATGTTGGAGGAAGACCTTGGTGCTGTGCATGATCCCTAGCTCCTCCTCATGACTAGTAGAATCATTACAAACCTAAACAAAATAAGGAAAAACATGCTTAATTTGAATAATTCATGCAGGTTGCAGAGTTCAGCTTTTTCTCACTTCAGAATCTGGGTACCTGGTGCTGTTGCCAATTATCTCTGCATAGAAAGTTTTGCTCATGCAACCTCTGTAACCTGGTGGTTTATTATGTTGTGGATATTTTTGCCTGGAGCTAAAGTTGGGAGCTGACATACAAATAATGTGTGATGTGTGAGACACTCTGTGGCTAGCCACAGAGCAGAAGGAATGGGGTGGTGGTGATTCCATTGAGGACAAAAGCAGCAGCCAATGTGGCCAGGATGTCTTTGGTACCTAGCTAGGTATTTGTCTTCCTAACAGGGATCACTCTCTAAGGAAATTCATTTGCACAACAGAAGCTCCAGTTTCTTTTCTCCCTCCCCCCAACCTCCAGAGGGGGTCCCCATCTGCTCTGGAGGGCCCCCCCTCTGGAGCAGATGTTAGGAGCATACTAGAAGCCAAAGGAGAGGAAGAGTTAATACTGTAATCCTATGCTTTACTAATGGCCTTAAACTTTACAGAACATTAATATCCCATTCAGGTACTAAATAGTTCGTTCACATTATTAATTGCAGTCAATGTGTTGCGGGTAACACACAAGAAATTGAGGACTGACCTCTTTTAAAAAGCCAGTTTCAAAAATACTGCTGTCCTGTGTTTTGAAAACCTTTGCCCAATAATCCTAGCTTCCACAGAACTTGTGTCAGCTTTTGGGTGTTAATGCAACAGCAGTTTCCCCATATAATTGGTGCATAGCATTAGCAATACAGGAAGAAAGCACAGTTCCCTATAGATTTGCTGCCAGTACCTATTTCCCTCCCCTTGAGGTGCTGCAGCAAAGGTCTCTGAGCTTTACGTTAACCCTGCACAAATTAGCTGCTGAAGTTTGACAGGATCAGAGTGGAGGCTGAGCCAGCTGGAGGGCATAATTAGACAGACTTGGCCTTGCCAGCTGCTTTTGTTCTTCAAAGGTATCTACTCTGCATCCTGCCCCCCTCCCTTCATGTGAATTCTGCTGTGAAGTTACTAACCTGCTGACGGCAGCACCAGCTTCCTTTCATGGACATGTCATGAAGACATGTGAGAGGCTTCCTTGAAAACCTGTGTGTTCAACATTTCCCCCATCCTAAAGCGCCACAAGGAAATGATTAGTAGATAAGGTTTTTAATATATTAGTTTTCCTATACTGTACTTTGTTCTCATTTTTTACTGCTGGCTGAATCAGGGTATATGCATATGCTACATAGGAACATGGGAAGCTGCTTTTTATTGAGCTGGACCATCTAGGTCCATCTAGCTGAGTACTGTCAATGTTGATAGACAACGTACTTCTAGAATCTCAGGCGGGTCTCTCCCAGACCTACCTGGAGATGCCAGAGACTGAGCCTGGGACCTTTGGTTTGCAAAGAAGCATAGCTGTCAACCGTCCCTTATTTGGTGGGAAAGTCCCTTATCCCAACGCCGTGTCCCGCTGCTGTCCCTTATTGATGATGTCCCTTAAATTTCCCGGGTTTCAAAGGAAGCAGCTCCTCTCCCTCCCTCCCTGCTGGCCAGGGAGGAGGGAGGCTCCAACTGTGTTGCTTGGCTGCGTTGCTCACCCAATAAGGAGTCTAAGAACGACTGGGGGGTGGAGCTTGCATGCCTTGTGCCGATCAAATCGGCCGCATTGCCTGGGGACTTGCCTTTGCTCAGCGCTTCCCAGCGGAGAGGTGACAGTGGTTTTCCTTGCTGCATCCCCTTTGCCGGGTTGCTGCGCTGTGGGAACCACCGCTTGAGGCTTCGTTTGGCTGCTGGCTGGGTTTTGGAAAATCCCTTATTTTGTGCTGCTGATCCCTTATTTTTGAGGCTGCTGGTCCCTTATTTTCAAATCTGTAAGTTGACAGCTATGAAGAAGACATCTGAAGGCAGCCCTGTTTAGGGAAGTTTTTAATGACTAATGTCTTAATGTATTTTTAATCTTTTTGTTGGAAGCCGCCCAGAGTGGCTGGAGAAACCCAGCCAGTTGGGCAGGGTATTATTATTATTATTATTATTATTATTATTATTATTCAGGGACTCTACCACTGAGCTACAGTCCTTCGCTTCTTTGTTCCTTGGGCATCTAAACCAGGGTTTCCCAAACCTGGGTCTCTAACTGTTTTTGGACTACAGCTCCCATCATCTCTGACCACTGGTCCTGCTAGCTAGGGATGATGGGAGTTGTTATCCAAAAACAACTGGAGACCCAAGTTTGGGAAACATTGATCTGAACTTCTGCAGCATTGTTAATATTTTATTCTAACCTTTGAAATAATGAATAACACTATCCTCTTGGTAGTCAGTTCTGCTAAACAGTGGCTGCAAAGTATCTCTTAAACCCAATCCTGAGCTGTGTCCGCTTTTTCTTGGTAGGTGCCTACTGCCTCTCTGTCTCAGATTTTGACAATGCCAAGGGACTCAACGTGAAGCATTACAAGATCCGCAAGCTGGACAACGGTGGCTTCTACATCACTTCCCGCACACAGTTCAGCAGCCTTCAGCAACTGGTGGCCTATTACTCCAGTAAGTTCCATTTCAGGTTCTGATAATGCAGGATTTCTTTGCAGAATACAGAGGCTCTGTCTAAGGTGCCTTGAACTAAAAAGCAAAAGTGAACATACTTGGATAGCATCTTATGGGCACCATATGTGCTTACAGAGATTGCCACCCACTACCATAAAACAGCATATTGGCTTCTTATATTGGCTCCCTGTATATTATTCCATGATAATTAAGCAGACTGATCCATCATGATCTTGAGCATCAGTGTGTCTAGCTTGTAACCAGAAGGTTGGTGGTTCGAGCCCACCCAGGGACGGCTGTGGGCAGAATTTCCTGCATTGCAGGGGGTTGGACTAGATGACCCTGAGGACCCTTCCAACTCTAGAGTTCTATGATTCCATGAAATCAAAAGGTTGTAATGGTGTTATAATCAAGCTGCCACTGCACCACAAAGCTGCAAATCTCAGTTTGCCTGACATCAAGCAGGATGGCAAGGCTGAACAAGGTGACCCTTTCAAGAGGTTTCTGCTGCAGAAGAAAATAAGTTGGAAAGATACATATTTTCTGGATGCTTCTGACTTGGGTAAAACACTGGCACAGTGTTAGAGACAGGAAGTGATTGTCAGGTGACAGTGAAGAATGGTAAACAGTGCAAGAGAGAGATGGGATGAAAAAAGAAAGTCGGTTTACATTTGGTAATCGAGATGGTAGGGAAAAGAAGCTGGACAGCTTCTTGGATGATGTTCTTGTTAGGATATTTCCGTTCCACCTTAAAAGGGAGCAGGCTTTGTGAGTCAGAGTCTGCGTATTTCCTGTTTCCACAGGATGTTTCTGTTGTGTCTTTTGTTTTCGCTCTCTGTGTCTGGAGACACTGAAGCAGGCAGTCATGTTTTTCTTTGTTCTGATCAACGCTGAATAAAACTTGTAAATAATGCTCTCCTGAGTGTGACTTTTGCTGTGCATTATCTGCTCACAGAGCGTGCATTGAGTTCTGGAATGTGGCAGGCTATTTCTGGAGCTCATGTCGCTAATTGCTGATACTGCGTGCCTACGGGAGATCGACGGACGTCCGGACACGGCTTGGGGGCCATGATGGACTTTGTCTCCCTGGCAGTATCCCAACAGTTCTGTCTTCAGACATAGATGGTTCTGATCATGTTGGTAGTACTTCACTGCATCCAAGAAAATATGCAGTTCCTAATTTAATTATGGGATTATTGTTTGCTGTGAACTGGCCCTAAGCTGACCTGCCACTTACTGAGTCCCAACTGAACAACCATTCAGTTCTCTTCAGAGCTGCAAGATATTAGTTGTTTCCAACAATGTGGACTTCTAGCTGATAATGTAGAATTGTGGGCAATTATGAAATGGTTATAAGATTCTGGCAGCAACCTGGAAATTCTGGTGGGCAATCAGTATGAAATCAGACCAAGGCATATATATCTGCCTTTTGTAACTGTATTTTAAGATTTTAAAATCTTTCTTTTCTTAGCATGGTAAGATGTTTGATAAATCATAGATAGTGCTTCTGAACTTGTGATAAGTTTCTTTCTCTTACATTGGAGTCAGTATCTGGCATTAGGAACCTGGTTCTAAGAAGGCTCTTTTTGGGAAATTACTGTTTTTTGCAATTTCTTTTCTCTGAGTTAGGTAGAACAAATAAGTAGGGCAATGAATCCTTATAGGAAATACAGTCTGAGACACCTTAGAAAGTGTTCTGGTGCTTGTTCCGTGCTTGTCCCATTTAAGTGCTTCCTTGGGATTTGAAGAACATTTTATATAGAAAAATCACACACACACACACACACACACACACACACAGAGGGAGAGAGAAAGTATAAGAAATAGAGACTCAAGGAGATTCAAACTGGGTTTGAGAAGGAGAGAAATAGTTCCATATTCTTAAGACACATTTCACTTAAAGTGATGTTTCTTATGCCTTATTGTGATATCTGTGTTCCTCTTCCCCAGAACATGCAGATGGCTTGTGTCATCGTCTCACCAACGTCTGCCCAACCAGCAAGCCTCAAACACAAGGTCTGGCAAAAGATGCTTGGGAAATCCCCCGGGAGTCACTGCGGTTAGAGGTGAAGCTTGGGCAAGGCTGTTTTGGAGAAGTGTGGATGGGTAAGGATTTCTAGCAGGTACCTGAGCCACAAAGTTCACCTTCTAGTCCAATGGGCATATTTCAGGCCATGTCTTTCAGCAAGGGGAAATTAGGCAAGGCCCCCGGCTGCACAAACTGTAGGAGGCATGGTACCAGCTTAAGTGTTCATCCGTGAAAAGGATGCCTTGTTAATCTACTTATATTTCTACTCCAGGGACCTGGAATGGCACCACCAGGGTGGCAATAAAGACTCTGAAACCTGGGACAATGTCTCCAGAGGCATTTCTGCAGGAGGCACAGGTCATGAAGAAGCTGCGCCATGAGAAGCTTGTTCAACTCTACGCTGTGGTTTCGGAGGAACCCATTTATATTGTAACAGAATACATGTGTAAAGGTGAGCAATGTATTAAGGGCAGTGTACTGGATGCCTTGTTTGGATGGTCTCTCCCTCAGACTGAAAGGGCAAAATTAAATGGGCTAGAAATCTAATGTTGGGAGCAGAAACATTTTACCTCATCATTCGGAACAGGTAGCATTTGGAAAATGAGTTTGTCAATTAGGCATCATCTAAGCACCAATTCACATAACCCAGGCATGGCCAAACTTGGCCTACCAGATGTTTTGGGACTACAAGTCCCATCATCCCTAGCCAACAGGACCAGTGGTCATGAATAATGGGAATTGTAGACCCAAAACATCTGGTGGGCCAAGTTTGGCCATGACTGACCTAACCAAATGGATGTGTTATAGATGTGGGCTGAATGGATTTACGTGGTTGTTTGTGTGGTTTTATTGTATCTGTGTGGGGTTTATTATCTGTTTGTAAGTTGCTTTGGGTAGCTCTAGGCAAGATAAAAGTGACTTTAACCAATTTAATAAATAAGAATAAGCACTGAAGAGGCCTGGTGATTGTTTGGCAAACCACTGACTTACAATTCAACCCTTGCTTCCCATGTTGCTGCAACATTTGAGGAGTGTAAATTACAATTCAGTCAAGATGTGAGAAAAAACTAATGAAGGGTTTTTGTTAAGGCTTAAATTCTTACTACACTCTTTAAAAAGCAGCTTGTTGGCTCAGTTAAATTGTATTGTTTGCTCTGTGAGATTGAAACAGCTGCAAATTCTGCAGAGGGAAAACATCTGCAAGGGTTTAGGGCTTGCTCCAACTTCAATTACTGACAATTGTATGTTCTGCTCTAGGGAGCCTCCTGGATTTCTTGAAAGGGGAGATGGGCAAGTACTTGAGGTTGCCCCAACTGGTAGATATGGCGGCTCAGGTGAGTGTAGCATGCTTTAAGAGCCAATCTACATATGCTGTAGGCTTGTAGGATGCTGCTTTTCCAGATCTGTATGACTCCAGGCTGCTGGTGGAGGATTGCCTATTTTGCATGTTTGCCTATAATAGTATCTCCCTGCATACAAATATTTAGCAAGACAACTAGCTGTTGTAAAATCTGTCTCCCTGACATGCTGCTTTTCTGTTGGCGGGGGTGTTATTGGGGAAGCATTTTCCAGGGCCCTTTGGTTTCCTTTAAACCAATGTAAGATCTCTGACCATGTCTCTCTCCCTTTTTGGCATTCATGCCTCTTCCCATATCTCATTTTCTGTGTGCGCCAGCTGAGACAGAGGGCTGGTGAACATCTGTTTCAGTCAGTGCCACATTAGCAGCTATGCAGGATAGGCAGCCCACATGATATTGGCTGACAAATACTTCATTTTTCATAGGTTTAGCTTTATTCAGCCCCTCTGCTTTCAAGAGAACTGTAGGCTCATTTGACTCCAAGTTCATTGCTTTTGCTGGTTGGTTTGACATTTAACACTAACACACACACACACACACACACACACACACACACACGGCTTTACTACATTAGTCTATATCTTCATAAGTTACCTGGATCCTGGTAACCCTGGGCTGAATAGAGCTGGCTGATTTGACTAATGCTTTACAGGTAAGCTCTGATAGATCATAATAATCATTCACGCAAATTCGTAATTGTCAGGGGTTCAGGAGCAGAGGCACAGGAAAGGGAGGAAATAGAGAGCGAGGGGGAGGAGTCCGAAGGAAATGTTAGCGATGACAGCGGTCCGAGGTCTCTGAGTCTTTCCAGCGAATCGGAAGATTCCACAGAAAGTGCCATTCAGGCAAAGGGGGTGCCGGGGACACCCCCCAGGAAGAAGAAGACGGAAGGGGACTCAGAGGCAGCAGTTGGAAGTCAGGACCAGCGTCCACACCAGGTGCAGTAGGGGGAGGGTCCCAGGCATGGGATCAGGCGTGCCCTGCCAGTGGGAGGACATGAGTCCCAGGATTCCATTGCGCCTCCATCGGGGAGCGGAAGCGGTCGAGGAGGTTGAAGGCTGGGCGCGCGCATGGGGTTCAAATGTACAGGAGGGGCGCGCAGTTGGCAGCCCGGATGGGGCAGGTCCCAAAGCCCGCGAAAGGGGAGGAGTCAGGGGTCAGCGTCAGAAGAGTCCAGGAGGAAGGTTTGGGGTGCAGGACCCAGAGGAGAAAGGAGGCAATGCTGAGAGGTGGAGTAAGGCTGAAGTCTTGTTTTGGTGTACAGGGGGTGGAGACTCAGATGGAGCCGCGATCCTAGCCTAGGCGTGCAGAGCTGGGCGCTGCGGCAGTGGAAACTGTACTTCAATAAAGACTTTTGTACATTACTGCCGGCTAGCGTTGGTCCTCTGTGAGCTGGGACCTGGAGCCAGCTCTGACAGTAATGTATATTTTTTACTACATTTATATCCCACCTGAACTTCAAGGACCTCAGACTGGTGTACATAGTTTTCCTTCTCCCTGTTTTATCCTCAGAAAAACCCTGTGAGGTAGGTTAGGCTGAGAGACAGTGACTGGCCCAGGGTCACCCAGCGAGCTTCATAGCTAAGTGGGGATTTGAACCCTGGCGTCCCAAGTCCTAGTCCTGAACTCAGAGCTTTCCAAACTTTTCAAGTTGGTGACACACTTTTTGGACATGGATCCTTTCACGACACAGTAATTCATTTTGTGACATGGTAATTCAGTTTTACTAGCCAACCGGAGGTTAAACTAACCCTTTCCAGCCCAGGAGGAGTGTGGGGAGCATTCGTGCAACACACCTACACACTGCAACCAACACACTAATGTGTCACAACACAGTTTAGAAAGCTCTACCTTAACTATTCCACCACACTGATTTTCTTTTGTGTTTGGGATTGTTCCAGATTGCATCTGGCATGGCATATGTGGAGAGGATGAATTACGTACACAGAGATCTCCGAGCTGCCAACATCCTTGTGGGGGAAAATCTGGTGTGCAAGGTAGCTGACTTTGGACTGGCCCGGCTGATTGAGGACAATGAATACACGGCAAGGCAAGGTATGAGCTGCACTTTCCACTTGAAAGAAATAAGCAGCCGCAAACTAGTTAATGCTTCAGAGCTGGAAGAAGTCTGGGTAGCAATGCAGAGTAAAAGCCCCGCATTCCAAAAGCAGGAAGCGTTATCAAGACAACGTGAAAAGGCAGCCTTCATGCCAACATGACAAACTGTTGAGTACATTTCTATGATTCTATGTCCTGGATTCCTGCACTTTTGCTACTGCCGGTGAATGATGCAGAAGTAGTGGAAGACTTGGTTGCCAACATCCTTCATTTCTTCCTTTTGTGTGTGCTGAATAATATATGTTTTGGTTTTTTTACAATATGCTTGTCTGTCTTGTTCAGGTGCTAAATTCCCCATTAAGTGGACTGCCCCAGAAGCTGCTCTCTATGGCCGGTTCACCATCAAGTCAGATGTATGGTCCTTTGGAATACTGCTGACTGAACTGGCCACGAAGGGCCGAGTACCATATCCAGGTAAGTGTGTGTTTTTCTATACCGTATTTTTCGCTCTATAAGACACACCTTGACCATAAGACGCACCTAGTTTTTAGAGAGGGAATGCAATAAAAAAAAATTCTTTAAAGGGAGCGCTGAGCAGAGCCTGTATGCATCCCAGGCTCTGCTCAGCTCTCCCTTTCACGAGCTGCGTGGAGCGTGTGTGCGGCACTTGCGGGCTTTTCCCCGAGGAGGGAGAAGGGCAGCCCGTCACACTCCATGCGGCTCTTTAAAGGGAGCGCGGCTCTTGCTGGCTTTTGTGGGAGGTGGGGAAGGGACAGAGTGCAGCTCAGCCAGAAGCTAGAACAGCAAGAGAGAGCACAGCGATCCCTCTTGCTGTTCTGGCTTCTGGGATAGCTGCGCAGCCTCTTTAGGGCAGCGGGATGAAGGCTCCCCACTGCCCTGAAGAGGCTGTGCGCAGCTAAGCCAGAAGCTAGAACAGCAAGAGAGAGCACAGCGATCCCTCTTGCTGTTCTGGCTTCTGGGATAGCTGCGCAGCCTGCATTCGCTCCATAAGACGCACACACATTTCCCCTTACTTTTTAGAAGGGAAAAAGTGCGTCTTATAAAGTGAAAAATACGGTAGGTCTTTCTACAGGTGCTCAAAGGGGCCACAAGACCAGCTATAGCAAACTACTCATTCACTTGGAAAGGGACAAGGATCTCCAACGCAGAAGAATACTGTCTCCTACAGTGCTAATATCAGAGATAAAGCCTGCCTGCTCTTTAAGAGTGAAAGTCAGCAATTTACCCACCCACACCTCCAACACTCTGTGGAAATATATGTCTGATCTTTGTGGTGTGTTGCTGAGCTCCAAAACTAGAGATAAAAAAATCCCTCTGCCTGTTCTTTACAGAGGATCTTTAAAGAGGAAGCAGAGCATTTTAATGCTGTTTAGATCAGGAGATAAAAGTTGTGAGGTTGCATCCTGTGGTTTGGTAGAGTAGCTGCAGCCCATGGACTTGTGGGTTCGCCCAACCACCTTGGCTTATCCTATTCTTTGCATTTTTAATATATTTTGGTTGTGTTTTTATTTTTAATTGTTGTACGTCATTGTGAGTGGTGCATGGACACTAGTCAGGTAGAATAGATTTTAATTAATTAATAGCTTTGGAAAAAGAAAGCTAATATATGATTTGTGGAGGATATACACCAACAATAAGACCTTTCACAATTATGAGAGACAAAATCAGCAAGTGTCTCATGGGAAATGGATTTCTCCAGAGTTTTAATTCCTCTGTAGACTTCTGCTTTCCTTCTGAAGCCCCATTCATATATTACTGTTGCAAAATGATACCCGGGGGGGGGGGGACGGAGGACACCACTCCCTTTTATTCATGGTTCAGTTCCACATCAGTAATATTATGGGCGGCTCAAATCCCTGAAGTGGTCTACAGCATGAGAAAAATGACATTAAATACAAGAGAAGTTTGATAAACAATAAAATAGTTTCTACAGACTATAAAAAACATCCGTATGTTACAAACACATTGCAGGATTGGGCTATGGGGAAAATCCCTGCGTCCCATACCCAGCTAGTGCCTAGCTCTCTGTTTGCTGGCAGGAGAAGAAGAAAGGTAACAGGCTTTGTGTGAGAGATGGGAAGTTTGTGACCCTCCAGGTGTTATTGGGCTCCCATCATCCCTGGACGTTGTCCTTGCTGGCTGGGGCTGATGGGAGTTAAGAGTCCAGTATCTGGAGGGCCACAGGCTCCCCCTCTCTGCTTGATGCCAGACTTTAGGAACGCTACTTAAATTGCTCCACTGTAATGCAAATTGAACTATACTTAGTAAACAGGAGCATACGTTGTTAGTGACACTTCTGTATATTTTGGCTAAACTGTTCTACTGAAGAGCCAGGTGGCATACTCCTTTTCTGAGAAGTGATAATGTATGGGATCCAGGAGTGGTATGCATGTATGTACACTTACATGCAAGTAGTACCAGTACTCACAGTGTTTACTGAACACCTGTCTGCTTTTGTACCAATAGGTATGGTGAACCGGGAAGTGCTTGATCAAGTAGAGCGAGGCTACCGGATGCCCTGCCCACCAGAATGCCCAGAGTCTCTGCATGATCTGATGTGTCAGTGCTGGAGGAAAGATCCTGAGGAAAGGCCGACCTTTGAGTACCTTCAAGCTTTCTTGGAGGACTATTTCACATCAACAGAGCCTCAATATCAGCCAGGCGAGAACCTATAGATCTGGGAACAGAATTCCGTGCCAAAGACTCTATGCTGCTCCTACTGCGTATGTGCTCAAGCGAGAGACTTTGAGCCATACTTGAAACATGTCTGGAGCACCTGCCAGGGTCTCTTCCTCGTTCTGCTGATTTGCCCTTCCTTTTGAGGATGGTACGGGGGGCCCTTTGTTAAACAAATGTGGTGCCCTTGGCTGTTATGGGTTACCTAAGGCCTCAATAGGTCATAAATTAGCAGTGTCATGGTTCTACTTTTTGAAGTTGGCTACGGTGCAGAAAAACAGGGTTTCAGAAAAGCCAAGTTCTTCCAGAAGAGAAGAGGCCAAATAAAAACCAGGGATCCTATTCCTGTGGGCCGCCTGGCCTCTGGAGTCTGCCCTCCCTCCAAACCATCCTTCACATCCATCAGCAAGAACATGGCAATGCTGCGTCTGATGGTGATGATGTGGGCTACTTCATGGCTGCATGGCTTCAAAGCACTTGGGTCATCTCTGATTGACTTAGTGGTGATGCTACAGCATTATGCCTTTTCAAATTCATATGGCTTCTGTTCTCCTTTATGTCTGAAACCAGCACAGTTTCCCCTTTCCTTGTCCCATCCAAACCCCACTGCGTGGAATTGGATTGACTGCTTCACTCCAGGAAAAAATGGCAGCCCACTTATATTTGGAACATGTCACATTTCCATGTACTCATGGTCCTCTTTTTTTATATGTGTATATATGTACAATCTGGGCCACTGAGGATGTGTCACTGTCCGCCCAGTCTTGTCTTGTGCGTGTGTGGTGCACTTGCTCTTAGCCATAGAAAAAACAGGACTCAGGGTGCTGGGTTTGCAGTTCAGTTGTAGGGTTTGGTTCATCTTTGCCTTGGAACAGCGATAGCAAACATGGTGCCCTCCAGATTTTATTGGACTATGATTCCCATCATCCCTGATCATTGACTGTATTGGTTGGGACTGACAGGAGATGTAGTCCAACAATATTAGGAGGGCACCACATTGGTTACTTTGATGTTGAACTGAAGGAACTTCTTGAGGAGGTCATACTCTGCAATTGATTAGGGATTTTAATTCTGATGCTTGTGGTAGTGATGGCTTGCACATTTTTTAGAGCTGTGTTTGTTCTTGGACTGCAGGCTTGTCTTCCAGCCTAGCCTTTCAACCCTAATAAAGTGAAATTATGAACAGAAATGTCTTAGACTGGCAAGAAGGGATATACTCTACCTGGGTCGTAAGTCCCCTAAATGCCAGCTGTTAGCCCAGGGAATAAAAGTCTTCCACATGGCATTTTAAGAATTCATCAAGTACATGGTTCCTTCTCTTTTCACATCAGTGCATCTTAATCTTAACCATTTCCAAGGCTCCTTGGTCCCTCAGGGGCATAATATTGCTGCTGGGCAAACTTCAGCTGAACAAGTTGCTCTGCAGTGCTGCATCAGCACAGTGGGTGCACTTCTGGTTCAGACAGGGTAAAGAAGCCTTGCATTGCCCTGCCACCTGAGGGCAGCCCCCTTCTCCCATACAGTATATGAGTAAGTGATGCACATGGGGAAGAACAAATCCAACAAAGAAAGTAGCAAAATACATAGAACCCTGCAAAACTTGATTTTTGTCCTCCCTCACTAAACCTGCGTCCCAGTGCTATATGATCCCCAGGATGACCCCTTGCTGGAGAGAATTTTAGGTCAGGGGTTTAACCCAGCCCTGTTCTAAAACTACTGATAAGAGCTTGCAATCTCCACACAGGCCCCTTCTACAGAGCGATCCTTTAAGAAATGCAACTCCCTGTTTATGCTTCTGATTTGGTTATGACCTAAAACTAGTCCCAATTATTCCTAGGGTACAAATCATGCCAAATGTCCTTGTTTTGCCTCTTCTATCTTCCTTCCATCTTTTTAAGCCTTATTGGCTGAAGCAGTGGGGGAAAGTGAGGACAGGAGCTGAACCCTGTGAAGTACTAATGAGCAAACTGCATATTACATTCCACTGCCTGTATTTTTTCCTCTAGTAAACTAAAGGCAGTCACTAGGCTGTGAGTTTCACCAAAGGAGCATTAGAGGGGAGGGCTGCTTAAACTTGTACCTTCTGGCTGTCTTTCAGTTAAAATTACCCCTTCCCGAGCTGATTCGGAGTGGAGGGGAAACTGGGAGGAAAATGGTTAAGTTGAAGTGCAGGTAGATACAGTTCATGTGGTGTTACTCTGCTAAAAACTCACAGCACAATGAACTGCTTTCAGTTCAAAAAAGCAAATGTCAGAGAAGAGAAATATGCAACTACATTCAGTGTATAGTTTGGCCATAAAAGTCCTTAAAAATGGATGTTCAGGCTTCTGCTGGATCACACCCTGTGTAGTCTCTTCCTTGATCACTTGTCACTTTCCACATATCCTGCAGAGCTTTCCATACTCATATCCATCCTGCTGCACATCAGGAGCTGTTTTTAACAGCAGCTGGCATTTGAGCAGCTGGTTGCAGTTTACATTTCAGCTTGTGCATATGCAACAGAATTCAACTTGGCAATCTTTGCACTGTCGGAGGGGGGAAGCTTTTAGAATCAACTATCAGTCTGTTTTAAAATCAGCAAGATGATGCGTCTCTGAATGCATGCCAGAATCATCCCCTTCTTGGAAAAGAGCAAGGAACTGAACAAGATGGAGATTTAGGCACCAGTACCTAGTCCCATCAGCAGCTGGTGCTGCAGCGACCTTACTCCATGACCTTCACTCACACGGAGGAGCAAAATATATAAAGCTGCAATGGACTTGGCTGGAGCATGCCTGTTACATTAGCGCTTGTTAGGCCAAGGAATCTGCACCCCAAGGGCAGATGGAGTAATTGTGCACATCACGCTAGGGGAGACCTGAGATGCACTCCAGGAGCTGGCATGAGAGTTCAGACTTGGAGCCACGTTGATTTGTTAACTAGGGCAATTCTACAGACAACACACTGCATCCCAGACTCACAGCCTCAAAGGGACTGAAAGGGCGATTTTTCCAAAGTGCCTGTTGTGTGGGCCGTGAGTTGAGGCTGATTAATTTTTTAAAAAAACCAAAAACCAACAAGATTGCTTCAGCATCTTAACTTCTTTAAAACCAACAAGATTGCTGTAGCATCTTGTCAGAAAACTCTCACTAGTGAAAGGTGGGTCTCCTTGTCACTCAAGGTAAGCTTTCAGCTGTCGCTTCCTCAACAACATGCAGTGTGCTTGTCTATCTAACTAAGTCTTACTTGGAGGAGAGCCATTGAAATTAAGGAACATGGAATTAATGGACCTAAGTTAGTCATATTCCTTAATTCCAATGGGTCTGCTGTGAGTAGGACTAGCATTGGCTACAACCCTTATGTTTGGGCATTCCATGATTTCTACCAAAACATTAATAGAATAGAGCCAAGTGCCTCTGTGCAAATATATACAGCAACATTTGACCGGGTTTGAACCCAAATAGTTACACTTGCTTCATTTGACACAAGGCAGATAGCTGAATGATTTCCATATGTAACACTTGTACCGGAAATCCCAAAATCCCAAATCTATAGAGCCGCCCCTCCCCACCTTTAAAGTCCTATTAAAACCAATTAAACCTGTTCAGCCACAAGTATGACTGACTCTCTCTGGCTTGAGGCCTATGGTTGCCACTAAGTCTCAAGCCTACAGTTCACGAAAGAGCCCTATTCCTACAGAGAACAGCAGTTTGAAGCAGCTTTTGGCCCATGTTTGGAGTGGAACCTTGCCATCGTCACACTGCAGAGCGAAAAAGTGTAATGAACGCCAGTTCCGCAGTTTTCTCCAATGTGGCCTGCCACCATCCACAAAACCCTTTCTAAGCGATATGCAAATAGATCTGCCTTCTGTTGCAATGGTTACTTCTATTATACAGAAAACCCTTCTTATTAGGAGAATTTCTTAACAGCTGTAAGATAGCCCCTCCCCCTTTGTATATAGCTCTTGAGTCCTCTGAGTTGTTGCTCAGTGGCTTTGGATATTGATTTAAGTGCATGTGACTCTTAAAAGTGATAAGAATGTTTGTTGCAATTGTACTTAGCTGGAATTCATTGTCGTCGCCGTGCCATCACTTGGTCGTCTTACTTTTTCATGCCTAAAGTTTGGATGGTCTCCAATGTGCCAAAAAAAACCCCAAACCTCCAAGGGCAGAATCCCCCCTCCATTTATCCGATTTTCCCTTATTCAGGACCAATTTCTGGCAGGACTGGGTTTCCAAGAACTTAATTGTTTTAGACAAGTAGGTGTCGTGTTGCTTCATTCATTCTCTGTTTTGCCCTCTCATTTGAGCAGGATGTTTTTTCTGCTGTTATCAGCTCAGTGTTAGACTGGGAAAGGGGTTTTGGAGGGCGGGGTTTTGCTCAGAAAGGTCCAAAGTGGAGATTTGATACCTCTTATCTCATTCAAAGAGAAAGGTCCACAGTTTTTGAACAGAGGACCTCTGTCCACCTCAAAGGTAATTTGACTCAACCAGAGATTCTTTCTACCAGAGAAGGCACCAAAAATGGTATGAAGTTATGACAAGATATTGTGTGCTTCCCCGCCACTCAGTCCTGCACCCTTGCCTTTTGGCAGGAGAAGGGACCTGGAATGGGGCAGAGTTCCCATATTTTGCACAAGCTCCTTTCCCAAAAAGTCCAGATTCAAGTTTTTATGATGCTGAAGACCAGGACTCAGTATCTTTTTGAGGTTACTGAGCCAAATCTCCATCTTATGCCGAGTAAGTGTGTGTACCTCAGAACCTCAAAATGCTCAGTGCATCATAGCAATAGTGTTTAAAATTTAGTCATGGGTTCTCTTAGGTGCCTGTACTTTCAAACAATTGCTTTGTTATATGCCAAAATCCCCACCTCCTGCAGAACTTCTAGTAAAATGCATACTTTTATTGTGTTGGGAACAGGGTCTGCTTTCCTTTTTCCAATGCGTTGTAGGAGGTACGGATAAAGGGCAGAAACTTACCCCCTGCCTTTCTGTATCTCTTCTACACTGCTTATTCATAATATGCCTTATGCGTGCTTTTTTCCATATGTACTCAAAAGACTATATGCTAGGGTTTTTTTTGAAAAAAATCATTTTCTCAGATGTATTGAATTCAAATTCTGCTCCTATGAGGATCACTTCAGCAACATACCACATCAAATGAGAAAGGAACTAAGCTGGGAATTCAGGAGACTGTGCCTTCCCAAACCTCAAAACATTCAGTTCTCTTTCTATTCCTTTGCCAAGCTGAACATTCCCTTGTACCTCCTTCACATCCAGGACTGAGAAGGACTTTGCCCCTTCAGCCTTTTTTTGGTATTCCAGTGTGCCAGTGTATATTGAATTCCCACCAGAACTTTCCTTTGTTAAAGCATGGTTATTTGGAACACCAATGTGGGGCTGACAATTGGCCCGCATGAGAAACAGCCTTTTGTTTTGTATTTTATTTTTTGGTGGAATGCTGCTCCCTCTAGTCTTGTTCGCTTTCTATACCAGTCCATCCTAACTGAGGTGGCAAATCTCTGTGTCTGGGTTGTGCCACTTTTGAACTGAGCAAGGGCTCATATGATTGCAAGGTTTTCCTTACAATAAAGAAAAATAATCCATCTACAAAACTCTCTTAAAGTGGGGAGTAGGCTAAATCCCTTCTGATATTTAATTCCCTGTGCAAGGGGGGAGTTGACCGTATGACCCGCCTGCAATTCACAAAGTGCAGCCTAGATGCAAGTTTTCTGCCTCTCAGAACTAGACCTAAAAATCCAGTCTCTTAAATCTGTGATCGAGCCATTTCCTCACGGTGTAATATTACTGTATTTAGGGGATTTTCTTTAGCACCATTCATTTGTGAGCAGGACTTACATTGGGGTATTCAAATTATGTGACCAGGGTTGTTTTTTTGTACAAGCTGGAACAGTTATTTTACCGGAGTGATGGGGTGTGTGGCATCCTTCACTCCAAGGAGATGCCAGATTTGTTGTTTCTGTTCAAGTATGTCAAGAAACCCCTTTTGCTGAGATGGAAGGAAGGAATAACTTTATTTTTAAATGTCAGCCACCACGGAGAAACAGCTTCTTGACAAATACAAAATGAATCATATACCTAGCTGGGAAATGCTTCAGTGTAGGAGCTAAAACCAGTCTCTGTGTGCGTATGTGTACGTGTGTGTATATATAATATATATAGATATTAATGTATAAAGAATCCTTTTTTCCAAGTATGTACATTTTTTTATATTAAAAAATCAAGACGAGTAGATCAGTTTAAAACCACAGATTTCTCTTCTGCTTTTGGTATAGCAATAATGATTATGAATACTAATTTAAATGAACAGTGTACTTAATCTTGCTTTTCTTCTTTGTCACACACAAATTTTTCAAAGAAAAATGACTCAAGATTCCCTTGTGTGAACTTCCCCGTCTTCCCCTGCCCATCATGCATGGCATAGGCGACTTTGGTACACAGGAAGGATGCTTGTATACTGGAGTCCATCTTCAGATCAGAGCCTGACCTTTGCAATGAACTCATGAACTGAAGGAAGCATTAAGAGAGCTTCTTGTGTTGGCCTTGTTCTTCCTTATTCACGTCTTCGTTTTTTTTAAAGCCCACAATGTGTGAATCTGTCAGAGGGAGGCTCTGGCACTGGCTGAATGAAGTTTAAACAAGTCCTTACACGGATTTCTTCTGCTAATGTAATTCTGTGCGTGTGTGTGTGTTTGGGGGGGGGGGGACTGCACACATTTTGTAAAATCTCCAGAAAACTATGCAGAGAATGTAATCAACTTTTTCTCTGTGTCTCTTTCTCCCGCCCCTCCCTTTTTAGTGTCAGACTACTTAACTCTTTTTTTGAAAATAAAATGTTATCAAAAAAATAAAATTGCTAAATGTATGGAGATGAAAGTCCTTTTTTAATTCAGCGGTGTATGTCTTTTTCTTTCCATTTTTTGCAGTTTTGTTAAATACAAGTAAATGGTACACAGGTGTGGGTGAGAGAGGGAGAATCATAGAATCTAATCCAACCCCCTGCTTTTCAAAGCGAGAAATGACCTGCCGTCTCAAATGTCATGCAAGTCCATATTGACATCATTGGGATGCCATCCCCCATGACGTTTCTGACCACATACGATTTTGTAAAACTCGAAAAAGAATCTGTGTTTTTGGCCAGCTCAGCTTGCCGCTTCTACATGCTGAGTGACAATGTTTATAAACAATTAACAGTGCAATTCTATATGCGTATACTTAAAAGTAAGTTTCACTGAGTTCAGTGGGGCTTACTCCTAGGAAAGTAGATACAGGAGTGCAGCTCAAACATAATGGACTTACGTACTTAGTACACATGCCAAAAACACAAATCATGTTGCTTCAAAAAGGGATAGCTACGTAATTGATCTGTCCTTGCTGTACTTACAATGTAGTTCTGCTGTGTGTGTGCACGTGAGTGTGTGTAATATGCATCATAAGCTCAACAACTGATCTCAACCTAAACCACTTTTTTGCACTTTAAATCTTGAATCTCTGGGCCTTTTAAACCTTGCTAAAAAGCTCCTGCTCGCTGAAATGTATAGCTCTCTCCTCTGTCCTGGAAACTGAAATGGCAATCCTTTGCATGGCCAACACCACCATTGGTAGGGCATAGAAACAATCACTTTGGGTCCCTAAGCAGGAAGGTGCTGCTGCTGCTGCTGAAGTGTGGCCTGGATACTCAATGTTGGGGAAAGCTAGCTGCACATTTACCATCATTGGTGATGGAAGAAGTAACAGGAGGAGAAAAGTGGAAAGGCCCAGGAGAACTGTTGCTACTCGTTGATAGAGGGGAAAAGCTGGTGAGGTTGTGGTGTGCACAGTATAATAGGATGTATTTAGATGAATTCTGCATAAGATACCAGGAGTCATAGCATTGCTGGTGTTTTAAACACTACCTCCCCCGCCCCCAAACAAATTATAAATCATTATGGGGTTAGGCAAATGTAGCACTGCTCATAATGTACCTGTGGTGTGCTTTGGCCTTCACAACTTAATATAAGCATGTACGGGCACACTTCATCCTGGAAGTCAAACACAGGATCATCTGCTGGTATTGCTGCAGGTGGTGGAAGTACAAAAGTGATCTCACAGATCACTTGCTATGTGCTGAGTGCAAAAAGTATGTACATAACAAGCGAGGCACTTTCAGATTTTCTGTGCTTCCATGCCCAATGTATCTATATTTCATTAAGTTGCTGCCAAGACAAGCACATCTACTTCTGGGTAGTGGGCAAGGGGGTACTTGGGGGTTGGCTAGGTTGGCCCCTCCCAAGGGCACAGGCCCAATGTGATGCAAATATTGCACTTACCCACTCTGGCTAGAGGCCCGTCCATGTGCTCCTCCGGCTGCTCCTCCACTGCTCTGGGCAGCCGGGAGAGGTACACGGGCTTCTCTGGGCACCTTGGCAGAGGAGCGCAAGGGACAAGGGGGCGCTGATACAGCCCCTTGCCAAGAGTGCAAGGGAGCTTAGGTGCTCCTCTGGTAGTGGGTAAGAAAAGAACAAGCTTGAGGTTTCCCTCCCTGGCCTCTGGAAGTCTCGTTTCGCTTCCTGTTGCCTCCTGTAACTTAAAACTACTACTTTTCATTTGTTCAGGATTATGTCACTACCAGGTATCAATTGCTGCATTTGCACAATGTCATTGTGAACATGCAAAATACATATAACCCACACATTCCATAGCAAAGCCGGGTGGGCCTGAGTACAGAAACATTTCTCTGTGTAAGAGCAATGGCTTTGCAAAGATTCTTCTTCAGGACACCAACATTTTGTGGCTGGAGCTGGTTTCAATTCTCATCACCATGTCTCATTTGCTTTGGGGCCAGAAGCTCGCTCTGTCTTATCTTAGCCTACCCTTTCACATCTGCTTTATATATCAAGACTGCAAAGTGCAGGCAACCCTGTTAGCCTGCAGCAACAGAATCCATGGGAAGAGAATGACATTGGCTTGGTCGTCTCAATCAGTCAGTGAACTTCAGCCACTGCCAAAGATTTCTGCATATAGGCAAACAATTATGAGCTTGCTTCTGTGTTATATTGACAGGCCCGGAGAAACATAATATAAGTGCCATGCCAGATTTTTAAAAGCTGGATCAGATGTTTTTTCTGGCACTTTCAAGAACCTCCAAGTCATCAAAAGTAATAGCCTAAGCCAGTGATGGGAAACCTGTGGAGCTACTAATGGTGCTACAACTCCCATTACTCCTGACCATTGATCATGTTGGCTGGGGCTGATGGGAGCTGGAGTTCTGACATCTAGAGGGCCACAGGTTTTCAATCCTTAACCAAATCTTTCGGGTGTGATTTGCCTTATCTGGCAAGTTGTGGTTTTAGGGCGCTCTCCTTTGTACTGTGTTCTACAACCCCATATGGCTGAAACCTGACTTGAAATTTCCTTGATACTAAGTTTTTACCTGTTCAAACTGCTCTTTTGAGATTATCTGTCTCTTTTAAAAATGCAGATTCTGGATCCCTGCAGTTCTGCTTCTGTATTTGCCTGCTGCCACCTGGTGCCCAGCCACAGTGCAAAAAATTTCCCAATTACATCCCTCATCCTCTAAAGTGTCAACCTTTTGCTAAGCATGATAACCAAAGGGTCAGTTAGATGTAGGTGTCCAGAATCTTGCCTGTACAGTGGTACCTCGGTTTACAAACTTAATCCGTTCCTGAAGTCCGTTCTTAAACCAAATCTGTTCTTAAACCGAGGTGCGCTTTCCCTAATGAGGCCTCCCGCCGCCGGTGCCCTTCTACTGTTTGGCTTCCGTTCGTAGACCGAGCTAAAGTTCACAAACCAGAACACTACTTTGGTTTTGCGGCGTTCATAAACTGAATAGTTTGTAAACAGGACTGTTCATAAACCGAGGTACCACTGTATTATATCTCACATTTATATCTGCATCCTTTCCCTAAGAGTGGCATGTTGTTGTTGTTTAGTCATTTAGTCGTGTCCGACTCTTCGTGACCCCATGGACCAGAGCACGCCAGGCACTCCTGTCTTCCACTGCCTCCCGCAGTTTGGTCAAACTCATGCTGGTAGCTTCAAGAACACTATCCAACCATCTCGTCCTCTGTCATCCCCTTCTCCTTGTGCCCTCCATCTTTCCCAGCATCAGGGTCTTTTCCAGGGAGTCTTCTCTTCTCATGAGGTGGCCAAAGTATTAGAGCCTCAGCTTCACGATCTGTCCTTCTAGTGAGCACTCAGGGCTGATTTCCTTAAGAATGGATAGGTTTGATCTTCTTGCAGTCCATGGGACTCTCAAGAGTCTCCTCCAGCACCATAATTCAAAAGCATCAATTCTTCGGCGATCAGCCTTCTTTATGGTCCAGCTTTCACTTCCATACATCACTACTGGGAAAACCATAGCTTTTACTATACGGACCTTTGTTGGCAAGGTGATGTCTCTACTTTTTAAGATACTGTCTAGGTTTGTCAAGAGTGGCATACATATGGGTTATTTCATCTCATCAGACCAGTCCCACTAGTAGAAGCCCACACAAGGGCTTCCACTATGCAATTGGGCTTTCCATCTCTCCTGCCTCTACTCCACCACACCCAAATCAGCTTAGGAGGTCAAGAGAACCCCCATACATTTCCTTTTTCCTTGGGGCCCCTAGGAAATTTCTAGCCAACTTCACTGACTTCTATTGGCCTTGAGGCAGCTCTGTCTTGTTTAAATTCGTATAGTTATCAAGGCACCAAATGATGTGCCATCATTCGCTCATGCTGCACTTCATACATAATTCTCTGTACAAAGCCTCACTTCTGAAAAGCCACCAAGCCCCGGAGCCCTGTTACTTGCTCAGTTTGCAACCATTGATTTCCAAACTTCCACCAGCTTGTTTCTTTCCCCCTGTTCCTCTGATCTACCAAGCTGGTAAGTGAGTCATACTCCTTTTTTAAATGTTTAATATTTTGTATTACACACCCTCTTTAAAGCAGCTTACAAAATGAAAGGGAATTTCTCTCTTCAGCAACATCTTCCCTGCAAGTCCCTGACACATGGACTGATTGCTTAATTGGTGCATCCATTTCTACTGGGGAAAAGGTAAAAGAAGATTTCTGCCAGCCATTATTCCTCTGAAATCTAAAAAACCCTGAGGCAGCATGAGGCTGGGAAGAAAGTAGGGCACAATGCTGAGCACAGCTGTCTCTTAAAGGAGATGTCATAAGGAAGGTTTTCCTTAACCACCATGAAACTCTTTGCAATTCAGAGGCTTCTTAGGAATTATCGGTTGTTGCTCTTGACAGTAGCAAACTATACTGTGGGAGGGTGGTGTGGAATATATTATAGTTCAGGGATGCGGAAACTGCATTCTCCAAATGAAGGTTGGACTCCAGTTCCCAACAGCCCCAGTCAGCATGGTCAACGGTAACAATGTGAATTGTAGTCCAACAACATCTGGAGGCATGGACATAGCTAGATTTTTTTGTTGGGAGGGTAGGCCTTTTGTTTTGGGGGGGGCAGAACCTCAGTTAGCTATGTGTTTTTTATTGATTTTTATTGATTTGGGGGCCCATGTCTAGAGGGCCACAGGTTTCCCATCCCTGTTCTAATGCCTTCCACTGAACCATCAGTTTTAGTGCAGTAAATACACATGTGTCTGCATTAGTTTTTTCTGTCCACTTATTATTGTAGTGCTGAGGTTGCACAGCACAAGAGCTCATCCAATCACTTGGTGCCAGTTTTAATATATGAAAATATTGGCTGAAAAGCCATTACCCTTTCTATGCACCACTCTGCCACTTCATGAACCATTTTTTAAAAAGTTTTCTTTAATTGTATCATTTCTTTGGTGGGCATGGGACTACAGTATTGGTATTGAACAGGTCTTGCCCAACTTCTATATCTCACTGACGGAGGATTTTTATTTTTATTTTAAATCATTTGGAAAGGCTCTTGATTCCCAGCCACCCTGCAAATACGCACAATATAATGCTGTGCAATGGCAACATCTCACTCCAATTTCTTAATATGGATGTTAAGTGCGCTGCTACAAAGGTGGAAATGCCTCACATCCAAGGCCTCATCTATTTGGAGGAAATGGATCTGCTGCTCCCTGTTTCGACCTGGATGGGGCAGTCTACACATTCAAGACCTCCACACCTCTGTGCTAATAGTGGAATACATGAACAGAAGGGGTTTCTAATTCACATCTTCATCCTTTGTCTTCTGGCTGGAAGATGGGTGTTGTTTGCTGAATACGACATTGGTTCTGTGGTGTGAAAAGCATTATTGTACATTCTGCTAAATGGGAGCAGTAGGATTTCTTTCAGTGGCCAAACAGTCAACTTTCAGATCTTACCTTCTACTGCATATTCCCCTCTCCAAGTACTCCCCACCAGCCCCAGAGCCTACTGACCTCATTTCACATAGCACCATAGTAATATATCAGCCACAGGTCAGGACAGTTGCTAATCTAGATTTGAGCTGGCTGATGTGCCTTTAGGGGATTATGTTAATTGGCTAACTAATCCTGCTGTTTGTGTTAGTATTTGATCACTTTGGAATCTAGGGGTAGGGTGTGAAAATTATTGGCCTGAGATCACAGAGGCAAAAGAGGTGTCTAGCAGATCTCCAACTCTTTATGTTGTACATGAACAAGTGAGTTGTATTATTTATTTCTGTAGGGATTCTGCAGATACATGCAATTATTTATTTCTGCACTGTGCAGGTGTGCAGGTGTCTGTGTGCATGCATGCATGTGTGCGTGCGCGCGCGCACACACACACACACGTTGAGTGGGGAACTTTGCTTATGGGGAAGAATGTTTCCTGTGATTTCTACTAGCTTCAATGTGTTTAAAAGGGGTTAAGCTAAATGGAGGATAAGGCTCTTAGCCCTAGTTATTATAGGTACCTCAAGGATCAAAAGCAGCCAGAATCTGAATACCATTTGCTAGGGAACAAAAGCAGAAGAGGGCTACTGTGTTCATGCCCTACTTCTGGCCTTGCCAGAAGCTCTGCCCACCTGTCAAACCTGGTCCATAAAGGGTGGGGAAGATAACCATCTGGCTCACCAGTCACAGCCTATTTCCCACCCCTGCTCTATACTGAAGAAAGGGGCTGTCTTGATTCCTGGCCAGCCTATGATGATAGAGACTCTTATCTGAACGTAAGAAGATCTTTATTGAGGGAGAAAAGAGATGCAGGCTCAGCAGTAGGTAATGACTCCCAGTAGCTGCTATGCTCAAGCTAGGTGGCATTCTCCATACGCCTATGAAGAATTATCTGATGGTGAGAGCTGTTCAACAGTGCAATGAACTACCTTAGAAGGTGGTGGAGGTTCATTAGAGTTTTAAACAGATGTTGGATTGGATTCTTTAACTCTGATTTCTCCATTGCAGGGGAGCTGGACCTATATTCCCTTTGGGGTCCCTTTCCAACTCTACAATTCTATGATTCTAAGGGAAAGAAGCAGTAACAGCAACCACCCCCACCACCCAAGTATATCCTTTCTGAAAATAGGGGCCATCCTATATCAGGTGGCCTGAAGAGTAAAGGTAAAGGGACCCCTGACCATTAGGTCCAGTCACGGACGACTCTGGGGTTGCGGTGCTCATCTCACTTTATTGGCCGAGGGAGCCGGCGTACAGCTGGAGTACAGTCATGTGGCCAGCATGACTAAGCCGCTTCTGGCGAACCAGAGCAGCGCTCGGAAACACCATTTACCTTCCCGTGGGGGGGTACCTATTTATCTACTTGCACTTTTATGTGCTTTCGAACTGCTAGGTTGGCAGGAGCAGGGACCGAGCAACGGGAGCTCACCCTGTCGCAGGGATTCGAACCACCGACCTTCTGATCGGCAAGTCCTAGGCTCTGTGGTTTAACCCACAGCGCCACTCGTGTCCCGGCCTGAAGAGTAGGTATATGCTAATGATGGAAATGGGGGTAGCATTTGGTTTGACCCTGCTTGCTGATTTTTAAATACTATTTCCATGACTATAACTTAGTATTCCAATTACATGAGAACAATTCCTTCCACCCTCCTTTTTTAAGACAATGACAGTTTTAAACAATTGTTTTAGAAGGGCTTTTGTTTTCTTTCGAAAGTCAGTTTGCATGCTGATCTCTAGTGAGCCTTAATGGTCTGCTGAACAGTTCTGAGAAATGGCAAGGGAGGAGGTATCTTGAAGAGAGAAACTGAACATGAGAATGCTCTTAGTCAGCAGCAGTGAGCCATGACAACAGAGGGGAAATTGCAAAGCGTAGATGGAACCATTTGTATATCAGCCGTGTGGGAAGAACTCACAGAGGGCCAGAAGATACTGCAGTAAACAAGGCCAGTGCAACACAAGCGCATAGCGCCAACCTTTTCTGAAGCCCATCAGAGTGCAGAGTGGGTACCTGTAGCCCCCCAGCTCATGTTGACATTGAACTACAATTCCCATCAGCTCCAGCCAGAAATGGCAATGCTCAAGGATGGTGGGAGTTGTAAGTCAGGAACACTAGTGGTTCCCCAGTGTAGTTCTAAAATATGTTTTCCCCATGCAAAATAAATAAATTTAAAATCTTCCATATAGAGCAGTGTTCTCCAAGCCTTCACTGAGATCTAGTTTTCTACATTGACGGGATTTTGATACTGAGGAGCTTTCAGTGATATGAGCATCCACCTGCAGCAGTACAGGAAAGATACAAGTTTACCATCTCACTACGATTCTCCAGGATTCCTATCTGTGAGATCACACCACTAGCCCTACAATTACAGGCAGCCTGGCTGTCAGTCTTAAATTGTCCAACTCAATGGAAATTACACCAACTTGCAATTACACCCCTTTTCAGATTCACTTACAGCACCAAGACTTCTCATTTACTGACCCATTTATAGGCTTGCAAGTCAAAAGTCATTTGAAACAGTCTCTTTCTCCCCACACCTTCCTCAGTCCTGTCCTTCAGGTCGAATCGTTCCTCATTTCACTCAAGCTTACTAGTCAGGCTGCTGATGTGTTAATGAGGCTATCAGTCCTGACACAGAAGGTCATGATACCAATTAGTTTAATACTTAAGGTGAGCAAGAGGCAACACTACAAAAAGTTGATCAGCTGTGTTACTGTGGCTGCAAAGGCCACTTCTGAAAGCAGGCATCTAAGAGCTCAGAAGTCACTGTGATTTTATTTGTCCTTGTCCACAGTTGCATTACATTCCCTTGCATTGGTAAGAAAGCAAAGTTAACAGAAAAGGGATATAAAATCAAGTATTCAAATAAGCACCCCAGCAACTAAAATAATAGAATCAGAGAATTGAGGAGTTGGAAGAGGCTACAAGGGACATCTAGTCCAATCTTTCACACAACGTGGGGCTCAAACCCACAACCTTGGCATTAAGAGTCTCATGTGCTACCTTCTGAGCTACCCAGCCTCACAGTGGGGAGATATAACTTAAGCAGCATATGGACCTGTGCTAGGGATAAAATATTTGTTAAATCGTATAAAGCCTGTGGAATAGAACACAATGGTCCAAAAGAATATTAGACAGCTCTGCTGCTGAAGCCAAACAAGTCTAGCTCTGTAGTTTTCCAAGACTGCCCCCCCCCCACTCCCAGAATCCACATGTAAAGTGATTTGAGCTCACTAGAGAAGTGAAACTTAAATGAGACCGGGGGCATACTTCTCCCTTCCATATGGTTTGTTGTAATACCAATATTCTGCCACCAGATGTCCCTCTAATACAGTTTGCTTCAGCATTAGTTTCTTCACACACTGTGAGAGCAAGCAGCCAATTAGGTTTCACAGATGTGTATTGACAAATAGATGTTTGACAGACACACACACTTTATTTCTAGACTTCATGAATTTCCTGCAGTAAGCATAATGTGTAGTAATGCACTGTGCAGCTCATCATCGAACAGGAACATCTGCTCATAGGAACCTAAGAAGCTGCCTTATACCAGGTCCAATTACTTGTCCATTGAGGACAGCGTACCCTATCAGTACTCCCAATTGCAAGCAGATGTTCAGGACTCACAGACACTCTTTCTTAATTGGAGACGTCAGGGACACAACCAAAGACTTTCTGCATACTAAGCCTATCCCTGAGCTATATGGTCTATCTCGTAAAGAGCTGCCCTATTAAAATGGTCACTCCTTCATTACCTATGATAAAACTAAATAAACCTCACCAGTCCCATCGGATGCAGAAACATGGATTAACAAATGCAGATAAGAAGTGCTGTGAAAGAGCTCTACCCAAGACCATGCAGAGTCGCTGCCAGTCAGAGTAGACAATACTAAGTTAGATGGACAAATAATCTGACTTTGCATGGCTAGGAGCTAGAGACACAAGAGGAAAGCTGGTGCTACCACTGGTGCTTGAAGACTGGCAAGAAACCCCTAAACCTAAATTGTGCCTCCCTACCTTTACAGCTCAGGAATAAGAAACAGCTATGAAGGAGTGAAAGGGACGCGGGTGGCGCTGTGGGTTAAACCACAGAGCCTAGGACTTGCTGATCAGAAGGTCAGCAGTTCAAATCCCTGCGATGGGGTGAGCTCCCGTTGCTCGGTCCCTGCTCCTGCCAACCTAGGAGTTCGAAAGCACATCAAAGTGCAAGTAGATAAATAGGTACCGCTCCGGTGGGAAGGTAAACGGCGTTTCCGTGCGCTGCTCTTGTTCGCCAGAATTGGCTTAGTCATGCTGGCCACATGACCCGGAAGCTGTACGCCGGCTCCCTAGGCCAATAAAGTGAGATGAGCGCCGCAACCCCAGAGTCGGCCATGACTGGACCTAATGGTCAGGGGTTCCTTTCCCTTTCCCTTTATGAAGGAGTGAAAACAGCAACATTTCTTCTAAAATTAAGGGGCAGCTGAAGGCACAAGTGGCAGGTTTAGGGATGGAAGGGACCTAGGATGATTTAGTTCTTGCAGAGCCAAAGACAGGGAGTATATGTGAAAATGTGGGCCAGAATTAAACAAAAAAAAGCTAACCTACTGAAACATGTTGACCTTTTTTCTTCTCTTTGAACAGCTGACTCCCATCCTGCAAGCTGCTTTTGAAACCCATTCCCTGCAGTCCAGTAAATGTTTTATGGCATTCCGTGCAAAGCTCCTGTATGGGAAAACCAATAGCCAAAGTCTCTTAGGACACTGGTTTCACAGTTCTTTGGATCCTAGTGAGTGTCTACAGAAGGGTGCATTGAAAGCCTTGCATTTTAACTGAAATGTTCAAGGACAGAGACTAGAGAAGCAGAGCAGAAGTGTTGTGCCTCCGTGCTCCTGTGCCCCCTCCCATGCTTTTAAAAATTCTGTCTTGAAGTGTCTGCTGTGCTTTTGGCTGCATCGCTGCCTGTCACACCCCTCACGGGAGTCCTCCACAGGCTGAGTCAAAGGGCACATTAGCTTGTCAGTGTAATTGCAGAGCAGCAGGCAAGCTTGTGCCATCAAGCGGAGTGTTTCCGAATACAAAGTGAAAGTGACAAGCTGGAGAAAAAGCAAGGAAGAAGGAAAGTGAAGTGCACAAGGCCAGGCTCCGCTGTTGCACAATAGCAACAGCCTTTTGCTCTTCAATTTTCCCCCCTCACATGCTGAGAAGTTTCAGGTCACTACCATTTTTTGTGAAGAAGGTCTGTGCATCTAGCCGTTTTTAGGACAGGGAGGGATAGCGGGGTGGAGAATTCATAACCTAACTGATCAACCTTCATAATCTGGAACAGAAGGCTCATAGCCCAGGAGTGATAGATAGGCAAAGCCTTAAGCAGTAGGGAGACTCTTTTCCCATCTTACCATCATCGTTTCCTTGTTGCAATTAAGAAGATAAGAATAGCCCTGTTGGATCAAGGCCAGTGAGTGGCCTTCTGCTCCAGCATCCTGTTCTCAGAGGCCACACAAGCAGGACCTGAGCGCAACATTACTCTCTCCTCCTGTGATTTCCAGAAACTGGTATTCAGAAGCATACTGCTCCGGCCGTATGCAAGAGTACAGTATGGGCAAGAGTACAATATAGCCACCATGGCTAGCAGCCACTGATAGTCTTCTCCTCAATGGATTTGTCTAATCCTCTTTCAAAGCCATACAGGTTTGTGGCCATCACTGCCTCCTGTGGGAGCAAAATCCCAGTGTTTTTGCACTATCTGAATAAGTATTTCCCCGCTGTCCTGAATATTCCAGCATTCAGCTTCCACAAGTGTCCACGAGTTCTAGTTAGAGGGAGAAAAGCCTTTCCCTATCCCTATACAATGTAATAATTGTATACATTTCTTTCTTGTCACCTCCTACTCATAGTAATCAAATCCCATTTATTATTTTGGTTGTGCTTTTCTGAACCTGTTCCAATTCTAGAATATCATTTTTGAGATGAGGCCTCAAAACCTACTTGCTCTAATAGCTTAGTTTACAAACTATTTTGTTATTGCTTGTTTGTCAGTCTTACATGGCTGACCACCTATTGCCACTTTCTAACACCTCTCCTCTTTTCTTTCCCTCTACCACTCTGAGTTTTTGCCAAACATTTCACTTGCATATCAGCTAATTCTCCCCATTCTGCTGCCCACTAAGCCTTCGAGTTTGGGGCTTGATGAAAATATTTGTTTATTGCAATTCCTGGATTTTGGCATTTACATTAAACTTACTTTTTCTGTTACACACACGAGTTTAAACTGCCCTGTTATTTCAGGAACACAAATTGTGTTTTGGGTTCCACATGTGTGTGCTTTTAATGTTAAAAATAAGGAAGTTTACACAGCCCAGCTTTGATCGTACATAATGTCAAACTGATCCAATGGCATCCACATAGTAACAAGCAACAGATAGAGAACACAAAAAACCCAGAGTGCCCCATGCCAATGGCCAGGAAATATAACTGCAATGGGGAGAGAAACACAAAACGTGAAAGCTAACCTTGGCAATGGCTGCAATCAAAAACCCAAGCATAACTATAAACCGTACACAGAAAGCAAAACATAAAAGTTAGATGGGTAAATCCATAAGAAAAATGCCAAAATCCAGAGTCAGACAATTCCTTTATTAGGGCCAACCAAAATGTCACAAATTAGTGAGCACACATTCATCAGGATGAATGTCAAGCAAAGTGGGGAGCAGAGAGGGAGAAAAGCCGCTTGGTGTTGAAGCCATAGATCATTTCAAACAAACAGTTTTGATCTCCACCGCCTCCACTAGCTTGTAAAATCATCTCTTGCAACTAAGAAAGAATGCAGCTCCAACAATAGTAATAGAAAGGGTTGCCAGTTCCCAGCTGGATCACAGTTCTTTTGTGTATAGAGAATTGCAGTATCAGATATAGGAGCTCAGAAAGTCAATCAGGAGTACAGTAGTTTAAAACACAGAACTTACCCATATATACAAGTTCCAAAGACTTGCACATTAGCTGTGTTATTCTACTAAGGGGGAAAAACCCAGTGACTACTTGGGGGTTCAATGCACTAAAAGCAGCTTCATCTTCACCCCAAATCACCTCATCCCATGCCAGTTCAGAAATGGTGTCCTCTCTCTTTCTTTCTTTTAAGCTGTGTTGTCATCTAGCCTGGCTGCTGCCACTTTCCCCAACTATCCTTTCCACTGTACCCTCCCCTCCGGTTTCTTGCTTATTGTTTCCCACTTCCATTCCAATTTTATAGTTCTTCAAGCACTGACATAGCCTAGGTGGTAAGTTATCCCCCCCCCCAAAAAATATATATATAGTGCTTTCTGAACTCAGAAAAATGGTCATCAAAACACTTTGTGAGAAGGGTCAGCAGGTCAGTGTCTGAACTGCCACATGAAAGTGAATAAAACAAGATGAACTCTATTCTTTGCTTTGGCTTCCAAGCAAATTGTCCTGGGAACAGAAGCAGGTAGGGGGAAGAGGAGTTAAAATGCTGCAAATCCGAAGGCCTTAGTCCAACAAGAGTGACTGCATCATAAATGGCACTAGTCCACAGACCAAAGTTTATAAAGCTTTATTAAACCTTTTGAACAGCTGTGCAATGAACAAACAAAAAATAAAAAAAAAATCTCTGTGGAGGTTTCACGATTGGTTTCTCATTTCCAACTCCCCTGGAAAGAAAAAGCATTTTCAGCAATGCTCTTCCAGGGAAAGATTGTGCAGAGCTAAACAGGTGGCAAAACAAGAGCATAACCTTGAAATGTTATCCAAAAAGTGTATGCCTGCTTCCCCCAAAGGACTAGCTTATGCTTCAGTGAAACAAACGTTTCCTAAGGAAGAAACATATTTATTTTCTGGAAATTACTGATGTGCAAGAGAGTGAAAGCTTGAGGGTGGGGATAAGCTACGATCCAGGCATCACCACAAAAAGGTTTCCCAGAACCACATGAAGATGCAGCTTAACCATTAGTTGCTTTCTTCCTCCCATAAATTCATGCACAGGCTCATTTACTTGTGATGAGCGATAGTAATAATACTCTTGGCCTCAAAAGGGAAAAAAAGCAAGAAAAAAAGCAGCAAGTCACTCAAGTGACAACTCCAATCCAGTATCCAGAAGCAGCCCATACCTCTCGTCAGGCTTAGCACATACAAGCTTCTCTACTTGCACTTGCTGTTCGCCTTTTCAGGTTAGAAACACTGAGAGCTTAAAAGTCAACAGCAAAAATAATAAGAGGGATCCTGAAACATTACAACAGAGCATGCTTCTTTTCAATTCAAGACCACTGGTAAACTGTGGATATTTGGCTGGGTGGGGTGGTGAGGCAGGCTCCAGTGCCTGTGTAGTAAAAGTGGCATCATGACAACTCTGGGATTTTTGAGCTATGATCTATGCAGATAAGTATTTTGGAAAGGACTCAGGCAGTGCACACATTCCAGTTTGGCCTGCTGTGATGAATCAGCAGCCTCCTGGCTCCAACAGCTTTTAAACTTTATTAGCCATTTGCAAACTCCCCCCCCCCCCGATGTTCGGAATGAGGAACACTAGCTCTTTATCAAAAGCAAAATGGAGAGGCTTTCCAATTTCAACAGGATCAGATGACACATGTTCCAGAGTACTGATGGCTGCGTCCTCAACTAGGCAAGGAGTGAGACCACTCCAGCGTCAGGCAACACTCAAAATGTCTCTTCACCACCAAGTCAGAAATAGAAGGACCAAACGCAGGTAATACAGGGCAGGAAAAATGGGGTGGGAAAAGGCCACCCACCAACTGCTCTGTTTCAACCCCAGGACAACAACGTTATCACCATAAACAGCTTTTGTAAAATTTTACAGGCAGATTGTGGACGGGCAGGTGATCATGAATGAAACACTTTAATCCAGACATACAAACAGGTTGCTTGTACTCTAATCACATGCCTTATAACCCCTCCTTCCCATAAAACCGTCCTTTTAAAAGAAAAAGAAATAAGGAGCTTGCAACCAGGTAGAGGGTTTTAGGTGCCAACCACATTGGGATCATGAGCAGAGTCCGGCAGCTGGGAGCCAGAGCAGTGATACAAGAAACAATTCCCCCAGCAACTGTAGCAGATGAGGAACAAGGCGGCCAAGAAGACCAAGGCACAGATTGTGCAAGGTTTCCGCTCCAACAGAAAGCTCAGTAGGTAGAAGCCCATGAACACTGAGTGACTAAACCACAAGGCTGGGTTGAGGGGCTTTGGGATGAGGAGAACAGGCAGTAACCACTGGAGGCAGTACATGGTGTCTAGTGATCAGGATGTCACAGTGATGGCAGCAATCCAAAACGGCAGTGTAAAACGTCTCCTCTGCGCATTCAACTCTTCCAGAATCAGATGGGCTGACTTCATAAAAACGTGTGGTGATATATGAGCAAGTCTTAACAGAAAGGTGGGGGGAGAGGGGAAAAAAGAGGGGACAAGTCAGCAAGTTGGATTTTCCAAGTGTTTTAGATTTGCATTGTGTAGTAATCCAACCCAGCTCCCCAAACCCTACTGTAGTTTTCACACTCCAAATCCCAAAGCCTCATTCCCCCAGCTGCCACTTCCCTGGGTCCATGCAATCCCAAGCTCTAGTGCAGGGGTCAGCAACCTTTTTCAGCCGTGGGCCAGTCTACCATCCCTCAGACCATGTGGTGGGCTGGACTATATTTTTTTGGGGGGGAGGGAATGAACAAATTTCTATGCCCCACAAATAACCCAGAGATGCATTTTAAATAAAAGTACACATTCTACTCATGTAAAAATACTCTGATTCCTGGACTGTCCACAGGCCGGATTGAGAAGGCGAATGGGCCGCATCCGGCCACTGGGCCTTAGGTTGCCTACCCCTGCTCTAGTGGTTCCTTCTTGTAGCCTATGGGGGAAGAGACAGAAGATGCATGAATCTATTGTGGCATCCTTCTATCTCATGTACAGGTGATTGTCACAGGTGTTCCTATGTAGTTTGAGAACCATTAGGCAACCAAGGTCAATTTCATTCTACCATGTTGTCAGTACTTGTGAACACAGCATCTGAACACACACAACTACTAAATTAATTCACACACACTCCTCTCTCTCCCTCACTTACACGAACGCTGCAATAAAGTTGGAACATGAAAAGATCAGCACACCTTCAGAGTTCTTCTTGATTTTATTTTCTTCATATTTTGAGACCACTGTTATGCTATATTGGCCAAGTGTGAGAGCACAAGGTACAGTGGTACCTTGGTTCTTGAACTTAATCCATTCTGGGAGTCCGTTCGACTCCTGAAACAGTTCGAAAAGCAAAGCGCGGCTTCCAATTGGCTGCAAGAGCTTCCTGCACTCGATCAGAAAAAGCGGAAGCTGCGGTGGACGTTTGGCTTCCGAAAAACGTTCGCAAACCGAAACACCCACTTCCAGGTTTACAGCATTCAGGAGCAGATTTGTTCAGGAACCCAGTCGTTCGAGCACCAAAGTACCACTGTATCTGGTTCAAATCTTCCCTCAGTCTTGAATTCACCAAGTTGCTTGCCCAATGTTACTACCTCTCTGACTCTGTTGTAGGGACCGCTGAAAATGCATATGAAGAACTTTCAACTAGTGACATTCCCTATCAAATATGTTTAGTGGGTAAACCAGAGATTTGTAGAGCCCTGATTAAGAACCCTACATTCTTGGCCATTTGTATCCAGAGGAACTTCCTACTCTCAGACACCTTTCACTGCCCTCCCAACCATCAAAGGCTTCTTGCCTTCTCCAGATAAGCTGCAGCTCTCAGTCGTCATTGCTCCATCTACAAACAGGAGGCAGAAGCAAGAGTTGGAAAGAGAACTACTGAAAAAGCCCAGTTCAAATAATACACAGCTCCCCCAAATGCAAGTATTACTAAGGCTATGGCCACTGCAGAGACAAATGCAAAGGAAAGCCTAGAAGTGCATACCCTGTCACTTGAGCTTCAGACAAGAGGAAACAACAATGATTTTGCATTATGAATGTTGAGCAACTAAGAGGAAAACTTACTGTAGCCCTACCAGCAAATAGCTAATTGTTAAGAAAGGAAGGAAAAGAATAACTCTTTATTTTCTGAAGGCCAGCCATTGGAAAACAGAGAGATCAGGTCACACTGGGCTCAATCCAGGTGGATTTTCTATATATACTCCATTGTGAAGAATTTGTCTGATGTCACATGCTTGCTGGGAGACACATAGACGAAGATAATCATGGACTGTGTCTAAAGTACTTCAGTTTGAAGGAATAAAAAACTTTAAATGACACAGACTAATCAAGAAGTGTTTTCTTTCTATCTGAAAAATGATTTACAGCTCAACATAAAGGCAAAGGTCTTTTGGAAAACCCATGTTAAAGAGAATTTAGCCATAAATTTGTAGAATCTGGGCAGTGAAATTTCCCCACCCAGGGATGGGTTCAATTTTCCTTTATCAGGTATGTGGCATGAATGAAGGGAACAAAACATGGAGGATCAGGTTTGTACAGCCTTCTTGATGCATCACACACACCAGTACTGTCAGCAACAAAAAAGGAATGACAACCCATCCTACAATTAATGAAACTTTAACCATAATAAGCCATAGTTTAATAAATGGGGTAGTTTAATTGGATGGTGACACAAGATACAGTTTTCTCAGTAGTTTCATGCAGCATTGTGGAACTCCCATCCAGGGAAAATTCAACTGTTTAGAAGATTCAGGTGCCAACTGAAAACATATTTCTTTGTCTGGGCTTGGAACATTATGCATCAGACTCTACCCCAGCAAAGTTTTATTGTCCTTGTACTGTTTTCAGTTCTTGATATAGATTTTTATGTTTTATTTATTGCTTTATCATGTTTGTATTTTATGCTTGTTGTTAGCCAGCCTGGGTTCCCATGGGAGAAAGGGCGGGATAGAAGAACAAACAACAATATTGTTCAGTTGCCTGAGTGCAAATATTGTTTGGGTGCAAAGTTGTCATCATGAATTTAACAGAGCAAAGTTACCAACTTCAGGAGAAATTTTATAGTGCTCCTTGACAATGGCTTTCTTAATGCTAGTCTAACCCTAACCCTAACAAAACATGAGATACACATGGCAAAATCTGCCCAAGATTTATTTGTAGGTAAGTAGCAAAACACTTTGTGAATAGGAATTTCTCCTTTGTGGCAGCAAAGAGTGCCTCCCAGGAGCACTGAGAGAGAGGTGACAAAGAACTAGCAAAGGGATGCAATGCTGTTTCCCTTAACTCTCAGATGAAAAGCTATCATACATGGCTCTGTTGAGCTGTGCAGTATTATGCACATTGCCATGGAAACATCAGATAAGACTAGCTTGAGGACATCTGACGATCTTGTAGAATCCTACTCCGCTGACTACATCAAATACCTTGCTAAGATCAACAGAACTGAGGTAGAGTGGCTTACTTTGTTCTCTGCATTTCTCTCATAGCTGGTGCAGACAAAAGATCATATTTGTTTTTGATCTGCTTGCACAGAAGTGGGACTGTGCCTACCAAAGCACTGAAGCATAAAGTTACTGGGAGTACCCTCAAAAATCATTCTGGCAAATGGTCTCCCTAGGGTGCAGATGAGAGAGATTCCAATGCCTCTGGGGTTGCCTTCATTCTTACACAGCATGATAATATTAGAACCACATGTTCAGTAGAACTACTTCTTTCCTCCAGCAGCAGAACTAGTTATAATGGACTGTCTGACTTTTCCACTCCCATGAACCTCAGCTGTAATACCAGTCTTCCCAGGTACTCTCTCTCTTGCCAGGGACTCCATGAGTTGGCTCTTTGTACTATCATTCTTCATATGTGTAAAGTATATCTGATTTGAGGGCTGTCTTGAGATACATCTTTTTCATAAGAACATAGTCTGAATTAGTTTTCTACTTGTGAGATGCAGCTGCTTGTTCCTGTAGATCCAGGGTCTGACAGGCAGGAGACTGCTGAAGTGGGAATGAGAGTGTGTCATACGTTACATGACTGCTCCCCAAATAAGAAGCAGTTTATATATGATATAGGCTAATCCACTACAGATTTATACAGCATCTAAAATAAATGCTTTCTATACTGCATTTTTTGTTGGCTTGAGTGTCTTGACCAGGCTGTATTATTTCCCTTGGCATACGACATTTTAATTTCAGTAGGCTTTAAATCAGTTATTTCTAGTCATCTTGCCAAAAACTGTCTACCACTCTCCCATATATTGCTGTGTTTAGAGAAAGGAAGACCCACAGCTCAGTGATACAGCACATACTGTGCATGCAAAAGTTCCATGTTCAGTTGCAGACATCTCGTGTTATGAAAGGATCTTTGACAATAGGGTGGGGAAGGCCTTCCACCTGAGACCCTTGGGAAGCAATGCTAGTCAGAGTGGATGATACCAAGCAGAACAATGGACTGACTTAATACAAAGCTGATTATATAAAAGGCACAAGGCACACCTTCAGGTTTAGATCTATACAGCTTTCAGTATGGAATAAGGGCAAAGGGCAAACAAGAGAATGAAAAAAGTTAAGAGTGCAAGTGCTGTAGGAGAAGTAAGAAATACACTGAACAACCTCATCTCCTGCTAATGCCAAGATCATGGTGGTGCTAGGTGCCACCACAATAACCTTTGCCAATTGTCACTGATATTGCCTATGCTATGTTGGCCAGCACATATTAGGGCTATGACTTGCATTTTAATCAAACCCTTCCATTCAAATCACTGAGAAAAAAATATATGATAGTAGATGTCCATGCTCCCACAACTGCAATAGCATCAAAGTACAAGAAACTGAAAATGGCAATTTTAGGTTTCTGCCTCAACGCTTATCCCACCATTCCCCAGAACCACCTCTCTATTCCCCTTACCATTTAGAAGCAGTTACATGCCAACTACGTGAGAGCAGCATGTGGGAGTGATATAGAACAGGTTGTAGCAGCCCTCTCACAGAGTCCCCCACTCAATATCCACGAGGAAAGAGAAATTGAGGATTGAGAAACCAACCATGCTTGTTGATTCCAGATTATCTGGAAAAGAGATACAACAAAGCCCTAAAAAATGACATCCTGTTCACTCCCGAAACACACACAAATCCAGTTCGGCACTTTCAATACTTTAATGTGGAAACAATAAAAAGATGACTGTTTTGCTGATAACTAAAATTATTCTCTGCTGGCTTGATGAAAGAAATTAGGATCTTCCCCTTCATGCACCATTAATAAATACAACTGATGACAGGAAACAACTCTGTCAAAACAAAATTCAGCCACTAGGAATGTGCAAAGGACAGAGCCTCTACAGCCCTCAAGTAATCCCTGTTGCTCCAAAAATTATCATCTGAACAAATCTTGCTGTTCTTATGCAGCTTGTAAAATAAATAAAAAATAAAAAAACACTTTAGCAATTGTAGCTGGAGGCCACTTATTAAAATCTACCACCAAGGTCACCTGGACTGTAAGTAAAGTATGTTTAATAGTATCAGGGGAGTAGACAAGGTAGATAAAAGCATGCTCAGCTTCATCATAAATGATGTCTCTTTCCCTGCTGCTTCCATTTCCCTATTCTCTTTGGTGAGGTTTCTGGGAGTCATGTCACTCTGAGATTACCCGTAGCCTTTACTACATTCTCTCTACAGGTTTTCATGTCAATATACTTCAATTAGCAAAACAAGATATTCAGCCTCAAAGGTTTTCCTCTTTTCCCTTTAGCAATTGCATTCTTAGAAGTTTAGAGGATACTGTTTTACTGTGACAACCACACAGTAAGAGACCGAGATTTCAGAAAAAGAAGGAAGAACAATTATGGGTGCAAGATGTGAACTTTGATACCCAAATAACTGTTCTCTAATTTCTATGAACTACTGTATAAGGAAAGATGGATCACTAGTTAGTAAAGAATTCCTTCTAAAAAAAGGGCATTGCGTTATTCAGCAATATAAACTTTTTGAATAAAAGAGAACAAAAACCTGTATTAACCTGCTTTGCAATTACAGTGAAGTAGCTATCTTGAGTGACTTTCTTCACCAGATAAACCTCAAAGGGAACAATGGAGAAATGCTTAGAATCCTATGGGCTTTATACCAAGATTGACTTCAAGGCTTTATAGGCAAGTTGAATTTTCCCTTCACATTTCCCCCATTTATATAGTAGCAGCTGACAGTGGCATAATGCAAAGTAGTTTACCTGTGTCAAAATGAAAGAAGGTAAGCTAATGGGCTGGCACAGGTGGAGGGAAAATAGAGAGATTTGTACCTCCAATTTGCTTAGTGTGCTTGCTGGCTGTGGGGGGTAGCATTGTAGTTAGATGCAGAGGATTGATGGGAGGAACCAGTATGGGAGTGGTGGTGGGACAACTGTGAGTGGTCAGAGGGAGAAGACTAGGAACAGAAGGTGTCAGTAGCTGAATGGGTAACAGGGCTTAGCGAGCTGGGGGAGTCTGTGGCAGAGTGAAGTCAAGAATCAGTAGCTAAAGCTGGTGAGTGGGAGGAGGGAGGTCAAGAGGCAGATATGAGCCAGGCTGGTGAAGAGTCATGGTTGTCTCCCTCTCCTACTACAAAAAGCTCCCTTCCCCGCTCTGTCTGCCAGAACCAGAAGAGGGCTGAAAAGGGCAGAGCAGTGACAGGATGCCCACAGGTGCAGTCTCCAATTGCTTGGAAAAAACCCTGAAGAGGAGCAAACTTAGATGGCTATGGGGAGGCAGGGACTTTCAGTCTTAACATCTGCTTTAATGGAGTAAGACAAACAGTGAATGAATTGCTGTGTTCGTTAGACCTGACACTTAGCCAAGAGATCATGTGGAGATCATGTTTTCCTAATACAGAGCTAGCTCCAAATTTGAATTGTGTGATTTACTGGCTGGATCACTCTGTGACAATCACCAGCAAAATAACTGTGCTATCAAAATAGGCAATTGGGTGCCCTCCAGATGAGGTGGACAAACTCTAATCCCTAACTCTTGGCTATGCTATCTGGGACTGATGGGAGTTGTAGTCCATAACATCTGGAGGACACCACATTGACCACCACTACAATTTTTTTTAATGTACTGCAGCCTTCAGTAATCTGATACTCTCCAGATATTTTGGACTACAACTCTCATCAGTCCCACCCAGGATAGCACACATCTGGAGAGCACCAGATTGCTAAAGGCTGATTTACTGAATGTGTTAAGCGCATGGTTCAGCAAAAGTGCTGCTTCAGAGTACCTCAGGAGGAGAGAGACAACTGTTACACAATTGTCAACTTCAACCTGGCATCCAAGGAAGAGATTTTTGCAGGCTGATATACTTCTGTACTGAAGAAGGTCACTCGGGGGAGGGCGAAAGAGGCAAGGGAAACTGGAAGAGAAAATATACAAAGTAAATGTAATTTAAAAACTGAATGGGAATTGCACAAACATGGAGATTTCTCCTCAGAAAGGAAGTAAAGCAAACAGTGACATTCCAGATTATTATTATTTTACTCTCTAATAATAAATAATTGCTACTGAAGTGCACTACAGTATTTACTTTGTTCATCCTCAGCAACTTAGGAGGAGAGGGAGGCTTGTCCACCTCACATTTTAAAGAACCAAGTCTGAGAAAATATCACCAAGGATGTTTATGATGGAGAATCAAACTTGAATCTCCCAGGTTCAAGCCCACCACTTCAAACTAAACTGTCTTGTGTGGCCTCTAGAATTTTATTCCAGTTATCACAAGCAGCAACATTTTAGACAGCAACTCTTGTATAGGCTTCAGGCTGTTTATCCATCATCTTTGCATAGAAGTTTCACACATAACTAGCTAAAACTCAGGTACCACAAAATGAACCAATATGGAATGAAGATGTAGCAGAATAGTTACTTCATGCTTCTTATGTTTCCAAGAAAGCATTAAGACTTACCAGCCAAAGAACTAAAAGCCACATGTCACCCTAGTTGCAGAAAGCTGTTTGCTGCCAATTTGCAGTTAAAGGAAAATTTCTTCCTTTTAAGATCTTTAGTGCTTTTGAACAGGTGGGGGCACTAAAAACGTATTCTCATACCCAACCCATTATATACCTACTGAGCCACATACACACTCTGATGAGAAGAAAAAGTACTCAGAAAATGAGGTAGAAGCAAATCTAATGTTCTGTGAGCTCTTCAATTAGGTCTTCATTATGGCAAAGGCTGCCAAAATCAAGGATTGCCTTGACTCCAGAACACAGGAAAGTTTTACCAAACAGATTCTGCTATTTCTACAATCCATTTAGTTTTGAAGTATTCATACTTTTAAATATTTGGTGCCAACTGTGCATGGGGTCCTGTACAGAACATAGACAGTGATCAGAAAGGAAGTTACTATGAATAAGGACAATAATTTATGGGGGGTGGGGCAGCAGCAGCCAATGTGGTGGAGCTATGGAGCTCAGCACTGGTGCTGTTGCAGTTTACCTAGACAGTGTTAGGGTGGGGCATGACAGCAATGAGGTTGGGGCTACACAGATGCATTGACAAAGCTATGCTGGTGCTCCCATCAGTTTATCTGTGCGGCTCAGACTAGCTGTCACTCTGCCCTATGTCCACACCAGGCATAGGCAAACTCGGCCCTCCAGATGTTTTGGGACTACAACTCCCATCATCCCTAGCTAACAGGACCAGTGGTCAGGGATTATGGGAGCTGTAGTCCCAAAACATCTGGAGGGCCGAGTTTGCCTATGCCTGGTCCACACCATCCAAGTAAGGTGCACCGCTACTGGCGGGCGGAGAACTTGCAGCCCTTGGCCTAATGCCATGCATGCATGGCCATGAGAGGGGGAAATGGGGAGAGGAGGAGGAGGAGGGATGGCAAAAAAGAGAGAAAAAACAGGGCAGAGGAAAAGAGAAGAGTGGTGCCACACCCACTGTTCATTCAGGCCCGCCCACTACTGGCATTTAGTTTCTGACAGATCACACACAATGGAATTTGGTCAACTGAAAAAAGACTCACCACCCCTGATTTAATGAGAGAGTAATATTTTAGGATTAGGCAAGTACTGCTACTTGGCAACATCAGACCATAGTCTTCTAGTGACAGTCCACCCTCCTCCTTTAATCATTGTCCTGCTAGATGCCTCTAAACAGCAAACAGGCATTAAATGAAGATGTTGCTCTTCTCCAGCACCTGGTACATCAAGGTTCCATTTAACTATCTTGGCTAACAGGCACTGACAGACACACAGCTTTGTCTATTCCTTTTTTTAAAAAAACACACATATTTAAATACACATGCACAAACACCTTAGACGTTACAATTTAATTTGTGTTTTAAATGAAATCTAGGCAGCTGTAGTATACTGGCATGCTGCTGTTTATCTTACTCCCCATGCAAGCTACTTGAGCCATTTCTTTTGAATGGGAAAGCAGCAATGTCTTGCAGCCCCTTCAGATACTATTGCAACTCCCAGCACCACTGATTGTCACCTACGCTGGCTGCGGGCTGATGGGAGTCCCAACAACCCCTGGAAGGCCACGAATTCTCCACCAGCTAGAGAGCGGGCTTAATAATCCAAGCGGACAGTCGGGAATTCGATATGCCAGACGTTGCTAACCTGTGTGTGGCCCTCCAGATGCTGCTGAACTCCCAATTCCCACCAGGCTCTATCAGCACATCCAAGGGGCCAGGAGTCCACAGGGCAACGACACCTGGAGGGTCCACGATGTTAGAATTCCTGGAACTCCTGACACACAACACCTGACACGAGCCGATCATCACTTTTTAAGGGGGGGGGGAGGGCAAAGGAGCAATTCATCTGGTCCACCCCTGAACCCCGACACACCGCATGTCAATTTTCACTGGACGCGGAGCGGGCGGAGAGGGGGCAGGATCGGCGCCTGGGCCGTGTCCGGCCCACACCTGTGGACACGGCGGAGCTCCCAATGAGGCGGCCTCGGTTCAAAAACACCAGTGGGGGGATTGAGGGGGTGGCGCTCCCCATGGGGCACAACAGACGAGGCTGGGGATGGGGAGAAGCGAACAGAAAGGAGGCAGACATTCAGCGGGGGGCGCTGCGGATTCCTCGCCGCCCCTCGCGGGCTCCTCGTTGGGGTTCGGAAAAACGGCACTTCCCCACCCCCACCCCGAGGGACGGTTCCACCCTCAGAGCTGACGCGCGGAGCAGAACCACCCCGGCAGGAGCTGCCCCCTCTACCGCGAAGACATGCCCTCAGGCGCCCCTTCTCCGTTCCCCTCATCCGCATTACCTGCGCTCCTCGCCATAGCGCTGCCTCGCCGCTGGGCCGCTCTCCCTCCCTCCCTCCCCGACGCCCTCGGCTCCGTCTCTGCGTCTGTCACTCCCCGCAGGACCCCTCCACCTCTCCAACTGCCCACTCAGGACCAGAGCCGGGCCGCCCGCGCCACTGCCTCCTTTCAAGGCGCAAGCAGCGTTACACACCCACTACCCCTTACCGAAGGGCTGGGCGGCCTGCTTTAAAAACGGGTCTTCTTCCGTCCGGCGAAGCGGTGCCTGGTCACCAGCTCAACCGTCCCGTTGTGTTTGAAACAGGCATTGCAGTAGACAGCCCTTTCAGTTTGGCTCTAGCCCGTCGGCGTAACGGGCCTTCCGGCTGGCTCGACAATTCCACGATGATGAATATGCAATAAGGGGGCGGGGCCCGGACTTGGTTGCCGGCAGGAGGGCGGCTCTTGCGCGAAACCGGCAGCCGAAGTTGGTTCCTCGTGTTTACACGGGTGAGGAAGCAGCAGCCTGAATAAGCAGCCAAAGTTTTTGCTCCTGCGCTCCTAGAAAAGTAATTTTGTTACCCAGAGGCTGGGCCCAGTATGGATTCTGACCACTTCAGGAGGCAGGCATAGATGGTGCTTTGGAATGCTTCTTTCAAATTATTTTTTATTAATCTTCCAAATTATTACAAATCAAACCAAATTTATTACAATTTCTTAAATTCAGGTTTCCCGCTCCTGTTGCAAACATATTGTAAAGAGTATGGGTTGCTCGTGCGTAAGTTGCCGCCTCTCCTGGCTTTGTTGCCTTGTTAAACCTTTCAGTCTGGACAGCCCTTCACTTCGTGGCTGCCTCAGTCACTAGCAGAATCCGTCAGTGAGCGTTTCTTAAACCTTTTCCAACATAAAAGTTGTTTGACACCCAGTCTCCTCCTACTCTCTCTGCATGGAAATCTTCTGCGCAGGGAGGGCGTGGGTAGCGGAGGACCCGTGCTCTCCCCGCTGGTGTCCAGTGAATAGTCTGGGAGCCCTCTCGCCGATTCCCCCATCTGCCCCTCTTTATTCCTGGTGTTGCGCTGAATTGCTTCCCCATCTGCTGAGCTGCCTCTCTCCCTGCTGGGCCCTTCTCCAGCATCATTTGAGAGCCTTCCCTCCGCCTCTAGCTCCGAAGTCAGTTCCCTGACACATATGTTGATCTTTTCCTCTCGTAGCCGCATCATCTACTTTTGAATGCTTCTGTTGTCTGTGCCAAAAAAAAACAACCACCTTGCAAAAAAAAAAAGTGAATCGACACAGTTCTAACCAAGCCCTCTCTCTGTCTGGCGCGCTCCTGTTCTGGTTGCTGAAGCTTTTTGAAGCGGGAAGCAATGGGAAACGCGGTATCTGCAGTCTGGAGTGCTGCAAACGCTCCCTCACACCCGTGTCTATAAGCGAGAGAGCGTGGACCCATGATTTCCTGTTCCCGGTTTTGTAGAACAGCATCCCCTTTTGAGATGCAACGGGTACCCGCTGTACTGTATATAGTTTTCAGAAGCAATTGGAAGACATTTAGGTTTCAGTAAACTTCTCAAACTGGCTGAATTTTAATTTTTAAGGTTTTTCTGCCTCTGGTGTGTTTCCACCCCCCCACCCCCCCGCATGTTTAAAAAACCTATTTTTATTGTATGCTTGCAAGTCAGGTTGCAAAAAGCATGTGAGAAAAGCTACCATCATTGTGCATCATATAGACGAGCTAAATATTTTTGCTGCCTCTGCCATCAGACAAGAATGCTGATGTCAGCAGCTAAGGTAACACCAATACACCTGCAGTGAGGGCATGTTTATGCAATGCGAGAAGCCTTCAGGCGATAGTTGTTGATTTTAGGCTACTCAGCAGCTCCAGATCAGCACAGTAGAGACCACAGGCAGCACCTGCTTGATCTGCAACAGGGCGATGGCAATGAAAGCAGATGGCGTTGAAAATAGTGCAATATTCCACCCCAGGTCAGTCAGTATAATAAAACACACAGCAGGGTACCTTTCTGTCAGTCAGCTAGGAGCACTCAATCAGATTTGCCTTTTCCAGACTGCTGAATCTTCACCATGGCAAAAGACATGGACATTCAAGTCTTGCAACATTTCTGCACAGCCTAATGCTGCAAACCTACACACTTCCCTGTGAGTAGGTTCCATTGAACTCAGTGGTATGCATGCACTTCATCAGCGTTGTGCATGAATACTAGCTGGATTGTAAAATGCATGTGCTAAAAAATGTTAAGAGTCCCCAAGATAAATATATATTTATGGTGGAAAACAATAGGAATGGGGAAGGGCTATAGGTCAGTGCTAGAGCAGATGCTTTGCATGCAGAAGGACACAGGTTGAACCCCTGTCAGGTACAGGTAAGGTTGGTAAAAATCCTTCTCTTAAATCCTTAATAGTCACTGCCGGTGTACAACAGAATGCTGAGAAAGATGCAGCAAGTCAGACTTCGTATAAAGCAGTTTCCTGTGTTCCACAAATGCTACGTATGATAGTGATTTAGGAACACCTGCTGGTTAGGAGGAGACACTGCACACAACTGGAAAAAGAGCAGAAAAAAGGCATTAAATCAGAGATAGTTGTACCTTGGTTCTCAAACGCCTTGGTACTCGGACATTTTGGCTCCCGAACGCAAACCCGGAAGTGAGTGTTCCTGTTTGCGAACGTTTTTTGGAAGCCAAACATCTGACATGACTTCTGATTGAGTACAGGAAGCCTTGGTTTTCAAACCATTTCAAGAGTCATGAATGGGTTTGCTATATGTCACAGTGTGCCAGTTAGTTATCACACAGTTCACAAAGGAGTTAACTTTTTATTACCAAAACAAAACAAAACCACAATCTCCACAGACTTGGCTAAGTGTCAGCACAACAGCTCATTCCCAGTGGTCTTCCTCCATGAAATCAGTTGCTGAGACTGAAAGTTCCCACCTTCCCACAGCTCTTTTAAGTCCCCTCTCCTCCTCTCCAGGGGTTTTCCCAAGCAATCAGAGACTGCGCCTACACGCAGCCTATCGCTGCTCAAACCATTTCAGCCCTCTCCTGGTTCTGGGAGACAGGTGGGCAGTGTGTCGCAGGAGGGGGAGATACTTGTGACTCTTCACCAGCCTGACTCATCTCTGTCTCTTGGCCTCCCTCTTCCCACTCACCTGCTTTATCTTCTGCCGATTCTTGACTTCTGTCTGCCACCCCCAGTTCACTAAGTCCTGTTACCCCGTCATCATCTGACACTATCCTGACACATCTGACACAATTTGCACAGAAAGCAAATTGGAGGTGTGAGGCTCTCTGTTTTTCCTCCACCAGTGCTGGCCCATTAACTTACCTGAATGGAATTTTATGCATTCACCTGCATGGAATACCTAGCTACCTATAGCTACCAGGAGACATGTTAAGTACAGTGGTGCCCCGCAAGACGAATGCCTCGCAAGACGGAAAAACCGCTAGACGAAAGGGTTTTCCGTTTTGAAGTTGCTTCGCAGGACGAATTCCCCTATGGGCTTGCTTCGCAAGACGAAAATATCTTGCGAGTCTTGAGATTTTTTTCGCTTTCCCCCTTTATCTAATCTGCTAAGCCTTTAATAGCCTTTAATAGCCTTTTAGCAGCTAATCCCCTAAGCCTTTAAGCCTTTAATAGCCGCTAAACCGCTAATAGCGCTAATAGCGCTAATCCGTCAATGGGCTTGCTTCGCAAGACGAAAAAACCGCTAGACGAAGACTCTCGCGGAACGGATTAATTTCGTCTTGCGAGGCACCACTGTACAAAGCTGATTAAAACCTGTGTTACGGAAGACATAATCACCACACAGCATTTATTTATTGAATTCCTTATCCATCTCTGACAGTTGGGTTTTTTTGTCTTCTTCCTCTCTTATGCAGCAAACAGTGGTTATTCCCATCACCAGCAGATACGAACGCAAATCAAATTGGCATCGACTCACACAGCATGGTTTCCCTTTTATTTCATAGTGTCCCCTGTGCCCAGCCTGACCACCCCAAACCCCACAGTCCCAAATGAACCCCCCCTAGCAATTTTCTCAATCATAGCTGCCTCCTATCCTCACTTACTCTCTTCTCCAAAACAGCAAGAGACAGCATGCTAAAATTAGATAGTCTGAGGCCTAAAATGCTATTTATTCTCTCTGTTGCACTCTCTCTAGTTGCCTTCAGTTTTGCCATTTCCCCAAGCATTTTTTCTGCAAGCTTTTTTTCTCTGACCTGAACAAAGGTTCAGCGTTCCAACTACATCCATTAAACGGCAGCTCAAAAAATGATAATTAGCACAGCAATCAGTTGCTGTGGAAGAAAATGAAAAACAGGTTGGTGAGTTAAGTGGTGCAGGCTCTCGTGTTTGAGCAAGGCCAAGGTGATCATAGTTCAGAAACAGGTCATGTTTATTTTTCAGTGTTTTTCCGGCAAATGGAAGTTCCCCTTAAATTAGCAAGCTTCATCCTTGGGCATTTTGCTCTTGCAGTCCCAGTACCAGTGATTGCTTCCCTTGCTGGTGGCAGGCAGGCACAAACAGCAGATTTATTGGCTGTGAAGGAACTAGAGGGCAAAACAGGTGTTACATCTGCCTTAAACCCACCTATCCTCTTGCAGCTTTGTCCCAGCAAGTCTTGGCAGTAGAGGTCCTTGAAGAAGCGGCTGCATCGCCTGCCCTCAAAGAAGTGGGACGCCTCTCATTTTACGGATTATGTTCGCCAGTCGCTTGGCTAAGCCTCCCCTGTTAGGTTCTTCTACATGGAAGGTTCTGGTCAGCAAGTTATAGAAGGAGCCATAGCAAACAGCTACCACTGTGCAGGTCAAGCAAATGACATTATACGGCATGCTGAAGTCTGGCGTCGGCAGGTTCACCAGCAGCGGTTCTGTGTAGAGGCGCACAAAGTAGCTGGAGCCGTCCAAGGAAGGAAACCTGGGGAGAAGGAAGGAGGAGATCAGCAGAGCTCAAAGGGCTGATTCAGATAATGATGTGTTACCACCCTTGTCTCCAAGCATATCAGATCAGGAGATTAGGCAAGAGTGAAGGAGTGCCACATCTTTGAGGGCAGCCTCAAATTGCAAATCACAAACGGAATATTCATGTGAAAGGTTTCGATGCGCAAGTGCTTTTCAAATAAGCAACGCCCCGTAGACACTGTGCCACATGAAGAACTCAACTGGTTCTCCGTCTTCTGCAATTCCCTCTATGCAGATTCCCCTGCAAAACTACATGTGCATACACACCCATTTCCATGCATCCCATACTTGTGGAGAGGTCTGAAGATGAGCCTTCATTGCAATGCAGTATGCAGAAGTCCAATATCTTGCAACTTCGGCTAATGCCTCTGTCTCATGCAACCTTACAACCTTAAACTTACCACAACAGTAACACTATTTGAATCCAAAAGTTGCTTACAAAATCAGCACTAACTGATCACTGTTATTTGGTTTTAAGTTGGAAGTATAACAGCAACTCTGTTTCCAGATTTCTGACACTCCAAGGCTAGATCTACACAGCTATAAAAATGCTCTGCAAAAAACCGTTGCAAAGTTCACAATTGAAAATATCATTTGAGTTGTGATTTCAGCTCTACTGTGCCATCTGGTTTCATAATGCATTTATAACGCTATATTTTAACTAATGTAGCTGAGTCCCCGGTGGGCAGTCTCCTTTTCCGCAGCAATGAATGTCCAGGGCGGGAAGGGAGATTTTCATTGAGACCACTGTTTGTTGTGAAAGGGTTAAACGCTACCTTTCCTGCCCTTTCACTGCACTTCAAATCATGATTGCCTCCCCTGCTGCAGTTTAGGGAAGAAAAAGAAACAAAACAGACATGCTAGATTAGAAGTGTGATAACCCATTTACACCTGGGGAAATTGCACAGCTACTCTGCTGAGTGCTTGATTTGAAAGGGGGGGGGGAGAAAGCAATACAATTTTTAAAGTAGGGGTGGGAGAACAAACCGAACAAGGAAAAATGTGAAGAGGGTGTTTTGTTCATGACATCATGTGGTTGCCCTGTAAAATGCAGATCAGCAAAGCATGGCTATTTCACAGTAAATGCCAGTGTAGAGGCAGCCAAATAATTTACTTCTTGAATCTGCTAAAAATATACATTCAGTTCAGAACTAAATTTCAGATTAACCAAGGTTGTAATTTCTGAAAACAGTTCATGAAAAGTCTTTGATATCTATGTTTGCACAGACTTCTGTCATGCTGGTCTAGCTACAGCCTTTGCTAGGTTAATCTGAAACGTCTGGTATGAAGCAGTTTCCAATAATCAACAGAAGTACAATAACAATCTCACACATCTCATTCCCACCCTTCTCTGTTCTGCAGTCATCAAATGCACTCACAGTGAAGCAAAGAGTGGACTTTGATCTTCATCTTCCTCTTTCATCGCAATGACACTGGGCACTAGGGCACTCAGAACAGATGGGCTACAAACCAAACAAAAAGAGATTACTTGGAGCTTCGGCCCAAGGATGGAGAATCTGTGGTCCTTTAAAAGCTGCTGGGCTCCCAGTTTCCATCATCTCCAGCTGCTCGTCATGCTGGTTGGGGCTGATGGGAGCTGGAGTCCAACCACATTTGGAGAGCCATATAGGTTTCCCATCCCTTCATGGGTCCCTCTTGGAGGAGAGGGGGTTTATGAACCTGGTCACAAGGGATGCAACACAGACAAACCCAAGGCCGACAAACACTGATGGCGAGTGGCTCGAGGACAGCTGCAGCCTTACCTCACATAAAACCCATGGTTGGGGTCAGGAGTGTATTCTGTCCACTTCAGCAAGGCTCTCTCAAACTGGATGGTGATCTTTGTGACAGAGTTTGCCGGCAGCTGAATCAGCATTTCCAAGAGATGGGGCCGCTGTCGGTCCTGAGCTGGCTGATAGTGGATGTAACCTAGCACCAAAGACATGGTATCATCGCACACCACTTGGGTCAACATGAATAAATAAAACCCTCCCTTAATGTTTACATAATGCCCTGAGGAACACTCTTAACTTAGGCCTGACTGATCTCCCCAGCAACTCTGGGGAGGAAAACAAACTTGGATCACAAAATATTTCTCCAAACGCCTCCATTTCTCTTGTTTGGAATACGAGCTCTTACGCACTGAGATCAGTCAGAATACTGTATGTAAAAACTGTAGTCCCGTATATGAAATGCGGGGAACCTTTTTTGGCCAAAGGCAGCATTACCAATAAAAGCTGCATTCCAGTGGTGGATGAGGCCAGATCCATCTACAATCTCTCACAAACACACAGCCATTTCCCATGGGAACAGAGACATATATAATTCATAACCACTCAAGTTTCACCTTCCATTTTCCTTCTGTTGTTATTTTAACCAAAGTTTATTTAAAAAGAAGAAGCAGCTCTATAGCACCTTTTATTAGTTCTGACTGTGAAAAAGGCAGGAAGATCTCAGGAATCCTAGCAGAAGAATGCAAATTACTCAATGCGCAGCTCAACTGCAAGCATAGCCTTTCAGCTATTCATAGCTTTAAGTTTTAAAATGCAATTGCATCCTCAAAATTGTAAGCGTGCAACTGCAAGCTGCAAGGCCACTTTTTGCACATTTGCAAGGAACAAAGGCCTACCTTTCTGCTGAAGCATTTCCCCCCCCCCCTCTACTTTTTTTGCAGCAGCTTTTGCAGAGAAAGGAGCTGCAGCTGCAAGCTTTGCACAGCATCAATGCCCCTTTTCTCTGTCAGAAGCTCCCTGCTTAACAGCTAATGCAGGGGCCTCAGCAGGGTTAATAGCAGGGAACCCTTGTCCTATATCCACTTACCTGGGAGAAAGCCCCACTGAATTCTATGGAAAGGTAAAGGTAAAGGGACCCCTGACCATTAGGTCCAGTCGTGGCCGACTCTGGGGTTGTGGCGCTCATCTCGCTTTATTGGCCGGGAGCTGGCGTACAGCTACCGGGTCACGTGGCCAGCATGACTAAGCCGCTTCTGGCGAACCAGAGCAGTGCACGGAAATGCCGTTTACCTTCCCGCTGGAGTGGTACCTATTTATCTACTTGCACTTTGATGTGCTTTTGAACTGCTAGGTTGGCAGGAGTTGGGACCGAGCAACGGTAGCTCACCCCGGGGATTCGAACTGCCGACCTTCTGATCAGCAAGTCCTAGGCTCTGTGGTTTAACCCACAGCGCCACCCGCGTCCAGAGCTGCAATCCTATGCACACCCACTATATAAAATGGGACCTTCTTTTGAATAAATATACATAGCGTGGGGCTCTCAGAACCTCGGGAAAGCACACAGAAGTGAACAAATAATATAAGAAACCATCAACAGGGTAACATGCTTCACTTCTCCTTGAGAAGTGACTGCAAATGCTGCCAGTAAAACTAATTTCCTTTTAAGGAAGTCAAACATTTACGGATTACACAAAGCCTTCCAAATACACATTTCTGCTACTACATCCCTACCATGGTATATTATCATGCTAAGCTTTGGCTCCTTACCACTCTCGCCCTGACCTAGCCACTGTGATCCACGCGACGGTCACCTCCAGACTTGATTATTGTAACTCACTCTACGTGGGGCTGACCTTGAGACTGACCCAGAAACTCCAGCGGGTGCAGAATGTCGCAGCGAGACTCCTTATGGGGTCCTCACTGCGAGATCACATTCACCCAGCGCTATACCAGCTGCACTGGCTCCTGGTGGAGTACAGGATCAGGTTTAAGGTGCTGGTTTAAAGCCCTATACGGCCTAGGACCCTTGTACCTACGGGATCACCTCTTCTGGTATGTCCCATGGAGGACCTTACTTTCTTCAAATTAAAAACATCTTGGAGATCCCGGGCCACAGGGAGGTTAGGCTGGCCTCAACCAGAGCCAGCTCAGTTTTTTCAGCTCAGTTCCATGGTGGAACGCTCTGTCACAAGAGACTAGGGCCCTGCGGGACCTTGACATCTTTCTGCAAGGCCTGCAAGACAGAGCTGTTCCACCAGGCCTTTGGCCAAGGCACAGTCTGACCCCTCCTTCGGTAATCCACAAAGAACTCTAGCCCAATGGTTGCCATTAATTTGATTTTGAATTGATTTTAGAATGAATTGATTTTAGAATGCATTTCAATTAATTGATTGTGATTTTATGTAAACTGTGTTACTTTTATTGTTGTTAGCCGCTCTGAGCCCGGCTTCAGCTGAGGAGGGCGAGATATAAATAATTCATTATTATTATTACATAGGTTATTGATAAACTGCATCAAAAGGGGGGTGGGGATGGGCTTTGGAGCTCAGCAAGCCAAATCACTGAACACATAGAAAAAGCAAATTACTATGGCTAGCCTACATATCCAGTTGTTGAGAAATGCATAGGTAATGCCAGATGTACTTAAGAGATGCTCCTTAAGGGATATAGATATATATGCATATCCTTAAGGGGTATAGATATGAAGGCAAAACTTCATGCTTTTCAGCTCAGGCCTCCCTTTCTGAATCTGCTCCATTTCCTTGGCATATCAACTTAGAACATGATCCAGTACATGTACTGGAACACAGAAAGCTGCCTGCACTGACACGCAGAAGCTCTTCACTGCAATGTTGTCTGGGGCTGGTGGAAGTTGCCGTCTCAAACATCCGGAGGGCATCAGGTTGGGAAATGAAGTATTACTAGGAGGCTCCTTCTTACTTGGTTTGTTTTCCTTGCCCTTGGTGATAATGGTCAGCGTGTGGATGTAGAGTCGCAGATACCAGGGCACAGTCTCCAGCAGAAGCACAGGGAAAGCTCTGTATGGGTGTGTGTTATAGATTAGGGTGCTGATTTCTCCTGTCTCAAGGCCATAGCCACTCACATAGCGCTGGGCATGGAGCACAGGTACTGCCAGATCCACTGCAGGAAGGAAATGAAACCAGGTTAGGAGTCAAACTACCGGAGCACCACCAAATGCAAGAATATTATCCCTGAGATAATGTGAGTTCTGAACTAAGACAAGTCTGGTAGCAGTCCCAGCAGAAAAGTAGCTGTACTATTTTTCTGCTGTGACTACCACTAGATGTGTCCCGGTTTATAAATGAATAAGCTTAAATGATGCACAGCACGAGTCTCTCGCATTCAAAAAGTGTCCATTTTCTAGTGATCTAAGAGAGGACAACACATTAGAGACAGGAAAGCCATTGATAACTCACAGCCATCCTGAGGGCGCTTCCATTTTAGTTGCACATTGAGGCTGCGAGAGCCATTAAAAAGTCCTGGGTTCAGGAGATCATAGACTGCGTATGTTCTCCTGTCTCCTTGGACGGATGCTTCATGTACAGACAAAGGAGCTGGGGAAACTTCAAGTAACTCTTTCTCCTGGAAACATAAACAAAATAAAGCAAAATCATTATTAGCCATCAAAAAGATAACCAGCCCATCTATGTCATATTTTTGTGTATATTCAGCACGGGGGCAGGGTACGTGGGGGAGACTACCTTCAACTGGCCCCAATTCTCATATTTATTTAAAAGCTTTCTGGCCTGTTTTACAGGATAAAAACATCTCTGCAGACCGCATTACAACATACTTTGAAAAGCAGAGGGCGATATCCCACCCTTCCCTGCAAAAGGAGCCCAGGGTGGCGAAATAAAATCCATTTATTTCAATGGATCTACTCTTGAGTATAACTAACACTGGATATCACCGAGAAAGAAGCAATCTGTGCACCCAGCACAACAACTGAAAAGTAAGCCTATATAAAGCTATATTCACAATTGCAGAGGGTTCCTAATTAGGTGAAGAACCTACATGCTTACGGATGCAGGCATGTAGTTTCTCCTCCCAATCACTGTTGTTTGAGGGTATAGCCAGTGGGGTGGGGGTCCAATTCCATGCATTGGCTATACACATGGAGATTATTTGAGCAACCCTCTACTCTCAAGACTCTGTAATATAACTGGAGACACAAAGCACCTAAAGAACTGTAAGCATCTGGTTAAATCCTCTTGATTATATATACAGTGAACGCTCGGGTTGCGAACGTGATCCGTGTGGGATGCATATCCGCAACCCGCAGCAACGCGCCTGCGCACGCACGGGTTGCAATTTGGCGCTTCTGCGCATGTGCAAAGCGTGATTTAGTGCTTCTGAGCATGCATGACCGCCGAAACCCGGAAGTAACACGTTCCGGTACTTCTGGGTTTCGGCGGTCCGCAACCTGAAAAAACACAACCTGAAGCGGCTGTAACTTGAGGTATGATGTATTCCGCTCAGTTACATCTGGGGTTTCCATCAAGCTTCGTTCACCCAGAGAGAGCTCTGAGTAAGGTGGGCATCTCCTAAAAGTCCTGATGTCCTAGTCCTATTGCAAGGTTACTGGGGAAAGGACAGGTTACCTGGCCTTTACTGGAAATGTCAACGTAGACTTTGCTTTGAGACGCCAGTGGGCACGCTTCAGTAAGAGTGCGGGAGAAGATCTTGAAGAGAGACCAATCTGGTGGGAGAATGGCACAAAGGTCATTATTAAGAAGTGAATAAACCGCTGTAACCATAGCAGAGTGGTGACGTGCTGCAGGGCGATTTGAGTTACCTTTCTTTCCATGGCCGCTGGCAAAGGAATCAAAGACAACCGTGAGGGTCTGTCTGAGCTCCCAGGACATGCTCAAGCACGAGGCATCCTGAGAGAGAAGGACAAAGCATCAGAAATGGCAGGAGCAAGGGCAGCTCTAAGGCAGGCACCCCCAAACTCGGCCCTCCAGATGTTTTGGGACTACAATTCCCATCATCCCTGACCACTGGTCCTGTTAGCTAGGGATGATGGGAGTTGTAATCCCAAAACATCTGGAGGGCTGAGTTTGCAGATGCCTGCTCTAAGGTAAGGCTTGTGAAATGTGATCATAGGTTTTGGCAGATCATAGGTGATTGGGGATCCTGTCTCCAGCTCTTTCCACCAATTTATGACACAACACCAAATCCTTCAAGGACTCACCCTGCAAATGGGGCGGATGTGCACAGCTTGGGAGTGGTAACTGCTGTGGAACAAGCGCTCAGCCTTCAGCAGAACAGCCAGGCCAGCCTGGGAAGAAAAAAGAAAATACGGCTGAACTTTTGCTCCGTAGTACAGAACATGATCACTGCAGATGGTGACAGCAGTCACGAAATTAAAAGACACCTGCTTCTTGGGAGAAAAGCAATGACAAACCTAGACAGCATCCTAAATAGCAGAGACATCACCTTGTCAACAAAGGTCTGTATAGTTAAAGCTATGGTTTTCCCAGTAGTGATGTATGGAAGTGAGAGCTGGACCATAAAGAAGACTGATCGCTGAAGAATTGATGCTTTTGAATTATGGTGCCGGAGGAGACTCTTGAGAGTCCCATGGACTGCAAGAAGATCAAACCTATCCATTCTGAAGGAAATCAGCCCTGAGTGCTCACTGGAAGGACAGATCGTGAAGCTGAGGCTCCAATACTTTGGCCACCTCATGAGAAGAGAAGACTCCCTGATGTTGGGAAAGATTGAGGGCACAAGGAGAAGGGGATGACAGAGGACGAGATGGTTGGACAGTGTTCTCGAAGCTACCAGCATGAGTTTGACCAAACTGCAGGAGGCAGTGAAAGGCAGGAGTGCCTGGCGTGCTCTGGTCCATGGGGTCACGAAGAGTCGGACACAACTAAACGACAATAGCTAGAAACAAGCACAAGCACCATGCAACAGTGCGCACGTAGTTCACTCTCCTCCAGAGTACTTGCTCCAATTGAGAACAAGGTCCCAAAGCTTCAGATGTGCAAGCTTGGGGGGGGGGGCTAGGATGAGGGAATCCAGAGCAATGACACAGGTTGGTTCAAGGCTCCACCTGCATGATCACAGGAATGTGCCTCACCTTTGAGCTGCATGGCAGCAGCTTCTTCCAGGGTGTGAGGTTCTCAGTGCAGACAACTTCACGGGGAAGGACGGCATATCGTAGGAAATGGTGGTCTGTAACTGAAGGAGGGAGGGGAAGGGTTAGAACATGTGGCCCTCCTCCTCTTGATGTTGCTGAAATTTCCATCAGCCCCAGCCAGCATGATGAATTCCAGGAAGTGATTGGGTGCCCATTGGTGGTATATAAAATTTAAAATAAAATAAAATGCTCTCAATATGATGATGGAAGTCAGCTTCTAGAAATCATCTGCCTTCAGATCTTGCCTCCGCCATGAATTCACTAGCTAGCCTTAAGAAAAGCAGGCATCTGACGTAAAGGGTACTACTACTAGATTGAATTCCTTTAAGGATTACTGAGGTCACAAGCGTGGAATACTTGGAACTACTGTAGAGTGTGAGACTCTTAATCTCAGGGTTGTGAGTTTGAGCCACACGTCGGGCAAGAGATTCCCGCTTTGCAGGGGGTTGGACTAGATGACCCTCATGGTCCCTTCCAACTCTACAATTCTTTGATTCTACTATTAAAAGCTAGGTATTATAATCACACAAACCACTTATTTATTGAATTATTGTCTGTGCTATCCTAATGGTTCAAAGTAATATAAACAAAACAGTCAAAGAGAATCAATAAACACATTTAAAAACTAAGTCAAAACCTATGGCATTGGCCCAATTCCAATTAATTCTTATTACCCAGTCAGCCCAAACAATCCTTACAATGCTCTCAAGAAACACAGATTAATTACAAAACCAGCAACCCTAATCAGAATAACGAACAAGGAGATGGGCAGACGTTCCAAAAATGTCGAGCCTTTCAGCACCCCCAAAACTTTTTGAAAATCTTATGCCATAATACATTTGTTAATTTTTAAGCTGCTACAAGATACTTGGGTGTTTCTAAGAAGTTCCGGTCTCCCTTTAATTTCACCAACTAATACATGCCAACAACACAAGGATTCCCACTTGTACAATGTGACTTTTCTCTCTCCTTCCCCTGCATGCACCCTGCACTCTCACCAAATCTGTGCCAGAGGGTTTGGGAACCCAGAGAAAATATTTAGGTGGTGCACAGGGGGTAGAGGGGGGGAAATATCATTGCACTGATGGGACAACTTAAGTGCTACACTGGACACAACCATTTGTCATTTAAGTATCTAGAACCAGCTGCAATTTAGCAGTGCCCCTTCTTGCAAAACAAGCCCTTCCAGGCCAGAATAGCCCAATCTCTTACCATTTGCCAATCCCAGAGGTTTGAAGGATGCTGTTGGAACAACAGTGTTGGTGGAATCAATGAAGTTCAGAGAGGCACAGAATATTCCTGAGAGGATGTTGCTGAGATCTTTCCAAGCTTTGTCAACGCTGAAAATGAAAAATATACACATTTACTGTGAATGATTTGCCTGAAACTTGCAAGATGCCATTTGGAAAGCAAATGTGTTTTCAAGTCATAGACCGTGCTTGCAGTTGTACATCACTTCAGGTGCCATTCTAGTGGCAGGAGATGCTTTCTATAAAATTCAAAATAAAATAAAATAATGAATAGCTCAGGCTTTGCTTCAGTACTACATTAGCACGGTAGAGCTAGTACAGTGGTGCCCCGCAAGACGAATGCCTCGCAAGACGGAAAAACCGCTAGACGAAAGGGTTTTCCGTTTTGAAGTTGCTTCGCAGGACGAATTCCCCTATGGGCTTGCTTCGCAAGACGAAAATACCTTGCGAGTCTTGAGATTTTTTTCGCTTTTCCCCCCCTTTATCTAATCTGCTAAGCCTTTAATAGCCTTTAATAGCCTTTTAGCAGCTAATCCCCTAAGCCTTTAAGCCTTTAATAGCCGCTAAACCGCTAATAGCGCTAATAGCGCTAATCCGTCAATGGGCTTGCTTCGCAAGACGAAAAAACCGCTAGACGAAGACTCCCGCGGAACGGATTAATTTCGTCTTGCGAGGCACCACTGTACAATGGTACCTTAGGTTACAAACATTTCGGATTACAAACACTTTGGGTTACAAACTCCACTAACCTGGAAGTAGTACCTCGGGTTGAGAACTTTGCCCCAGGGTGAGAACAGAAATCGCGTGGCAGCAGCGGGAGACCCCTTTAGCAAAAGTGTGCCTCAGGTTAAGAACGGTTTCAGGTTAAGAACGGACCTCCAGAATGAATTAAGTTCGTAACCCAAGGTACCACTGTAAATGGAAATGAGCCGTGTTCACAACCCACAGCTACAAGCACCATCTAGCACCTGATGGCCTACTCCAGGAATGGGAACCCTTCTGGGGGCCACATACTTGTGGGTGGGGCCAGAGGCAAACGTGGACAGAGAAACGGACACACATTTTACCTTTGCATCATGGGAAACTTTCTACACAGCACTGTTTCCTTCACCCAAGCAAGCAAGAGGTATTATCAGACTCCAAGAGCACATTCCAGTCTGGCAAAAATCAGTCAAAGAGGCTGTGAAGCAAGGACTGTGAGGGGTATGGCCTGAAAATTGGCTGTTTGGCACGGAGAGTCCTGAGAGCCAGACAGAGAAGCTTAGAGGGCTACAATTGGCACCCCAGGGTCCAGAGACCACCACCTCATGCCTATTCTGATGAAACAGCAAGGGAGAAGAACTATGGCCCTTCTAGAGGCTACCACTGATTTAGGTGTTGGGATGTCCCAGTGGGCCTTGGCAGCCTTTGGCAAAATTGTTCAATGCAAAGGAAAGACCCAAGAGACATCAGAATTTGAAAGTGAAGGAACAACGTCCGCTCATTTAAACCATATGATTGCCTTCATGGAATGGACCTTTGAAATTTATCTTGTTTATGCACTTATGCCATGAGGAGGTGGGCAGGCGAGAAAAGTAGAATGCAACAGCCTTCTTATGATTTACCTGAGACCCCTTCAATCAAGTAAAATCAGCTCAGGCTTACTTACTCAGAGACAGACTCCTGAAACCAAACCCAGAGCTCAGCCCCAGCCGGAGCTTGCAAGTAAGGCTGTCCCCAGCTCCGTGTCCGCCAGAAGCCCTGAGTGAGGGAGAGATGCAGTTCGCGCACCGAGTACTTGGAAATGAGCTGGCCAAGGGCTTTGGGGAATAGCCGGTAATGAGAGACTGTAGGGAGCAGGGGGAAAAAATAGGAGCATTACAACAGCATAGCTTCACATCAACCTCTCCACCTGCCCCACTCCCCAATTCACTTTCCCTTCTCCTGCTCCATTGAAGAGGAATGCTGCTGCAGTCCTGCTGGCACCCATGCAAGTCACCCAGTAAGTAGCCTATCCCTCAATCTATTATTGCTCAGGGTTCCTTGACCCTTTGCTGCACTCATTTTCCATTTACTACCTCAGGCCTTTTATGCTTTCCCAGTGAGACTGGCTTGTACTCCTGGCAGTTCAGAGTCCCCACCACTCCCCAATGGCTACTAGACATGATCCTCTCTACCCCTGCAGTCGGTGGCAGCAGTGCTTCCAGATACCTGTTGCTGGAAAACATGGGAGAGGAGAGTGCTCTTGTATTCATGCGCCAGAATCCCAGAATGGTAGAGTTAGAAAGGAACCCAAGAGTCCAACCCCCCTGCAATGAAAGAACCTCGACTACAAAGCACCCACAACAGAATGGATGGATTTATTCATTCATTCATTCTTTTCCAAAGGGGAAAGGCATCAGGTGTGTGAGGGGGAACCTTGTGGAACTACAACTCCCATCACCTCTTGCTACTAGACATGCTTGCTGGGGCTGATGGGAATTGTAGTCCAACCACCCACCCAACTGGAGCCGGAGAAGCCCTGTCTCCGGGGTTCACAGGGACCCCCTTTCCAGATAATGCTTCGCTTCCCCCCCCCCAAAAAAAACCCTCTGTCGCGACAGGCCCCGCCCCTTACCGCCCTCCCGCTGCAAGTCGGAATCCCAGCGCGTCCGGAACTGGAAGGTGGCGGCCACGTCCCCCGACGGGAGCGGGCTGAGCAGCAGCTCTTCCCGCAGGGAATCCCGCGGCTGTTCCGCCCCGCTCGTCGCCAAGAAGAGCAGCAGCAGCAGCGTTCCGAGCGGCTCCATTCCTCCGCTGCGCTCCCGGCAAAGCGGAGCAGCTCCGCCCACTGCCCCGGGCGCGTTAGCCAATGGGGAGCAGAGGAAGGAGGTTCCATGGAACCCCGCCTCCACTCACCCGGTGAATGTAGGCTTTTCAGGAAGGGACAGAGACGAGGCTAGAGCGACACTTCCCGTTGCCTTGTTGTTGTTCGGAAATCTGCTTCCGGGTCGGAGGCAAGGGATGCCGGAAGGAGCTTGCAGGGGCAGGTTTCTGCAGTGGCTGAGGTTGGGCGACCCATGTGCCCAGACAGAGGCAGAAGGTAATAGAAGCAGCAGGAGGAGGGGGAGCCGACATGCTGTTTGTAGCTTGATCCTCGTTTCGTTTAATATCCTTTTACATGCCATATATAATGTAATATTATTATATTATATTATATTATATTATATTATATTATATTATTATTATAGTATTATGCTTTGTAACATATAACATCATTTCTTTAAAAAAACAGCACACAGAGAGTTGCGTTATGTTGAGCCAGACTTTTGATTCTTCTCTACCTTGATATTGGCACTCCCAAGTTTGTTCCTAGCTCATACCTGGAGATGCTGGGAATTGCACCTAGGACCTTTTGCATGGAAAGCGTCGTCTTCTGCCTCTGAGCTAGAGCCCCTCCCTCAAACATTGGACCCAGTTCTCCTGGTCTGGGAATTTGAACCCAGGACCTCTTGGAGCCAAGGTAAGAATAATACACCAAGACTAATGGTGGCTAAGCTGTAGCATTCCAGAGGTTGTCGGACTACAACTCTCACCAGCCCCAGCCAGCCTGACCAATAGTCGGGACAAATGGGAGTTCTAGTCAGTAACACAGAGGATCACAGGTTAGCCACCCCTTTACTTTAGTTTACAGGCATCTGTTGGGGATGACAGAGGTATAGGATGTTGTTTCTCGGGACAAGGGAATAGGCCAGAAGAACTACTTCCATTATGCATGCAAGCTGGAAGTGCTTATTTATTAGTAAAGGTAAACGGACTCCTGACCATTAGGTCCAGTCATGGCCGACTTGGGGTTGTGGCCCTCATCTCGCTTTATTGGCCGAGGGAGCCGGCATACAGCTTCTGGGTCATGTGGCCAGCATGACTAAGCCACTTCTGGCAAACCAGAGCAGCACACGGAAACGCCGTTTACCTTCCTGCCGGAGCGGTACCTATTTATCTATTTGCACTTCGTGCTTTCGAACTGCTAGGTTGGCAGGAGCAGGGACAGAGTAACAGGAGCTCATGCCATCGCGGGGATTCGAACCCTTCTTTATTTCTTTTCTCTGCAACTTCCATCAGCACCAGCCTGTATGGCCAATGGTAAGGGATGACTGGAATTGTAGTCCAAAAAACATCTGGAGGGCCACAGGTTCCCCATCCCTGTTCCGGAGCAAGCGAATTTGTTCCATTGTCTCTCTGGCAAAACTATTGAGAACTGCAGCCTTAATTACGTCAAAGCTAGGCCATGGCTTAAGTAGTTTTCTGGCAGGGTTCCCTGCAACCATTTCTTTCTGAAAGATGCCATTACTGTAACCTCCCTGCACCCAAGTGCTTTTTATTACTAAGCTGTGATGGCTAAATGGAGCCTCTTCGTTTGGAATTGGTGTCAGTTCCTTGGGAGGGCTCTTTCCATAGACATCAGATTGGCCACTGGTGGATGCTGAACTAGATAAATGGTTGATGTGATTCCTCAGGGCTCTTCTTATGTCCTTCTCATTAAACACGTTGTATTTTTGAAGTGTAAACACTTCCTAATATTAAATAGAGTTTACGTAGTCTTGTTACTGATATGTGACAATAAGCCAAATAAGCTAGCAATCCTGGCTTCTCAGAAGGAAAAAATCCATGATCCATGGATCAAAATAACACCAAGCTATACCCTTTGTGGTGCATTTACTTGTTCATGCAAAAGTAGAAGCAAAGTGACAGCAATCAGTGTGCTCTAGTATGTAGTTTGTGCACAGTATGGTTGGTTGGCTTATCATTTTTAGCAAATGTGCCCTCTATGTGAGTGGTTCTGACAACCTTTAGTATAGCAGCTCATGCGTGAACAGAGATTTGAACTAGGGACCCAATGACCCCTAATTCATTGCTTTAACATCCTAAACCATACCAGCTTCCTATGCAATATTTTATCTTGCCAATCCTTATGCCATTGTTATTTCCAGTAGATAAGTGAGTCCAAGTCTGAAATGGGATTTAAACCACCATTTCAGGGCTGCTGAAATGGGCATTCAGGGTCATAAGACCCCAACTGCTGTGGGTCAGTCTTCTGACACGAGTTGGGAGTGGGCACAGAAGAGAAGCCAACACAGTGTAACGAAACATATACTGTGGTACCTCGGGTTAAGTACTTAATTCGTTCTGGAGGTCTGTTCTTAACCTGAAGCACCACTTTAGCTAATGGGGCCTCCTGCTGCTGCTGCGCCACCGCTGCACGATTTCTGTTCTCATCCTGAAGCAAAGTGCTTAACCAGAGGTAATATTTCTGGGTTAGCGGAGTCTGTAACCTGAAGCGTATGTAACCTGAGGTACCACTGTACCTAGTTAGAAGTGATTCCCAAACTAATTATTCCAGCCTCCTGCTTAGGCAGGAAATCTGCTATTGCATCCCTGATAGTGGGGCTGGCCCTACCATTAGGGAGAACGAGGTGGCTCTCAAGTGGCAGATTTGGGGGTGTGGGAGGAGTGCTGAGGTTTTAGAAAACAGAAGAGTCTTTGCCACATGACCTGCCCTGTACCTTCTAAGCCAGGTATGTCCAACTCTCTGGAGACTGCAGTCTACTTACGGTATAATAAAACTGGCAGTGATCTACTCATTGTTATTGCATTGCCCAGAGTTGTTGAGCTTTTGGGGGAGGAGGACAGAGGTTTTTTTTGGCGGGGGGCTGGCAGTCAGGATCAACCAAGAACACCTCGCGATCGAAGCAGTAGATCATGATCGACCGGTTGGACATGCCTGTTCTAAGCTATCCCACAGCCCCTAGATACAGTGCAGACGTCCAGTCACCAGCATTGAAGTAAGATTTGACTGTCAATCTTGTCAGCTTCTTCACATGGGATGGTGGGGGTACCATCTTGTTGATTGCCTCAGGCTGTCAACTGTTTTGAGCCAGTCTTGTAAGGCTGGGATAAGGCCTCTTGCCTTAACCAAGTTGCTTAATTTCCCACAACTTGATAGGAAAATTTCCCCACTAGAGGGCAGGCACAGCCTTTTTCAAATTCCTGCCATTTTCTTCTAGAGCCCTGGAATTCAGTGTTGAATTTCCTTCCTTTTATCTAACTCCTAATCACATACTTAAGTGCAAGCTTCACTTGAAATAGCCAGAAAAGTCCCACTGGTTTTAAATTTCAGAATTTGACCCTCCATTTCCTGATAGATTATAGCTCCTAGTCAGCCCAGCCAGTAGTCAGGGGATGATGGGATTGGTAGTCAAACAACTTCTGGAAGGCCACAGATTCCCAATCCCTGGAATATTCTGTTGTCACTTCTTGTGAAAGGCACAGGAGCATGTCCAGAAAAGGGGATGATAACCCTAGTTGGATCAACAGCAATGAAAATTTCTGTTCACTTGAAAATTTCCACTCCGAGTTGGTGGGGGGAGGAATGCATGTTTCTGTTTGTGTTCAGAAGAGAGAGCGCTTCTCGGCTACCCAGTCATCAAACATTTTCTGGTTCACCTGAGGCAGCAAAAGGTAATTGGCCAAACCTGACTGAGGATAACACTATGCATCTGATGACATGGACAGACATGAACTCACAGAAGCTTGTGCCACAATAATAAATAAATAAATTTGTTATTCTTTAAGTTGCTATAAGACTTTGTTTTTCTGTGAAAAGCAGTGCACTTGGTGCTCAAACATGTTCCTGTCTGGAGTTCTCCCCCCCCCCCAGCACAGTTGCTAAGAAAAGTTTTCTGTGTTCGCAGTTCACCCTCTTTCCAGTTGTATTTTTCCACTGGATTCTTTTATTGCTTCGGGTGGGTTGTTCCTGTGGCTGCTAGATCTCTATCACTGGTCTCTCTCCCCACCCACCTGTGCTGTTAGTTCCCTGAGTCACTTCCTCCTCTCAGTCCTTCGCCCTCTATTCAGACCTCTCGCTGGAAAGCAGTTGCTGGAGTTGTTTGCAAATGGAGAAACTATGACTCACTTGCACCTGGATGGAAGCTCAAATGCTAGATGTTATTGCGAGGACCCAAGAGGGCTGGCTGATGTGTTGAGTCAATGCCGATGCCAGGCAGCTAAAGGGAGCTCCCCAGGAACTGGGCCGGCCCAAGGTTATTTATACACCAGGCTCCTTTTATTTCTTCTTGGGATTCTTCCAGTTTCACAATCAGAGTGGCTTTCTTGTTCAGTTTACAACAGGGCCAGCACCTGTCTGGTTTAAAGCAGACTGAAGACTTCAAATCGCTTGAGTGCTACTCCCAACATTAATTTGACATGCTAATTTACAGTGTAGGGGAAAGCATGAAAAATGCATTGCTTTCAGGTGTGGACAATTGCATACACATGTATTTCCGCTGAGGCTGGAAAGTTGCAATTAGCTATGGCTTCCCACTGTATACCAACCCAACAAAATCTGGTTGTGATCCTGATACAAGCTATGCATGGGGAACCTGGTCAGGGCTGATGGGGGATGGATGTCCAACAACATTTGGATGGCCATATATTTATATGGTTTGTTTTCTGTATACCCAACCAAGTGGCCCAGAGTGGTAAGACAATTTTAGACTTGTATACATTTTAGCTGCACTATACGGAAAACAGTACTAGGCTTGAGCTTGGAACCTCAGCTGAGAACAGGTGGCTTTTAAAATGTCACTGCCTCTCAGCCTCAATTACCCACCTGTAAACTGACATTATAATTACTTGTCCTCAAAACTGACTTGAGGGTGAGCCACATGGATGCCACATGGTTATTCTTGGTATTGTCCATGTGGTTTTCCTGTGCTCCCCCCCCCCCCATTCTGTCAGTTGGGTCCAACCTCTCAGTTTATTGCACACTTCATTGCTCACTTTTTTTGCAGCTGTTGCTGCATATACCAAGGGGCTGCTAGAAGTTGGGTCGTGCAACTATTTGTGTCTTGCACACACAACCGATAGCTTGTGATCAAGTAGCGTTGCCAGCCTGCAACCCAGATGCCATTCATCTACTTTCAAACCACCTGATGCAGTGAAGATTTAATTGGGAGCACCTTTCTTTTTTAGTCAGTCATGATGTTTAATCAGTTAATCTAACCAATTCATTGATAATATGTAGTGCGCCATCTGTGATAGTAGCAATTTTACACAGTGAGGTTATCAACAGATAAAGTACATTAGGCAAGTAATCTAAAGCTTGGGTGGAGAATGTGTGGTCCTCCAGATGTTGCGATACGACTCCCATCATCCCTGACCACGGGACTTGGGAGTCCCAATAACATCTGGAAGTGGGTGCACAGGTTCCCCATCCCTGACCTAAAATGTCATGGATATTCAGAGCTCCACTATTTATTCTGCACCATGAGATGTTTCTTTTGATTCATCATCCCATCTCCTATGCATGTTTGCATCCTGGTTCATTTTGGCTTCTGTTTTACAATCAGACTGCTCACTGTTAATGTTAGAAGGGGGTAAGAAAGAGTTCTAGTTATGAGTAAGTGTGACTTAAGCAGTGTCTAATGATGGCGCCATGAACCCCAAATTGGTGGGGGACAAACACACCTGAACACGCAGTCTGCTTTTAGTGGCAGTTGCATGGGAAAGCCATAGGCAGAAATCTTCCCCTGTTCTGCTAGCTGAGATCGTTTAAACTGGAAAAGGACTTCCTGCATACAATGCCTGTACTCTACCGAAAAGCTGTAGCTCCTCCCTAAACCACCATTTTGCTATCAGATCGTTTTCAGGTGTGCCTCTTGAACATTCCCCATGAATTAGTGTTGAGCCTGACAGTTGAGAAACATGATGAATAATAATAATAGCATTTAGTGTTCAAAGCTCTTCATGTACATTGTTTCAGAAACTCTTTCAGTGTTCCCGTAAGGTGGGTCATTGCTGCTATTCCCCCTATTGAAGGAGGAGGACAGGGCCACTGTGCAAGTTCATGTCAGAGGAAAGATTTGAACCAAGGACTCTTTGAGACTAATCTCATGCATCCTGTAGCTACTGCACCAAGTGAATTCTATTGCGTCATTGAAAAACTAGCCACACAGCAGCAGGCCAAGGCAACTTTTCTACCTAGGGAAGGTCTACACAACTTTGTCACCCATCAAGCTGAATGCCACAACCAACCACCAATTACAGCATACCAGAAGCGTGAGAACCCGTTTTGTAATCACTTGGAAACATCAGAAGGGGGGGAGGCAGACATGGTTGGGGTAGGTTGCATTCTGCTCTGTGTGTCAGAAGTTATGTGGGCCCACACTAAGTAGATGTTATTACTGCTGCACCCCTTTTCTGAAGCCTTTTTTTTCATTCCTCTGCTTCTTACCTTCCCAATATACACTGCATATTTGCAGTGTAAGAATGCAAAATTATATTTGTAGGGGAGGAAGAATAAACAACTATGCTCCACTGCTTATCAGTGCCTCCCCCAGGAATCTAATCCTGTTCAGGCATCTCTTCTTGAGCCACAATGCCTTACTGGCCCTTTCCCCCCAATAATGCACATCCTCCCAGTTGTAGACTCATTGAATTGCAGAGTTAGAAGGGATCTCGAGAGTCGTCCAGCCCAACCCCTGCAATGTAGGGGTCTCAAATAGATCATACATGACCATCTGCTTGCTTGAAAGGAATACAATTTTCTTTTATGTTACAACTAAGACATTTGTTGTGTGTATGTGGTGTGCTGGAATTGGAGAGACTCTAAGCTTGCACAGATGCCTTGCCTGAAATAATTGCAGCCGAGGTCATGGCTAACTTGAGTAGTCAGGGTGAGTGAACCAAGAGCGTTAGCTGTAAAAGGCTGGAGAGTTAGTTGAAAAAAATAAAAAAACTACAGTCCCTTTGCCTCACCCCTTTCTCCCTATGCTCTTTACCTTTTCAATGCATTGACCATCTTGCAGGGAGAAGGCTTATTTCTAATTCTCCCCAAGTACAAGAAATGAGATAGGGAACCGCTGTGAGGTTTAGTCACTGAGCCAGACATCCACATTCCTTCTTCATCATGTCAGCTGGCAGAGTCAATGCGGTGGATTGGCAACATACACACAAACACACACACACACCGCTAGCTGCTGCTCTCCTGCTCCTCGGGGCCATCTTGCTGCAGCTCTTCTTCATCTGACTGCACCACGGGGGTCTCGGCCCCTTCCTCACTGGTGTCTAGGCTGTTCAGGTCTGTAGAGGCAGAGGATGTGGATGAGATCCGGGATTTGATCTCGGTCGAGTTGGGCACTTGCAGAGAAATTTCCTCCTCGTAACGGTTGGAATCTGGCCAAGGAGGAAGACAAAAAGAGAACAAGCGCTTGATGAGGCTGGCCAACATTTTGCTGCCCTCTATACCGATGTGAAGCTGTTCCTGCAACATTTCTAGCTTCTTAAGATATGCTGGCTCTCCCTATATTAGAGCAGAAGAAAACCTAAGCTTTGTTGCTGTTTCCCACCATTGGTTATTGCAGCTAGTTAGCAGATACATGCATGCCACATCATAACAGAAAATGCAAATGTTTCAAGTTTTTTATAATGTCTGCAGCACCGAGGGCAGTATGATGGCACGTGCCTACCCCCCCCCCCGCTCCATTCCTAAATTTACTGCATGCAAGTTGCTGCAAGGGTATTGCAAACATAACATCAACATATCAACACCTACGCTGAGATTCTACGTATTCTAGGGTAGGCATAGATATGCAAACTTGGCCCTCCAGATGTTTTCGGACTACAACTCCCACCATCCTTAGCTAACAGGACCAGTGGTCAGGGATGATGGGAGTTGTAGTCCCAAAACATCTGGAGGGCCGAGTTTGCCTATGCCTATCCTAGGGTAATGCCTCACATACATAAGAGCATAGGAGGAGCCTGCTGGATCAGGCAAACAACCCATTAGCCCAGCATCCTATGCTTGCAATGGCCAACCAGATGTTTCTGGGAAACCTGCAAGCAGGACCTGAGCCTAAGAGCCCTTTCTCCTCCTGCAGTTTCCAGCAACTGGTATTAAGAAGCATTACTGCCTCCAGCTGTGGAGGCAGAGCCTAGTCATCATGGCTAGCAGACACTGAGAGCCTTATCCTCCATGAATTTCTCTAATCCTCTTTTAAAGCCATCCAAGTTGGTGGCCATCACTGCTTCTTGTGGGGGCAAATTCCATAACAGCGCATTAAAATGCATACAGTTTCATATACACACAAGACTCACCCTGTCATCTCACAGACAGGCTACCCAAACACAAGGATCTTGAACGATTATTTCTTGCAGTCATTCTGCAAAGCCTAAAATGGGGCGGGACAGGCTGGCTTCTTGCTGTCTGGATAAGCCTTTGTAGTGTCAGAGGAGTCAGACACAAGTTAAGACTCTGTGCATCTCACCATGCCTGACCTAATTTAAGGTATTCTAAAGATTAGCATCTCTGGGCATTTTCTGGCTGTTGCACACACACACAGTTTTTTTGAGACTGTAAACAGCAAAATGTAATCTGAGAAGGTGCCCAGAGAATGCCTTTCTATTTTGTTTAGTTTTGTTACTTTAAAAAATTGCCCAGTGCCTTGAGCAGTCATATTTCCCATTGCTGGAGCCTGTCAAATTAATACAGCTGACTGCTGCCCACCAGTTTGACTCCGCTGTTTGCAATGAGGAGATTTCAGGTGTGGAATTGGCTGAGGTTCAAAAAGGGCACTTTCTGGAGCAGCTGCAGGGACAGAGAGAAATGTGGCTACCTTTTGCATGCCGTTGAAATCGCCACACAAGCACAACCTTGTAGAGTGCAAAATCTAGCTCTACAGCAATCTCACCTTAAGAAGAAAGGAAACTTATTCTTTCTCCCTTATGACTCTGGAGAAAGGCTTGCAAAACAAGAGAGGTATCTGGGTAAAATTTGAGATTGCAGGGCCCCCAGGGATCCAACATGAAAAGCTCAGTAGCTCCCTTTTGCTCCATCAGTTAGCTCCAAGCTTTAGGAAACATGGGACAAAGCACCCTCTGGGGTGGGGTGGGAGCAGGGCCGTCTTAAGCATATCCGGCGCTGTGGTGCAAAGATCCCTCCAGCTCCTCCCCCCCCCCGGCAACTCCAAAACAAGGGAGGAGACGGTGGAAAATGTCCTCTGCCTACCCCACCGCCCCGATCCCCAGCCTGGTGGTGGTGATCAAGCAGGAAAACGTGCTGGCGGACATGCTCTCCAGCGTTAGGGTGCCCGAGAAGGCAGGCTAGGAAGGCTGTGTGCCGCCTTTTGCCAGGAAGAAGGAGGAGGACAGCGACCAGGAGCAGGGCCATCTTTAGCAGATGCAGAGGCTTGGGAGGGAAGCAGCTTCCATCCTAAGCCTCTGCAGGGATCGCTCTCCTCCTGCAGAGGCTTGGGAAAGAAGCTGCACACCCGCCAGCCATATAGTTGGCGGGGCACAGCTGGTGGGCGTGCAGGGAAAGGGGAGGCTGCCAGCAAAGCCACACTGCCCCCCCACTTGCTAGGGCGCCCCTGAGAGGCCAGTGCCATGGCACAACAAACCACTAAGACCAATGGGAAAGATGGCTCTGGGTGGGAGTAGCTCCTTCTTCCAAAAGCTGCTGAGAGGTCAAAGAAAAGCAGCCGGGTTGTGTTCCCCATCGCTTGTCTGACAGAGGCCATCAATCTGGCTGCTTGGGTGCCAAAACCAGGCCTGAAACCAAGAATGGGATCCAGATAAAATGCTTCCAGGCATACCTGCAGCTGGCTAGCCACCACGCACTCTGTCACCTTGCCCAGGAAGTTAATATTAGAGACCGCAGTGTAGTTTTCTAAAAACTAACCAGAACATTGTAAAATGGGGACTCGCAGACACAGCTATCTGGCACAGCTATCGGTAGTGGTGGGGCCTTGTTGGGGCCATCAGCCCACAGCAGCTGCTGAAAGCTGGGCTTGTGCTCCCTTTGTGGTTCTTATGCTCCATGCCTGCTAATGCTCATAAAGTTTACAGGCCCCCTTCTTCCTTCTATTCCACCGCTTGTTGCCAAGACAACAAGACAACTATTTGACAACTTGGGCTTTCTAAACTAGAATGAGTTATGCAATACAACATATGGGATTTTGCTTAATTTACATCTTCCCTTTTGCTGCTTCTGCACAGAACTTGGCAGTCCAGGCTGCCGTATGGTTCATTAACTCCCGATCCTGTTCAGAAACAGCCCCCCCCCCGTGCTTCTGCGCGAAAGTTACGTTGCGCGGATGATATTATCCGCCCTGCTAATAAATCATTAGCCAAAGACACCGCTGAACATGCAGCGCAGCGTGCGACTCTATGACAGCGGGAGCAGGATGACCCCGTAAACCCCTTCTGTCAAGAGCCTGGCCTGGCCAGATCTCCTCCGTGAATCCCTGGCCGTGTCATTGTACAAGCCACGTGCCTCACATTCCTTCTCCATGTTTGGCAACGGGAGCTTTTGTGCATGCCTTGTGAATAACATGGCTTGGAGACATCATCAGTGAGGCCGTTTAACTGGAATGCAGGAGGCTGTGCCGGTAAAGTGCTTGAATCACACTCTGGCTGAATCACTGCATAATAGCGGGGTCTTGTCGCCTTCTCTTTGACCTCCTGCACAGGGCAAAGAGCCTTCCAGCCTGAGAGTGAACAGAGCGGGGATGCCGAGAGCTGTATTTTAAAAAATGCAATCAACATAAATTCAAATACTTTGGGAGACGGGTCAGTGATGTTGTCCATTTAGGGACAACTGGCCCATGCTTGCAGAATAATAAAAGCTGATTAAATGGTGTGCCGGGTTTTGGTTGGTAGGTTGGTTTGGCAGTTCGTTTCCCAAATACTTTTAATTAGTTCGTTCAGTGGGAACAAGCAGCCTTCTGCTGGTGGTACTGCTTTTCCAGAAAAGGCATTAACCTTCACAAAATGGGGTGCGTGGCCAGTCTTTCTGTGTCCTGTCCCCACCCCTGAACATTTATTGAAAAGTTATGGTGCTGCATTCATATTGCACTATGCAGTAAGATTAGTTGAGGTCACAGAGTAATGGGATAGATCAGTGGTAGGAAACATCTAGCCTGTGGGCGGTTTAAGCCTGCCAGACCGCCACATTTGACCCGTGGCATAGTTTGTCCCAAACCTCATCACCTAACATCATAGAACGTCAGGCGTGGGGCAGGCAAACCTCCTGGAAGCCCGTTGTACAAGTGGAAGTTCTTCCACAGGGCTCTCTCTCCCTTGGACGTTGCTCATTAGCTCAGGGGTCAGCAACCTTTTTCAGCTGTGGGTCGGTCCACCGTCTCTCAGACCATGTGGTGGGCTGGACTATATTTTTTGGGGGGGGGGGATGAACATAGAAAAATTCCTATACCCCACAAATAATACAGAGATGCATTTTAAATAAAAGCACACATTCTACTCATGTAAAAACACCAGGCAGGCCCCACAAATAACCCAGAGATACATTTTAAATAAAAGGACACATTCTACTCATGTAAAGACACACTGATTCATGGGCCGGATTAAGAAGGTGATTGGGTTGCATCCTGCCCACAGGCCTTAGGTTGCCTACCCCTGCATTAGCTGAATCCCAGCCTATGCTAAATTCTACTCAGTAGATCCATTGGGTGGAATTTAAAGTTGTGCTCCTCCAGCCATGATGCATGCACAAGCATTGCAGCTTGGCAGATGGAATGATCTTCCCTCCTTCCTCCTTGCATCGATCCCCTTTTTGAGGAGTGGCTAACCTGGGGCGTTTCAACTACAACTACATGCCCCATCATCCCTGACTACTGGCCATACTGATGGGGCTGGTGGGAGTTGTAGTCCAACAACTCTGGAAGGTGATTAGTTAGCTATCCTTGCTCTATTTGAGAGGCTGCCTGGTTCAAGTTTGGTTTAAACCTTAAGAACAAAGAGTTACAAGGGTTTGTCCATACTTCCACTTCCCCTGTCCCTGGACAGCATGGGTCCAAGCAGTTTCCCCCTTTCCCTGTGCTTTCTAGCCATTGGTCTCAGCTGTTTTGCCTTGGCCTTGCCACTCTCCTCCGGAAAACCGGCTCTTTCGCACTAAATCAGAGCAAATGGCAATTGCCATTTGTTCTGATTCAGCACTAAAGGTCCTCCACGCCTCCGGGGGCAAGCCGAGGTGTGGAAAAGCCCTGAGTCTCACCCATCAGCTGTTAATACACGGGCAGAAGACTGAGCAGGCACAAAGTTCCCCTAGGCGCAGTGTTCTCCACTATAGTGAGATGGACTGTACAGTAGTACCTCGCAAGACGAATGCCTCGCAAGACGAAAAACTCGCAAGACGAAAGAGTTTTTGGTTTTTTGAGTTGCTTCGCGAGACGAATTTCCCTATGGGCTTGCTTCGCAAGACGGAAACGTCTTGCAAGTTTGTTTCCTTTTTCTTAAAACCGTTACAGTAATACAGGGTGCATTGCTTGAAGAGGTGCAGTTGCGACTTGACTTTGAGGAGCAACTCATAGCACGCAGTGTGGTAGCCTTTTTTGAGGTTTTTGAAGACTTTTTTGAAAAAATGGAAACCGTGCTTCGCAAGACGAAAAAACTCGCAAGACGAAAAAAATCGCAGAACGAATTAATTTCGTCTTGCGAGGCACCACTGTATGTTTATTCAGATTATATTGCTCATTTCTAAATTTGCAACCATACATATACAGTAAGTTATTTCATGCAAATTTTATGCAAGACTGTGCCCTCGTGTGTTTTTTGGTGGCATGTTTCTTTTGTTGCATGGTGAGACATAAATCGCCATCCTATTTCACAGATTTCTTCCGGGACTTTTTCTTTCAGCCTTTCTACTAGTAGACTAGGGGTTGTCAACCTGGTCCTTACCACCCACTAGTGGGCATTTCAGGATTCTAGGTGGGTGGTAGGGGATTCTAGGGCACAAGCTGAATCCTCCTTCCATTGAGCACTGGTGGGTGGTAACGAAATTTTACCATCAAGAAAGATGCAGTGGGCAGTAGGTATAAAAAGGTTGACTACCCCTGTAGTAGACAGAGGTTAGTCTCAGTTTCATTCCCCTCTGCTCCTTTAACCAGACAGCATTTCACCTGTACTGCTCCTCTTCAGTCTTAGGAATCTTTGCATCAAAGTCCCCATCGCTCAGGCTTAGAAAAGCATACAGCCAAAACACTGTAAATGGCAAAGCAAGCTACTTGTTTTGCCCCCAGTCCATGGGAACCTCTGTGACATTTGAATAAAATGTCAGATCTATCCATCAGCCAGCATTAGATCTGTCACATTTGGTGCTTGCTCCCTCATCTATTCTTGTTTGGAAAGATTCAAATGAGCATGTAGGGCCCAGAGAAGGGGGGGGGGAATGTACTTTTCACTGACTTAGGATTTGAAGGGTTTAAAACAGAAGAATAGTTAGTAATAGGGAGCAGGGACAGGTCCAGGTGGGGATGGGGGTGGAATCAGCAGGTAGGCTGAAAGGCTAAATTTGTTTCTGTGTGCTAGTAGCAGAGTTTGCATTGATATTGTGATGGCTTTTTAACTAACACACCAACACACTGATTAATTTCAAGCATCTGGATTTCTCTGTTATGGAGAAAAAGCCAATCAATTTTTTGGCACACAACCCATAAAGGTTTTGGTCTTCTCCGCTGACTGTTTGATAATCTGTTTTGGCAGTGGCAATGGTTTCACGTCCTAAATTATAAATCCCACTAAGAGGCAGCACAATTTCACTTTGAAGAGCACATGCTCCGAAACAGAATGTGTTTGGTTTGACCTGGTCCTGCACCATCATCGTTTAAACACATAATAAAAGAGACTTTCCATTGTTTACTGCCACATTTAACATGCACGTTGCACAGAAAAAGAAGCCAAACCGATACAAGCATGACATACCAAATGCGTAAGTAGAAAGTGCATAAATTTCATTTTTATTTTTCACTAGTGTATGTGTGGGTGCAGATCAGTGCAACCGAGTACTGCTGGTACCTGAATGAGTTCCATAAATCCTAAAAGCAGGTTATTCGTGAGTGTGATCCCCATAACACCCAACCATATTCCAAAATCAGGTAGAGTTTAGCTAGTTTTGAACCTCTAGCCCTCGTGATTATGGAGAAAAATAAGAATTTGGCATGATCTGCCAAAGGTGTACAAGTTAAAGGTGGCACTAGACAGTATTTCTAGTAAGCAGTAGACCAAGCTTTTGCTTATCTCAATGTCTCTCCTTATTTCTCTTGCCTCTCCTCCAAACTGTTGCTTCTCCTTCCCAAGCAGCAAGCTGGCAGACCGACCCAATGGCAGAGTTACTCATAAGTACCTGCAGTTGGTCAACTGAGAATCCCACTCTCCCTATCCCAGGATAGTAGGTTGGGGTGCTTATTCTCAAGTAATTCCTGTATCACCCCTTTGCACACAAAAATGCAAACAGTAGGCTGCAGAGGGATAGTCTGCTCCACCTTGCCTTGGTAAGAAACGCAGATGGAGCAACTTGCACAGGTGCAACCTTAGCACGTGCCTGTTAATGATGCTGTTGCAGGAAGTAACCTTGGCCCCACTTGACCCGAGAAGATCCTGAGTCAAGTCAAGTCCATTTTTATTGTATGTAGCCAAAGGCCTTTACAATGGATGACAGAAAATAAAAGGAAAACTTTCCTCTAAAATCATACAACATAGCCTGTAGCAGTGTGTAACATAAAAAGAAATCTACAACACTAAATTTTAATATTGGAGTGCATTCACATAGCTGGAATGGAGTTTCTTGGCTGCCAACGCAAATTTGGCTACCTGGTGTGTGATATATAGATGTTTATCTGCTAGCAGTTAAACTGTCACTTCCTGTGCGGATCGACCTGGAAGCCAATTAAAAATTGGCGATATAAAATTTCCTCTGGGCACTGTATACAGGGGGAAAATCAGCAGATCGTGTGTGATGTCCTCTACCTGATTGCATCCATATATACATTTGTGATCCATATGGGGAATTCCCCGATATCTCCCCTCTCAATATGCTGAGGGCATCTGTTGGAATCTTAGTTCTACAAAAGCCCTGCATAGTTGTGGGAAGGTCAAAGTCTCAAGGTAATGGGGCCTTGAAGGATTGATTGGTTTGGGTGTAACAAGTAGAGTAATGGGCGGCAATGATGAATGCTCTTTCTTGGTTGGCATCCTGATCAAAAATCCAATTTCTAAGGTCACGTGGGCTAAGTAGTTCTCCATTTGAAGATTATAAACCCTACGCTTATTTTGGCACTTTTGAGCCAAGCCCCTTCCTTAGTTGCTCTAACCAGCAGAGCTTAGTGAGGGTATGATCCTCGAAGGCGTTTAGCCTGTCCCATGATCTCAGATAGGCTAGATCAATTCTCTCTACTAGTGAGAGGAGTCATGGTCCAAGGGCTCACTAGGCTCATTCCTAATCTCAGCTCTTCGGATCCCCTTTAGTAGCTCTGCAATTTAGTTGGTCTGCAATTACCTACCAGAAATCAGAAGGCTGCCACCAGAACACCCTAAGTAGCCTTACAAACACAGTGACACACACAAACCCTATATTATTATTATTATTATTATTATTATTATTAATTTTATTTCTACCCTGTCCATCTGGCTGGGTTTCCCCAGCCACTCTATATGTTCTTTCCTCGTTGTAGCTTCCTCCATTGATGTCAGCGATGAACAGTGATTGGTCCAATTCACACTCCAAATCCCTTGGGTGGGCATTCTAGCCATTCCCCTTTAAGAAGGAGTTATATTTCTAAAATTTACTGCATGCAATGCCTTGAAAGAAAATATGATGAAAATGATGTACAGATGGTATATTGCACCAGTGAAATTAGCTAAAATGTATAAAACAAGTAACAAATGTTGGAAATGTAAGGAAAAAGAAGGTACTTTCTATCATCTGTGGTGGGAATGTAAAAAGGTGAAAGGTTTCTGGGAAATTATTTATAATGAGATGAAAAAGATGTTGAAATATACATTTATAAAAAAAAAAAACAGAAGCATATTTACTTGGGATTGTAGGCATGGATATTAACTGTTTTATATGCGACAACGGCAGCAAGAGTATTATTGGTACAGAAATGGAAGCAGGAAGAATTGCCGACAAAAGAGGAATGGCAGATGAAATCAATGGACTACGCAGAATTGGATAAGATGACAGGAAGAATTTGAAACCAGCAGGACCAGAAATTCTTGAAGGACTGGAGTAAATATGCAAGTTATTTGAAAAACAATTGTAATCAGCTGACTATGCTTGTAGGATTACAAGAGGTTTTGTAGGGAGAACTATACGAAATATTACAGAAAAAAATTAGGAGAATGGATTCTAAAGTATGGATTATTAAAAGCAACAGTTAAGAGGAGATGCAAGACTAAGAGATGAAGGTCGAAAATCACTAGACGTGGTTGATGGAAGTCCTAGGCTTATAGCCAAAATGTGGTATAAGATGAGAGATGTTATGTTATGTTTTATTTGGAAAATATATGTAAAACCAATAATTTTTTATTTTTTTTAAAAAAGAAGGAGTTATATTTCAACAGGCCACAGAAAGAGTTGGATGCAGCTAGAAGTTGATGTGGGTCAGTTAATGGGAACTGAACAAACCTGGCAAAAGAGCAGCTACGTTGTTATTGTCCTCCGTCCCGCAGCTGAGAAACACATCCACAGTGTCTTGGTCAGAAAGGTCCATCATGTCCATCTGTTCCAGCATGTCCACATTCACCTCCATGGAGGAAATGCTGCCTAAGGGAGCTAGCAAAGAGACAGAAGCCATCAGATGTCGTGCTGCATGGCCATCACCTGTTAATTTTTCACATGCAAATGGGGCAACTGTGTTCCATAGTCTAACGCACCTCCTATGACGCCTCCCCAGTGGTACTTACGTCTCCTGTGCTCTATCTGCAGATGTGATACTGGGAAGAAGAAATCTACGTCATGTTGGAAAACCTCCTCAAAGAATCTCTGCCTCTCCCGTAGCTTGAGCTGCTGTTGCTGCATCTGCTCTGCATCCAGCCCTCGCTGTCCATTGTCCATGTCGGCTGCAAAGGAACCAGAGAGAGGAAAAGAAATCAGAAGCAGCTTCCTCTCGTTTCTTATCTGAAGGGAAACACTTCCCAGAGCCAGATGCAGGGTAAGTGGGCAGGCAGAATTTTAATGAGAGTTTAAACTGCTTTGAGAGAAGGTTCAGTCTGCACGCGTTTCTTTGCCATAATGTCACTGGTCTTCAAGAAGTATTTTATTATTATTACCGATGATGATTTGAACTTGCGAGTGACTTATTAATCACTTGCTACGCAAAAAAAAAGTCTCCAGGGGTCTTACACTTTTTTTTTTTAAGTGTGAACCGCCATGAGAGACCTGCTGGTTAGGAGGTATACAAAATAAACAAGCAAGCAAGCATAAAATGAAGACATTATAATAAAAAGATGTAGCAGTTCATAAAAAGATCCACTGACAGTCCCCAATAAACCTCAGCAAACATTTCATCAGCAAAAAATCATCAAGTACAACCAACAACCAACATCATGGGTTTTAATCTGACACCAAGAAGTTGTTAGTGAGAGCCCCAGACAGACCTCACTGGGGAGAGCATGCCACAAATGGGGGGGCCACAACTGAAAAGGCCATTTCCCTTGCCATCACCCCAGACTTCCTCAGAAGAGGGACTCAGGGCAGGGCCTCAGAGGAAGATCTAAGGGTCTGGGTAGGTTTCTTAAACAAAACCTGCAAAACCTGTTTACCAAAGGTGAAAACAGAATGACCATGCAGTTCACAGGCAGCATTCTGTTTTTCAAACTACCTCTAACTCCGGGAGTAGGAGGGACCTCCAGCTTCTGTCTAACCAAACCAGCTACACTACTTGCTGCAGAGCTATAGCAGGGTAGTTGGGAGAAAGGTGATGGAAAACAGAGAGGCATTGGGCTCTTATCTACCCTTGTCAGCCACCTTTCTTTCCAAGCTGACAAATAATTTGCATCCCTTTCTTGGGTGTGTTTTTTCACATTTCTCCCACCTATGAAGAATTGTCAGAGGGCATGCATAACCTCTCTGGACAACAGCCTTTCGTACTTCAAGCTTTTTGTAGGTTTCCTAGGCTGGCGGTATCAAACCTGGTGTCCTCCTGATGTTGTGTGTGGAAACTCCCATCAGCCTCAGCCAGCATGGTCAGGGATCAAGGATAATAATAATAATAATAATAATAATAATAATAATAATAATAAATGATTTGTACCCCGCTCATCTGGGTGGGTTCCAACAAAGATTAAAAATACATTAAAATGTCAGACATTAAAAACTTCCCTAAACAGGGCTGCCTTCAGATGTCTTCTAAATGTCAGGTAGTTGTTTATTTCTTTGACATCTGCTGGGAGGACGTTCCACAGGGTGGGTGCCACTACTGAGAAGGCCCTCTGCCTGGTTCCCTGTAGCTTTGCTTCTCACAGTAAGGGAACCACCAGAAGGCCCTCAGTGCTGGAGCTCAGTGTCCGGGCAGAATGATGGGGGTGGAGACGCTCCTTCAGGTATACTGGGCCAAGGCCATTTAGGGCTTTAAAGGTCAGCACCAACACTTTGAATTGTGCTCAGAAACGTACTAGGAGCCAATGTAGGTCTTTCAGGACCGGTGTTATATGGTCTCGGATGATGGGAGTTTCTGAGCACAACATCAGGAGGACCCCTGGTTGGCTACCCCTGTTCTATCTCTGCTCTGAACAAGCCTGACAGTAAGCAGCATGGAGAGCAGTCATTAGGCTTAAGTATATTCTAAACCATTGGTTCTGAATTCTCTTTCTTTCTTTCTTTCTTTCTTCCAGGGATCATTGGGAAATTGCTGGGAATCTTGATAGGCCACATAATAAGGAAGTTGTTCTACCAGTCAAACCACATAAAGAGCTCATATTTTAACCACACTTTCCCCCCACTTAAGCACAGGCATCATTGTCAAAACCAATATAGTACTGTGAAAAATATGAGCCCTAGACCCAGACACTGAGAAGAGTTTCTTTAACTAGCAAATTGTTATGGAAAAAAATTAGGAGATTGTACCAAGTCTCTGTTATGAAAATCACATGCCTTGTTAAGTGAGCCAGCCTTGGCAAAAAAAGAGTCCTTGATCTCCACAATTGGAAAAGAATCAATAAAGTGCAGCGCCAAGTATAGATATTCTAAAGTGTTCCTTTCTGTGGACCACTTGGATGGAACTATGGACCACCAAAGGACCACAGTCCACATTTTGAGAATCTATGCTCAGAACCAGTCTTCTCCAACCAGGTGCCCAGATACTTTTTACCACAACTCCCATCAGCCCCAGCCAGAATGGTCACTGGTCAGGGATAATGAGCGCTGTAGTCCAAAATGATATGGAGGGACTCAGGTTGGGGGAAGGTTGATTCAGACCCAGCCATCCTGTGACTCAGTAGACTGAAGGAAGCTTGGGCACACAGAGGTTCACCCTCCTCTGCTATCTACGTCATCTTCACAGTTCATTATCTGGTAGCCCTGTTCCATATGTAATTTTTGAAATTATCAAGGGGAGAGGTTTAAATCTTTCCCTCACAGTACTAGATGGGAGCAACACCTCCAGTTTCCACTGCCTTGACCCATGATGAAAGCAGAAAACTGTGGTAGACATTTTAATATTTGCAAATTTAGCATCTGCATTCGTTCAGATAGTATTTTTAGATATGTGCTAAAAAGCAAACCAGGTTCTGCCTGGTTTATGAAATTGCTAGATCAAAGCAAAGAGTCAGCTCCCTTGTAATCTAAGTGGACTTACACAAGGGCAGAGCTGGGTTCCAAAGTGTTTCACTTTGATCTAGTACTGGGCAACTAAATTGCCAGTAATATGAGTTAGGGACCTGGCCAGAATATTTTTTTAAATTAGCATTAGGATTAGGGAAGAATGAGTCTGTCAATTCTGGTTTCTCATTTTTCCAATCTTAAATTCAATTCACCTCATTTCTGCATCAGTTCACAACAATAACTACTTTATCAAATACAGGGATTTTTTGGTACATGTTTTCTTGCCTGGAGAACTGCACTGCAAAATTTGGAGAATTTTGAAGGATAGCTTTATTTCAGTTCACAATTGGTTCAAGAAATGTGAATTAAGTAGGTTTCCAAATGAATTTCCCCTCCATCCCTATAATTTTAAAGGGAAGGAAGGTGGTGAGCTCTTGGGTATCCACTTGAAGTAGAAAAGTTGCCAAGTCTGCTTGCTTGCTTATTGCTTCTTTTGTTTTATGCTCACACTTTTCTTCAGTCCATCAGCATACTTCCCTAAACCCATAAAAAGATTTCCTCTTGAACACAGATAACTCAGTTCCTGCTCAGTTTTTTTTCTTAACAACAAAAAAATGAGTCTTTTAATTCTTTCCATGATGAAAACCACAGAAGAGGGAAAAGTACCAGTCAAGAAGCTCAACAATCAATCGCAGCGTGTTATGAACAGGACAAGGGTTGGGCCAATCTCCCATTTTGGGGAGAAATCCAGAGGTCAATGATCAAAGCAACAGAGGAGGCACAACAAAACTGGGTAGCCATTGGACTTTGCCTTTGAGATTTTCCGCAGCAAATCTCAGATGCCTCCAAGCTTCTTGACTCAATAGCCATCGAGGCAGGGACCAGTCTGGCTGGTATAAGGAAAATGTGATTACTGAGTTGGGCAGTGCCATAACCAAGGAAACCAAACAAACAGTGAACATTTTAATTGTCTGTGTCTCAGGCTCAGCAGCCTTGTCTGTTGCTTCAGGGGAAATTTCAGCCAAACAGCAGCAACTGTTGAACTTTGTGTTGGCTGTGGAAAAAAAGAAGTAGGAGGAACCAGACAAGGCTGTGTCTCTCTACTGGGACTAAGGTATTCAGTGCCAAATTTCAAGAGAAAACTCAGGAGATCCTGCAGCAGCTACCAGAAAAGGGGGATACAGCTGCTGGGCTAAGCAAGGCTCATGCAGCCTTCTTGACACATGTCCATCAGCTAACAAGCATGGCAGTCATGGACTGCTTGAATGCAGATGAGTGGTGGGAGGCACCAGCTGGGGAAACCCAGGGGAAGAAGGCTCAGAGCCATGGGAGTGGTGGTGGGACGAAGATGAGTGGTCATAGGGAGAAGAGGGAGCAGACTGGCAGGAGGTGGTGTCAGAAGCTGAAGAGGTAACAGGGTTTAGTAAGCAGGAGGAGACTGTGGCAGAGAGCAGTCCAGACTCAGAGACAGAAGAGGAAGCTGCAGAGGAGAGGAGCCATGAGGCAGGTTGCTGAAGAATCCAGGGGGTCTCCCACTCCTGCTGCAACTAGCTCCCCTACCCTCTGGTCACCTAGAACACAGTGAGAAATGAAAATGACAAAGGAAAGATTGGTTGCATGCAGCTGCAGTCTATGACTGCATGGGGGGGGGGGACCCCTGGGACTTGGGCAACTGTGGGAAGGCAGGGACCTTCAGACCTTGCAACTGCCTCATTGGGACAAAACCTACAAGCAAATGTTTATGGGATCACCTGTGTTGTTTTGGTACCTTTGAATAAAGAGTTGACTTCACAGACACAGTGTTGTTGTTTTTATTGCTGATCTGCACCTGACTCTGGCTGCTGACAGTGGCTTTCCTAGGTCACCAGTCAACACTGGAATGTGTGCTGAAGCACAGGAAGCAGAGGCCACAGCTCAGTAGCAAAGCATCTGCTGAGCATGCAAAACATCCCAGTTCCAACCCCCAGCTTCTCTTGGTAGGGCTGGGAGTGTGTTTGGTCTGAAACCATGAAGAGCCACGGCCTGCCAGTGTGGACAATACTGAGCTAGAAGCACAAATCAGTAGACGTCCGCTTCCTTATTTTCCTAGCTGATCCGGAAGGGTAAACATGTCATTTTATTCCAAATATTACACGACTCAAGAATGGGGGAACTCGGGAGGAAGGAAAGATATATACCTCCATGGAGACTATTCTGCCAGCCACCACCATCCCCACCCCTGGCAGTTTTCACAGTGACTAATAGTAGTAAGGATGCACAAGTATGTATTGTGCAGTGAGTCCAGCATACTCCCGATGAAGAAGTAGTCATGGATGGAACTTACTCATGTGAAAGGGCTATAGCTCAGTGGTAGAGCACCTGCTTTTCAGGGACAAGGTCCCAAGTTCAATTCCTGGCATCTTCAGCTAAACTAAGGAACCAGGGAGCAGATGATGGGAAAGCCCTTTGGCCAAGACCCTGGAAGATGAGAATAGACAATACTGTGCTTCATTTTCAAGGACTGGCAGGACACTGACAGGAAGGGTGGCAGGAGCCTCACTCAGGAGAGGGGTCAGTGGTTTGTGGGGACCTGTACCAGCCAGGGGGCAAGAGGCAGAGGCAGGGGGAGCTTCAGAACTGGAGAGTGGAGCACAGGAGGAAGAGGCAGGAAAGGCAAGTGAAGGGCTGGGTGCTTCCCCACTCTTTCCTGCAACACTGTCTCCCAGAAGCAGGACAGAATTGAAGTGGAAAGAGCAGAGGCAGCTTGCATGCAGGCATAGTCTCTGGCTGCATGCAGAGCCCGTCGGGGGAAGATGCATAAGCATGGCCTCCTGTTGCTGCAACTGATCTGTATAGTGCAGACCTGGGAATAGCTGCACAGATGCTAGACTGGTTCGCATGGGTATTCAGAGCAGTAGAAATGACTCTGTCAGTTTTGACAATAAAGAGTAAACTAGCTCCTATGTGCATTTCTTTGGCTGGGGAGCACCCTTGACATTAATGGGATAAAATTCCAGTCTGACCTTGAATAAAGCAGTTTTGGATGTTCTTATATCCAAGTAAGCATGCCTAGGAGGTGCTTCTACATGCCTCTTCCACCATGGTGGGCCATTTCCTTTTATTCCAGCAAAGCCCCAGCTGTATCACAACTGGAATCCTTTACTAACAGGCCAGACCAGTCAGCTGCTTAGCTGAGTTTTCCCACAGAAAGCAGCCAGCAATTAAAACAAGAGCAAATGAGTGATGAAAAGGGCTTGTGGGGCTCTAATAACAGGCCCTCCCAAGGCTAAACGCTGGAGGCAAAGTTGTTGGATTTCACACAAAGCCATCGACTCGGTCAGGACACCTGTTGTGTGTTCTCTAATGCAAAGCTACAAAACTTCATTCCAACAGAGCGCGCGGGGGGGTGGGGGGTGGGAGAGAACATTCATTTCCCACAAGAATGCAACTCCTGCGAAGTTCCCCAGATCGAACCAACATAGTAAGAGACAAATACTGGACTTCTTCTCTACAAAAATAAAAACTTCCAAGCCGTGGTAACCCAAATTCGGCACCAAAAAAGGCTGAATGTTGCAACATATATGAGCTAGATTGGCCAATGGTCTGGCTCAGTATAAGGCAGCTTCCTAATCTCCACTCGCCTTGTCCTCTCCCCTTTGGAAGGCAGTGCAGATTAGGACCAGCAGGAGAAGCAGTAATGGTCAGTAGCAACAGTAATGGCTCCACTGAAAGCATCTTGTCCAAGGCCTCTCTAAGCCCTCCTATGCAGGCTATGTGTGTGTGTCCTTCTGGGTGTCCAGGCACCTTTGTGTATGTATGATGTGCCCTGCTGGATCACGCCAAAGGTCCATTTAGTCCAGCATCCTTTTCTCCCAGTGACCAACCATTGCCTGTAGGTAGCCAGTGAGCAGGACCATTCTCCCTACTTGCAATTCTCGGCGACCAGTATTCAGAAGCATCCTCTCTCTGGCCATGGAGGTGCAGCATAGCCATCGTGGTTGGTAGCCACTGATAGCCCTATCCTCCATGAATGTGTCCAATCCTCTTTCAAAGACACCCAAGTTGGTGGCCATCACTATGTGGTCACGTTGCTTTAAGTAGCACCATTTGCATCCACGGTCTTACTCCAGACAAAGAACCATATTCAGTTGACTTGAATTCTGGCTGAGAATATTAGCAAAAATAACAACACCGTTCTCAGAACTCTGATACAGCCAATGTTCAAGTTTTCTGCTTCAACGGGGCAACAGAAGAATATAAGACAACTCTGCCAATCAGGCCAATAGCCCATTAAGGTCAGTATCCTGATCTCACAGTGGCCAGCCAGATGCCTATGGGAAGTGTGCAAGATGGACATGAGAACAAGAGCACTCTGCCCACATGTCATTCCCAGCAATTCCCTCCGACAGTGGAGGCAGAACCTATTCATTGTAGCTAGTAGTCACTAATAGCCTTGCCTTCCATGAATTTGTCAAATCCTCTTTTAAAGCCATTGGTGTCCATCACTGCCTTCTATGGAAGTGAGTTCCACAGAACAATTTTGAATAAGTACTTCCTTTTTATCTGTCCTGGATCTTCCAACATTCAATTTCTAGTGTTATGAGAGAGGAAGAAAAACTTTTCTCTATCCACCCTAGTACAGTAAACCCGCAAATTACACAGGGGTTAACATTCCAGGGATCACATCTAAAGCCAAAATTGTGTATAGTCAAAGTTCAATGTCGAGTGGGATTGCCAAAGCCATTTTTCCTGGAACCCCCACTCCCTTTCCATCTCTTTTAATTTTTTGATATATTTTGGTCATGCACACAATGCACACACAATTTAATGCACATAAATTATGGGCTTACTGCAACTGAAATTAAATCTCTGGTCTTATTTCACAATTGTGCAATCCTGTATCAGCTCACATTGCATTCGGGCCCATTGCTCTGTGTCTGCTCCTCCTCTTCCTTGTTCCTAGCACACACACACAAACACCAAGGAAATGCGCCAGGAAGCCAGGCCACAGAAAGGGTCAGGCGTCCAGACAAAGAGAGATGGGACTGATGGGTACTGTGTCAGTACATGCCAGAGCTTGCACAGAATGTCTTATGTTAGCATCGGAGAGACGTGTCAGGATTGATTCCCTGGGGTAAATTAACAAACCTGCTGATAAATTCCCTGATGAGATTTCATTAGCCATCTGGGCAGCCGGCCACTAACACTGAAATGCCATTATGTAACTCACACAGATAGCCAGCAGGCGAGATGAGCAGCTGGAGATGGGTCCTGACCGCCCCATGACTACAGGGAGGGTCAGAGACAGTGTCTTGTTCACCACTTCCCTTCCTCCTTTTATCTGGTGATGTTTACTATTCTGTCCATTTATGGATGGGAGGAAAGCGGTCTGTATGCATACTTTTCCTTCTTATTTGCTAAGGCTGCGTACACACTGCACATTTAAAGTATACCCCACCAAAGAATACCGGGAACCGTCACTGGCTAAAGAGGCTGGAAAATATAGCTCTGCGATAGGGGAAACTACAGTTCCCAGGATTCTTGCTGGGCAGGGGGAATGTGCTTTAAATAGATGGTGTGCAAGCAGGCTAAGACAGGAGCAGAAGAGAAGAGAACGTACCATTCTCCCTTTTCCCCTGTGACTGATGGTCTCACCATCTCACACACACTGCTGAGATTGCCTCACTGGGATGGCATGTTCGCCAAGACTGCTAGGCATCCGCACACAATGCTGCCCCTGTGTGCTACAAGCTGTTTTTAAGGAGGGGAGGGGAAAGAGAAATACCTGCCCCTGCTGCTGGGGTCTCTTTCCCATGGCAACTAGCCAATGGGGGCCTGAGCGCATTCACAGCTGGGAGAATGCAGCCCCACTCCCCCCGCCATCCCTGTCCCCGAAACGCCGACCTCCCAACCCGGCTGCCACCGAGACCATCAAATGGGCAACAGGGCTCCCCACCGCCTGCTTAATCCTTCCGGCTCTCATGGTTCATTCATTACACAACGAAGACGGGGCCTGAATGCAAGTGCGGGGACCGAAGGGAAGGAAAAAAGAGACCTGAGGTTTTCCCTCCTAATTCCTCTATTCAGTGTACACGCAGGGAAGATTTTTGGCAAACGGGAAGAAGTTGGAAGCAGGTGGGCTGGCCGCGCCATCAGTGGCTTCACATGTTCTCAAGGGAACAAGAGGAGAAAGCCACCTTGGATGCCTGAGTCATAGGAAGATGGGCTATAAAACGGCAACTCTTTTAATAAATCAAAGGAAGGAACCCTCCTGCCATGTCTTCCTCCTCGGTGCCACACAGATCATATTATAATTTACAAGATTGCATTTTTAGTGCGCTCTTTCTCTCGGGCAGGAGTTGGGAAACTTTTTCAGGGCAAGGGCCACATTCCCTCCAGGGCAAGCTTTTGAGGGCCACCTGCCAGTGGTGGATGGAGCCAGAGATGAGAACGAGTGGAGCAACCAAAGGAAATTTTACATTTTGTGCAGCAGGCAAGTTTCTACATCCACTCAAGTGCTCCCTTATTCTTCATCTGGGCAAGCAAGAAGTATTATCAGACTTCAGGGACACATTCCAGCCTGGCAAAAATGTTTGGGGTACAAAGCAGCGCCAGTCAAGGGTGTGGCCTGAGGAGAGTTCCAAAGAGCCACAAAGAGGTCTAGAAGTCCGCATTTCGGCCCTGGACTGGAGCTTCCTCACTCCTGATCTTGGGATCTCGGGGTGGTGTACATGGTATTCACTGCGTTTTCATCTTCACAGCAGCTTTGTGGGGATGGTGCCTAGCCCAGCGTCACCCTGTGAGCTCCATGGATGTTGGGGAGTTAATGGTCCAGTTCTTCCTGATCGTAATTCAACACAGGAACCACTTAAGAAGAGGCTGGAAGGCCTTCTATCGGGTTGGACCAGCCCTCCCCTTCCATTCCGTAGAGAGAAGCTGAGTGGATTGGCAGACAGAACTTACTTCAAAACTGGTAACAGGACAGTGCTGTCCATAGTATCTTGGGCAGTGGATTAGCTTGGAAGGCCCAAGGCAGGCAATGAAACCTCACCACATATCCATACACTACCGGAGGCAGCCTCCTCACTCTACCTAATGGTAGGGCCGGTCCCACAATAAAGGAAGAAGGTAGCAGATTTCCTGCATCAGCAGGTGGTTGAAATAATATTATATCTGAGGTTGCTTCTAACTCTTACGATTCACTGGTCTCCCTTCTGTCCCCCCTCCCAACTCCAGTGTTTGGGAACTGACCTCTACAGCAGTTATGGGGCTTATGACCACAAATATCCATTTCAGTAACCCTAATGGGGTGCTGACCCACACACTTGCCCACCTCTCAAGTCAGCACCGGATTTAAGGTGGTTTCCCAGAACAGGACACCAAGCCATGGGGGTGCAAAATTGAGAAGATCTATTTTGGGGCGCCAAATTTTGGCCTTGCATGGAGCATCATATTACAAAAGATTACCAAAGTCAACTCCTGCCGTTGCCCTGAATGTTTGCCTGCCTATTACTACTGAGATGTCCAAAATGGTTTCCTCTTTCCCCTACATGGTGTGCTTCCCATTTTGAAATACCCTGGCATATGGAATCCCTGGCTATTTTGAGTTAATAACTGTGGCCTGCAGACAGCATTTCAGCCTGGGAAGTCCACTGGAAGGAGAGCTGGAGCTGAACTTGAGGACTCAAGTCCCATTTTAGACGTGGATTTGCTTGGGCATGTTGTGCAAGTTGCTTATCTCCTGGCTTCCCACCTGTAAAGTGGAAATAAGAGTGACCTACCAGAAATGACATGAGGATGTGCAAGATAAGAGATTGCAAAGGAAGCTGGCGTACCACAAGGGGTTAAGAACATGAATTAGGAGTCACTCTGGTTCAAATCTCAGTCAAGCCATGAGCTGCTACAGGCTGTCAGAATAACTTGGATAATGTAAGGCACTTTAAATACCTGAAAAGAGACGCAGCAATTCTACTTGGTCTGAGAAAGTGCGCTTTTAAAAGTGCTACATGCAGATAAGAGTACAGCAAGCCCAGTTCTGAGCACCACAATTTAATAAGGATATAGACAATCTGGAACGTGTGCAGAGGAGGGCGACCAGGATGATCAAGAGTCTGGAAACCAAGCCTTATGAGATGGGTATGTTTAGCCTGGAAAAGAGGAGACTGAGAGGAGATATCATAGCCACCTTGCAATATCTAAAGGGCTGTCACATGGAAGATGGAGAAAGCTTCTTTTCTCCTGCTCTGGAGGACAGGACTCAAACTAATGGCTTCAAGTTACAAGAAAAGAGATTCCGACTAAACCTCAGGAAGAACTTTCTGACAGTAAGAGCTATTCGACTGTGGAACGGTCTCCCTTAGTAGGCTGTGGGCTCTCCTTCATTGGAGATTTTTAAGCAGAGGTTGGATGGTCATTTGTCTTGGATGCTTTAGCTGGGATTCCTGCATTGCTGGGGGTCGGACTAGGTGAGCCTTGAGGTACCTTCCAACTCTATGGTTCTAAGTGCCCTGCTGGATCAGATGAAACGTTCAGATCTAGTCCAGAATCCTGTTTCCTACAGAGGCCAAGCAGACGTCAACTGAAAGCCTACAGGCATCAGGCATGAAATCAACAGCCCTCCAATGCTGTTTTCCCCAATACCTGGTATTTAGTGGCCGACTCCTTCTGAAGAAGGAGGCACTAGATGGTTATCACGGCTAAATAATGAAAAGCACAAAACTTACAGCGAAACCTTCTCAATGTCATCTCAGAAAGCAATGGCTGCAGGAGATGCTGCCAGACAGTGGATAAAGTCTACATGGAAGTATTGGGAACAGAGGATGGGGTGGACCCAAGAGTCCTGGAGATGCCCTATTTTGGCCAAGAGAACTGGCAGGATTGTCTGGTTGCATTTCTGCTGGGAGTGGTGGCATTTGTCATTATCCCTTGTCCTGCTGGATCCTGAATACAAAACGCCCTCTATGCATCAGGCAACACAAATGAAAGAATGGGATGGAGGGGGAGGATTGTTAATGTAGGCATAAATCCAGCAGAAGATGGGGGGGAGGCTTTTCTTTATTTCCAGGCTCTTTAATGTCCACGAAAAGCTCCCAACTGCTTAAAAGGGTAAATAACTCGGAATAGACCTGGGGCCTAAGGAACAGCCACAACCACATTTGCAAGATTGGAAGAACAATGGTGTAACTCTTTGGGTCCAACAAAGGCCACAGATTCTGGAGTTGGGATGGGAAATGCAAACCACATTTGGATTTCTAACCCATGGTTCATGGGCTGCCCACCCGGCCACAATGTAAAACAAAATGCTTGCATGTGTGAGAAAGAGACTGTTTTCCCAGACTCCATTATGGTTGCCATCGCAACCCTTTGCTCTTCGTTTTTTTATGATGCTCATAAAAGTTCGCAGTCAACGCACATGGTGCATAATTTTGCTTCCTCAGGCTCTCATCAAGTTTCTAGATCTCATGGTTCAAGCATGGAAGACAAATGGAAAATGTTCAGAAATGAAGGTTCAAAAACCAAAAGGAACTAGTGTAGGGGACCTTTTCCCTTCATGCAGGGTTAAATCTGAACCAGGGTTCAAACCCCGGGCTCTGGTTCAAAAACAGCACTCATAGCTGCCATACAATTTGCCGGAATGTTTCTGCCCACAGCGTCTGAGCATGTACAAAATGCCTACCAGCCAGCCTTTGCATATCTAGGACTGAGAAGGGTAAATATTTGCAGATTAAAGGCAACAGCTTCTAAATTATGTTTGAGCCCTACCTGTCTCATTTTGCAAATAAGGACTACCTGAACAACTTTTCTTCCTACTTCCTTCTTCCCCCAGGCCCCTGGAGAGCTGTATGCTCACATATGACCTGGTTTTAACACATTTACAACACACCTTTGAAAAATATTCCCTCCTTCTGACAGCGGACATGCATTCCAAAGATGTCAATTTACCAAGCAGGATTTTGAAAATGCAAATAGCATTAGCTGAGAGCTGGTAATTATAGGGGTGACAGAAGGCATGGTAGAAATGTAACCCTTCTATCCCTTGCTGCAGTTCTGATAAAAAATTATCATCTGCAGCTGAGATTTTCTTTGCAGGGAGAAAGCCACTGGCACCAATGTAAATTAACAGCATCAGAAATATCCTTGCCAGGTTGCACCTCATGAGACTGCAATGGTGGATCTAGTAACCATGCATTGCTGCATTTTAGGTATTTAAAGGACCTTGCATAAATTAATATTTGCAACAACTATGCAAATAGATTAGCACTGTTATTCTCATATTGCAGATGGAAAGTGAAGATCAACAGTGGTGACTTGCTTAAAGAACCCACCGAGTTCATGGCTGAAGTGAAATCTGGGTTTTTCAGCTTACATGCTTAGCGCTTCCACTACACTAATGCTCAGAGTTTAAGATCTCTGTCTTCTCTAAAACGTATGGTTTTTTTCACTGTCCTATATTGAAATATTTTTGGCAGAAGGTAACTGAAACTATCAACAGAACTGTACAGAATAATCTTACGTTTACAGTGTAAAATATCCTTTTGAATTATATATCCAGCACATGGAACCTCGCAAAAGGACAATATGAGTGGACTCTCACCACAGCAAAAAGACTCATATTGATGAATTGGAAAAATAAAAATGCAGCTCCCTTCTACATTTGTATTGAAGAGTTAAACAAACTCACAACATATTAACAACTTGCATATTATCACAGACTTGCCATGGACAAATTCAATGATATTTGGAATCCATCCTTACAAATACTGTAGAAGGTTAAGATCTGGTGAATTACAATAAAAACTTTGTAAAGTATACAGTTTTGGTTTTCTTTCCCCACCCCCACTTGCTTTGCTGTTTCTCTTCTTCTTTTACTCTCTTTTACTTACCATGTTTAGTGCATGGTACCATGTTTTCTAACTTTCAATAAAGATGTCTTTTAAAAAATAAATAAATCTCTGTCTTCCAGGAACATGAAAGGGATATTCTGTGTAGTTCTGCCAAACAACTGGTTTCATCAGCAGCTGGACCAAGAAGCGCATGTAATATATAAATTGTGCACATTTATTTTGCATGATTTATTCTTCTTTTGCTGGTCAAAAGACAATTGCAAAGAGCTGTACCAGCATCTTACTCACATCCACTTCAGGCTTCTGAGATCCCCCAAGGCATTGCACAAGCACTTTCAAGTTTATATTTGAAACCTAAGGAGCTAGAAGCTTGTTTTAAAAATAAAAGGGAAACTGGGATGCTTTGAATTTGGTAAATTCTACATTCCATACCAGATTTGACACTCATAAATTATGATTACAGAACACACACAGCCATGAATATTCCACAAAAATATACTACAATATATTCCAGAAACTATGTAGTTCAGAGATCATGTGTCATCTAGAGGAGCATCCTATATTGCTCCAGCCAGGTTTATTCAACCTGCTCAACTGCAGTAGTTATTTCCACCAACGGTTCATGAGTTTATGCATCACTGGGGTCTGTTTGGTTCTGCATTTGTAGAGCAGCTGGAGAGGGCAGTTCCTCTGAGCATATGCAGAATGCCTTGCCCTCATTGCACATAACCACTTGTGCTTGGGATTAAACGTAAAGGTTTTTCTCACCAAAGGGTGTGGCTTCCATCCAAGTTTTAGTTCAGACACAATTCTTTCCCTAAATACTTTATTTGGGCTACTGGTTTAATCTGCATTAAGGCTGTTCCTGTGGCCTGTGTGAGACCTTTCAAGAGAACCGCAAGATTCAGGAAATCTCTCCCACAGGGGAACTCATTTGAAACCTTCTTTTGCTCAGTAGCCAAGCCCCAAAGTATCCTTTACAAACTGCTCAGGGAAGGTAAACAGCAATTAGGTTGAACTTAGGTGGAAATGATGGTGGTGGTGATGATGACTTCATTCAGTCTGGATAAGGAATTATGCAGAAGCTGTCACAGTTTGTTGTCCTTGGTGCCTGGAGAGCCTCTTGTCCTCCCATCATCCCCTCTAATGCTCTCATGGTTTTATCCTACTCGTCGTTCTATATAAAGCAACTCCTGGCCCTGTAAATAGCAGGGTCTTATGATGTATTCTCTGCTGGAGAGGGATCTGTGGGGATATTTTTAGCTTTGAGACTCGAGGGATTTGGGGATTGGTTGGTCTAGCTTTTTATTATGAATTTGTGACAGAGAGAAAAGTCATGGGTTGCCACCTCCTCGCCCCCATTCTCTTCCTCTCAGCCCTCTGTCTATCTGTGCCAAAAGCCGCTGCCTCAATTGCCTTCCCTCCCTCCTCCCTCCTACAATTCTTCCCACAGTGGTTTGGATTATTTTATGCTTTTGCTGCAGTATCATATCCCAGAGGAAGGCTGGGTGGAGCGTTTGTACAAGAGGCTTTGATGGATTCTGGCTGGGCCTCTGGTTTCAGGCCAACTCATCTTCAAATACTCTTATCTCTATGCTGTTCCCAAGTTCCCCTTCTCCTCATCCCCATGAAGCAGAAGACTGTTTAGGAAGTCCGCAACCTCTCTTGCTCAGCTACAGTTTTCCAGGAACGACATAAGCAGTAGATCCCTCAGCGTCAATGTTATGGCTCTTTGTAGCCTATCCTTCAAGGAATAGGCCTTCAGCCTGGACCGGAAGAGATGCCCGATAACCCATCTCAGAAAAACATCAGCCCTGCTGACAAACGATGGCTGTGCATATACACAAGCGCACACCAAAGAATAATTCCAGCAGCACCGTCACTCAGTGCGATGTTAAATACGTCATTGCATTTAATCTACAGTCTCTTCTCCTATTTTTTAAAAAATCTGATGGAGCAGCAGAATGTACTCTATGTGCAGGGATACACGGGGAGGCGGCAGAGTGCTGAGCTTGCCTGTGCATGAAATGACGTGAAGATGGGCACTGCGTGGCAAGGGAAGCTGGCAGCGCGCAATGCGAGGTGTGTGGGGGAGTCATGCGACTGTGTCAGAACTGGCGAGTGGGCTGCGGGGATGGCGGGTGACGTAGTTCACAAGGAAAAGTGTCAAGCGGGGCAAATGAGGAAGGATGCAGCCCACCTGGCATCTTTTCACGGGGGTGGCAAACATCTTGTTATTGTAATAAGCAATGGAATCGGTACCCTGGCAACAGCTGCTGGAGCAGCTTTCGCCAATGTGGTGCCCTCTGGATGCTTTGGCTAGCACGTCCCATCACCTCCAGCCTGGGCCGCCTGGGGCTGATGGGAGCTGTAGTCCGAGACACATAAAGCACCATGTTGGGGGTGGCTGTGGCACGTACTTTACAGCTTAACACGCATGGAGGATAACAGTCATTGTGTCATGATGGATATAGGCTGGAAATCAGAGGGAACATGAATACAGAATGCCAGTGCTGACAAACAACAGTGCAATGCCACTGTTGCGCTCACGGCCTGCCTGTGGATTTCCCATTGGAAAATCCCACTGTGGGAAGCAGAAATTGGACTAGGTATGCCCCTGCTCAGATCCAGCAGAGCTCTCGTGTTCACTAAAGAAAAATGCTGATGGGCATGTGGGGCCCAGAGGGATTATGACCTCTAGAGGAATGCTCAGTCATATTACAGCAGGGTGCATGCCCTAAGCCCTTACCTTTGGCCTCCTTAGGTGCTGTTTTTGAGAGGGCTATTGGGGGTACGTGATTTGGTTATAATGCAAGCATTCACTTGGAAGCAAGCCCCCTCCACCACCACAGGAACCTTGCAAATCAGCATGCTTAGGAGCATACAGTTTTGGCTTCCTAACCGCCGCCCCCCCAAGGATGAGTAAGAATATTTAAAACAAAACCAAATGAAGTGAAGAGGACAAATAAGAAGACCCTGCTGGATCAGATCAAGAACCCATCTAGCTCCATGTCCCGTTCCCCACGGTGGTAACAGTAAGCCCTAGTGGTGAGAGGGATCTACACTTCGTGGCTTGCAGACCCAAATGTAAACCTATGCTCCCCCTGCCTATCAGAGCTACAATTTCTCCCTTCCTGGAACAAAACCTGTTCATCTAGTGGGAACATGAGAGAGAGAGAGAGAGAGAGAGAGAGAGAGAGAGAGAATGATTGCCAAGAAATGACCAAACGCATCCATTTTATCCATAAATACAGCGCAAGCACACACCAAGGCTCCTTTAAGGTTTGCAGGGGAGGCTCTGCCAAGGTGTATTTTCAGAATGCTAACGAGGAAGGGACAGAAGGCCAAGGTTGACAAGTGGTCTGCTCATAAGGTGAAAGCCACAAGATTGTGTATGTGTGTGTGAAATGAGAGAGACAGCAACCGCAGGCAGGCTTGTCAGCTCAACTTGTGAAAGGAATGCCGTGGGCTGCTGTTTGCATGATATACAATACTAATGGGTGACTACAATTACAAGACAATGGCTAGGATGGCTCCCAGCTGTTGATCATTACAAAGAGGTGTCAATCCTCTGAGCTGTGCCCAGAGCAGCCCTACAGAATTGACATCTATCTCCAAGCTGATGAGCCGGCGTTTCCAACAGCAAAGCCGTGGGGGGTATGGGTTTGTCCAGCGAGCTACTCCTCTCAGGGTTCAAACCCCTTGTTTTGCTTTCAGTGTACCTGGAGAGAAGCGCTTCTAACTGGCCACTGAGCCATGGGCTGCTGCTGTTCAACTCTGCATGTCTATAGCCTGGAACAATTCGCAGAGACGGGTAGAATGATGCCCTACGCCTCCCGTGCTGCGCCTGACAAGAGCCTGTGCCTTGCCTCTCAGCTCAGACAACGGAAGCGGAAAGGCTTCAGCCCATTTCACAGAAACGCCTGATAAAAGTTTGGGATGGGAAGGCAAGAGGGGCGCTGCTTCGCCTTCCCTCCCACCCCCGCCCCGTCCCACCTTTCTCCCCATGCACCCACCAGCTCCTGCCCCCCTAATTCAGCAAATCCCAGACTTACAGGGCAGCCTCCTGCCGTGGCTGTGAGCTTCAGGTCCTGACATCGCCTTCAGAGAGGATGACAGCCCAAGCAGTGAATCAGCCTCTGTCCCGGGGATCCCCCTGAACCGCCCCTCGCAGCAGGTCAGAGGCGAGGTCTTTCCGCAGCTCCCAGCAGTCTTCTCATCTTCCCAAGGAGTGGTCCAACTCAGGGGCTGCTCTGGCCGCCAGAGGAACTCACGCTGCCTGCCTGCCTGTCTCCCTTCCAGCTCTGGCTTGGGAAGGGCTGGCTGGGACTTCAGGCAGAGCGTACCAAGTGGTTTATCAGCGATGGGGGGGAGGCGCAGCTCTCAAAGGGGCTTTCCCCCACCTCCCTACGCTGCCTGTACCATTGGCAAGATCAGAAGCGAGGGGGAAGAGGCAGGGAGGAGGAGGAGGTGGGTGTTTTGGTTTCACTGCTGGCGGCTGAGTCTGCCGCAGAAATCCCCTAAGTAAAGACATCAGAGCACCCACTCCCTGCGACTTGAAAAGGCTCGGCTCCGCGGCAGCAGAAAGGCAGCAGCGAAAGGGAAACCACGATTCACGCAAACGAGGCGAGCTGGAGGCAGGAGCCGATGGGGGAGAAGCAGCAGCCATTAGAGAATTGGGATCTGGGATCTTAGTGGAGGTGTCTATTAACTGTCAGTGCCTGACGACAATGCCCACCCCGGCAAACCGAAGTTGTGGTTCTGCCAGCGTGATGTTCTTTGCAAGGGCGGTCGCTCAGGGGTAGAGTATTTGCTTTGCATGCAGAAGGCTTCAGGTTCCATCTCCTGCATCTAAAGGAGGAACTGAGAAAGATCCACGACTGGAATCCTGGAGAGCTGCTGCCAGCCAGTGTAGACAGTACTAAGCTAGATGGCCCAGCGGTCTGACTCAGTGTAATGCATCTTCCAATGTGAGCCTTCACCCTGCGCCTATGAGTGAATAGCATTGCTTCACACTATTCCTAGGTATACCACAGTTTATGGACAGGGAACCTGTGGCCCTCAAGATTTTGCTGGTCTACAACTCCCAATATCCCTGATAGTTGGCCATACTGGCTGGGGCTGATGAGAAAATGACTTGTTCCCCATCTCTTGCTATGCCCCTTGTTCAAATTACATTTTAAGACACACACACACAAACCTTTTGCTTAACAAGACAGCTTTCCCTCTGAAAGTCAGCCTAAATTTGCACCTGTACATATAAATTGGGATATGCACGCTATGCAAATTTGCATCACGGGGCTGTTTTTCACAGTCTTTCAATGACCTAGCAGCGCACATGAGTTATGATTTAGGCTGTCTCACATTTATTGGGTGACCGCGGGGGAGAGGGGAGGTATTCACTTTCTACTTTCACACCCCATTGCAGAGGGAATTCGAGCATGTAGGGCAGGCGCCACAATGTAAGTGGAAAATCAAGGTCTGTCCGCTTGCGTGAGGATGATATCGGTAAAGAATGCTTAGTGCTTCTTAAAACACATGGGGCATGTGATGATAGATACGTGATGGTTCTAAGCAGCTAATAGCCTTGGGAGTCCATTTTTACATACCGTATTTTTTGCTCTATAAGACTCACTTTTTCCCTCCTAAAAAGTAAGGGGAAATGTGTGTGCGTCTTGTGGAGCGAATGCAGGCTGTGCAGCTATCCCAGAAGCCAGAACAGCAAGAGGGATCACTGCTTTTGCTGCACAGTGATCCCTCTTGTTGTTCTGGCTTCTGAGATTCAGAATATTTTTTTTCTTGTTTTCCTCCTCCAAAAACTAGGTGCGTCTTATGGTCTGGTGCGTCTTATAGAGCGAAAAATACGGTAATCATCTATTTTGTTCTGGAAATCCTATTCCTGAGCTACATTTGTTACAAACCACCTCAGTCGTATTATTGACTGGTTTGAAGAAGTTCTTCCCACCATGCCTAATTTACAGGATTCTGCACCACAAGATGTGCTTATGGCCACCAGCTTTGATCACTTTCAAAGCAGATCAGACACATTAATGGACTGTAAGCCTTTCAATTGGTATTAGTGATTATGACTATTATATGGGCTCCCTTTTTTGAGCGCATTAAGCCGCTGAATGCCAGTCGCTGGGGTGGGGGACAACAGCCTTAGAGGGCTGCTGCCTCTGTGAGCCACTGATAGGCTACCAAGAGGCATTTGATTGGCCACTGAGGGAAACAGGATTCTAGGCTCGGTGGGTCGTTGACATGGCAGAGCTCTTCTTATGTACTTATCCCTGTTTGGGATCTGTGCCTTGCGGCCCAATCCTGAACTCCATCCCCTCAAAGTTATGGAGAACCAGCATGGTATTGTACAGGGGTATACACAATTCATGCTTCCTTGAAATTGTGTTAGTTTTTCAATAGACCACAAGCAAGGTCCCTCAATTAAAAATGGGGGGCAGGGGGCGGTATGCAGTTAAATTTAAGGTTTTCTCTGAGTATGCACATGCACACACACACACACACACACACACACATATACAGAGCCCAGGCATTTGTTTTAATACCAGAGCAATCTTTTTACACCTAAATCTATTCCTGGTTTTCTGTTAAGCTTTATACATTTCAGCAGCCTAATATGGAGGTAGGGGAACCCCTACCTTCTTTGCAGGGGCAAAACTAGGCTTTATTTCACCTGGGTTAAAGACCCTATTTGGCACTCCCCCCCATGAGGATTTGTGCATGCACACAGAGAGACTGGGAGCCTCAATGGCACCCCTCTGGAGGCTTCACCTGTTGCCAAAAAAAATCAAAAAAAAATCTGGCTAACTACATTTTTTTTAGATTTGTAAGGAAATCTAAAAATTTGGATGTAAGGAATCCACTTCCCACTATGATTTGCTCCTGCTTTGTTGGACAGGCAGTGCAGGACTTTCAGGCAGGTGCACTGTATCCTAGCCATGCCTGCATCCTAGAGACTTGCTGCTTTGCATTCCCAGCTGATCACAGTCAAGTTAACCTCTTTCCATTCTTGTTTTTCCAGAAATGGTAAGATGAAGACAGGCACTGCCATTCTCCCAGCAGCACTGGGTGTTGGTGTGGGTTATAACAATAGCCACTACCGATAATCTCTAGATCAGGGGTTGCAAGCCTTTACAGGCCAGCGGGCAAATTTAGAAATTGACATGGATGCCAACAGGTCACAAAATGGCTGCCATGAGCTTGTGGCATAACACAAAATGGCTGCTTTAATGTGTAAAATAACACAAAATTGGGGGAGGTGGTAGGCTGTATGCCAAGACACTTCTAATTCCTGGATCCAGCGTTAAAATCTAAGCAAGGATTCGATTCCTGGAATCGCCAGCCTAGCTTCCTGGTGAGGTAATGGCCCAAGTACAGGTCATTAAGGTAACAAAGGAAGTGGCTCTGGGCCAGAGTACAAATGGGTGGACACCCCCCCCCCTTTCCTCAACTGTCTGGTAGTTAGAAAGACAAAGGCAAGGGCAAGGGTGGAGAGTTGAGTTAGGTGAACTAGAAGCTAGAAAGAAGCAAGGGTGCAGGCTGGACAACTGGGAGACAGAGCCATGCCTGATTTCTGCTTGAATCCAAGGCTAGGGCTATGGCAGAAGCAAGACCGTCTTGGGGTGTTAATGTCATAAACCCCTTCATCATAGGCTCGGGTAAATAAATAGATGTCTAAATAAACTATGTCTCATAAAGACACCACAGTCTCTTCTGTACCTCATTCCAAAGGAAACACGATCCCTGGGTAAATGCCTGGAATTTCGCACCACTCGGAGATTGGGATGGTGTGCAACGATCTTCTTAAAATAACACACTTATGTAATACAAAACATTATAAACTTGTATCAGAATGCATTTCTTGTCTTTTCAGATCTCCAGGGCAATTTGCAGCAATACTGCCTACATACTTTTTCCTACATATAGCAGCCTTTGCTGCAAAGGAGAAACCTTCTTTACCACATGCTGATTAGTGGCTTGTAAGCAGGAAACCCAAAGCTTCCTTTCCGCATCCCAAAATAAATAAAATAAATAAAATGAAGTGGTAGAATGGACTGTACTACTTCAAATTGCAAGTTTGTTTTATGCTGCCATGTGCCTCAGAATAAGCCTGTAAAGTCTCATAAGTTTGCCAGCCTCATATACATATATGAATACATGTAGATATGTTTTCATATATCAAGTAAAGCAATGTGTTATGTTTTAAACTCATGCGCAGTCTTTTCTATGAGAGAAAAAGAGAACTATATTTTTTTCCAAGGGTCCAATGGCCTGGGGCAGCTTTTGCACATATAAGTACCACCACAATAACCCTTCAACATAGGCCAGAATCATAATGTCCACATTGCATATGAGAGACTGAGAAAGAGCAACTTTCCTAGCACTGCTTAGTGAACGATGGCTCAGATGGGATTTAAAACTGATTTGTTCTGGGGAAACCACAGAATCAAAGGGAAGAACACTCTGGCAGTCTGAACTCCATCCCTCAGCCAGAGGTTTATGGGTAGATGTCTGGGTTTTATTTGTTTGTTTGTTGTATTATTGCAGACCTTTGTAAGCCACCATGCAGACAATTTGATTGTAAGGCAGGGAATTAATCTTCAAAATAAAATAAAACACAGCACAGCAATTTAGTGCAATCAAGCCCAGAGCTATATGAAACTCAGTGAAAATGTTTCTACTCCTCTTTGATGAGATTACTTTTTAGGAAGGGGCAGGAGAAGATTCGAACAGTTTCATTTATTCATTTGTTTAAGAAATGTATGCCCCTCCATTCTGTTTGTGACCTCCAAGACAATAGAAGAACAAATAAATTACAGTATATTGCATCTAAAAACCAAATAAAAACCCACAAGTAAAAAGTCACACCTTCAGCACCAGCATTACTACCATCAATCAAATAGCTCAAAATTAAATATGCAGCGTACAATTGCAGCAATCAAGTGAGCATGTCTGGAAGGGGAATGTTCTATGGTCAGGGTACCCCCACAGAGAAAGCCCTGCCCCTGATAACCACTTACAGCCCACCCAATCCCCAAAGGATGGGGCAGTCCAAACAGAGCCTCAGCTGATGATCTGAATGAACAAGCAGGCTGATATGAAGGAAGGTTTTCCTTTGGAAATCCCAATACTAGGCTGTTTAGTACTTTAATGATCAAAGCTATTAAGAGCCGCTGCATTGTAGTGGTTAGAACAGGCTTCCTCAACCTCGGCCCTCCAGATGTTTTGAGACTACAATTCCCATCATCCCTGACCACTGGGCCTGCTAGCTAGGGATCATGGGAGTTGTAGGCCAAAAACCTCTGGAGGGCCAAGGTTGAAGAAGCCTGGGTTAGAATGTCAGACTCGGGCTGACAAACTCCTTGTTGGCTATAAAGCCTTGGGCCAGTCACTGTAAACTGTTGCTGTTTCTTAGCGTAAACTACCAGGGGAGTTTTGATGATAAAATAGGGAGGGGGGAGGAGAGAAAAGAACATATGCCACCCTTTGAAGGAAATGTGCAGTGTAATAATGGAAACCATAAAAGTATACCAGCAGCAGCCTTGGAATGGTAGAAACTGCTTGGGCTCAGATGAAGCACATTAGCAAGATGAAACTTGCAAGGCAGTGGGAATGAACGCTGCAAATTAATACGGAAGTTCAGAAGGAGCAGATCCGGGGCTTATGTGGCAGTTTCCCAATACAGGACTCTTTGCTGAGTAATGAAGCTGCCCACTGCCTCCCTGCTCCATGACCATTATGTCCACTTCTGTTTTCTGTGTGGATTTATGGCTTTTCATTGGCAAAGCGGGTGGAAGGATGAGCATTTACAGTTGCCAAGAAACCCCTGCTGATGTTCCTCTACAGCCTTCTGTGCCCTCAAAGCAAAGCTATACTGCCTGAGAGAATTGGGGAGCAAGGGAGGGAACATAAAGTGGGGTGCTCAGATCCCCCACCATGTCCTTGGAAGGAATCTCTCCTTCTCCCCTGAATCTGCATCAGTTATTGGAAAATTAAACTAATAACGACTGAGAAACCAACATCCATTTTTATTGTCATTGTCCATTCAGATTACAGTTTCTATATTTAAAAAACCCACCCTAAATAAAAACATTCCCTATTCATCTTAGTGCTATCTGAGAATGAAAGAATTTGGCATGCTTTTCATACACAGTACCTATTGTCCAGTACCTGTGTCACCACCAGCTTAAGAATGAGTAACTAACAAAGCTCTGGAGCAGAGGGGCGTAGAATGAGCAGGGCTCCCTCCCAAAATGCAACATGACTGCATAACCACATTTTATACACACATTCCCATCGAAAGAGGGACTTTATGTACACCATAAAGTCTAAAATCGCCTGGCTGCCCCACTGGGGTTCACAGTCAAGGCTTCAGCTGCCAGCATCTTGGAGGGGCTGATAGCACTCTTCTGCTGGCCAGTGTTCTAGCTCCACACTGATCACCTTCTCCCTCCTCTCTGCCATATTAGTTGGCATACATATAAACATCACTGTCACACTACAGAATTTAGACTAAGATCCAGGCGTTGGCTCCCTAGTCTTTATGCCGCCAGAATAGCTAATCAGGAGATGGGAGCTGCAGGCAAAACAAGCCAACTAGGAAACTGCAAACCAAGGACCTTCCTAAGCCAGAGAGTCATGTGACAATTGAAGGCCTATGTCACTCTGTGTCCTGCTATACAACCTCCAGGTCTCCTGTAGGTCTCTCCTTCAGTAAGAGCAACAACATGTTGTGTCCTGGGTAAATCACTGGCTGTGTGCAGTTCTGTTTGGCCTTAGGCCAGAAGGGAGAAAGCGGGCAGCAATGGCAGAAGGAGCAGCAGCATGGCCTGGGGACTCTGAGAGTGAGTTGTGGGTTATTAAAAAAGACAGCAGAACTAGTATTATGCCCCAACTAGTATTAAGAAGCATTAAAAATTCCCCTGATTGTTCCTTCAATACATGCTGGCAACTGTTATCTACTAGTGCTGTTGTCCTTCTTGGTTCTGGTGGTGTCCTCTGGGTGTTCCCTGCTGAGGTGTGTGGGCCTTGGAGAGTGCCTGATAATATCAGCCTCTTTTGCCAGCTCTGGTTAAGATTTCTTTTCTATCTGCTTGCCTGTGGGTTTCCTGTGCCTCCTTGCTTGCCTTCTTATGTACGACTCTCTTCCTTTAGGCTGCCTCCCTAATTTTAGACTGGATTCATTGCTTACTCCTATGAAGCTGCCAGGGCTGGCCCTATCATTAGGCAGAGTGAGGTGGCTGCCTCAGGCAGTAGGTACTCAGGTGGGAATGCAGCAGTGGCAGCCCCCTGCCATTCCACTTTAGCCCCCTCTGTTGGAGCTGGCACTGCGCCCCTTATGCTAGCCTGCTGCTCCCAAGTGGTGGACGCTGTCCCATCACCAGTGCTGAAGCAAGAGTCAGCTTCCAGCCCAGTACATGGAATGTTTGGGGCACCATCTTGTCCTTTGCCTCAGGCCGCAAAATGCATTGAGAAGGCCCTCCTAGCCTCTGCCTGTACAACTTTGATTTCATAAAGTAGGGAGCCAGGTCTCTACTGTCAGATATAAATGGGGATGTTTGAAGGAAGATGGCTGCAGTGTGGTGAAGATGCCCTTAGGGCAAATGGGCATTGCCTCACCAATTTCAGTCTGCCCTGAGCCAATCACCATTGTCTGTCTGCCTTCTTACTTACAACAAGCCCAGGGGATAGCACTCTTTTTCAGCCTCCTCCTCCCTAGGTCTCAGTGCTTGTAGGGAGGTAGGGGGAGCCAGCTACTGTGGGCTTCCCTGCCTTCTGCCCTACCAGTCCCAGGGGGCACCAGCCACCACTGGAAGATAACAAAAACTCATGAGTGCTCTCAAACTGTATAGAATACTTAGAGGAGCAGGCAGGGGTTGTGTATTGGTGGGAGGAGAATCTCCAGACTGAGCCAGTTTGGGCCTGTTCAGGTCTTTCTGAACCAAGATGCACAACAAATACAGCTGAGCAGGCAGGGATCGCTTTTGAGCATGCCAAGAATCTGCCTCTTAACAACGGCAAGGAAAGTGTTAAGGCATAAAAGCAGTAATCACCAGCCATGAATTGATTCACTACAAGTTTAAAAGGTGGAATTAAAGCCAGGTTTTAACCAAAGCTGTCTTTTGTAAGAGAAAGTTCAGTGCTGACGTAAACAATTTTGTAAGTCTTTTATTTGCGTCTTTTTTTATTCAGGCAACATACTAAGTATTATTTGGGGGAAGGGCAGCTTATGGAGCAACCCTGGCTGCCCCAGGCTAAGTGTGCTGATCTGTGGAAAGAAGCAAGAAGGCAGAAAAGGGGGCAGAGAGCAGGGTGGCCTGATTGACCCCTTTGGCTCAGGGGCGAGCTACACGTTATATTCAGATGAGCACCCATGTTGGTAACTGCTGAGATCTGTGGACACCCACCCGAGGTGGTGGTCAACTACTGGACTTCAGGTGGCATTTTCTCTGTGAAGTATCCTGGATTGACTCTGTCTGCTCCGTTGGGCTACTGGACCCTCCTGGACAGGATGGAGTAGAAGAAGTCTTCCTGTCCCAGTTGAGCCCTTGCTTGGGCAACAAGGAAATCCCAAGTTCTGGTGTCATTTCGTCCCCGATTCTGCCTTGCTCTCCAACTCTGCCTCCTGATTTACAAAATCAGATTGTTGGAGCTCAGTATTGTCCACTCTAACTCACTAACAGCATCTCTACAGGGTTTCAGGCAGGAGTTTCCCCACCGCTACCTGGAGACACCAGGGATTGAACCTGTGACCTTCGGCATCTAAGGTGGATGCTCTACCACCAAGCTAAATCCCTTCTCCAGATTTCATCCTTTGGTTCTAACATACTCACCGGTCCTGGCTATTGCTTTGCCTCACTGCTCTCAGCTCAGACCTTGTCCCAGTTCTGACACCCTGATGGTCACTTTCAGCAAAGAGAAGCTGCCTTGGGGAGGGAAGCATTCTAAGTGAAAAGTTGGAGGAGGAGGAGGAGGAGGAGGAGGAGGAGGAGGAGGAGGAGGGTGGAATGGTGGTGGTAGAGAAATGCATAACCTTTTCCTTGCCAGATGCTGTGCTCCAAATCTTAACATGCAAGGGTAAACACACATTTGGCATCTGTCAGAGGAGAAAGCTGCTATGGGGATGGAGAAGGCCATGATTTGGAGAAGAGACACAGAGACCTGGCCCACCAAAGAACAGTTTAGACAATCCTATTCTCCTCTCATAGGAATGTAGAAAGCTACCTTATGCTTAGACCATTGGTCCATTTAGCTCGTTGTTTACACTGACCAGCAATGGTATTCCAGGGTCTCTCCTAGCAAAGCCTGGAGATGCCAGGAATTGAAACTGGGACCTTTTGCATGCAATTCCTGAGCTCTACTACTACGTCTGGGGGTGGGAAGAAATTTGATGCAGTCTACATTTAAATTCATACAAATTCATACTTTTCTGAAACAACATGCAAACTGAAACACAGCCATCCTTCAAAATTCACACACCTCCAAATTTTGCAGTGCAGTTCTCCGGTCAAGCAATGTGTATAAAAATGTATATATTAAAGGGTGAATACAATGCAAATAAAGTCATATAACAGTGAAAATAACATACAAATAACAGGCATTACCTTATTATCTTGCAATGTCCTTTCAGGGAGAAGGATAGGGACAAAACTTGCAAAATTATCTTGCAATGATGTTGATGTTAGGCAAAACTGCATATAAAATGTATATAGTAAAAGAAATCTGCACAAAAATGCTGATTAATTTTCAAGAAAACTTTAATTTTTTTAAAAAAAGATTGCAAACTGATGTGAAGAGTTGAACTTAAGACTGGAAGAATCAGAAACAGACAAAAACTAAAACTGATGCATTCAGCCTTCCCTAGATACCACTGAGCCACAGCCTTTCTCCTACTCTTCTGCTTAAAATCACCCCTTTTTCATAAAAAAAGACTCAAACAGCCATTGTGTCTTTAAGCCCCAGTCAGCATACCTTTGTGTGTGTATCTGTGTGTGTTTATAGGATTTGTGCACAGCATCCAAGAAATACCTTCAAGGTGGTTTTTACAACAGTCAATAAAAGCAATAAAATTCAGGCAACTGACACAAGAGCAACAACAATAAAACAGCAGAAGCAGTCCATAACAAAGAAACAAAAGCCAACAGCTAAAATCACACATAAAAGGATTTGAAATGTCATTAAAAGCCCAAACTTCACTTGGCAACCTGAAAGATGGCAAAGATAGTGCTAGGAGAACGCGTAACAAAGACAGCTCAGATTGAAGATGCTCTGGATGCTGGATGGGGCCTCATAATCATCATCAGCCTTGTGGTTAGGGAAACCCACAGGGTCACTGCCTATGAAAAAAGAAGTTTGCGTCGGTGCAATGCAATATCAGAAAGATGCTGCAAAAAGGCAGGAGCAGTGAAACTTCGAGGCTGCCATTCAGCCATCGGTAGCACTGGGGGGAAATCAGGGAACAAGGCCTGAGACAGGATGCCTGCCCTGGTGTTGGTACACTTTCCTGACTTTCCATGGGCTCAGGACATGGCTTATTTCTCCTGTGTGCTATGGTATAAGAACATAGGTAAAGGTAAAGGGACCCCTGACCATTAGGTCCAGTTGTGACCGACTCTGGGGTTGCGGCGCTCATCTGGCTTTATTGGCCGAGGGAGCCGGCGTACAGCTTCCGCATCATGTGGCCAGCATTACTAAGCCACTTCTGGCAAACCAGAGCAGCGCACGGAAACACCATTTACCTTCCCGCTGGAGCGGTACCTATTTATCTACTTGCACTTTGACGTGCTTTTGAACTGCTAGGTTGGCAGGAGCAGGGACCGAGCAACGGGAGCTCACCCTGTCACGGGGGATTCAAACCGCCGATCTTCTAATCGGCAAGTCCTAGGCTCTGTGGTTTAACCCACAGTGCCACCCGCGTCCCATAAGAACTTAGGGAGGGTGTTTATGTAAAGCATGATGTGATGTCATGCTTCTGCATCATACCACTCCAGTGACAGAGTATAAACACATACAAGGTTGCCTATGCCATCACAACGATATCCTTGTTCCATCTCAACCACACACACTGTACACTGATGGAGTCTCAAGTGGGTGTGAGGATCCAGATAACCCCGTGTGGTTGTCATGGATAACGCAATGAAAGCCTCGGCTCAGTGCATAGCAACAGCGCAAAAGGCAAATTCCATGCTAATAGTATTAGGAAGTGGATTGAAAACAAAGCAACCAGCATGCCCTTTATAACATATGAGCGTAGTTGGAATACTGTGTATAGTTCTGGATATTCCATCTCAAAATGATACCATTAAATTGGAAAAGGTGTTAGAAAAAGCAAATAAAATTATCAAGGGGTTGGAAAGAGTACGTTCCCTGCACACGCAAACACCTCAAACCTATTGTTTTAGGTGCTTTTGACAGTAAAGAAAGATAGTGAAGGAGGGGCATGGCAAAGTTTACAAAATTATCCAGATTTCCCACCTCCCCACCCCCAGTAGGACTAGAATCCAGTCACCTAGATGGAAATTACTGGCACCTCCAGGTAGGCCTGAGAACATCCTTTGCCTGAAACTCTGGAGAACTGTTGCCAGTCAGTGTAGATGATACTGAGGTAGATGGACTGTTGATCTGACTCAGTATAAGGTAGCTGTTTATCAGTGGCGTAGCGTGGGTTGTCAGCACCCGGGGCAAGGCAAGTAATTTGCGCCCTCTAACCCGTGGATTTGCGCCCCCTAACCAGTGGATTTGCGCCCCCTAACCCTAACCCCCAGATGTTGCGCCCAGTGCGGCCGGCCCCCCCTGCACCCCCCACGCTACGCCACTGCTGTTTATGACATATTTATGGAGGGAAAAGCAATCAATGTTTTTAAACTTCCAGTTATGGAATCTCCAGGTTGGGGGGGGGGCAGTACCTCTGAATGTCTGTTGCCGACAGGCAAACAACAGGGCAGGAGTGTTAAACTTCATGCCCTGTTTGTGGGCTTCCTGACAAAATCTGCCTGATAAAATGTTGAACTAGATGGTAAAGGTAAAGGGACCCCTGACAGTTAGGTCCAGTTGCAGACGACTCTGGGGTTGCGGCGCTCATCTCGCTTTATTGGCTGAGGGAGCCAGCGTACAGCTTCCGGGTCATGTGGCCAGCATGACTAAGCCGCTTCTGGTGAACCAGAGCAGCGCACGGAAACACCGTTTACCCTCCCACCAGAGCGGTACCTATTTATCTACTTGCACTTTGATATGCTTTCGAACTGCTAGGTTGGCAGGAGCAGGGATTGAGCAACAGGAGTTCACCCCATCGCGGGGATTCGAACCGCCGACCTTCTGATCGGCAAGACCTAGGCTCTGTGATTTAGACCACAGCGCCACCTGCATCCCAGATGTAACTAGATGGTACCCTTGCCTTACCCAGCAGGACTCGCCTTACGTCCTTAAATGTCTTTCAAGCATCAGCTGTAGTGTGAATTTGAACTGATAATGAACCAATTTGTTCAAATCCAGACAGCTGATTGAATGAACTTTTTTTTTTTACTTAGATGACAGCTCTTTTTAAAAAATAAAATAAAAATGCATGGTTCTTTTTACCTTACCTGCCAGTCAAGCATTGTAGTTTCCATGGTGATTTTGGTCTAGACTTAGAACTGAGCAATACTGCCCCCTGCTGATGAAACATAGAGAAGCATCCTGCGGTTTTAGCGGAGAGCCTCAGTGGTCTACTAAATACCGCTTTCAATCATAATCAATTTACATAACAAAGCACTGCCTGTTTGAGCTCATCCGTTTCCATTCTAATATGCCGAGAGCCACTCTTCCCTTCTCTTCAAATTGTCCTTTTAATAGGGGTATAATGCCTAATTGGGAATATGGCTAGATGACACACTAGTGATTTTGCTTCACATCTGTAGGAACCACAAATAGATGTAGAGTGGCTGGTCCTTTTACTGCTCTGATCTTGAGAGCAATATGTGCCCTCTTTTATTTCTTTGGGATTTTCTATTCCATTTGCTTGCGTGCCTGCTTGCTTCTTTCTTTCCCCCCTCTTCTGAAAGCAGGAAGCACCCTAAGAGGGACTTAAAAGCAGGGCCTCTGCCCATGGAAACAGAGCCGAGCTATCCTGAATAGTAGCCATTGATAACTGTGATTAATCTAAAATGGAAATGGAAGCTTCTGATAATGGCTGCACTGGAGGAGGGGGAGAGGGTACCAGCCCAAGGGTCACTGTGGTTCATCATAGCACTAAGTCATGGTCTAGTACAGGAGTGGGGAACATTTTTCAGTACAGCAGGCCAGATCGCTGTCTGTTACTACTCCAGTGGGTCGACTTTGACAGGTGGGTGGGACAACCTACCTGTTCATCATTATGATGTCGGTTGTCCGACATCATACTCTGCTTATGGGCTTTCTAGAGGCCCCTGCCTTGATCACTGGTGATGGAAAGAGATTACTTGACTCCATGGGCCTTTGGTCTGATGCAGCAGGCATTTCCCTTTATCTCAAACCAGGGAGAAGTAGTAGTTTCTGACAATCACAATTGTACCCTGACTGATCCTTTACAAGGATTTGTGGACAAAAGGGCAGAGGGATACTACTATCCCTGATGCAATGTGAAGTAACCAGGGTCACTTCTGCTTCCTTTGCTGCTGCCTTCACACCTTCTGTGGTCCTTCAGAAAAGCCCTTGTTTAGACATAGGTTTCCTACAATCATCCTCCTCTAACCCTCTTCCAGCCTCCAAGACTGTGACTCTCTCCCCCACAGTCATTGCTGACACCTGGTTTCTGACATCACAAATAAATTATGTCACAGCACTTTAGCTTTCACATCATTCATGGCTCCCCAAGCCCTGAAAGGGGCAGTAGCATCTCAGAGCCAGAGAAAGCAGCCACCTATTTCTCATATATCTTGCCTGTCTGCTACAAACCCTGTTGCTGAAGCTCTTAGAAAACCACCTGAGTGAATATGAAAGCCTTGGAGAAGAAGAAACAATGTCCAAAGGTACCTCATCTTCTTAAGAAACCAGGAGTTGGCATCATTTACTCAAGGCTCAAAGTGAGGGGTGAAGTGGGGGCGACAGAAATGCTGGAAAATGGCCTGTTGATTTTTTTTAAAAAACCCAGAAAGTAGTGGAATTTTCTGGTACATTACAAAAAATGTTATGAGAATCTATTCGTCCCTGGCAGGTAGCCTTTCATACTGATCCAAGTGCTACATATTTGTAAGCAGCTATAGATCCCACAGAGGATAAAGCAGCAGTGAGTTCAAAAGCTTCTAAAGCCGTGGCTTTTATTAAGAACATCAAAAGAGCCTGGCTGGATCAAACCATAGACCTATCTATCCCAGCCTCTTGTTCCCTACAGTGGCTATCCAGATGCCTGTTTACTTATTCATTTACTTAAGCATTCGTATGCTACTCTTGAGCCACAGAGGCTCCTGCAGTGGCTTACATGCTAATCGATAAAAACAAGACACCCCCTGCCTGCAGTGTTATGTATATAAATTAAATTTTGATGATATGCAAAGTAACAGAGTAGCTTACAGCTAGGAAGCTAAATAACTCTTCTAGGTGAGCGATAGCCTTTCTGTAAAGACTATACAATGTCCAGACTATTTATATTCAAAAAAGCTTTATTTTCATAAACATATAACTGAGATGAATATATTTACAATCTCACGCTTATTCAAACATGGGTACGTTCTCACTTGAATTGTAGTCTTCCTTAGACCTATAAACAAAACTGCATTGAAACTTGCACCTCACTCAGGCCTTACAGTTTCTTATGAAAGGTTTTGCTTTCACCTCAGCAGTATCCTCTTTGTTCCTTACAGAGAGCTCCTGCGCAGATTTAGAGTTCTCCCTCTGTCTGTTTCACTTCAGACAGATCACACTGACACAACACTTTCCTCAGCAGTATCCTGAGAAGGCTCTCTCAGCAGCCATTCTCCTTTCTCACGCACAGAGAACATAGAGCAATTAAAAACAACAGTTACTGGAATAACAATCACATTAAACAGGACTGTTTCTCAAGAAGTTGTAGGATTCTTCTTCTTCTTCAGGGGAACTATCATTAAAAGAATGATTAAACGTTAATAGATAGACAGACAGACAGATAGATAAATGAGATCTGTTAAAAACATACAGACAATCACAATGAAAGCAAAGTAGATTATTGAAGTGGTTCCCACACACTTCCCTGCTGCATAAACAACTTGAAAATTGCTGAAGGTCTTTGGTGGACCACTTAATAATTTATACAGGCCTGTTGCAGCAATTCTAATGTTCTGTGCTAGATGCCGTATGACTAACGTCATATGTGTTGTTTAGTCGTTCTAGTCGTGTCCGACTCTTTGTGACCACATGGCTTTAAACACCAGTGCTGGGAGCACGCTAGAGGCTGAGAAGGTGATAATATTTACACAGTCTTTATGCAGTTCAGATTGCATGGAGAGAGGCAGTGGGACATGAACACTAGCCCTACCCCTGCTGTTTATGTCCCCCACTGGGCCTACTTCCATGCTATCCAGCCACCCTTAGTGGTGGGGAACCTTCAGCATACAAGCCTAATTATTTAATTATTTGTTAATTAGACCACACATTCACCAGGCTTTCCCCCTTCAGGCCTTCCATGTCAGAGAGGGGCTAACTCACATGACACACACCCCGCCAATGATCTCATATCCTCCAACATTTCTCAGATGAAAATAGGGACGTCTCATTCCATAATGATAATGTTACTATTTATACCCCACACATTTTAAAGGGTTGTCCCATCCACTTTGGGCAGCTTCCAGCATATATAAAAACATAATAAAACATTAAACATTTAAAAAAACACCCCTACCCTATAAAGGATTGCCTTCAGACAGCTTGAGGGTTGGATAACTCCATACCCTCCAACATTTCTCCAATGAAAATAGGGACGTCCTAAGGAAAAGTGGGACATTCCGGGATCAAATCAGAAACCAGGACGGCTTCTCTAAATCAGGGATGTCCTTAGAATATAGGGGCACTTGGAGGATCTGTGATCTGAATCACATGGTGGAGACTCATGCGTAGTTCTAAGGCACTCAGCAGGCCCATGTATATGATCTTGCCCTTTGGCCATCTTTGTTTTCTCATATGTATCTTTTTTTTTTTTTTGCAGTCTCTCCATCCCTAAATAATAATGGCTCTAGACATGATTTAACAGTTATATAAATAGGCTGCTCCTTCTGAGCGACTCATGCGTTCTGTGTAATATTTGCTTCTTGCTCTTTATAACCAAGTTATAAAAACACTGCAATTCAAAGGGTAGGCTCTGTTAGTGGCTTTGACGTGGCTGACTCAGTAGTCTAATTCATGCAGTCTCCTCCGCAAGTTGAGCTGGTTCCCCACTTCAGGCATTTCACAAGGATGGCAGTGAGTACACAGCAGAGGGCATGGGGCCAGTTTTTGTGGTACCCCTCTCCCCCCCCAAAAAATCCCACAATAGTAGGGTGCAAGCAGAGGCCTGTTACACACTGTCTAGCTTATTCACCCACCACAGTAGTCAATACGACATTATAGCATTATTTTTAAAACTGCCACCCGGCCCAATTTTAGATCAATTGGACTTTATCCTAAGGGTATAGTTCAACCACTTGCATTTAATTCCTCTTGATGCAGCAGACAAAGTTCCACAAACGAAGTGCGTTGAGGACAAGACGTCGTTTGTTGTCCCCATAACTTTGCTCTGTCTTTCTCAGATCATTGATGTGGAGAGTGGAGCATCTCAGACAAGCAATTTGGTACACGTAAGGAGCCACCTAAGGAGGGTAAGATGCCATTTTGTTTGCCTGTTGCAAGGTTTAAAGCCTAAAGTTAGCTACCATCATTTGGGGAGATGCAACTTCCTTGTCAAAAGCCCCACCATGTCTACCAGTTTAAAGACTGGTGCAATATTTTTTTGTCAGGGATGGAATGCTAACCCAAGAAGAAAGTAGCACACACCCAACCCCAACACAGAGATGATCTGAGGCAACCAACATATTATATCAACATGTAGCTCCACAGTGGACCCAGCCTTAAGGAACTAGGCCAAAAGCAAACATAAAATTAAATCTAAAAACCTTAGGCATTTTGGAGCCTGCTGGAATGTGTGTATAATATCGTATCGAAACAAAATGTTAAAAATGAATTTTTATTTTTAAAAATATTTCTGTCTTTTTCCTGTTGACCTCACACAAGTAAACAGTTAACTACATTAGTCTCAAGATAATACTAATAATGAAGCAGGCTGGGCTCACTCTATGGCAACTTCTTCAGATGTTGTGTGCTCTCTATATTTTCTGTACCTGCACAGATAATAAAGAAACTGGTTCTCCTCAAAATGCTCAAGAGTCCAAACCGCAGAATCGAGTGGCTTTGTGAATTAGCGCACAAGTACAGGAAGATGTTAGCGATTGGGAGTGCTCTGGCTTCAGGTGCTTCCTGCTCTGGGTAAGTGACCATAGATAGGGATCTGTGTGCATACGTGTGTTTATTTTGCTAGAATATAACAAACAGGGCCCTCTGAAAGTGTGCGTGTGACTATATGATCATAGAATCATAGAACTGGAAGGGATCTGTTATGGCTTGGTCTCTCCCACAAACGTGAGATGACTCTGCCTGTTAATTATTTCAGATATATTGCTGAAACAACAAACTAGGATGGAGCTCCTCTACTCATCGTCCTCCCCAGAAGATGGAGTTGCCCGGACTGAGCTCCTCCCCCTTCCCCAGCACGAAAGCCCCCACCTTCTCTTCTGGTATCTTTAGAGCTTCTTTAGAGCTCTTTAGATTCTTTATGTTAAGTTGTGGGTGAACATATCAGACGACACAGCGATTCTTCAAAACAGCTCTTGTTTATTCACTGGCCAGAACAGAACTGAACTGAAGGGTTCAGCCAGCCTGCTTATATAGAGCTCCCCTACAACGCTACTGTAGCAACTTTCTGTAACTAGCCAATCACTGAACGTCACTTTCAATCCCCTATTTGCATATGTGGACCTGAGTGGAAACTATCTACAGTATCCCCCTGCTGGCCCAGGGTGAGAACTTCAGTACAAAACACTTTAGATCGTTAGAGCACTTTTGAGATCCTACGAGATTTGGGAGAGAATGTTTTCTGCATTCCAATGTCTGACTCACTACTGGAGCTCTCACGCAGCAGCCTGTCACTCTGGCCCTGTCTTTCACCTCCCCTTTGTTCAGAGCTCAGGTTACAGCTGCTCTCCCCCTCCTTTCTGCCTTCTGCTTTTAACTGTTCTCTCTCTATGCCTGCTTCTTCTTCTCCTGTCAGCATCTGAGCTTTGCTGACAGGATCCCAAGGGTCATCCAGTCCAATCCCCTGCAATGCAAGAATCTCATCTAAAGCATCCATAACAGATGGCCATCGAACCTCTGCTTAAAAATCTCCAAGGAAGGAGAATCCATCACCTCCAAAAGGAGTTCATTCCACTGTCAAACAGCTCTTACGGTCAGAAAGTTTTTCCTGGTGTTGAGCTGGAATCTCTTTTCTTCTAACTTGAATCCATTGGCTCTGGAGCAGGAGAAAACAAGGTTGCTCCATCTTCCATATGACAGCCATTTTTATATTGGAAGGTGGCTACGATATCTCCTCTCAGTCTCCTCTTTTCCAGCTCCTTCAGCCATTTCTCATAAGGCTTGGTTTGCAGAACCTTGATAATCTTGGTTGCCCTTCTCTGCACACGTTCCAGCTTGTCAACATCCATCTTAAATTGTGGTCCCCCAGTTGGACAAAGTATTCAAGGTGTGGTCTGACAAAGGCAGAACAGAGCGGTACTATTACTTCCCTCACAAGGAGAAGGGGACGACAGAGGATGAGATGGTTGGACAGTGTTGTCAAAGCTACCAGCATGAGTTTGACCAAACTGTGGGAGGCAGTGGAAGACAGGAGTGCCTGGCGTGCTCTGGTCCATGGGGTCACGAAGAGTCGGACACGACTAAACGACTAAACAACAACATTACTTCCCTTGATATGGACACTATACTTCTGTTGATGCAGCCTAGAATAACATTAGCTTTTTTTGCTGCTGCATCACACTGTTGACTGACGTTAGGCTTGTGATCTACTAAGACCCCTAGATCATTTTCACATGTACTACAAGCAAGCCAGGTGTCCCCCATCTTATATTTGTGCAGCTAGTTATTCCTGCCTAAGTGCAGAACCTTACATTTGTCTCTGTTGAAATTCATGTTGTTAGTTTTGGCCCCCTTCTCCAATCTGTCAAGGTAATCTTCTGCAGCATTAGCTACCCCTCTCAGTTTGGTGTCATCTGTAAATTTGATGATCATCCCCTTGATTTACCTGATATTGGGATATGGGGATAATTCAGTGTTGGGGAAAATTGGGTTCCAAATTCCTCTCAGGGTCACAGATTATTTGTTTTGATGTTTTTGGTTAGTTGGATCAACTGCCACTTTCTGCAGCTCCCCTCTTCCTTGCCCACTACTTCCCAAGTGCTTTCATTTATTTTTTATTTCCAGTGTGCCCTGAAAAGAAAAACTCTTCTTTTCTTTTCATCCCTCAGGTTTGTACAAAACTAGAAAACAGCACAAGCAAATTTACCATTGCCTATCTGAATGCATTTCCACTCTTCTTGGGCAGGGAATTTTTTAAAAAACCAAACCAAACAGAACAAGGGGCACATGGGCCCTGTGAGTATTTCACTGGCATGACAGAATCAACAAACTATAAGGCAGGGACAAACACAAAGGGGAATGCCTCCTGGTATGAATGGGAAAGGCCAAAATTGCTCCTCATGTACAAATTTAAAATAGTTTAAATATTAAACTATTCATTTAATTCTAAAGGGAGGGGGAGTGGATGAAGAGCTACATAATGCTCAGATGTGGGTGAGCCCTAAATTACAGTCATACCTTGGTTTTCAAACAGAATGCGTTCTGGAAGTCCGTTCGACTTCCAAAATGTTCGGAAACCAATGCGCAGCTTCCGATTGGCAGCAGGAGCGTCCTGCAGCCAATCGGAAGCCACAGAAGCTGCATCGGATGTTCGGCTTCTGAGACAAAGTTTGCAAACCAGAACACCTACTTCTGGGTTTGCAGCTTTTCAGTTCCACGTTGTTTGTGAACTAAGCTGTTCAAAAACCAAGGTATGACTGTATATGGAAGAAAAAACTAAAACAATGAAAATCCATAACAATGCTTCCACCCCGCTCATGTGACAGGGTGTGCACCCCCTCTGAGGAACCTCCAGCCCCTAATGTCAGCGTGATTGATGAGCCTGCCATGGAAGTTGAGGAAGTTGCTATAATAGACAAGGTAGATGAGCCTAAATCGTCAACTGAGGCAACATCCCCAGAGGCAGCTTCTTCAGAATTGTATGAGGCGCTCTCCTTGAAAGGCCTGCCCCACCGGATTCACATGCCTGCGCGCAGAGTGCTCTGTAGACCATCGAATTTGAGATGGGTCAAACCGTGCTGCACACGATCATGTAGCGAGACTCTGGAGCATGTCGTCACCATCCCTTATTCAGAATGTCAGAAGCGGCATCCAGTAAGCAATCAAAACTGCAATTGTTTTTGCCAGGGAGGTGGGCAGAGATGAAATTTGTGGGGGTTTGCCTCTGGGTCGATTGAGTGTATGCAATCGGGTCTCTCCTAAATACCAGATCTAAACCCAGATCTAGTCCTGCTTTGGCCTGAAGAGATCTGCTGCATGGATCCAGAAACTGTAGGCAGAAGTTTAGGCAAGTGGGTTTAATTCAACACAGAATTTTAGGCTGATTAACAGCAGTTAGCCAGTGCTGTAGTGGTAAATTTTGAAGAGTGGGAGAAGCCTTCATTGCCATGGAGGTAGCTGTGCTATCTATTATTGTTAGAAGCTTCAGTTCCGTTCATAGTTTCCTGGGAACTCCATTGAGCTCAGTGGAGCTTACTTCTGACTGCACAGGCTTATCCTATGTGAGCTTTAACAAAGTATCTTCAGTCAGCTTAAATGCAACTTTTAGCCTTTAATTAAATATCAAAACAATCTTGCAAAGAAGCATTACTGTTTAAACTGCTGGCCTGAAGTAGAAATCTCATCAAAGAAAAGGAGATAAGTATCTAGCCTTTGCTTCATAATTTCCCTCATCCTCTGACTTTCACTGTGCTAAACTGTCACAAACTTGCAAGGTTCAGCATCACCTCATTCAGTGTCCAGAGCAAGGCGAATCTGCCCATTAACCGAGTGCTCTGGCAGATGATGATAGAGCAGGAGTAAGCGGGGGCGCGGGGGGGGGGGCAGAATACCAGCTCACAATCCCCTCTCCTCCACTACTCTTGATAAATCAGGTTCAGGAAAGTTTAGGTCACAAGCCCCGGCAAGAAATCCACTAGCTGTCTCCCTGAGCTGTGAGTTTGTTCTCATTTCCAGTAAACAGATTTCTGAAATGACATTGGCAATAGGAAGCAAAATTTTTCTTGCACACACCGTCTAAGGGAGCCCAAACTGCACTTTAGACTTTCCACAATTTATTTATTCCTGCAATTTATTTAGCATGGGATAAATGGAAAGGCTTGGGTGGATTGCCTTGCTGCAAGGTGGTAACTTGATAATTAGGGCATTTTGTAGGCCAAGCAGGGTGGAATGAGCATCTGGCAAGGCCTAGGAAAAAGGTTTAAAGGTAAAGGTAAAGGTACCCCTGACAGTTAAGTCCAGTCACAGACGACTCTGGGGTTGCGCGCTCATCTCGCTCTATAGGCCGAGGGAGCCGGCGTTTGTCCGCAGACAGTTTCCGGGTCATGTGGCCAGCATGACTAAGCCGCTTCTGGCGAACCAGAGCAGCGTACGGAAATGCCGTTTACCTTCCCGCCAGAGTGGTACCTATTTATCTACTTGCACTTGATGTGCTTTTGAACTGCTAGGTGGGCAGGAGTTGGGACCGAACAACAGGAGCTCACCCCCGTCGTGGGGATTCAAACTGCTGACCTTCCGATCGGCAAGCCCTAGGCTCTGTGGTTTAGACCACAGCAACACCCTAGGAAGCGGGTTTAGTCTATTTTAATTTCCAAAGTGGAACAGAAGATCCCAAGGGGCCAAAACCTCTTAAGCAGCAGTAGTAATAAATAGTAATAATAACAATAACCACACAGAAGTAATAGTAGTATTTCGGAATACTAAATTGGGAGTTCTTACATTTGAAAATCCTTGATGCATCTTGTCTTTTAAGAGCCGGGACTGACTGGAATGATTCTCATTTCAGAGGTTCTGAAGATAGTGAGAGGAGCCTGGAAGACATAGATCTATTGCGTGTTGATTCATATTCCTGCAATAAAGGGGATATTGAGCATCCTTCAAACACAAAACTTGTCTCTGGCTTGAAATAAACATGTGTGTGAGTGTATGTGCCAGAAGCAGGGAGAAGCAACGAGGAAAGGAAGCAGATGCATTTCATTTGCAAACATGAAAACTACAGATTGACAACTTTCCCCATCTCATGGAGAAATATAGCAATACAGCTGCTACAGATCTAGTTGGAACAACAGTTGCCCATGGTTGCTCCTGGGGAGACTTCCGTATACAGAAGAAATTGCCTTTTTTAGTTCACAATAAACCTCCATCTGCTACAGAGCTTGATCCCAAAGAAGTGAAAGCAGACTCAAAACTCCAAGGGGTTTGCTAATGTTCCAGGAAGGGCTGTCAATGCATTGCAAGTAGAGGAGACCTGTCATTACATATTTGTAACAAGAAGGCCTCTGATTATCTCCAGGCATAAGACTGAAGAAGAAACCGGGGGGGGGGGGGGAGAGGGGATTTGAAAGGGGGAAATAGCAGCCAATATGATACATTTTGAAATCACCCTCACTGTAGTTATGATGTCACTAGAATGAATAGCCGTACAGCCATGCCTTAGACCCACAAAGGAACCACAGTTCTTTGCTATATTGATAAAAGCCCTGCCTTTGTTCACACTTTGAATGGCTTCTACAAGAGGTCTGTGGTGGTGGGACTATGTAGAACAGCCATATAATCAGAGGATGACACAAATGGAAGCACAACTTAGACAGAGTCTGGGCAGGCATCAGCACCCAGCTTCTTTTGGGCAGCTAGTAACACCAAAGCACCTCAGCAGGTCCCACCACTAACAGTGCTTTGAGAGCAGCAGGTGGCTGGGCTAAGCCACCATTTAAATTTCTCCCACAATGCTCCAGAGCAATGTACTATTTCAGGGGCATTGTGGGAAAATTAAAAGGGTGGCTAGACCCAGAAATCTGATGTATTCTGAAGCAGTTGTCTATTACTGCCCACCAAGGCCCACCCAAAGGTGAAGCGACCTACTGCACATATTATCACACTGGCATGAAGCCATGTGAGATACTTCGAAGAGATTCAGGTAACGGGAGTTTTGCTTGGATCAACAATGGCATCTCAGTGTGAAACTGGTGGAAAGGAAGAATTTGGCTCGGTATCTGAAGACTAGTATTAGTGTGACATTCTGTATGCCACCCATGTACCCCACCAACACACCAGTGTTAAGAGGAGGTGTGTAAGGAGAAAGATCTAAGACTTCTGCTATAAATCACATTCATCTTGCAAGAGACTGGAGCGATGTTTCCCAAACTTGGGTCTCCAGCTGTTTTTGGACTACAATTCCCATCATCCCTGACCACTGGCCCTGATAGCTAGGGATGATGGGAATCGTAGTCCAAAAAATGCCAGTGTCCCAAGTTTGGGAAACACTAAACTAGTGGTTAGTTCACCTTAGTCAACACTTCTTATTCACAGCCATAGCAAAGGACCCTACTTGTAGCAAAGTGAATTAATTTCATCCCTAGACATCAGGAACACAACAGAAATTTTCAGTTTTCTCAGTCTTTCTGAAGAAAACTTTGTGGCCGTCGTTACTATATGACATCAAAGAAATCTTTGAAATCCCTTCTGTTCTTTTCATCTGATTCCCTGAGAAAGCAAGTTCTATCTACAAATGTATCAAGAACATAAATAAAATTCTGCTGGATCAATGTCTCATCCACATCCAACATCCCGTTCTTACCGTGGCCCAGCCAGATGCCTAAGAAAAGCATTTCTTCATTTTAAAATGTACGTGCTGCTCTTTGCCTAGCAGCTCTGAGTAATTTGGGATGTCATCTCAGTCTTACTCTGAGTCAGATTTCACAGTCTCTTTCCACCTTTCACAATCTTCTTTCCAGACCCCACAAAATATATATCACCTCCTGCTTTATCATGCATTCCACGTACTCTGTTGGTTCTCACTCTTTTAATTAGAGAGAATGGAACTAAGTAATGAAGGTGAAAAGGAGAGGACAAAGACAATAATAGGGATGGGGACAGTGTGCCATCCCTGGATATTGTAGTCAGGAGCTGCAAATCCTCCTCAAAGAGTTATATTGCTGGAGCATCAGTTAAAACACTGTACATTAATTAGAGATAAATCTACAACAGCAAACACAAGCAAATGATGAAGGATTCAACTAGCCTGCCAATGGAAAAACAAACACAGCAAAATCCTAGTACAGGCATCCCCAAACTCGGCCCTCCAGATGTTTTGGGACTACAACTCCCATCATCCCTACTAACAGGACCAGTGGTCAGGGATGATGGGAATTGTAGTCCCAAAACATCTGGAGGGCCGAGTTTGGGGATGCCTGTCCTAGTAGCTGTGAACACTTGTATGGTGTGGAGTAAGGGTCCCCTATCCTTTTATGCTCAGAGGAACATTGGGAAATCTAAGTAATGGTTTTGGGCACCACAAAATACACATTTCACAGAAGAAAAACCAGCAATGCTCAGATATCCTTCCCCACAAAAGAGGGAGAAAACCTAGATTTCCACCTATCGGGGGAAAGCTGGTAATCCCTTCTCAACCAAACAGCTCTCCACAAAACCCACAAAAAGCTTCAATGCTTTTTTAAAAAAATATATAGAAAATAGGAGCGTCAGGGGCCTTGGAGGGTGCCAAAGTGCATCTGAGGGTGCTATGGTGCCCAGCAGTTCCATGGCTGGGGACTCCAGATGTGAAGAAACTCCTAGCTTGGAGACACAGAAGGAGCTTCTTTATACACTCATGTTGTTTAGTCGTTTAGTCGTGTCTGACTCTTCGTGACCCCATGGACCAGAGCACGCCAGGCACTCCTGTCTTCCACTGCCTCCCGCAGTTTGGTCAGGCTCATGTTTGTAGCTTCGAGAACACTGTCCAACCATCTCGTCCTCTGTCGTCCCCTTCTCCTTGTGCCCTCCATCTTTCCCAACATCAGGGTCTTTCCCAGGAGTCTTCTCTTCTCATGAGGTGGCCAAAGTATTGGAGCCTCAACTTCACGATCTGTCCTTCCAGTGAGCACTCAGGGCTGATTTCCTTAAGAATGGATAGGTTTGATCTTCTTGCAGTCCATGGGACTCTCAAGAGTCTCCTCCAGCACCATAATTCAAAAGCATCAATTCTTCGGCGATCAGCCTTCTTGATGGTCCAGCTCTCACTTCCATACATCACTACTGGGAAAACCATGGCTTTAACTATACGGACCTTTGTTGGCAAAGTCTCTTTGGTCTCTGCTTTTTAAGATGCTGTCTAGGTTTGCCATCGCCTTTCTCCCAAGGCGTCTTTTAATTTTGTGACTGCTGTCACCATCTGCAGTGATCATGGAGCCCAAAAAAGTAAAATCTCTCACTGCCTCCATTTCTTCCTCTTCTATTTGCCAGGAGGTGATGGGACCAGTGGCCATGATCTCGTTTGTTTGATGTTGAGCTTCAGACCATATTTTGTGCTCTCCTCTTTCACCCTCATTAAAAGGTTCTTTAATTCCTCCTCACTTTCTGCCATCAAGGTTGTGTCATCTGCATATCTGAGGTTGTTGATATTTCTTCCGGCAATCTTGGGATTCATCCAGTCCAGCCTTTCGCATGATGAATTCTGCATATAAGTTAAATAACCAGGGAGACAATATACAGCCTTGCCGTACTCCTTTCCCAATTTTGAACCAGTCAGTTGTTCCATATCCAGTTCTAACTGTAGCTTCTTGTCCCACATAGAGATTTCTCAGGAGACAGATGAGGTGATCAGGCACTCCCATTTCTTTAAGAACTTGCCATAGTTTGCTGTGGTCAACACAGTCAAAGGCTTTTGCATAGTCAATGAAGCAGAAGTAGATGTCTTTCTGGAACTCTCTAGCTTTCTCCATAATCCAGCACATGTTTGCAATTTGGTCTCTGGTTCCTCTGCCCCTTCGAAATCCAGCTTGCACTTCTGGGAGTTCTCAGTCCACATACTGCTTAAGCCTGCCTTGTAGAATTTTAAGCATAACCTTGCTAGCGTGTGAAATGAGTGCAATTGTGTGGTAGTTGGAGCATTCTTTGGCACTTCCCTTCTTTGGGATTGGGATGTAGACTGATCTTCTCCAATCCTCTGGCCACTGCTGAGTTTTCCAAATTTGCTGGCATATTGAGTGTAGCACCTTAACAGCATCATCTTTTAAAATTTTAAATAGTTCAGCTGGAATATCATCACTTCCAATGGTCTTGTTATTAGCAGTGCTTTCTAAGGCCCATTTGACTTCACTCTCCAGGATGTCTGGCTCAAGGTCAGCAACCACACTACCTGGGGTGTACGAGCCATCCATTTCTTTCTGGTATAATTCCTCTGTGTATTCTTGCCACCTCTTCTTGATGTCCTCTGCTTCTGTTAGGTCCTTTCCACTTTTGTCTTTTATTATGGTAATCTTTGAACGAAATGTTCCTTTCACATCTCCAATTTTCTTGAACAGATCTCTGGTTTTCCCCATTCTATTGTTTTCCTCTATTTCTTTACATTGCTCGTTTAAGAAGGCCTTCTTGTCTCTCCTTGCTATTTTTTGGAAATCTGCATTCAATTTCCTGTATCTTTCACTATCTCCCTCGCATTTTGCTTGCCTTCTCTTCCCCGCTATTTGTAAGGCCTCGTTGGACAGCCACTTTGCTTTCTTGCATTTCCTTTTCATTGGGATGGTTTTAGTTGCTGCCTCCTGTATAATGTTACGAGCCTCCATCCATAGTTCTTCAGGCACTCTGTCCACCAAATCTAGATCCTTAAACCTATTCCTCACTTCCACTGTGTATTCATAAGGGATTTGACTTAGATTGTATCTTACCGGCCCAGTGGTTTTTCCTACTTTCTTCAGTTTAAGCTTGAATTTTGCTATAAGAAGCTGATGATCTGAGCCACAGTCAGCTCCAGGTCTTGTTTTTGCTGACTGTATAGAGCTTCTCCATCTTTGGCTGCAGAGAATATAATCAATCTGATTTCGATGCTGCCCATCTGGTGATGTCCATGTGTAGAGTCGTCTCTTGTGTTGTTGGAAAAGAGTGTTTGTGATGACCAGCTTGTTCTCTTGACAGAACTCTATTAGCCTTTGCCCTGCTTCGTTTTGAATTCCAAGGCCAAACTTGCCAGTTGTTCCTTTTAGCTCTTGACTCCCTACTTTAGCATTCCAATCCCCTATAATGAGAAGAATATCCTTCTTTGGTGTCATTTCTATAAGGTGTTGTAAGTCTTCATAGAATTGGTCAATTTCAGTTTCTTCAGCACCAGTGGTTGGTGCATAAACTTGGATTACTGTGATGTTAAAAGGTCTGCCTTGGATTCGTATCGAGATCATTCTATCATTCTATCATTTTTGAGATTACATCCCAGTACAGCTTTCGCCACTCTTTTGTTGACTGCTGGCCACTCCATTTCTTTTATGGGTTTCTTGCCCACAGTAGTAGATATGATGGTCATCCGAACTGAATTCACCCATTCCCGTCCATTTTAGTTCACTGGTGCCCAGGATGTCAATATTTATTCTTGCCATTTCATTTTTGACCACGTCCAACTTACCAAGGTTCATGGTTCTTACATTCCAGGTTCCTATGCAATATTTTTCTTTACAGCATTGGACTTTCCTTTCGCTTCCAGGCATATCCGCAACTGAGCGTCCTTTCGGCTTTGGCCCAGCCGCTTCATCAGCTCTGAATCTACTTGTACTTGTCCTCCGCTCTTCCTCAGTAGCATGTTGGACGCCTTCCGACCTGAGGGCTCATCTTCCAGCGTCATAACTTTTATATGCCTGTTGCCTTTGTCCATGGAGTTTTCTTGGCAGGGATACTGGAGTGGCTTGCCGGTTCCTGCTCCAGGTGAATCACGTTTGGTCAAAACTCTCCACTATGACCTGTCCATCTTGGGTGGCCCTGCACGGCATAGCTCATAGCTTCTCTTAGTTATTCAAGCTCCTTCGCCACGACAAGGCAGTGATCCATGAAGGGGTTATACAGTCATACCTTGGGATAAATATGCTTCAGGATAAGTATTTTTGGGTTGCGCTCCGTGGTGACCCAAAAGTAACAGAGCACGTTAATTCTGGGTTTCACCGCTCGCGCATGCACAGACGGTCAAAATGATGTCATATGCATGCGCAGAAGCAGCGAACCATGACCTGTGCATGTGCATACGCGCAGTCGCATGTTACGTTCTGTTCAGGATGTGAACGGGGCTCCAGAACGGGTCTCGTTCGCATCCTGAGGTACCACTGTATTCATTCATTCCATGGTAATGTGGGCTGATAGGAAACGCTTAATTAAGAGGATGGAGCCTATATGGTGATACCAGTGATGCTGTTGCTACAACTCAGTTTTAGGTCCCTCCAACCCGGTATTGTCTACTTTGGCTAGCAGTTGTTTCCCAAGGCCTCAGACACAGATCTTTCCCATTACCTGATGTTTTTAACGAGCGATGGTGGGGACTGAACCTGGGAGCAGCAATGGGGAAACTTTTTGTCCCCGTGGTCCAGATCTGCCTCTGTGGGCCAACTGCAGGACCACCCAGCAGTCAATCATCTAATGTCACAATGATATCAGGTGACTGCCACCTGTCAAAGCTAATCTGCCTTTTGGATCTTGGCTTGTAGGACAGGTTCCCCCCCCCCCCCTATAGTGGGGTGGATATTTTCGGTAGTAGTGTCCCAAGAAAATTTGATGCCTGAGGCAGAATGGCTAATGGTGTCCCCCACCCCCACTGACTCAAGATGCAAAATCCCAAAGGATGGCCAACTTATTTTGGCACCTAAGGAAGAAAATCCTACAAATATTCTTCCCCAGGTGAGAAGAAAATCGGTAATAATAAATAGCAAACAATCTGCTGTTTATTATCTGCTTGGTTTTGCATAATGGAAAGGCCAACCCTAAAGGATTTCTAGACCCCTGTAATATTGTAAAACATTGCATTTTTAGTACCAATATCACCTACAAAAAGCATAATTATAAGACCTAATACTGAGAATACTAGATAACAGGGATAGGAAAACTGTCACTCTCCTGATGATGCTTGACGAAAACTCCCATCATCCCTCACCATTGGCCATGCTGGCTAGAGCTGATGGGAGTTGCAGTCTGGGGGGGGGGGGACAGCTTCCCCAACCCTGCTGTATACCTTGTAACCCAGTCCACCAGACCACACCACCCACCCCTGCAAATCAATAGAGAAAAAAGTAACTGGATTTCTTGGTGGACTACAATAAAAAGCCAGCAGATGGCAATAATCCTTTGCAACATACAAATGTAGTATGCCAAGTAAAGATATTGCCACCTTTTGTTTAGCTTCTTTGCTTAATAATGTTTATTAGTAAGCAATTCAATACAATCTAAAACAGTTCTATAAAATGCAGTGTGCATCTGTTATTATCTGTAATTGCATATGTGCACGGTTAAAAAAAGCAAAACTGTGTACATTATAAACAGGTAGAAAACCAGATCATTCAAGTTAAAAACATCCGCAGAAACAAATAAAACAGGTCAGTCTGACAGGCCAAAAGCCTTGTTGTCAGAACTAGATCACTAGAGATTGGCTAAGTTCCCAAGCCACCAAAAAGGCCTTCTTTCTAAATCCTCAACATATACTCTCCCAGAAGTTGGCAGGGCAGAGGAAAAAAGGCCTTTCCTGGAGATCTTAAAATTTGTGCATGCTTGTATGGAAGAAGGTCCTTCAGACCGCCAGGTCCCAAGTTGTTTATTGTCAGTTGATGATTTAGTGTGGTATAGTGGTTAGAGTGTTGGATTGGGAACTGGGACACCAGAGTTAAAATCCTGCTTGGGCATGAAGCCCACTGGGAGACCTTGGACCATTCATAATCTCTTAGCCTAAGCAACCTCACAGGGTTTTCATGAGGATAAAATTTAGAGAGGGAAAAGCATCAACACCACTTGGAACTTCTTTGAAGAATGGTGGGGTATTAATGCAATAAATAAAATAATAATAAAGTTGATGCTCAGCTCAAGGAAGCTGCTCAATGAACTTTGATGGTTAGAATGTGTTTTCTTCAATTAGCACTGATGGCTGGTGACTGATGGCTGGCATACAAGTCAGGTCTCAAGCAGGGGCTGAAAAAGCACTTGGTAGTTGCCAAAGAGCCTCAAGTCTGAGTTTTGCAGCCACCGTTCGAGAAGGAGCTGTGGGATTGTGTAACTTCACTTGTCCTGGGGAACTGATACTCCTTTACACATCTGAGCGCTCGCTAGACAACCAAGCTCAATGTGTATGTTATTCATCAATAAATGAATGGGACAAAAATGTCCCAAGTCTCCAACAACACTTTCAAAACTGCCCAGCATTTTAGGGTATTTACACATGAGAAGCTAAAGTGCTTCCTGTATAGCTGCCTTGTCCAATGTGATTGCTTAGACCAGAATGTACAATTGATTTCTCTCCTACATCAGCATCGCTCACTTGGGACAGAAATAGCATCGAAGAAGCTCAAGTGTGATTTTAAGCACCTTATGCAAAAACACCCTCAGAATAGGGCTGCCAGCTGGCAAAGAAAAAGGGAATAAACATCACAATAGCCTAGCATGCTCTTGTGTCTTTAACAGCAGCTTGATCTGCAAAAATCAGCCAGTGAAACTTTTCACTTTGTGGTGTTTAAGCATGATCTACAGATCAAGCTGCTGTTTAGGACATAGGAGCAGAGACGAACATTCTTATACTTCAGAGCTGAGAGCAATCATTGGGCAGGAAGGGACGGACCCCTTTAACCTTGGATATATGAAAAGAATGCAGTCACAAAGACTTTGAAAGTTAAGAGTTAAATCCTAGAAAATACAGTACATATAAAACTGGTAAGCTTGAGGTTTTGCGACACCCAGACCCTAACTTTTTTATTATCTTCAGAGCCCTGCTGAGCAAAGAACTTTTCAATATCCTTAAGCAGGGCTTGCCATTGTGTCAGTTTCACAGACAAGTTGCTAAAAGTAGGCAAACCCAGCCCAACATTTCCCAACTTGGTGCCCTCCAGATGCTGATGGGAGTTGTAGTCCAAAACATCTGGAGAGTGCCAGGTTAGGGAAGAAAGCTGACCTGGTTTTCTTTTTTAGCAGAAGTCATCCCATCTCAAGCCATCCATGACTATTGCTTCCTGGAGTAAACCTTCTGTCAAATGAGAAAGAAAGTCCCTCTCTATTCTACTAGCCAGGGCGCACGTGTGTGAATTGTAGTGAGGCGTCTGTGGCCTTTCAGATGTGGCTAGTCCGGATTTTTAAAATATCCGCCCAGATTTCCACTTCAAATGCTTCAGGCTGAAATCCTCTGCGCACAGTGATTTGCAAGGGAGCCCTACTAGGGCAGAGCGATTCCTAGGTTTGTTTTGCCCACATGCAGCCCGAGAGAGAGAGAGCTCCCTCCCTACCCGAGACACTTTCCACTCTGCAAGCGTCAAAGTAGCCCCTTCAACACCAAAGCATGGCAAGGGACAGACCCCTCCGTTTTCTCCCCCGGTGAGCGCGGTGGCTGCGCCTTCCTGGACTAAACCACCTTTCTCGGCAGGGGGAGAAAGGAGAAAGGGTCTGGGCTCCCGGGAGGCAGCTGGAGGGAAAGAAGTGGCGTCTCCAGATGGGCTGAGCAGACTCCCCCCGGGAGGGCGCGGGAGGAGGGAGCTGAGCGCTTGCAAGGCGCACCGAGCCAGCTGAGCCCTCGAAGTTACCTCGGCGGTCGCCTGCGCCGTCTTGCTTCCTCACCGGGAGGAGGAAGGCTAAAGAGGCGCCTGTGGGTGCTGCTGGCGGGGGAATGGGCTTCCTGGGGGCATGCTGTTGATGTCAGGGGTGGAGTCCAGCCGGAGCCCCTGAGCAGGGCGGCGGCAGCAGGAGGCGGCGGCTATGGGACAGCGAATGGGCACGGCGCTCCTACTCGTCGCGCTGGGTGAGTACCAGCCTTCCCGGCGTAGGGGTCGTGCTTCGATTTGGAGAGGGTCCGGATCATGGAGCTCAGTAACTAGCCCAGCTGAAAGTCTTTTCTCTCCATCCCGGAGGTGCGCGCCCTCTAGTTCTAAGGGTTAGTTAGCTACCGCCTCGCATTTCTTTTGAGCCTCCGTCTGCTTTGAACATCGGTAAAAGGGGACATAAAAATCTCGGCTGTGCCCTAAGTAGGTTGCCAACTGTTTTTCCAGGCAGTGCTCCTGTGTCGTTACTAACAACAACCTTTCAAGCAAAAAATTAACACACACCCTCCTATAGAGAGGAAATGATGGGAGAAGCTTCCCCTGCTAAATGTCTGCATCTTGGGTAGTTGTTAAAGGCATAGGAGCTCAGGGCAGGGAAGTTGGCAAACTCCAGTTCTAGGCATGTTTGAATACTTGGCAGCAGCTCCAGAGGAAACATCACAATGAACAGGTCGTGTATTAGACATGTATTGCATGGCTTAGATAGCTTTGTTGGTTAGAGTGTAGTGCTGATAATGCCAAGGTTGCAAGTTCGATCCCCGTATGGGACAGCCACATATTCCTGCATTTCAGGGGGTTGGACTAGATAATCCCTGGGGTCCCTTCCACCTCTACAATTCTGTGATTCTGAACTCACTTTGTAAGGTTCTGCAAATGCAGACAACCAAATTCAGGGCAGGTCACATTTCGCCTTCCACTGTAAATATTTCTCACCTACATTTTTATGCTGCCTGATCTCCAAAGAGTTCAGGGCAAAATGAATGGACCCCTTTCTGCCATGTTATCCTCACAACACCTCTGTGAGGCATGGGCATAGTTGGGGGGGGGCAGGAGGGCAACTGCTTCTCCCTAAATCAAGCAAATCAATAAAAAAAATATTAACTGAGGTTCTGTCCACCCACAACATAAAGTCTGTTCCCTAGCATAAATCCTAGCTATGCCGGAATAGGTTAGTTACTAAGAGGCAGCCCAGATCCTCAGCTGGCATCAAGACCCCCAAGTCTAAGTACCTGCACACTATCAGCAACTTCATGCTGGCTCTCATATGATGCCTATTAAACAGATCCAAACCTTAGGGAAGGAGGATTGTTCAAAGGCATTGGCTCTGAATCTGAAATGAGGGTGCCCGAAGGAGATTCCTTGCATCATGAGCTGTTTGACAGGGGAACAAACTCAATCAGAAGGAGGTAGACTGTGCTTTTAAGCAGAGGTTGGATGGCCATACAATAGATGCTTCAGTTGTGACTCCTGCATTGCAGAGGGTTGGACTAGATGACCCTCGGGATCCCTTCCAACACTACCATTCTTTGATTCTATTAAGTTACATGGATCCCCTTTCCATTTGCAGGGTACCTGCTCAGGTCATTGACTGCAGAAGCCCAGTGTGAAAACATTTACCAAGATTTATCTGACTGCATCTTAAAACTAGGAGAGAATATGGCCATCTATGAGGAAGAAGAGGAGGAGGAAGATGAAAGGGACCAGATGCAAGGACTGTATGCTGTCTGCGGGTGAGCATGCCTATAACACCATCCATCCATCCATCGCTGACACATCTTGCTTCCAGATTCAGTGCTACTCTCCCCCAAATCCTGTTCTCCACTGTGAATTTTGGTGTCAAGTATTCCCCAGATATTTTCTAAATACTCCAAATATAGACCTCTCCCATAATTAAGTGGGTGACTCCATATCTACTCCACATCTAGGACAGGAAAATGAGACACGGGTGGCGCTGTGGTCTAAACCACAGAGCCTAGGGCTTGCCGATCAGAAGGTCGGCGGTTCGAATCCCCGCGACAGGGTGAGCTCCCATTGCTTGGTCCCTGCTCCTGCCAACCTAGAAGTTCGAAAGCATGTCAAAGTGCAAGTAGATAAATAGGTACCACTCCGGCAGGAAGGTAAACGGCGTTTCCGTGTGCAGCTCTGGTTCGCCAGAAGCGGCTTAGTCATGCTGGCCACATGACCCGGAAGCTGTATGCCAGCTCCCTCAGCCAATAAAGCGAGATGAGCACCGCAACCCCAGAGTCGGTCACGACTGGACCTAATGGTCAGGGGTCCCTTTACCTTTTATTCCCCAGATATTCTCTAAATACTCCAAACATAGTCCTCTCCCATAATTAAGTGGGTGACTCCACATCTAGGACAGGAAAATGAGACTCCACACAGACAGCAGGCACATTTTCCTGCATATCCAGGGGCACCACCATAGCTCAGTTTGCTCTGCATGCAAAAAAGCCCCAGATTCAACCCCCAGCATCTCTAGGTAGGGTTGGAAAGACACATTTAAAACCCTGGAGAGCAGCTGCTCGTCAGTGTAGACAATGCTGAGCTTGGTGGATCAATGATCTGATTTGGTATAAAGGAGATTTGTGTGTTCTTACAATGGCTTGTTTAATATACACACGGACGTCTGAGAAAAGAGCATGGGTATAACCGCTCCATCTGCTATGTGCCCGTTAGGCTGAAAGGAAGCATGTGGCATGCCTTCAGCCCAGAGAAATTGGGGTCAGGGAGCCTTGCGATTAGATGCACACATTCCAAATCTCAGTTTCCCCCTTCTAAGGTTGTTAGGATTTCTGCCCTCTTCACAGCACTCTGATGGGTAATTAATAAAGGAGGAAAAGTGTTTCCCTCTGATCCTGTTTATCCCCTCCTGGACTGCTTCAGTGGCACATGGGGCAGAGTCCCTGATAACTTTGCAACTCTTGTGGGATGCCTATAGCGTAGCCCAGGGGTGGCAGCCCTCAGGAGCTATTGTACGAGAAGGAAGAATTGGTGGTCTGAGGAGATGTTGAAGGAAGAGCAGGGAGGATCATGCCTGAGGAGATTCCGAAAAGATTGAGAGAGGAATGGGGAGCATATAGAAAAGGAGGAAGGGAGAAGGAACCACAGAGAAGCCAGCTGCCATGTTCTACCCTCACAGAGGCTTGAGGCCTCCACCAGAGGCAGAGATATGCCTGAGAAACTTTCAAGAGTGCATGCAAACAGTCATTCTTTTCAAGTGGGATTTAATCACACACACTGGCAAATTCAGGTTGCACCATTAAAGCAGATTGGGAGCTCTTGGGCAACAAACCCGGTTCTCCAAAATGGAAAACTGCACCAGAAAGTGTGGGATAACACTTGCTTTGATGCTGCAGTTTCATGTACACCATACACCTCTTGTTTCTTCCCTTCTTTTTCTAGCCCCATTTAATAAATCCTTGCTCTTGCCATCTCACCACACCCTGCTTTTACTAAGTTGTTCACTGCCTCCCCCCCCCCATTGCCTCTTTTCAAGGAAAGTGGGGCTGGGGACATCTGGCATTCCCTCCCACCCCCAAATTTGGAAAGTGCAGAAATACAGTTTAAAGGATCCTATGAATAAGGATGAAACGGGACGTGGGTGGCACTGTGGTCTAAACCACAGAGCCTAGGGCTTGCCGATCAGAAGGTTGAGGTTCGAATCCCCACAATGGGGTGAGCTCCCATTGCTCAGTCCCTGCTCCTGCCAACCTAGCAGTTTGAAAGCATGTCAAAGTGCAAGTAGATAAATAGGTACCACTCCGGTGGGAAGGTAAACGGCTTTTCCGTGTGCTGCTCTGGTTCGCCAGAAGTGGCTGTCATGCTGGCCACATGACCTGGAAGCTGTACGCCGGCTCCCTCGGCCAGTAAAGCAAGATGAGCGCCGCAACCCCAGAGTCGGTCACGACTGGACCTAATGGTCAGGGGTCCCTTTAGCTTTATGAATAAGTTGCCTACTGAGAAGGTTTCTGCTCATCAAGATGGCTTATAAATATTCTAAAAATAAGATATAAATATAATTACCTTGGGGAGGGGTGTAGCATTGTGGTGTCAGAGGTGACATGGAGGCCGGAGAGATTTTACTCTTATTCCTCTGAGCTGTTTGTTTATTTATGAGCATCATGAAATTAGGCCCCACTTCTTTCCTTCAGAGGTGATATTAGCTGCAGGGGGCACAGATAGATAGATACCCATGTGTGAAGCTACAGGGAACCAGGCAGAGGGCCTTATTGGTAGTGGCACCAACCCTGTGGAATGCCCCCCCCCATCAGATGTTAAGGAGATGAGTAATTATATAGCATTTATATAGGAAATTATATAGCATTTATATAGGAAACATCTGAAGGCAGCCCTGTACAAGGAAGCTTTTAAAAGTTTAATGTTTCATTATGTTTTTATATATGCTGGAAGCCACCCAGTCAGATGGGTGGGGTACAAATAATAAATTATTATTAATTATATTTTATCCCTCTGCAGGGAGACCAGGGGAGAGGGAGATTTAAGTTGGGATAATGACATTGGCAGAAGAAGGAATCTAGGTTGTCCCTCAGTTGCTTATCAGGATAATAGGAACTAAGAGCTATGCCTTGCATTTCTGGGATGTATAAAGTCCTCTGCATCTGTTCTTTTCCAATTAGAACAATTCTATATTTTTTTTTAATCATTGCCATTGTTTTATCTGTTTTTATAATTGTATTTTCTATAGTTGTAACCCACATTGGGGCCTTATGGTGACGGATGGGTCAGAGAGCTTGCAAGCAAATAAATAAAACATGTGGTAATAATTATGGATAGTAATAATCAATGAAATGCACTGATTCGGGGCTGAGGCCTAAAAAAGACACAAGTCAGTCTTGAATCCATTTGGCCTTTCCAAGGAGGGGCAGCTTCAAACTGAGAAGCTTGAGGTTAACGTGGATATGCAGCCATTTGTTTACTTGTAATCAAATCAGGATAGATGGGAAGGCAATCAGGTACCAAAGCACCAAGCCCCTCAGCCAGGTCTGGGCCTGATTAAAAGCGAGCAAGGGAGATGGAAGAGATAAAAAGTTTGCTGAGATAAATGGGTGCCATTGTCCAGGAATGCAATCAAGGAAGAGGCGAAGCTCTGGGAAGGCATAAAACCAGCTAGCCCAGCAAGAAAAAAGATGCTGAGATTAGAAAGGCAGAAAAAGCAATAAATAAGAATAGGGAACCGGCAAAAGGAGAAGCCAGATTAGGGAGAGGGTAAAGACATATTGTAGGGTTGGGCAGGAGGTTAATGAAGGAGACAAGAAAGTCTTGGAGGAGAGAAGATGAAGGGAAGATGACCTCTAAGGGGCATTGCGCCTGAATTGGAGTTTGAGCCTTGGGAATTTGTTGTTGTTGTTTAGTTGTTTAGTCGTGTCTGACTCTTTGTGACCCCATGGACCAGAGCACGCCAGGCACTCCTGTCTTCCACTGCCTCCTGCAGCTTGGTCAAACTCACGTTGGTAGCTTCGAGAACCCTGTCCAGCCATCATGTCCTCTGTTGTCCCCTTCTCCTTGTGCCCTCAATCTTTCCCAGCATCAGGGTCTTTTCCAGGGAGTCTTCTCTTCTCATGAGGTGGCCAAAGTATTGGAGCCTCAGCTTCAGGATCTGTCCTTCCAGTGAGCACTCAGGGCTGATTTCCTTAAGATTGGATAGGTTTGATCTTCTTGCAGTCCATGGGACTCTCAAGAGTCTCCTCCAGCACCATAATTCAAAAGCATCAATTCTTCGGCGATCAGCCTTCTTTATGGTCCAGCTCTCACTTCCATACATCACTACTGGGAAAACCATGGCTTTAACTATACGGACCTTTGTTGGCAAGGTGATGTCTCTGCTCTTTAAGATGCTGTCTAGGTTTGTCGTTGCTTTTCTCCCAAGAAACAGGCGTCTTTTTGGGAATAGTTATTGTAATAATATTGCACGATACCCCAATCTCTGAGCAGTTCGAGGTTCCAGGCGCTCACCCAGGGTTTGTGCTTCCTTTGGAATGAGGTACAGCACAGACTGTGGTGTCTGTATGATCTATGGTTTATTTACACATATCTACAACCTGAGCCTATGATGGAAGGGTTCCCAGCATTAGCAAGAAGGTCTTGCTTCTCCCATAGCCACAACCTTGGATTCCAGCAGAAATCAGGCATGGTTCTGTCTCCCAGCTGCCTGCCTGCCTGCAACTTTGCTTCTACCTCACATACCTTAACTCTCTGGTCTTTGTCTTTCTAACTACCAGTGAGTTGAGGGAGAGGGGGCCCTCTCATTTGTCACCTGGCACAGAGCCACTTCCTTTGTTACCTTAATGGCCTGCACCTCACCAGAAAGCTAGCCCGGCTATTCGTGGAATTGAATCCATGCTGGATCCAGGAATTAGAAGGGGGCTCAGGCATACAGCCTACCCCATCCAAATCCATAATTATAATATTTGTTAAGAACTTTCAAGAGTTCAAAGTGCTTCACACACACTATCTAGTTACAATTAGGAACACAGGAAGGTACCTGCCTTATAGCAAGTTGGATGGCTGGTTCATGTATTGTCTACACTGATGGGTGTAGTGGCTCTTCAAGGTTTTAAGCCGGTGCCTTTTCCAGCACTACCTAGAGACTTTGGAGATTGAACCCTAGGATATAAGATGCTGTACAGCCTTTCCCTTTCTTACAACAACTTTGCAGAGTAAGTCAGTATATTAGCCTCCATATTTCAAGTGGAGAAGAATGAGGCTGAGAGAGTCAAACTGGGGATTTCCTATTGGTAGTTCAGTTTCTTAATCACTGCAAGCAAGCAAGCTCAGCCACACACCAGATTCTTGCTGCTGTTTTTAAACCCCACTTTCTAACTCTCCGTGGCATAGCTAAAGGGTAGCTCTCGTTCTCTGTAGGAGTGATCCCCAAGAACTCTCCCCACCCCCACCCCCCCACAAACTTTTGCTCATTTTCTTAGAATTACCTCACTGAGGTAGTAATGTGAAACTTTGTATCTGGGCCATACCACTTTAGATTGCAGGCAACGGTTCCCATGGTGATGGTGTGAGGTGATTTAATTTGTTCAGATGCAACCCTAACTGCACTTACCTGGGAGCAAGCCCCCTCTTTTTTCACAGTAAATCAGTACATAAACAACAACAGCCTATACAGAATCAACCATGTTTTAAGAATTAGGAAATGGATCCAGATCAGGGCTGTATACATATATTTAGAGGTTCTGTGTGCTTAACATATACACATGTGAAATTTAGTACTAAGCATGTTCAGCACCTAGAGAACCTCAACTTTTATTGAAATTTCTAGCCCTTAAAAGATTATGAAGTTGGGTCTGAAAATGTGTTCACCACAAAGGATGAAATATCAGAAACTATGGGGAAGACACATTTTATTGGGTCGGAAACCAGGGCTTCAGCACTCTGCCTGTTCGTTTCTTTGCCTCTTCTCATGAATTGGAGAAGAAGAATTAATGAAGCAAACTATATGAGCATATGCAAGCCTTAATTAACCTCCTTTATACAGACCATTGGATTCACATTTTGTTGATGCGGAGTTAGGCTTTCTTGTTTTGTTTTGCTTTAATGCAGAATACATACAACCTATCATTGTGTTGCAAGACCTGAGTCACTATCATCCTGGATATGCCCTGCCATTCTTTCCTGCTATAATGGAATTAAAACAATACTGTCTTCCCATGATGTTCCTGTTCCATGTTTCTCTCCCTCTGCTAGTGAGAAAAGGCTGGTCAGTGACAGATATGGAGATCATAATAACTGATGCCTCAGAAAGCAGCCTGCTATGAAATTGATTGTATTTGTTGTTTGGTTTTAGTTGTGCAACATTCCCCCAGAGTCCAACGCTGACAGGTCATGTGATTATGGCCTGTCTTTGTGAACAGATGGAGGCTGCAAAAAGTGAGGCATGCTGGGGATTGTGATTACCCAACTGAGATGGGGAAGGGTGGGGGAGAAAGAGTGAAGAGAAACAAATACACACAAAAAATGTCCTTCAAAGTAGATGCTTCAGTTTTCATGCCTCGCTCTTCCTGTCTTTGTTGAAGTCAAATAATTTTAAGCTGCTAACACTAAATTTCTCCTTTGCCCCCTGCAATTATGCTGTTGCAGGTTGCAGAGGCAAGGCTTGTTATAAGGCAAAATGAGTTTACCTTGTTTGGCAGCAGCTTCTCTCATTATTATCTCAGGACATTTATTCTGCCACAATAGTTCTATTTAATGAGCTCTTTACAGCTGGCAACCAGATAAGTGTTCTCTGAGATTTTATGCACACAGACATACACACACCAGCCTTGTTTCATGATTGTGTAAGGATGCCTTGGACAAAAGATGCTTTTTGTATAACCAGGGTCTTCTTTGGGCAAAATGTTCCACTTATGTGAGAAAGACTGGTGGGTTTTGGTGGGTGTGTTCGGCAACATGCCATTAATGCAATAGTTGTGCATTAGCGATGGATTTTTAGTGGACCATCCACACATTCAGCTTTATTAGACGTTCAGTGACACTTCCCCAATGTTACCACCTTATTGCTGTCTGGAGAGGCACTCTTGTGCAATAGCACAACGAAAGTGAAGCACATACCCTTGCACGTTTGTGGTTACAGGATAGAGTTACAGGATTTCAGCTGGACACTACAGGGCATGCACCGATTGCAAACAAAGTAGGATGTCCACTGAGAAACAATTGCTGGGGAAACTCAGTCAGATGGGCGGGGTATGGTAAATAAACTATCATCACCATCATTATTATTGCAGGCACAAATAGCATTGAAAGTGGGAACACATATAACCTCACTGATACAATCATGGGCACAAATAATCATGAATGCACAATAAAAAGGACATCTGAAGGGACCCATTGTAACATTACAATCAAACATTTCCAGAAGGAAAATGTTTCAGCAACACCAGAAAAAAAGATACAATTCACTTTCACAGTGCAGCTATTACAGTAACAGCCTAGCAAGGGATTACAGTCAGGACTCTGTCCTATGTCCTGCTTCCGCCCCCTTTTAAAAAATCCATTATAGCTCAATCTATTTAGTCTGGAATCCATGTATTCATTGGAAGAACTGGAATTGGTTAACCAAGAATTTAGTTTGCACCCTGTTTTGAGCACTTGTGGTGGGCGGGGCCAGAGGCAAAAGTGGGTGGAGAAACTGATGTAAATTTTACATGGTAGCCTAGTTTGTGCATTTACACACCCCTCTCCATCCAACAAGAGGCATTATCAGCATTCAAAGACACATTCCAGCCAGGCAAAAACAATCAAGGAGGGTATGGAGCAGGGCCAGCTAGAGAGGGTGGCTGGAGAGGAGGTGAGGCCTGGAGAGAGGTGTGGAGGACCACATTCATTCCCACGGCCTGAAGGTCTCCACTCTTGAGCTAGATCAACCTTCTCAGGGTATCCTATCCTGCTTAGGCATCCTGAAATTTGGTTCTTTCAACATCCATCCTAATGTTCCTCATGTAGGCTGCATTTGTATGCACAAAAGCAAAATGTTAGGTATCCTAGGAGTTATTCAGGAAGGACTGCCTATAGAAGAACTAGTTCCTATGGGGATAAATTTGGCACAGGGATCATGAATTCATATTCATGGCAGCCATGTGAGCATATTACAGAAGTGCTGCTAGACTTGGATTGTCCCTTTTTTCTTCCTCTAAGGTGGACAGAATCACATTGAGAAGGCTGGAAAAGTGCCTACTCTGGTCATAACCAACCAACCAAGTCATTCAGGGTTTATGTCAGGGGTGGACAACCTCTTTGAGCCAGTGAACATTTTGAGTGCCATGGGTGCCAGTCACAAAATGGCTGGCATGGGGGTGTGGCTTTACACAAAATGGCTGCTGTAGGGAGCATGAGAGAGGCCAAGCCAAAGCAAACAGGAATTGAGCAGAAAGAGCAAGAAGCCTTTTGCGGGTTGTGGATTTTTGAGGGGATTTTTACTGAAACATTTCATGGGTCCCATAAGAGCTGCTTGTGAACAGACCCTGCATTGATGATCCCTGCTATATGTTCTGCTTTACAGATAAGCAATTTCTAACTGTGGCTTCTTTGTTTTATGAAAAGAAACTAAATATTCTCCTTCTCCTGCTGCAGATATTGGGAAGAGTTTCACACCTGTGCTGTGGCTGCCCTTTGGGAGTGCCAGAGGGAGGCAGCAACTATCTGGGAGATGTTGAAAAAGGAATCTAGGAAAATCAAATTCCAAGGCAGCCTTTTTGACCTCTGCGCCTCCAGCAACTCCCAGAATTTCAGCTCCTTGCAGATTCCATCTATTTCACTGTTAAGCATCACTTTGATGGTCACGTGGCTTAATTTATAAAGGGAACCACTCTGCACATATGTACATATATTTATTTCCAGATCTTTGATAAATACTGTTAGGGGTTTTGTGTTTGTTTAGTGAATGCTTGGTTACATTATAAATATGGAGGGAAATCCACTGCATTTTCCAGTGATCTGGGTTGTCAAAAACAAGTCTGGCAAGTGTTCCAGTTTGACTTTGCCCATGAGAAGTTGCTTGTGAATCTCAGCTTTAAACCACTGAACTTGGAGGAAATGGCAGCACAAGCAAAGGGGCACCTACTTTCCTTATTTTGGTCTGCTGTTTTGGATGTTCTTTGATAAAACTACCAATCAAACTATTGTGTCGATCTCTTCCCATAACTACACAACCATTCCTAAGGACAGTATCCTGGACAACCTCCGAGAACAGTAAATATTAGGGAACTAAAAAGGGCAGTTTGAGCTCTTATAAACCATCAGGAACAGATTTTCCCAGAGAAACAAATTCAAATGGTTGTGTTCCATCTCTGGAACAATCCTCAAAATCTCTACTGACACTCTGCCATTTTAATATGCTAATCAGGTTATACACCTGTTTGATTTATTAAGGTGTTTTTTGGACAAATGATTGCACAAGAATGGTAAGATAAATGGTACTATATTATGTTGGATTGTGGTTTCAGGTGCCAATCAAGAGCTCTGACCTAAAGCTGGTGCATAGAACCTCAGGGCTACATAAGAATATATGAATCAGGCCAAGGGCCTTCTAGCATCTTGTTCTTACACTGGCCGGCCAGTTGCCTGTGGGAAGCCAACAAACAGGACCTGAGGGCCAAAGAAGGAACTCATGCTGGCTTTGCACACATTTACAAGGGATCAATGTAAACTGTCAATCCTCCTCCTGAAAACCACTTTTTCTTCATTTCCCAAAATGTGATGCAAGAAAAGAGTAAGTGCTGTCAGCGCTTCTGAAACTCAGGGATATGTCTGAACGTGTTTGAGGTTGAGAATGATCTCCTGCAATTTGGCAGTATTCCAGCCCTGTTAGCAGAGTAGTTGTGCATACCATACCTGTTGCTCTAAGACCCATTTGAGTTTCTCCACCTCTCTAGCATAGTGTAAACCAGCAGTGGAGAGCCTCAAGCTTATGAGCCTAATTAGGCCTGCCGAGCCTTCTTGTCTTCCCTTCCAGATGCAGCTTGAATGGCAAGGTTTCAAAGGCATTCACGCCTCTGAAATATTGACTTCAAGCCCCGTCTGCAAAAGTGCTCCTGATTCCTCCTTTGAAGTGGATTCACCTGACATCATATGACATCAAGCCCCCTGCTCATGTGGCAAAGTGTGTATGTATGAGTTTTGGATCTAGCCTGCTGGCCAGATCCAAGACCCACCACTGGTGTTAACCATGCTGGCCAACCTGCCAGCCTCCAGCCCAATTGCTTGTAGCCCCTTCCACACTCCATCTATCAATTTGTAATGAATATATGAGTCAGTCTATTTCCCCATTTGGCTCAGTATGGTCTGCTCTTGACTGGCAGTGGCTCTCTAGGTTCTCCAGAAGTTTCCCACCACCTGCTACCAGAACCCTTTAACTAGAGAGAACATGGGTTGACCTAAAACCTTTGGCATGTAAAGCACCTGCCCTGCTCTTAACCCAAGGGCTTTCCTCATTTCTGCCTGCCAATTTGGCATAGCTATTACAGGCATAGGAGGAAGGCTAGAATGGAGGTGGGGATTGGTGAGTCTCATACTGAGCATCCTGCACAGCCACAAAGTGCTGATGGCCACTGCCAGCTGAGGACTAGTGAAAGATGGTGAGAGCAGCCATCTTTGTTTATTCACACACCTCCTCATCCATGTCTAAAGCAGCATCTACAGGAAACCTGGTTTTAATTACAAAGGCACATCCAAGTCGGGGGAGCAGAACCCTCTCCTAATTTTCCTCCCTGCACGGTGTTGACCCCTATGCTTTTCTCCCCAGCCCACCTCACTCACTGTGTCAGAGCAAGGCTAGGAGAAAAGTGCTTAAGAACATAAGAGACCTGCTGGATCAGACCCAAGGCTTCTCTGGTCCAGAATCCTGTTCTTACAGTGGCCAACCAGATGCCTATGGGAAGCCCCAAAGCAAGACCAGGGCACACGCTGACTTGTGACTCCGAGCAACTGCTACTCAGAGGCATGGCACTTGTGATTCTGGAGGTAGTACATAGCCATCATGGTTTGTAGCCATTGATAAGCTTTAGCCTCCATGAATTTGTCTAACCCCCTTTGGAAGCTGTTCAAGTTGGTGGCCATCACTAGATCTTGTACTTGCTTCAAGAATGCAGTGAAGTAAGGAAGGAAAGGGGGTGAGTTCCACTGCCCTCAATCAAGCATGGCTTTTGTTGTGAAAAGCTGATAGCTCGCACACACACTTTAGACATCGTGGGCTAGAGACATCTGAATGAAGAAACGTGGCTTCTCTGTTGCGCTTGGCTTTAAAAGAGCAGAAACAGGAGAACACCCTGGTTCCTTCCATCCATCCAAGCCTATCCTCCAGAGACTTTTTTTGTGGAGGGTACAATGCTTAGCATTGTAATTCTACCATATTACCTCTTGCTCTTAAAAATCCTGCTGTGGCCATTTACACTGTCAAATGCCCCGTCCCACTTTCCCTAGAAATCAAAGCTCAAATCACTTGGCTGGGCAAGGCTACTCCCTGTCTCTGATCCCCCCCCCCCCGGACAAAATTTAGCTTGAGTTCACTGAGGGATGATGCACTAGAAGCAGCTGTTGCAGAAACGCTCTCTGGGAGCAACCCCTCAAGTGCCTACATCAGACCAAGTTCATTAAGAAAAGGAAGCCATCTGCCGTTTATTTGCTCTGTGGCAGGGCAGAGGATAACTGCTCTCACTTTCTTATGCACACAAACACATAGGAAACTGGGCTTCACATGATCAAGATGACAGAAAACAGATTCACAGAACAATCCTATATATGTCTAGTCAGAAGTAAGCTTCAGAACTCAAAAGCATTTAGGAACGGGCTGGCACCCAGGTTTGTTCTCCATGAAGCAGCAACAAATATAACAAGGATAAATTAACTCCTATATGTATACAATATAGAGGGACGCGGGTGGTGCTGTAGGTTAAACCAGAGCCTAGGGCTTGCTGATCAGAAGGTCGGCGGTTTGAATCCCTGCGATGGGGTGAGCTCCCGTTGCTCAGTCCCTTCTCCTGCCAACCCAGCAGTTTGAAAGCACATCAAAGTGCAAATAGATAAATAGGTACTGCTCCGGCGGGAAGGTAAACGGCGTTTCCATATGCTGCTCTGGTTCACCAGAAGCAGCTTAGTCATGCTGGCCACAGGACCCGGAAGCTGTACGCCGGCTCCCTCGGCCAATAAAGCGAGATGAGCGCCACAAACCCAGAGTCGTCTGTGACGGGACCTAATGGTCAAGGGTCCCTTTATCCTTTACGTATACGACATAGAAATTGAAGTATTTTTCTTCCTGATTATAGAACCATAGAATTGCAGAGTTGGGACCCTGAGGGTCATCCAGTCCAAACCCCTGTAATGCAGGAATCTCAATGAAAGCATCCATGACAGATGACCATCTATATTTGCCCACAATCTGAGCACCTACATGGTTTCTTGATCAATTCTGTTCTTTCTCTGATAACATTCCTGCATTCCCCCATTTCTATCCCTGGAGGCTTCGCTACTGGCTCTCAGAAGCATTTCTTTGAGTGACATGGCAGGAAACATTCTGTTTGGTTCTTCCAAGGAACATCTCACAAAGTTCCAGTCCTCTTGGAATTTTCTGTCTGATTTTGATCCTTCTCTTGACATTTCTCACCACCTTTTGCTGGCAAGGCAGAATCTGCATGCTCTTCAGGAAGAGCAAATTGGAGACTGTTCAGCAGTGAGGGAAGGTATTATATGCGTGCTGAGAGAAGTACTTTATTCTTTTTGAAAGTGTGGCAGAAACATGACATGGCAGGGGTGTCCAAAGGAGAAATGAAGGTAGGAGACCAAGAATAACTGCAATCATGTTTTTCTGCTTACGCCACTGCTTACCCACAGTAACAGAGTTAATGATAACCAAATGGAAACTATAGTCTGATTCTCTCTCACTTAAATGCACACATATTTCATTTTCTCAAAAGAACAAGTTTCTAGCCCTCATGGTTGCAAAGATATGCCTGAACATGTATTGGTATATGGTCAAAATGCATGAAGCAGTATCCAAAAGTCAGAGGACTGGTTCAATAGGATTGTTAGTGACTTGGGCGCAGCGTGCCTACCATTGTCTATAATCCCTTGCCCCTTTTCCTGACATGCAAAAGTAAACAAATTTTGCAAAATGGTTAAACTGGCAGAATTATACAAAATATTATCTGTATTTGCTCTGTTTACAGACATTGCAGAATCCAGCTTTCTGTGGTGTTGAATTCTGTAACTAAAAAGGCACACAGCCCTGCATACAAGTTCCAATTAGCACTTGAAGCAGATTTCAGGTTAAATGGCTGGGCATGACATTTTGAAAACAAGAGCTTCCATAGGCTTCGGAGTCCCAGCATGCATCTGTTCATTCTGCACAATGCCTAGTCCAGCTCAAATGGCCTGCCGGGGCTTCCACCATTGCTGTTTTAGGACTGTATTAAAAGCGGGGCTTTTCCTTCTCTCCCCTGCTTTGAGTGTGTTGACCTTTCAGCCAAAGAAGCAGCAGGAGCAGGAAATGCTTCTGGCTGGGGCCTAGAGAGCCACTACCTGGTAGTACCATAGTGGCTGGATTCAGTATAAGCAGTAGCAACTGATGTGATAGCACAGAACTGCCCTTCCAACCCTGCTGCTGCTGCCGCTTACCCTAGCAGGGGTAGGACAGGACAGTGGAGCCAATCCTGCACTCCCACCGGTCCATCCACGTGCAGTCCTAACCTTGCCTAGACCCTGTGGTGCCCTGCCCCATCCAAGTAAGCTGCAGTGATGTCAGGAGGGTGGCTCTGGAGGTCTGCCCCACTGCATTAAAGCGTTGCTGGCGAAATGCTAGACTGCAGCTTTTCCTATCACATAATAGCAGGCTCTAAAAAGCAAACAATGCCATCTAGTGGCAAAGTGGTGATATGCAACTGTTATTGAACACAGTGTGTAGCAGGGAAAGTAAATGTGGGGAGCTCTGGATGTGGTTAGACTGCAACTCCCATCAGCTCCAGTTGAGTATTATGGGAAATGGACTCCAGAAACATGAAGAGGACACGTTAGCCAGCCCTCATGTACAGCATGTTCGTGACCTAACACTGAATTGTAAACCACGTTGCTGTATTTTTTATGAAAAGTGCAGTCTCTAAATATTTCAATAAATAAATAAACAAACAAACAAACGAAGAACACTGGAAAAGTGGCTTTTTGACTCAGAAGTTTTCCCCAATCATAATGACAGCATAGAAAAAGACCTGCCTTCTGCTAAATGTAATACCTGAGGATGGGAAGCAGAGCATTTAATCCAGGGCGAAACTTCTGTGTGCAAAGGGTTGCCAGATGAAATTCAGCAAAGGCATCAACAGAAACGAAGAGCTTTTGAGAGACAGTTTATCGAGTTCTATATGCAAAATTATCCCCCTAACCATTACAAGCCAAGCATTAACTTACCAATATAACTTATACAAACCAATACCACCAACAAATATTTATGTACAAAGAAAGGCTCAGTGGCATGTCTGAAAATAAGTTCATTGTGAAAAACCCATAGTTCCACTGACAGCTGCAACCGGCTGTTACAGATTAACTCTCTCTTCCAAACCTCCCATCCCTTTTTAAATAGGAGAGTTTTGACTGTGTATGACAGGGGCACTCAGGCCTCTGTGCGTAGGAGACATCGGAAGCTGCATATTTCTCTTAATCTGGTTCAGTTAAAAAACTCATTAATAGTGCTGTTCTTTATATGCCAACACAGCCTCCTATAACAAAAAAGGACAGCGTCCTTGATTATAAATACTAGAATCTGATGATCAGAGAAAAGGAAGTACATTCATGGTAATACTATAAACAAGAAGGCCCATCTGAAGCATTTCAGCCCACAGCTAAGCCCTCTTTGTTGGCCGGCGGGCCAACTTGCTGCATGCCATTTTTTCCCTTGAAGATGGTAGATTTGAAGTTTCGATGATGTGACTTCCCGGACGATATTCCTGTCTGATGGCTCTCTTTCCTTCTCTGTTGCCATATAAAATAACAGGATAACCCTGCCTGATCAATAAGCTGCAAAACTGCAATGGACAATGACAGTCTTTATTTGCTTTGCCAAAAATCAGTCTCTACAATCCAATAAATATTGTCACTTTCCTCTTCACCTTTAGCCAAACGTTCTATAATCACAGCAGCCAAGTGAGAAATACTTCCTACTTTGTCTGATCTCCTTGATTTATTTATTTTTAAATTTCAAAAGACAGTTGGAAGGAAAATAGATACGAGATGTACTGGGGAGGGAGCAGAATGGAGCTTTTATTGTGCATTGCGTGAAGTCAACTGCCTGGGTATTGTCCATATTGAAGAAAATGACAGTTCCAGTTCCGGCAACCCAGTGTTCATCTCACAAAAGCAGTCCAGCTCCTGTTGCTTTGTTGTCCAACGCTGAATCTGTTCTGAGCTGCATGGGCAAAATGGGTGTGTCTACCCAAGCAACAAAGTGTGCTTTATCAAAATCTGATTTGTCCCATGTTGTACCCATGGATGCATCACAAACCTTTCACGCAAGATTATTTAAAAGTTAGAACAGACATGCTGGGTTGCTTCAAATACATTCTCACGTATCCTGTGTTAGCACCAAGATGAGGAAGCCGTGGGGAAGAGAGAGAGAGAGAAACAGCATCTTCCGAGGGTCTATACGTTGGATTTGGGGGTTGAATTTAATGGGATCTCCTTCAGTTCTGTTCGCATACAAAGGTATTCCCCAATCACAGCCATGAGTGCCGTGCACACAGTATGTACAAGCCACCACGTCAAAGCAGTTGGAAAGTGTGCGTTGTAAATCCAGCAGCCCAGCAGGTGGAAAAAGTGAATGGTGACTGTGAAATCCAAGCACTGCTTTCCTCGCCGAATGAAATACAGCAAGCCTATGGCACTGTAAAGGGGAGGGGAGAAAATATTTTACCTGAAACCGTAGCAATGAGGAAAGAAGGAATTCAGCAACAGAAAGTTTTCAGACATTTTTATATTTATCCTGCACTAAGAAGTACAAGAGTTATCTTAGAATCATAGAATTGGAGAGTTGGAAGGGATCCTGAGGGTCATCTAGTCTAACCCCTTGCAATGCGGGAATCTCAATGGGATCATACATGACAGATGGACATCCAACCACTGCTTTAAAACTTCCAAGGAAGGAGAGTCCACCACCTCCTGAGGGAGTCTGTTCCACTGTCCAACAGCTCTTACTGTAAGAAAGTTTTTCCTGGTGTTTATTAGTCAAAATCTCTTTTCTTGTAATTTAAATCCATTAGTTTGGGTCCCAGCCTCCAGAGATGGAGAAAACAAGCTTGCTCCATGTGGGGACTTTTTAATTAAGTTTTTAAACCTTGGAACTCTAAGGCTATAGCTCTCTGTTCTTCTTATTTACATGTAGGGTATTTTTAGGCTGTTAGGAATATTTATGGCTGAAAACCTTTGATCTGGCAACTACTCTTCCTCTCCTGGCTGCTCTTGAGGTAAAACATATCTCTCTTGTGGGAGGGTGGAAGACTATAAATACTCATGCTCATATGCCTTAAAGGACAGCAGCTATTTGGCTGATATTTCAAAGAAATGTGGAGCACCAACTTGTTCCAAGCCCTGCAGCTCTTGATCACGTGTCCTTATCCTCTCTTTGCCCATTCTCTTTTCCCAGATTTCTTAAACCTCTCTGAGACTTTCCTCTAGCCCTTTCTTGCTTTCATTCCTTCAAGCAACTCTTTCTTCTAAACCTGCTTTCCACGATTCCCCCCTTCCCTTTGCCTGTTGCCTCCTTAGGCTCCTCCTTCCTCTTTTCCTATCCCTCATCTTCCACCCATTTCCCCCAAGAACTTACATTTTGCCCTGTCCATCTATAGAGTCTGAGCAGTTCAACCAATGGCAGCCAGAGCCTTAAGACAAGTTAGTCAATTCCTACAAGCAGCTTTCTCGCAACATTCCTTAGCACATGTTTAGGCAAGTTGGTGCCCTCCAAACATTGTGGATTGCAGCTCCTATCATTCCCGACCATTGGCCACGCTGGCTGGGCGCTGATGGAAGTAGTTCTAAACATCTGAAGGATACCATGTTAGCTATGCCTGCTTCTGCATTACAACACAGACTGTGAGAATACTACGGTTTTCAGCAAAGGATATTTGATTGCTGGAAAAAAAATGTTTGTACTTGAAAGAAACAAAATGGCGATCAGAAGTGTCAGAAATGCACATTCAAAAAGCCAACTTACCAGGAAAGTGCATTCAGGATAAAAGCCATCATGGCAAGTCTGCCAGGTGAGGTGGAGAACCCCAAAACCTGCACAGGGTTACAAGGAGAAAAACAGCCACTGGGATAAATTGGCAACCAACTCAAGATTTATTTGACTCCTCTTCCCCATCCATGCATTCCATTCCACATAATGCTTCGTTTACCTTCAAGGCAGAAAAACAATTTCTTTTTCTAGGAGTGCAGATTTGTATGTACAAGTTTAATTATATCTACAAAAATCAGCCAGGGCTGAGTTTTTGGTGTTGTTGTTGTTGTTATTATTATTACTACCACTACTATTAGTTAATTTTATATACTGCCCTTTATCCGAAGATAATAAGGCAGTTTACAATATAAAAACACAAAAATACATACCATAACTAGAAGTAAAACAATAACCCCCCAGTAAATGTATAAAATCACAAGGGATATTGATACAATGCCAGAATGGATTTATATATTTTGCAAAAGTTGCCCTATGGCTGAAGTGGGTTCCATTTGCTTCTACAGAACAGATCAGTCTATGTTTTGAGGCTAAAAACCACTCCTCCCTATCTGAAACTGCATAAATTACACACATTTTCTTGATTTTGTGAAATTCCAAAGGACCTGAAGCAGTGGTTCCCAAACTTGCACCCCACCCCCACTGAGCCACTTGAAAATTGCTGATATTCTTGGTGGGCCACTAAATGATTCCCCCCCCCCACCACTTGTACTATTTGTAATACACTCTGCTAAGATACTGTGATATTTTTAATTGTACTTTTCTTGCTGCTTCTTTTTTTGTATTGCAATTGAAATTCCATAGCATTGACAACCTGCAAGAAGTTCATGGCCCAATAGTGGTCCACACACCACTGTCTGGAACCTCCTGATCTAAAATACAACTCAGTGGTTAAAGTTTTCAAAACAGGCAATCCAGCCAAGATAAATCAATGTCTGCATGAGCCTCTGTCTCCAGTTATTTTCATAGAAAGGACTGAATAGAAAGGCCAACTGTCACAGTACACTAACTGCAGTTTTTCGGCAACTCAGAACTGAAAACTTACAACTGCCACCAAAATCCAGGCTATCATAAATCACTACCTCATGCAGTTTGCCAAGGTCAGCAGGCGGCGATAAGGCACGCTCCACAGAGTCCCTAAGCTGGTCATCATTTCTGCTTACAAAAGTTGGAAAACAGCAGAGTTGCAGACAGCACAGGCAAAAGTCCTGCTATTTCAAACATGAAGCATTGTAACCATTGCTGTCTATGCATTGGACAGACTTCCACAGAGATGGGCAGGTGTCAAACTTATTCCTGCCCTATTCTCCCAATAGAGATGAGGACAGAAAGCACAGAGATCCCAAATGAAACCTACATTACAGTACTGCGGTGCTCAAAGTCAATCTGATGGCAAGAGCCATGAGAAGGTCTGGCTCTAATTTCCCTGGGTGGAATTCAGTTGTGAGAAGTGGGCTTCCACTGGTGTCCAAGGACTTCAGTTTCCTCTCTTCACACCTGTAATGTCCCATGCACCCCGCAAAAAAATCTGAGAGAAACCTTGTATAGCTGGATAGTAGCCTCCTATACAAAGGTAAAGCTCACATCCACTGCTCTGTCCATGTCTGCCTCTCACCCTGCCCATCACTAGTACCATCAGCATGTGGCCCTCAGAATGCTTCTCCCAAAAGGAATGCGGCTTCTGGGCTTACAAAGGTTCCCCACCCCGGGGCTAAGACAAGGTTCTCTCCTCTCAGCCTAACAATTTCTGTGACTTCACAATATGCACTACTGGATCCACTACACAATATCCACTACAGGCTCACTTCCACTCAGTAGCTTCAGAGAGGGGAGTAGTTCTCATGTCCCTGCTCATGGGCTTCTTGGTTGGCCACCATGGGAAACAGGACACGGGACTAGACAGAATACCCAGCACGGATCTTCTTGTGTTCTTATGAGAGAGATAACTGGGGCAGAAACAAGCAGTTGGGTTTTTGTCTCTACAGAGGTCTTCTTCTGCCATTTAGGCTTGTGTTCACTCTACTGTACTTCAAAGCCTCAGCTGGGGCTAGAAAGAGGAAGTTATGGCAGAGGAGTATAAGGCTGGGGAGGAATATGCTGTTGAAGTTAATTAGCTCCCTTCCCCAGTCATGGCCACTTCACCCCCAGGGCTAGTTGCAGGTTAAGAGGAGCTCAATTGGATCATATCAGGGGCCACGTAATTCGGATTCAGTTTGAAACAGTGGCTAGCCTGATGCCGTAGTCAATAGCAATTGATAAAATTATGTAACAGGAGTGGAGAGTCTTTTTCAGCCTCCAGGTACATTCCTTCATAGGCAACCTTCCAGGAGACAGATGCTGGTGGTGGGTGGGGCCAGAGACAAAAGTGGGTGAAGCGACTGATGTAACTCGCACTTTTTATACTAGGCTACATTCCATTCACCTTGCCAACAAAGATCCGTATAGTTAAAGCTATAGTTTTCCCATTAGTGATGTATGGAAGTGAGAGCTGGACCATAAAGAAGGCTGACTGCCGAAGAATTGATGCTTTTGAATTATGGTGCTGGAGGAGACTCTTGAGAGTGCCATGGACTGCAAGAAGATCAAACCTATCCATTCTTAAGGAAATCAGCCCTGAGTGCTCACTGGAAGGACAGATCCTGAAGCTGAGGCTCCAATACTTTGGCCACCTCATGAGAAGAGGCCCCTGGAAAAGACCCTGATGTTGGGAAAGATGGAGGGCACAAGGAGAAGGGGACGGCAGAGGACGAGATGGTTGGAGAGTGTTCTCGAAGCTACCAACATGAGTTTGACCAAACTGCGGGAGGCAGTGGAAGACAGGAGGGCCTAGCGTGCTCTGGTCCATGGGGTCATGAAGAGCCGGACACGACTAAACAACAACGTTCCATCCAGGTAAGAGTTTTCTACACACTCTTCTGTCCATCCAGACAAGCAAAAGGCATGATCATAGCTCAAGGACAGATGCAGCCAGGCAAAGGAGAGGCACAGAGGACTCTCTAGATTTGTCTTATCTTTTCAGACTCCATTGAAGAGACTGTTTTATGGGCATGTAACCATCCCAGGCAGACTCACTCACTCCAAAGGAAGAACACCACAAATCTTTCCCACAGCTGATCTGCCCTGTAACAATGTCTCTACTTAAACATTTATATCCAAATCCTTGATCTGACATCACTAGAAACTTTGGGTAGTGATAAAAGTGAATTGTTGTATTCAGAGTTTTCTTCTGTAGAAATGATACTAAACACCAGGAATAACCATTATAGTGAAAAAAACACATGAAGGTAGGTAGAGGAAACTGCCCTTTGGGGGAGAAATATTCTACTGACATCATACAAACTTTTACAAGGTCGCACACAACAGACCATTTTGGGTTCTTCTTCTTTGATGCTATTTCTAGTTTGGTAATAGTGTTGGAATAGTGGGTTGTTAGAAGAACACAGGAAGCTGTCTTATACCGATTCAGAACATTGGCCCATCAAACTCAGTACAGTATTGTTTGCACTAAATGACATTGACTCTTTGGGTCCCAGACATGGGACATTCCTAACTCAAGAGGTTGGGGAATGAACTTGGGACCTTCTGCATATGCAAAGCAGAAGTTCTAACACTGAACTATGTGCCCTTTGTTTTATAAGCATTTCCTTTTTCTTTTTGAATGGGAAGACAAGGGAATAAACTTTTGAATAAATTAAAAAAAGAAATAATATCAGTTCCTATTAGCAATATCAATACACAACATGTCCTCTCCACAATAAACAATATCTAAATGATCATACAAAATCATCTTAATTTTGCTATCGCAAAGGCAGCCATTTGCAAAAGTGCAAATTCATTTCTGACAGATCTTGTAATAAACTTGTCTATGCAAACCAAAAATCTGCATACAAATGTATGTAAAATTTAAATACAAATGTTACAGAATGCAATCTGCGAAACTGTGTTAATGTCATACTTGTTTAAATACTGGAGATTAAGAAGGGGAACACACAATCCAGATCACCCTTCCTCTGGACTGAGGAGCTGGTGGTCATGATGTGTGTGATTGTGTAGAACAGGAAGCCAGGAGCAAAGGGGTGGCTGGAGGTTGAAGGAGAAGGCTGTCAAGAGTGGTGGCAAAGTCTGACATACTGTCCTGCCTCTCAACTGTTATTCACACTCACATGACTTCCCTCCACTCCTGATCTACAGGCACCACAACCCAAACAGGGACAGCGTTTCTTGCACTGGTCAATTCCTTTTCCTTCCAACATCTCTCCATTCACTCTGATCTGCACTTTTAACTCCAACTTCTACCCAAGGTTGGGAAAGACTGACTCAAGGATTCCCCTGGATACCAAAAAGTAGGAGACGTAAACAACAATTCTCTTAGCCTGCAAGGTTGGTTTTCAAAATCTTCTAGCTGTCAGGATTTCCCAAAATGAATAATATCCTACCTCGTAGTTGAAAATCTGATCAAGGGACGGGCTGTTGTGAACTAGGCTGTCCACCACAGCCAACCAGAGCCCAAGCGAGCTATAGTAAATTGCCTGCATGAGTGTGATCTGGGAAAGGATAAGAGCAGGATCCCAAACATAACTGCGGAACTGTGGAGCCATTGCTGAAGCAGGGGCCTGCCCACTGGCTAGGCAAAATCCAGCGATGTCTTAAAGTATCAAGCACACATCTCACTGACTAGAGGCCAGTCGCATCAGCATCTGAAAGTGAACAACAACCAAACAAAACATGTTACTCCAACTGAAGCTTATGGAAGGGCCCTCCAATCTACCCATTGTTCAAAACCCAAAGTGTACTTTTGGCATCTTCTGGCATTCACATTACTATTCTTTGGTGTGGTTTCCCAGGTGTAGCCCTGAGAGAGGCACGGGAAACCTAACAGAGACAGATTACAAAACAAAAACAAAAACCCGGGCCTAAGTGTATCTTGCACAGATAGTACTGGGAGTGATAACACAGAAATGGGAGAGAGAGAGAGACCGTAAAAGGATACTCACTAGATGAGCATTGCAAGATTAATGCTGTTTTCTGATAAAGATTTTAAACCTATCCAACCCTAGGAGTTTGGGACAGGTGAAAATACGTATATTTGACACGAACAAGGCAGGCATGTTAAAACTGGTACAGCAATTATTTGAACAGGATCCTGCTCTGTCAACAAAGAACGTAAGAACTGCCTTACTGGATCATAACTAAAGTCCATCGTAAGGTCACATCCCTGCTGGGTCAGATGTCTAGACCAGCATCCCATTCCCCACAGTGGCACAACCAGTTGCCTAAACAGGGAGCCCACAAGCGGGTCAGGAGCACAGCTCAGAAGCAAATCCCCTTCAATATCCCCCATGAAACCTAAATAAATAATAATTACCCCTTTCAACCTGGAAAGCTGCTGACGGTGTAGACATCAACCCTGAGCTGGGTGGACCACACAGTTCCGGCTGGGGATAAAGCAGCTTCCTCTGCTGCTGTGATCCACAGAAACAGAAGCTTTAAAAAGGCTGAGGTTAAAGATTTAAGGCCGACACGTGGGCGCGCCTTTTCTGAGAAGAGCTTCCAGGGGGTGTGCGTTGGCTTCCTTAAAGGCAAACAGGCAGAAACCCGACAGGTAGAGCTTCCCCCGTCGTTGCATCACTTAACGGGGAGAAACCAGACCTGGTGGTTTTCCGCCTGTCGCGAAGGTGTTGAAAGAGTTGTGCCAGGCGCTGAGGGAGGCCGAGAGGAGAGAGGGACCATCCCACCAGCCCACAGGGCTTTCCTCAAACCCGGCTCCCACAAACCCGCGCCTGCCGCCCCGTCTCCCTCAGGTTTCCAGCCAACCCTCGCCGCTTTTGCCACTCACCTCTCTCCCGTCGCCGCCGAAGGGTCCCCGAACCGCCGCCGCCCCCACCCCCGCACTTTCCCAGCCCCAAAACAGCATCGAGAAACCGCCACAGGGTCCAAACTTCCTTCCCGGCCGGCCAGGCCCGTCTTCGCAGCTGACTCTTTTTTCGGCCGACCATAGAGCCAGACGGCCTCCGGATGCCTAGAACGGCGGCTGGAGGCCGGTGACGTCACGGAGAAACCAACGTGAGCCTGGAGGGGCGCCCTACGGGGCGGAAGTGACGTCATATTATAGTCTGGTCATCAACGGCTTCGCTGATAAACGTATTTCTCTGATTACGCGCTGTGACGCCCGCTGAAATGCTTAGGCTAGCTAGGTGACGCCACTAAACCCCCCCCCCCCCAAGAATAATATTCAGGGTGTAAACTAACCCGAGCTAAAGTAGGCGTAGGTTTTCCAGGCAGTTTCCTAGACAGGATGGATGGGAGGTTGTTGTAGGCCGCCCAGAGTGGCTGAGGCAACCCAGTCAGATGGGCGGGGCATGTATGGATGTATAAATAAAATAAAATAAAATAATTACAGTCGCTTTGAAGCCGCTTGAGGTGCCTGCCATCAGCTTCAACTGGTGTCCCAGCCGCGCCCCCATCTGGACAGGGACAACCTGTTATATGCGACATTATGAGGGCAATTTTATTTTTAGGCTGTCTGCCAGTATGCTTTTTTATTGTGTTTTTATTATTATTTTATCATGGATGTTCTGTAATGTGTTTTAATGTTGCACACCGCCCTGGGAACTTTTGATAAAGGGCGGTATATAAATTGAATAAATAAACAAACAAACTACGTTTTGTCTACTATGTTCTGGTACCCTCTAGGTTAGATCACAGTAACACGTTATACATGGGGCTGCCTCTGAAGACATTTCAGAAACTTCAACTGGTACATTTGCAGGCTTGAAATCAACAACAATCTGAATGAACATCAGTCATACTCAATTGACTGATTTCCATTTCTGGCCACAGATGAACATGCAAACTACAACAGTTTATGCTTCCTTTCTGCTTTCATCGGAATTTTCCAGTATCCCCAGCCAGCATGCTGTGACCACAGAGCATATACTCACAGAGTTGTTTGGGGGCTTTCACCCTTTCCACCTATGGGTATGCACTCTTCTCCCCCCAAAAAATTCCAAAGGCAACTGGTGTAGAATTCAGCAGCCAGGTTGACAGTTTCAGCATATCACACTGATCCTGGCCGAATTGCACCTGGTGTCAATTAGTTTCTGGGCCCAATTCAAAGTGTTGGTTTTGCCTTAAACAGCTAAGGACCACAATAATTCAAGGACTGCCTTTCCCCATATGAACCAACCTGAACCCTGAGATCATCACTTGAAGCCTGTTTTTGAATGCTTCCTCCATGAGATGTTTGGAGGTGGCACTGTGGGTTAAACCACAGAGCCTAGGACTTGCCGATCAGAAGGTCGGCGGTTCGAATCCCCGCAACGGGGAGCTCCCGTTGCTCGGTCCCAGCTCCTGCCAACCTAGCAGTTTGAAAGCATGTCACAGTGCAAGTAGATAAATAGGTACCGCTCCGGCGGGAAGGTAAACGGCCTTTCTGTGCGCTGCTCTGGTTCGCCAGAAGCGGCTTAGTCATACTGGCCAATAAAGCGAGATGAGCGCCGCAACCCCAGAGTTGGTCACAACTGGACCTAATGGTCAGGGGTCCCTTTACCTTTACCTAACACAAGAATGGGCCTTTTCTGTTATGGCTTCTCATTTGTGGAATGTTCTCCCCAGGGGGACTCACCTAGTGCCTTCATTACATATCTTTAGGTGCCAGGCAAAAACTTGGCTTTGGCTGATTAACACTCTATGTTCTTTTAAATGGGTGGGTGGGAGTATTGGTTTGTTCTTGTTCTTGTATTTGTTATAGTGGCTGTATGCCCCCCGACCTGGGTTGCTGTAGCTGAATCCTGCATTGCAGATCCTTCCTCAAGCTGAGGATGCAGATGACCCCCAAGGTCACCTCCAACTTGTATTTTACAGTGGTACCTCGGGATAAGTACTTTATTCGTTCTGGAGGTCTGTTCTTAACCTGAAACTGTTCTTAACCTGAAGCACCACTTTAGCTAATGGGGCCTCCCACTGCCGCCGTGCTGCCGGAGCACGATTTCTGTTCTCATCCTGAAGCAAAGTTCTTAACCCGAGGGACTATTTCTGGGTTAGCGGAGTCTGTAACCTGAAGCGTCTGTAACCCGAGGTACCACTGTATTACCTTTCTCATCATTTGCTTACTTTTACATTTATATCCCACCTTTCCTCCAAGGAGCTTGAGGTGGCACACATGGTTGTCCCTCTCCCCCACATTTCCACCCCTCTTTAATCTCCATGAAATTACAATCAGTAGCACTATAGGAGCATTGGGAGCTCTATGGTTTGTTCACACGATAGGGGCATGAATCAGTCTGAGACATTTCCTGTATCCTACCCTTCCGTGGACTATAAAGTGAAATGAGTAAGATTGTCCTTGAAGACAGGAACACAAAATAAATCTGGAAGAGGGCATTATCTTCTTAATGGATTTGTGAATTCTGATGTGCTCTCTTAGAGGTAAATGTGTGATGTGTTTCTCTGGATGTTGATGGAGCAGTACAACATGTCCTCTGTATTCAGCTAAATTTGGGTTGTTATAATAATAATTATTATTAAACCCCCACCTTTTCACCTGACAGGGCTTTAAGGTTGGTGGTACAATATGAGTGGCAATTTAAAAAGATTGACCTTTGCTGCAGACTGATGTATGTGTATGATCTTTTATTGCTGTTGTTTGTTTTCAACATTACTGAACGATGATTCCACATGATTTACAACTGTGTGCATATTTATTCAAAAATGAGTTCCACTATGAGTAGGCATGTACTGAATGCACAGTTAGTGAAACATTTGCCCTACTGAATAATGATTCTCCACTCTGTACCTTGGAAAAAATGGGAGTACTCTGTAGTACTGTAATGGAGGCTGAGATTTGTGGTCTTGTTTTACCAGCAAAGACTGAGCAGCTGTCCGTTCTTTAAAGCATTATTATTAGAGATTTGTTGTAAGCCACCAGCTTTCAGTTTTAGCCTCCATCTGAAATGTGGAGATCATAATATAGTGTATTTGTGCCTCTATCCTTTGTCTTAAGTATGATTACTGCATTACAGTCTTATGTAAGCCACTTCCTCTCAGTCCCCCCCTCCTACTGCAAAATAGGAGTGATAAGAGTTAAGTACATAACCTTACATGGTTGTTATAAGTTACACAGGCTCAGCCCTTCCTCTCCTGCAACTGCAGTACTGTATCAAGATAATAACACTGGACTCTGTTGCAGGGCTGTTGTAAACAACTTTCTGTCAGTGCCAGCACTCTGTTTGCTCTGCGACCTTATTAATTAACTTCTTTACAAGGTTATCATGAGGCACTCTTTTTCTCTCTGAAGCTCCTTCCCTGCATTTAATGCAGGAATAAGATCTCTCAGCTGCCACCACCCACCATCACCCATCTGCAAAGAGAGGACAGTAATACCACACAGCTGATTTCTTTTCCGTATAGGAAGTGTCGGGTGGGGGATCTTTCTCACCAATCACCCCCACCCGAAAAAGACCTGGATTTGAAAGACTCTTAACGAAAGAACATAAGAGAAGCCTGCTGCATCAGGCTAGTGGCCCATCTAGTCCAGCATTGTGTTCTCACAGTGGCCAACCAGATGCCTGTGGGAAGTCTGCAAGCGGGACCTGAGCACAGGAGCACTCTCCCATCCTGTCTTTTCCAGTAATTCAGAAGCATTACTGCCTCCAACCCTAGAAATTCTGCTTCTATTTTTCCCCCTTTCATTCTTTCTTTGGGAGAGATGCAATTCTCCAGAATCATAGCTGTGATAGTGTTTTGGATTTCTCTGTTGTCTCCTTTGGGCAGTTGTTAGTTTTATTGCAACAAAAAATGCAGGGGGAGGGAGCCATAAATCCGACGCGGGGGCAAATGGGAAAGAACAATACAGAGAGTGCTTTGCATTTGCTCACAGCCATATTCTGTATATTGGATAAACAGGCCAAACCCTATGCCAAAGGATAAATGGACATAAATTTGACATCAGGAATCACAAGACAGAGGAGCCAGTAGGAGAACACTTCAATCTCCCAGGACATTCAGTACAGGATCTCAAAGCAGCTGTCTTAATATAAAAGAATTTCAGAAACAGACTTGAAAGAGAAGTTGCTGAATTATAACATCACTAAAGTGAAAACTATGGAGAGACCTGGTCTTAATAGAGATATTGGATTCCTGTCTCATTACATATGCTAATCCTATCCCTTGCTTTTTCCTGTAGGACTAATTGCAGTCGTTAACAATCGTCAACAGGTTTACCATATACCCACTGAGTCAATCACCCATCTGAGAGATCTTTCTTCTTCTTTGGTGATCACTCGTAGCCAAGTAAGATTGTCTTCTATGAACATGGTCTTAATGGTTAGTCCATAAGTGACTGTGGAGGCCAATTCTAGATCCACACATCCTTCTACAGTGGGGACATAGGTTTCCGGGTGGGAGTTGATCACGGTGAAGGTTTGCCAAACATGCCACCTTCTTAGCACGTTTCTACCTTTCATCCTGAGTCTGAGTGTCTTCAAAGCCCATGACACCTTTGGTAAAGGCTGTTCTTTAGTTGGAGCGCTTGCAGGCCAGTGTTTCCCAATTGTTGGTGTTTATACTACATTTTTTTAGATTTGCCTTGAGAGAGTCTTTAAACCTCGTTTGTTGACCACAAGCATTACTATTTCCATTTTTAAGTTTGGAATAGAGGCATCTGAATAAAGCTGATGTTGAAGAATCATTGCTTTGACACTTGTGATCTTTGCTTCTTCCAGTACACTGACATTAGTTCGCCTGTATTCCCAAGTGATAGGTACATTTTTTTAGAGACATCATTGATGGAATCTTTTGAGGAGTTGGAGATGGCGTTTATAAGTAGTCCATGTTTCACAAGCATACAGTAAGGTTGGTAGTACAATAGCTTTGTAAAAAAGTATTTTGGTTTCCCTGCGATTATCCCAGTCCTCAAAAACTCTTTACTTCATTTGGGGAAAAGCTGCACTCGCCAAGCTCAGGCAATGCTGGATTTCAGCATCATTGTCGACCCTTGTGGGAAGGTAACTGCCCAGGTACTCTCCTGTGGATTCCAGCAACCGTTATTCAGAATCATATTTCCTCTGACAGTGGCCCTCAGGATTAGTAGCCATTGATAGCATTATCCTCCATGAATATTTTGAATCACTTGACTCCTGGAAGTGAGAGCTGAATAAATCTCATCAAGGGGAGGCTCACATGTTAACTGTATGCAGTCTGAGCCATATTGAGCAAGATTGTTTTAGCAGCTCCTTGATGAGATTTGATTTTCAGTGCTGTGACTCATAATGTGTTGGGCCTTAATAATTGTTTCTCGTTCCTCTTTCCTTTGGCAGATAGGTAGTCACAGACTGACACATCTGAAAAAGTAACCTCATGCATGTTCTACGTGCGGCTGCCTGCGGGATGGACTTCTGAATGAAGATGCACAGGATCAGACTGCTAATGTTGTTGTTTATCCTTTCTTTGAAGACTGTCAAATAAGATAATTCCACCTTCTGCTCTGTACTGATCTTGCATTTACTCTGCCAGTTAGTGTCAGATTTATGCACAAACTACAGTTTAGGGCCTCAGATTATGAGTGGCCTCTTAAGTGCAAAAGTACCACTAGTAAGATAGTTTTTAGTTGCATCATTGTGTATGTACTAGCATATATGCAAATTTATTCTATTTTCATTAGAATAATACATGGGGGGGGGGCTTAATGCAGTGGGGCCTCTTAAACTTGGCATTGCTTAGGGCTTGCTCTGAGCATGTCTTAATCCAGCCCTATTGCCAGAGCTGAAGTAATTTAAATCATGGGTCAAGCCACCAGAAGTTGTGGCGTCTGCTCTAATTCAAAAGGCTTTATCCCATTTATCCCTGGCATCTAGAGGCTGATTGTGAGACAGACCGTAATTCCGTGGCAGGGCACACGCTAAGATTCAGTGCCTGCATTTTCCATTGAAGAACCTTAGAACAGGTTCTGTGGCCCAATGAGGAGAAGAACAAGGAATCACCCCCTTTCCATTCCATTATGGAACTTGACCAGACTGGCAATTGTCTCTTGGTGATGGGCCAGCATCTTCCTCCAGGTTATCTTAAGGCACGCAGGGTGCACAAGCATACAGCTCTGTCCTACAACATCTTGCCAACACTTCCTGCCTCTCCCAACCAGTACCTGCCAGCTCACTCTGCCCAGTGGTAGGGCAGGTCTTGCTTGAGGAAACGGGTGATGAGAAGTCCCACTGCCTGAAATCCTGGAGAGCCACTGAAGGTCAAAATAGTTCTGAGCTATATGGACAAACAATCTGACATAAGAACATAGGACTAAAAAATGCACCCGATGTGCAAGAGGCCCATGAATTGTACAGTTATATGTTTTCTTGAGTCATAGCGGTCTGAAAGAATAATTGGGAATGATTCCTCTTTTGTACAGTACCTTTTGGTAGACGGCTGGATTGAGCCAATGACCCGTCTAGTCCAGTATCCTGTTCTCACAATGGCAAAACACATGCCCGTGGGAAGCACACAAGCAGGACCTGAGCACAAGAGCACTTTCCCCTCCTGTGGTTTCCAGCAACCAGTATAAACATAATGAACACACATATTGCATTTTCCCATTGTGGTTACATGGTGCCATTGGAAGCAGACTGTGGGCATATGACCCATCTGCAGGATCATAGGTTCTGTGGTTAAGGTGTGGTCAGCCTTGGTTCACACGAAGTTCAGAACTCTAGTTGAAATCCGGAATAGCTTAAGGAAGTGCAAGCCTTGGGAAATCCAAAATGAAGGCTGTTTATCAAGAGCACATTTTTAAATGTGATTCATTTATGTTTGCAACTTAGTCTGCAGGAAATGTTGGTATTTCATCACACAGAGCATGTAGCACAATGGCCTGCTTTTTCATCCATAGTATGGTTTCTAACACTTCCAGTATCCTGGAGCTGTGCGCTTTTTTAAAAAAAAGATTCTTACCATTCAGCATTTTGTATTCACAGATTTATTCCTTGTCCTTTGTTCCCAAAAGGGACCTCCATGAAAACTTACAGTATGATAATAAACATTATCTGAACCAGTCATATAAAAATCCACTAAATGGCAAAGAGTATTACAAAATTCCATAAATTGCCCTTGTTTTGTCCTCCCTCCTGTAAATGACCTGGAAACAACAACAACATTCCACCTTTCCCCCAAGTAGCTGTACATGTTTCTCCCCCTCCCTACACCTGCCATGTCCAGGTAAAATGCAGAAACTGTGTCTCGCTTCACTGGCCACTGCTGTCATCTTTATGGGACTAGGACTTGGGAGACCAGTTCCTCACTCAGCCATGAATCTCACTGGGTGACCTTGGGCCGAGTCACTCTTTCAGCCTAACCTACTTTCACAGGATTGTTGCGAGCATAAAATGAAGAGGGGGAGACCAGTGTATGCCACACTGAGCTCCTTGGAGGGAAGGTGGGATATAAATATAATGATAAAATAATAAAATAAATGTTACAGCAGTCTATGATTGTTGGAAATTGTCCTAATTGGTGTGTAAGCACTGGGTGGGTAGGTAGAACTATGTATGCCACTCTGAGGTCCTTGGACAAAGTGGAAGATATGAATAACTTAACATACTTCACAATGGGCATTTGACTATTACATTGTGTGCCAGGGTGGAAATCTGGATGAATCCTGTTTTCTTAATCAAACCTACTTACTTCACACATCTCCCACTCTCTCAGCCCTCCTGCTCCTACACTGTAGGGAATCAGTTCCTACAATCTGGGAAATTCTGCTCTAAAATGTAGATGCCTCTTTATCTTGATGTCATATTTCTTTGTTGTCACTAGGTGGCAAATCTATTATGCACTTGCAATTCAGGTGGCTTAGCAGCAATTTTAAAGACCTTTCTGCACAAGTAACTTTCAGTATAGGAAGCGTCTAGCTGTTACTCACAGCACTGCAAGCAGCCCAGGTGGGTTTTACATTATAGCGACATCTCATTTTTCTAGCCCCAGATATGTTTTTATTTTACATGTGAGAAAGCTGATTCCGCCCTCCCCACCTGTAGTAGAATCACTGTGATTGCCATGTGGCTGTGATGGGGATACTGTGGTCAAGGATGATAGGAGTTGCAGTCAAGCAATATCTGATGGAGCACTCCTGTATGTATATATCCCTTGTCTCATTTTAAGATACTCAAGCACAAATGTAAAAATAGACAATGATAATAATAACAGTGAAAGGATGCAGACGTGGAAGCTTTGCATAATGCTGGATGAATCTGTTCTCACAAGATTAAGTACAATAACTGCCCACCACTGAAATATATAATTAGATTTCAGAATGGATGAACTTCCTGCTTTGGGCTTGCAGATGAAGCTTGGCTAAGAGTTTTTGGCTTTTTACCTTATCTCTTTTCTGTTAGCAGTAACTACCTTACAACAATCAGTATTATTATTCTTATACTGGGGGTGTGAGAGTAAGAGAAAATGGTTAAGTATGCTAATGTTGAAGTTGCTTCAACTCTTTAAATGTATAAATAAGCTTCTTGTTTATGTACTTCTGATATGGCAGTGCCCCCATCTCCTCAGATGTCTACATGTACATCTAGGGAGTGACATAGAGCCCCACCTCTTTCTGGTTGCCTCTGAAAGAGAAATACTGGGTATATCCAAAGCCATTTCCCATTGAGGACAGCAAATTTTCCTTTCTACAAAGATACTGGGAATTCCATATCAGGGTTGAGGTTTCATAAACATTATCAGAGCAGCTGTACACATAGCTTCGATGTTTGTAGCTTGACCCAATTTATTTCTAACCAGTTCTAATAGTCCAATGAATTTATTTAGCATTAAAACTTTGCTGCTTCCCACATCAGTCTACCCCCCAAGTGCTTTGATGACTTATTGTAGGAGTGCGGTACCTCCACTGTTGTTGCATTTCAGTTCCCATCAGCTTAAGCCAGCATTGTCAATGGTTGCTGGACTCTTCATTGAGCTGTAGACCAACAACAGGGGTGCAGGTTCCCTGCTCCTAATGTCTTGTAACAAATAACTCACTAAAGCAGTTCTTGAGATTCTCTGAATGCTGCCCTGTTATTTAACATATTTTGCTATTAAACCATGGAAAGTCCATCTCTTTTTCATGCTCACGGCAGAAGTTAGCTGGCACAGATTTATCTACCATCTTAATCTAATCCACCCAACACCCGGAATGGAAATGACTTTCCAGTTTAAGCTTGAGAAAAAAATCATGTAGGGGAATACCCGGCAGCTAGTGTTCTGTGGATATTAGTCAGACTGTGCCTGTTTCTCAATCTAACTCAACAGCAAGTTCTTGATTTGTTGAAGGAATGTGGCAAGTCTTCAGTATGTGAAGGGTCCTTCAGCTCAAGATGGTTTGCAGGCTAAGGCTATGTACACAGATAGCCTTTTAAATGCACAGAGACTATTTTATCACTGTGATTTTGTACACAGCCATTTGCAGTTGGACACATTGTCACATGATAATGCTGTCCAAAGTGGAAGCTACTATCCTGTTGTTTGCACACATGGTGGGCGTGTTTACAAACCAGCTTTCTCTATCCCCTTCCCCTCAGTGTTTCCACAGGAAGAACATTGGAGAAATGTTGGATGATATTCAGTGGTACCTCAGGTTACATACGCTTCAGGTTACAGACTCCGCTAACCCAGAAATAGGAGGCCCCATTAGCTAAAGTGGTGTACAGTGGTACCTCGGGTTAAGTACTTAATTTGTTCCGGAGGTCCGTTCTTAACCTGAAACTGTTCTTAACCTGAAGCTGTTCTTAACCTTTAGCTAACGGGGCCTCCCGCTGCTGTCACGCTGCCGGAGCATGATTTTTGTTCTCATCCTGAAGCAAAGTTCTTAACCCGAGGTACTATTTCTGGGTTAGCGGAGTCTGTAACCTGAAACGTATGTAACCTGAGGTACCACTGTAGTAGAAAATCCTTATTTTCATTGGAGAAATGTTGGAGGGTATGCAATATGCCTCTGAATTCCAGTGGCTGGGAATCAAAAGTATGGAGAGTGTTGTTGCCCTCAGGTCCTGTGTGTTGGTATCCCATGGGTATTTGGGTGGCCACTGTGAGAATGGGATGCTGGACAAGATAGAGCATTGGCCTAATCCAGCAGGACTCTTAGGTTTGGATGAGAAATTGAGGAATTCACTGCATCTGTATAGTATGAAAAAGAGAAAGTCCCAACAATGTTATTTATGTGGGTATCAGCTGGTGATGGGAGTCTCCGTGGGGTATTTCAAAAGTTCCAGTACTGCTATCATTTTCTTCTTCAATTCCTCTGGGCAGCTCAGGTCTTCCCCAGTGCTTGGAACAGAAATTCTACTGTTTTCATTTTGTCATTCAGTGTGACATCACAGCTGTGAAACACGGCCAACTTTTCCCAATAGCACTTCCTCTCTGAAGAGGAGGAAACGTCACACA